TAGTCGAAATCATATACACGGGAAACTCATTAAAGACGGGACACTCATCGAAGACGGAAAACTAGTCTGGAAGAGAAACTCGTCTTAAATTCGCATTTAGACGGATCAGTAAATCAGACAAGTTTGAGAAATATCAGCACGGTCAAGGACGGAACAAGGCTACGGAAAATAAACACAATTATTAACGCAATGATTACGCATTACCCGAACCATGCATGACACGTATAAATTTTCCAGATCCCAATTCACATTCAGACGGGTTTTTATGGTTATCAACTTCCAGTCTCAGTAACATGAGTATTCGGCTTTTCTTAATTCTTGTACTTTACTTTGAATCTACTTCATTAAAAATACAAAACAATCGCACCGTAACCATTAGCTTCACTTGGGCCCCATATAACAACTAACTTATGGAAACAATAGTGTTTTAAGGCACTTCATACCTTGTATGTGATATTATAGCGAGAACACAAATGGCAACTATGAGGTTACAAGCTACGAATAAGATGCAGTTGTGTGCGTGTTTTAGACGAGAAAATAAATCATGAACATTAAAAAGAACTCCTTTAAATTTTTATTTCATTTGAGATCCTACCCATAAGGTATCCAGTAATATCATCGCAAGACCATGCGGTCTACTGGTAAAGGCAGTGCTCTCCGAGTTTAAAGGCGGAGGTTCGGGCCCCAGATGGGAATGTTTTTTTCTTCTATTTCATCAGAGATACTTCCAAAAAGGATTAAGTAAAATAAAAAACTCTAGGCTTACACCACAAGAACTGGTGGTGTAGTGGTGAAGACGATGATCTGCCAAGTATACAGTCGATGGTTCAAGCCCTGGATAAACCGAAAAAGAACAAGGTAATAAAGTGAGAATTTGTGAGTGTGAGAGGAGTAGTGCGAGAGGGCGAATATGCCCTCGCCTTGGGCGAGGAGTAGACTGAGGGGGGTTCTCTTTCCCCCGGCTTTCCTGACTTTCAAAGCAAGCTTTCTTCAAACATTTAATTGTGTTATGGGATAGTTGGGAGTATGTGAGGATAGGAAAAAGTAGGGATAGATAGGAGTAAATAGAAGGATAAATAGGGGTAAAGAGGTTTAAATGAGTACAAAAAGACTTAAACATTTTATATACTGCCTTCTCACCTATACCCTTTTCCTTGCCCCGGCAGCCGAGACCGCCTTGCCCCGGGAGCCGAGGCCGCGCCCAATTACTAAGTCTTTTTGTACTCATATACCCCTCATTCACCCTATCTATTCCCTGATTTCCCTAAAGATTAACTTGATTTGCAAAGATTAACTGAATACAAACCTCACCAGAGCAACATTCCTACCATTTTTTTTATTTTTTTTTTATTTTTCTTTCCACCGCCATGAGGAACGTACCATGCTGTTCTTGATACCACGATCTTGTTCTTGATAGTCCACGACTTTACCACAAGGCTAACTGGTGATTGTTGGAAGTCTACACCCATTTATTCACCATAACCTTACCACGTTTTATAAATAACGAAAATTTTCATCTAAAACGAGATTCGAATCTTTGACTCTCAACACACGAGACTAACATCTTGACCACAACACTACAAGAGCTTGTGCTGAACGGCTATGGTTATTTAATTTACTTTATCCTGTTCACGAAATTCATAACGAAAAATGGTTATGGCAGGATTCGAACCGTCGATTTACCACTTGGGAGACCATTGTCTTCGCCACAACACTTTAATGACTTGTGCTGAACAGCTGTGGTTATTTAATTTAGTTATCCTTTTTACGAAGTCAATATTTTAAAAAATGGTTAACGTGGGATTCGAACCATTGATTCGCCACTTGGTAGACCATTGTCACAACCACAACACTACAAGATCTTGTGCCGAAGTTCTGTGGTGATTTATTCACGAGTTAAACCATCGACTGTATACATACCAGATCACCTTCTTCGCCAGGATCTCAAATCAAATAACAATTTTCATGCGTTCACTTTAATGTTCATGATTTATTTGCTCGTCTAAAACGCCCACAACTGTATCTTATTCGTAGCTTGTAACTTATTAGGCTTCCAATAAGTTAGTTATATGCGGCCAAAGTGAACCTAATGGTTACGGTGCGATTTTTTGTATTTTTAATGAGAATTAACAATGCATTTCGAAATAGGTTTAAAAGAAAAAAGTACAAGAATAAAGAATAGCCAAATTCATATTAGGGACGGAAAACTCATCTTAGACGGGAAAGTTGAGGTAAAAGCCATTCCGAAAATGAATGGAGATATGGATAAATTTATCATCGTTGTCGATTAACCGACCCATTATACGTGGTCATCAAGCTGTTGTTAAGACGTTGGTTCAAATACAAAGGTTCAAATATTAGATCAGCGTATATTATATTCGACGAACCGGCGAGGAACAATCTTGAAATAAATATTCAATGTCTGTTTAACTGGATCTTTCCTTATTTGCAATCTCAGATGTAATGCTTGTTGCCTCATGACTATACGACTTATATACCTTTAGGCGAATTCATATACACGGGAAACTCATTAAAGACGGGAAACTCATGGAAGACGAGAAACTCGTCTGGAAGAGAAACTCGTCTTAAATTCGCATTTATAGACGGATCAGTAAATCAGGCGAGTTTCAGAAATATCAGCACGGTCAAGAACGGAACAAGGCTACGGAAAATAAACACAATTATATCGTAATGATTACGCATTACCCGAACCATGGATCAGACGTATAAATTTTCCAGATCCCAATTCACATTCAGACGGGTTTTTACAGCTATCAACTTTCCAGTCTCAGTAACATGAGTATTCAAATGACCCATGAAGATTAAAGTGAACTTATATTTAAATTGTTATTTCATTTGAGATCCTACCAAAAAGGTATTAAATAATATAAAAAAGTGTGCCCTTTCACACCGCAGGTTCGTGTGGTCTACTGGTTAAAGCAGTTTAGTTCTTTGAAAAGGGTCAGGTCAAATAAAGAACAGTAGGCTTTCGACAAATGACGCGGTGGTCTTGGGCTACTGTGTCAAGCCGATTTACCACTTGAGCGGCTACGGTTATTTTATTTCCTTTATCTTTTTCTCAAAAGACATAATGAAAAACGGATATGGGCTCGAACCCACAGTTTGAAACATGGGAGAGTATTGTCTTCACCACTAGACCAGCAGAACCGCTGGAGAATTACTGCACCATTTTATTTTACTCAACCTTTTTTTCGAAGGATTTTACATAAATTTATATTTTACATAAGTTTACTTTGATGATGATGATTTATTTTCTTGTCTAAAACGCACAAACTGAATCTTATTCGTAGCTTTAACCTAATAATATCAACATTTGTGCTGACGCTAAAATATCATATGTATGGAGTCCATTCAGCAAAGGAGCAACATTACCTCGGCTCGGAATAAGCTAGTTATATGCGGCTCAGGTGAAGCTAATGGTTACGGTGCGATAGTTTTGTATTTTTAATGAAGTCAAGTCTGTTTTCTCAGTTCAGAAATTAAAATTTGAGGAAAATGGTAATTCAGATTCATTAGAATGTTTCAACATTTGCCACTTGTTTCACAGCTGAAATTGTACTCCAAATCTGATAACAGATATGCAACAGATATGAAACAACTCTACTTCTCTTAAGCTGCGTTTACACGGTACCATCCGCTGGTCACAACATCTTCGTTTCCATTATGAAGCAACGATTAGTAAATGCTTATTAGTTTGATAGATTTGGCATATTTATTCAGGAAATTCAAAAACTGCACTGTCATTCATTAACTTCAAAATTTTAGCCAAAATGGTAAGGGCCGTAGTTCATTTTCTGCTTGTTAAGACATTTCAGAAAATTTTCGAACATCGTCAATTTTGGCCAAAATGATAGTGATACGTATCCGTCATTATTTTGCCGAAATTATATTCTTGAATTTTTCAATGCTCCAAAACAAATATGCTCAAAAACGAAATAGATTCGAAAATCGTTAAATCTGGTGGAATCTTACAAATTTTTCAATGTTTAGAAAACAAATCAAATGCGTTTAAAAAACGAAAAAAATCGTCTTAGTAAACATTTTAAAGTATTTTCAGCATGTTAACACATTTTAGAAAATTTTGGAAAATCATTAATTTTGAAAGTGAAAAAAAACAACTTATTATGGCATTATTATGGAACATTATTGATAATTTGATATTATAAACTGCTTTAATGCCTTAAAAATTACTGCCTTTTCTCGATTCCTTTCCTGGAAATTTTATGAAAATTTATTGAACCATAATAATTATATAGGCGAAGTAAACAAAGTAAGCGCAAAACGCGCGCGAGATCACACACGCAAGTCAAAGTCTGGCCTTCCTATTGCATAGGCCTGAGCCGTTGCAGCTAAAGACAGGAATCTAGCCTGGGACTGACTGCAGAGATTCTTAAAGGCTAATACAATTAAAAATAAGCCTGTCCCACACCGTAAACCCTAAAACTAACCACGAGGTATTGTAGATTCAATAATGAAAAAGTAAAAAAAAATTTTAAATGTGAAAATAATAAAGACAATTCCAAGGACCAATTCCGACCAAACCGAGATATTCCGCAAACAGGGCGGGTTCGTTACCTTCCGACCACCGGGACGCTCCTAAATCTTCCCGTAGTTTAGCTGTATTTCATAGTTCTCAAACACAAAAAAGGGATCAAACACACGTGGTTACAAAGCTAGACAATAACAAGCCGGACTAGATTCCTGTCTTTAACTCATTGACATATTATATATACCTGGTCGTCATTAAAAATGCGTGATTCAAAATGGCGGCGATTATGAGAGTGTTTGCTCATGAAGTTGACCATTGACCAGTATTTTACTCTCATATTCGTCAGCCGATATGTGTAATTTGCCAAGCTCATCGCTGATAATTGCAAGAAGCAAGCAAAGCCTACCTTGTTGGTCTGTTTGAAGACACTAAATCTGTGTACCATCCACGCTTAGCGAGTCGCCAACATGCCAAGAGCTCCCCCCGGTTTTCTCGTAGCTATTACTCAATTATAACATTTCCCAGGAATCCTTAGTAGATGCAATATAGTGTATTAATTACAATACATACCGCAGTCGTATTGGGTCGGTGAAGCGTAGGACTGATGTAGACCATCGAGTTCAGGAAAACAAAAATTTCGCGGAAAGTCTCTACAATAAGGTAGTGTATTAATATTTTCCAAATTCTTACTCAGATATGGCTGGGAAAACCAGCCGAAATTCGCGTGATTGTTGTTGACCTCGTTGAATTAGTGCAGTCCATTGTCGCTAGCGCATCAATTGGAGACTTTGAAAGCTAACCTCGCCGAAGCCCTAGTCAAGCTTACTAATAAACAAGCCACGGATATTTGTGCAATAAAATTCTAAAAGTCTGTCTTTTATAGAGTTGTTTATCCTAGAGTTGTAAACATGCGCTACAGACTGACTCGGCATGTTGTTTTCCACAGCTGTACGACATATGATATCGTAAAATTTTTGTAGGGACATGCCAAATGGCGAGTTACAAAATATTCCCCCGAACATTTTCGCTTGTTTGTAGATTTAGCTCCTCCGTCAAACTTGAAGTTTGCTACTTTCCAATAATATTGCTCTCTAAGCATACCCGTTCACTGACTAACTATAGTCCATTTTCCTGATTGCCGATTGCCTGTCAGACCTTGATACGCTCATAAACTTAACTTGACCTTTTATATACGATCTAACATATTCCATGTACTATTACAATTTAATTTCAATTTTTTCCAGCAAAACACGGAAAGAGCATCACTTTGTATGCGTAATATGTCATCTGAGATTCTGAAATCGTCGAGTTTCGAAAGTATACAGAAATTCGCATTCAAAACAATGTGTGTTATTATTAGCCCATTGTAGAAATTGCTTCCCCTTTTACATTTAATAAAATTGCCTCATCTTTCAACGCCGATTGGGTGTAATGAAAAACAGAGGTTACTCACACAGCCAGAGTTTCAGTGATGACGCAAATACTTTATCATGAAATACAATTGTTGGATCTCTGCATGGAATAAATTTTTTTAACGCCTGTATAGATCAATAATGAGATTTTTTGTAAACAGATCCACAAATTAAAGTGATTTCATACCCGTGATTTTATACTCTTCTGACAGTTAATTATCAGGTATAAAATCGAGTTAAATTTATGAAAAGCTATTGACATAAAACAAACAGAGAATACGTTTTGAGTCACTATAAGTATATTTTAATTATTCCGGTCCCAACACTAAGAATAGGAGTTCTAACGTTGATAAACAAGCGATTAGTTTAGGTCGAAGTTGAGTTTTTGATTCTTGTTTAGATATCTAGACACAATTAAAGGAGGATTGATCGTTACAGTAAAAGAGAAATTGCAATCATGCTTTCAAATATCCCATGCAAAACGTTGGTATTTCTGGCTTGTTTGGTGGCCACATCCTCTGGTTTGCCAGTAAATGACGCCGAGGTGAGAGTTAGTACTCTCTTTGTTAGATTTTATTATTATAGTTCTGGATTATTAGCTCAATTATAAGTTCTGGATTGTATCCAAGCCTGAGCGTGCGAAAATTTCGTGTTCTTTCCAGGAAATACCCACAATATATCTGTCTGTCTGTCTGTATATAACGCGTATGTTTCCATTTACTTCAAGGTTGATAAATTACAGAAAAAAGTTGAAAATATGGAGATGACTGTCAAAAATCAACAAAATAGCATCCAAGGTTTGGAAAGCAAATTTCAAAGTCAAGAAAGAAGAATCCAAACACAAGAAAGCCAGACTCAAAATCAGAGCAAGATTATTCAAGATCAAGGAAATGCGATTAAAGAGCTTGAAAACGAATATAGAGGTAATGGAGTACAATAATTCTTTCAAGATATTTACGAAGTTCAGCTAATTTCATACTTTCTAGCCATTTTTTAAATCCATTTTCTGTACATCAATACAAGGTAATTCGGTTCACCTCCTCCTCTCTTATAAGCAAGATTGTAAACGAAACCGTCATAGTTGCAGAGTCTACATAAGAAATGGTTATTTTGTAGGTATTCTCGACTTCATTCATACATCGCATTATGCGACGTGTGCAGTATTGAAACGACAATCATCTTCAACCTCAAATGGAATGTACAATCTGTACCCCACAAGCTCACGTTTGCCTGCCAGAGTCTACTGTGATATGACGTCAAAGGGTGGTGTTGGTGTGACAGTGATTGCACATGACAGTCAATCGAGGACACTTGTGAAAGGATACGAGGCCGCGGGTTCCTACAGGCGAAATATTACATATGATATCTCAATGGAACAGATTGTTGCCATTATGAAGCGGTCGAAGGGGTGCGAGCAGTATATAAAGTACGAGTGCTATCGTAGTATGCTGCTGAAAGAATCTGACGGTTGGTGGGTATCACGTCAAGGTTTAAGGATGAATTACTGGGGTGGAGCGCCAGTCGACAGTGGGAAATGTGGCTGTTCGCAGGGACGTTGTGCCGGCTTGCGAGGTTGTAACTGTGACAAAAATGATGATGAATGGCGTCAAGACAGCGGATACCTGACAGACATGAGGACGCTGCCTGTTACTGAACTCAGATTCGGAGACACTGGCGGAGGTCCAAGAATATCGTGGTGGAAAGATGAATCGGGCTATCATACATTGGGAAAATTGCGTTGCTGGGGTTAAGATTTGAAATACGAGACCAACATATTAAGATTCTTGACTTTCTATATATCAAACTGTTACTTTTTTTATAGTGATATAATTAGATATAGAAATACGACATAAATCACAGTGTATTCAACCGTTTATTCAATCGTGTAACATTTGGTAATTGTGTAGTTAACGAGGCTTTTCAACTATGGTCTAGGTTGTTATAATTAAAAAGAAGAGCTTAAACACGTTTTCTGTAAATTTGGTTTTAGAGAATTTGTCTACACCGTGTTTAGTGTGAAGAAATAAAACCGTGCCCTTTGGAATTTGAAATCATTTTAATGATTTGCCCTTGCCTGGAGAATCTCAGCTCCATTAGAGCCTAAAACTTCCAAATAATATTCGACATTTGAAAATTTCTGGATGCTGCTTTCCTGAGAGCAGTACAATTATCGACATATCTGTAGTCTATTCCTTTTCAATCTTCATGAAAATGCAAAAAAAAAACAATGCCATCGTAACCAGTACTACAACATTAGGCACCAGGCACCGGCCATATAACTAGTCTAGGGCAGTGTTTGCCTTCGCTTTCTCTGTATTAACTTTCTCTAGTATTAAGTTTGACGGATGAGAAAATAATCGGGTTTTGACCGAATTAACAAGAAGCCATGTTTAAAGTCCAGGAAAAAAGATATGATATATAACATGATATATTAAATAGATAGCTTTCAAGCTCATGAGCTGACTGTCTAGTGGTTAAGAATATGGGCTCTAAATTCTAACTCGGTGGTTCGAGTTTGGGAAAAAATAATTTTCATCATGAACTTCGCTGAAACGGTAAAGTTAAAGAAATAACCATCGGAGTTTGGCATAAACAATCAAAACCTCGTTCGTTTAATTTGCTAAAATTCACTTTAATTTATCGTGATAACTATTTGGTCCATGTATTTTAAAATTAAAAAAGTCAAAAGTTTGCGAATAAATCTTTAGAAAAACAAAACAAAACAAATACGCTTTCGCTTGAGCATAAAATATAGGATTCCGGACCGTGGTCAGATATGGTAAAATTCCGCCCGCTGCTACAGCCAATCAGATTGCAGAAAAGGCTAGGATTCCGCCCGCTGCTGATTTGTAAAAAAGTAGCTAACAAAAATTACGTATAACAGAATTTAGCGATTTTTGATTTAGCGATGCGTGATCGATAAAATTTACTTTCACACAGTGCCTTGTAACAGTAAAATCCCTCAGAGTGCATGTCAGTATAAGAGCATCGAATTTTCACCGCCATTTTTTTGCATAGTGCAATTGTACTGAATGCGTTTTACTAGAAATGTTTTTGATAAATTTTACTAGAAATGTTTTTGATAAAAATTACAGATACCCTCTTAATTAATCTTGAATGATGATAGAACTGCATTAATTTTTAAAATTACTTTAAATTAAACAAATTAGCTTTTGAGAAACATGATATTATGATACTCCTATTGTCTTGATGCTATATATAATTGTTATCATTCGCGATGCGTCGATGAGACATTGGCGTTATCAGATCAGAAAAATTCTTCTCTGGAAAACTTGAAAACAACAGGTTAGTCGAATGATAGGATTTAACTTTTTAGAATAACAGGATAGACAGCATTGCACTATACGGTTGATTAGTGAGACCTACCATTTCTTGTCGGTCTGTTTTTTGTTCCGTTTGTTATTGACAGTGATAATGTTGACCTTTACTGATTTCAGGCAGTCGTTGTTTGCCAAGCACGTAAAATTAGAGAAACTAGCAGCTCGGCAGCCAATGTCAAGCTTAATAGTAAATGCGCTATGGATATTTGTACAATATGCTTCTAAAAGGTGATATTTTAGCCTGTAATATATCCCAGAGTAGAGAACATGGAAGCTTTATACAACTGAGTGCTCCCATCAGAACGACATACGATATCTATGAAGTTTGACTAATTCACACATGTATACGAATGACCTACGCTAGGGTTTTCTCGTCTATTTGAGCATTCGTCTTTCGAAACTGCTTTTAAACTCAAAGCAACTATAGGTTCAACATTACCTATAATACTTCCGAATCCTCAATTTACAAATGATAAATTTACCCAAATGCTTGTCAAAGTCATTTTGTCAAAGTGAATTTGACCTAATATTTATTAGTATGGTTCAAGTGTGATTTTATCCGAAACAGATGCTGTTTACTGGACATTCGATCTACAATTTGTACACGAATTTTTTCTCCTCTTTTAGTTTTTACAGTCTTTATACAGAGAAATAGCTTAGTTTTCGACTCATATTGCTTATGAGAACTTAACAGAAATGAAAGATATGGCACACCGTTAAAAATTTCGGCGACAACGCAAAATATATATATATATATTAATATATATATATATAATTATATATTATATATATATATTATATATATATATATATATATATATACATAATACATTATAGATCCCGATTGTATTAACCGTTTCCTCATATGGCAAACGGTCACTTTATAGAGAATTTGGTGCAAGTTTCAAGCCATGCTGGGTTCCACTGAGCTAACCAACTGTCCCATATAAGATATTTAAAAAGTAATCAATATTCTACCGTCGTCGTATTGGTACATTGCATTAAAAGCGTACAGATTAATCAAGTCGGTTTTCCACTAGGCGAAACTTTTCAATCGATCGAAAAATATCGCCTAGTGGGCTTCACCCTGCACTCCTACATTTCGATGGAAAACACTCAAATCAGAACGCAATTTATTCTGAGAAAGCTCATGCACGTCAAGTCAACTGGGACAAGGTTCAATTTTAAACGCAACGGGCACGGAATATTTCTATGACCTAATCACTAAAAATGATAAAGAGAGGCATATTATATACCACAGCGAGAGGTGTGGAAACGTGGTAAGATTTACTCACGAGTAAACCCAAAATTGCCCTGCCAGTGTGAACTAATGCAAGTTGGGGTGAATTCAATGGTGCAAATTGCAATGCGCAAAAAATATTTCACTACAAATTCGATTTAATGTTGATATTCGCGGATGCAATTGAAAACAAAAAATACTCTTTACAAATTTCGTTAAATATATAAACAGATATTCTATTAATATTATATTTTACTTTCTTCAAGACGGTAAAGGGAGATCAATCTTAGGTGAGAAGGAATAATCTTGGTCCAGAAGAAATTGCAGGAGAATCATGTTTTCGAATGTTCTGTGGAGAATTCTGATATTTTTAGCCTGTATGATTACCATGAGTACCACGACCAGTTTGCCTAAGAGTGACAAGGTTAGGTTCTAAGGTGCATGTTCTAAAATTACCTAATAATATGGGCATCAAATGTATATGAGACCAGTTATGTGCAATGGAAATGGCCAATGAAGAAACCTATATTCCTTGCTTATTTCATCATTGGCATTGTTAAGTGATACAGGCTCCTTGCCCTTGTATTTACACATGATATTGAACCTGTATTTGAAATAATTTCCGTAATTCAATTTACACCAAGGTTAATAAATTACAAAAAAGAGTTCGAAGTCTGGCAACAGTCATTGGAAATCAACAGAGCAGTATCCAAAGTTTGGAAAGCAAAACTGAAAGTCAAAGAAAAACAATCCAAACACAGGAAAGCCTTGCTCAAAATCGGAGCCGGATTATTCAAAATCAGGCAAATGTGATTGAAATGCTTGAAAACGAATATCAAGGTATTAAAATAGCATCGCATTTATAATTCTTAAAAGGCGTTTACTTGTCACGTTCTGGACTTTTTTAATGCATTTCTCTATGCAGGGTACATCAAAAAAGTTTGCACATTTAATGTATTACTTTTTAATGTATGCAAATTCGTCGTAACTCACATGCCGTAATTCGTTGTTGTGCATTTGCAACTAATTACAAGATATGAATTACGACAAATTTTACTGGAATTTTTTTTCAAAATCCATATCGTGGAAATATGATGGTATGGTTGTTATAGTTCGAAATAGTATGGAAGTTTATAATATCCATACTAATTGACATTTCCATACCAGTAGATGTACTACATATACATAGGCCATAGTACATATGCATAGTCCATATGCCGAAAACGTCAGGTCATTATATAACAATTAGGTTAGGCACATGAAACATTCGACGTCTGAAACAGGCCTTATAAAATGAATGCATATTTTGTAGATATTCTCGACCTTGTTCAGTCGTCACATTCCGCAACATGTTCCATGTTGAAACAAGAATTCCCTTTAACACCAAATGGAATGTACAAAAGAAACCCCTTGAGTCCAAGCAAACCTGTTAAAGTCTACTGTGACATGACTTCAAGGAATGGCGTTGGTGTGACAGTGATTGGACATGACAGTGAAATAATAGCGCATGTTAAAGGATACGAAGCGGCCGGTTCGTACAGACGAAATATTACATACGACATTCCCATGGAACAGATTGCTGGCATTATAAATAAGTCCGCGAACTGCGAGCAGTTTATAAAATACGAATGTTTTCGTAGTGGGTTGCTGAAGAATTCAGATGGTTGGTGGGTATCACGTCAAGGTTCTAAGATGAATTACTGGGGTGGAGCGGCAGTCGACAGCGGAAGATGTGCCTGTGGAATGACCAACAGCTGTGCAGGTAGGAAGGGATGTAATTGTGACAAGAATGACAATGAATGGCGTGAAGACAGTGGAAACCTGACAGACAAGAAGACGCTGCCTGTTACACAGCTGAGGTTTGGAGACACTGGCGATACGGTACCGGAGAAACGGAGAAAGGAATCTGGCTACCATACACTCGGGAAATTACTTTGCTGGGGCTAAAAGACTGCTAAACTTATGTAATTGATAATTATATCTTACATATTCGTTAACTCGGTTTGAAATGATTTATCAAATTTGTAATATTAGACACAATTAGACTGATGCATGCAATATTTCATAGACTGTGTATAAAACCTAGGATGATAAACTAAGTATATCTTTTTACCATTATATCCATAAAACTATAGGTTATACGTTGAATACAATTGCATTATCTGAATCTCTCATCTATTTCATTCTTTCAACCAATCTCTCTAGCCTCTACAAAGTCTTCCTTTGAAATTAGTCCTTCGCTGTAATCTACAAACTTGCATCTTCACCTTTTTTTGTGTTTTAACTTCTGGTTGTGTGAGACAAAAGTGCAGGTTATAGGTTTCGTATGCTTGAAATGCCAGATATTCAAATCTTTATTTTGTTTTAGTGTTTAGTAACGCTGTATATTTTAGATCCTTCGCCTGTTAACCGCTGAAAACTGAGCCTGCTGTGCTGGAAATTCAGTAGTTCTGACCGAGTGTGGCTAGAAATCTCATATGGCATCAGTGAAACTGAATCACTTCACGATGAAAGCGCTAATAAATTTATTTACTAAAGGCCATGTTACACGGTGCAATTTTTCTTGCAACTTGCAATGCAATTCTACTTTTGAGAGATGTATATTTGAGAACAACGAAACTTTTGTGTTTATTACACTTCATGCACTTTTCTTCAATAAGACTCTTCACTAATTTACATCTCTTAGAAGTAGAATTGCATTGCAAGTTGCAAGAAAAATTGCACCGTGTAACATGGCCTTAAATGAATTAATAAAATGAAAATATTTTTCACAATCATGAACGTTCATATGAACCTGCTTGTTTTTAATACTTTCACCACTTTATATACAAACATTCAGCCCACAATTGTCAATGTCGCCATGAAAACATAACAACAGGTGGAACAAAGAGTTAAATATGGCATTACAATAAAACCACAGCATAAATTATTACCCATTTGTGTGTTTGTGTGTTATTCAAAAACACAAAAAACATTTGTACCACCGGAAAATTAACACCCGAGATTTAGTAATATAAAAAGACCTCTGGCAGCACTGGAGTCGACAACCCTGAGTCTATAAATGCTATCAACGCCGGCCGGATGAAGCAATGTCCGTGTGAATAACAAAGTGTACTATGCCTATGATGATCTATAAAACAACAAATATAAACAGGTGGTAAACCATAACAAAGTATATGCGCTCGCAATGTACAAAGTTCGTTACCAAGCGTCATATATGGCAAACGTCCCAACACTTTGGAAGTAACAACATTCCAAAGCCCAGCTGCGTACAGTGTGCTGAACATTTGATGGTAAGTGATACATTTGATACCTTTGCAAGTCTGAATGTACAGTATAAAGAAACATTCAAATCATTTTAATGCGCTTGCTTTTTGATAAAGAACGTTATATTCACGCAGCACTAGCTTAATGATTGTATTAATCTCGCGTCGTAGCCATCTCGATTAAATTCAAATCAGGGCAAGTGTTCTTGTATACAGGTTTGAAATATATGATTCACAGTTTAGTAAGACTTCACAAATGTATATAATTATATACATTAGAAGTAATCAAAGATTAGCAAGTGTTTCAATGGTCGGGTTCCTCATCGTTAAAACACTGCAAGATACGAATGTTTTGATAAGAAACCTCAGTCATATTTCAAAATAATATATACAATTCGTACAACTTCTTAATAAGCAGGCGAATACGAAAGCCCAAATGTCCAGTTCCAAACGACAAAATACGGCAAGCACATAAAATTAGGACGTGACGCGAAATTCAGGAGTGGAAGCAAACGCAAAAACACGAAAGCGAGGCAAATGCTAAACAAGTTAGGAAGTGATATAACTATATACATAAAGATTCAACCCTTTCTTATACAGAACGAAGAGGATATATAATGAATGGTTTCGCATGCATATATATTTGATTTCTATATACGAATGATGCCGTTTATTCTTGCCCAGAAAATCCGACTTGATGCAGGTCACGAATTTTTTGGCGCTTTAATTTTTGTGGCCAAAGTCGTGAAATTTTTTTGTAGAGGAAATAACTGATTCATGATCGATCCATAAAATTTGTCATATAAAACCTATGATATTTTTGGGGAGTTAAGTTCGCACAGGGTAAATCCAGAGCAACTGAGGGTAGATGCCTGCATGAGTCCACTGTCTTTGCACATCTAGAATCAAGCTAACTTTGCAAAGCAAATTACGACATCATGAGCTTGGCTAAAATAGCTTTAAATAGAAGATTCTTTTGACTAAACACGATGTCTGTTTTAGTTTTTAGATAAAGAACAAAATGGCCAGCTTATTTTTATTGACATATCTTCTCAAAGTTGTAATTGTACTTTGTCATTCACTCTATGGGCAAAGTTCTGCGGCTGGCGGCAGCTGTGGTGAAACTCTTTCCACACGAATGGACCGGCACGTCTTCCATAAACACAGATTCTCATCACGGGTTTTTGAAAGTCGGGCAATCAGTACCCCGCTCGAATGCTATGCCAACTGTATGAAAAGCTGTCGTTGTCTTTCCTACAACATTTGCAATGGCGGTAAATTGTGCGAATTGAATTTCGAGACGAAAGCCAGCAATGCCTCTCTTTATAAACAGCATGAAGAATGTGATTACTACGAATACGAATTTAGCAAACAGGTGCATCTTCAGGTTTTTCTTCTTAAGGGCTTCTTCAAGTGAAGTGGTAAAATTTAGCCTAGAAGTATAATTCAACCAGAATAATACACCTAAGTTTGATATAACCTTTATTACACCCACTACCACTGCTATGCCTAGGAAACATAAAACCAACCAAATTCTATAACTGTAACAGATTAACCAAAGGCAATGACGAGCGCGATTAGTATGCTCAAAATAGGTCAAATAAAATTAGTGTTACATATATATATATATATATATATATAATATATATATAATATATATATATATATATATATATATTATATATATATTATATATATAATATATATATATATAGGCAAAAATGTTCTCCGTGTTTACCATACTTACCCTTGACGGGCATATTCAAACCTAAGAATGTAAATTTGTCCCTTTCCCTCACCAGCTCACTCATTAGGAGTGCCTAGGCCTTGGGACCCTAGGAGGCGGTTTAAAAGGAGAAAGGAACAAATCGATCTCTCACATTCAGCTGATTAACGCTTTGGACGGACGTATGGCTTGGGTTGTGTGTGTGTTCCTTTCTCCTTTTAAACCGCCTCCTAGGGTCCCAAGGTCCAAATTTACTTTGGAGCAAATCATGTTCAAAATATATATATATATATATATATATATATATATATATATATATATATATATATATATAATATATATATATATATATATATATATAAGTATATATCAAATTTGTATTTAGAATCATATATGAGTAGAGTGCTCGATATACCAAAGTATAGAGCTAGTATAAAGATAAAATAAAATAAACTTGGTTTACTTCATAAGATTTTATTCACTACAAACTTGTTTCGTATGACTTGTTTTGTCATACGAAACAAGTTTGTAGTGAATAAAATCTTATGAAGTAAACCAAGTTTATTTTATTTTATATCTATATATATATATATATATATATATATATTAATATATATATATATATATATATATATATATATATATATATATTACTCAAATGATTACTAGGATGTTTAAGGCATACTTTCATTCTCTCACCCCTCACGCTAATGCATTTTTTCCACTTCTCTTTCTTTTCTTAGTCACCGTCAGGAGAATGTTTTGATCCATGTTGTACAACATCTAGCACTTGTTTAAATGGCGGACGATGCCAAGCCAGTTGTATGAAAAACAATAAAAGATTCAATTGTGATTGCCCCGATGGTTTCGGGGGCGACAATTGTGACATTGTTGCCACAAGCTGCGCCTCATACACCCAGTCCTCAGACAAGACCCCTGGTCTTCGCACCATCTACGGTCCAAACAACCAAAACTTTTCAGTATTTTGTCATTTCACTACCGAATACGCTATGACCTTGGTGATGTCGTACTCCAGAATTAGCAGTTCAATCTATCGAACTAGGGGCTTAGGAAAAGATTATCCAAGAAACGAGGATAGGCAAAATTGGGGAGACTACAGACTGTCTTTACCAAGGATGAAAGGCATTCGAGATGATGGATCTACGCATTGGATATTTACTTGCACCTACCCGGAACGTGGTGTGAGTGATGTCGACTACCTACGCTCGAAATTCTCCGAGACGGATATCATTACCTTTAAAAGTGCTAGTGAAACACCGTGCACACAAAAGTTGGAGTATGTCAACATCAGAGGAAAGTCTTGTGAGGACTGCAGTGTTACACTTCTTCAAAGTGATACAATGATATTCTTTGTGAACGCAGCAAACATCGACTGTGGAGGTCTAACAGGACTGGATGAACCGAGTTGCCCGCCGGTAGCTGCAAAATACTTTGGGTACTATAACTGCCGAACATACACACACAAATGCAGTGAGAAAGATGATTCTACAACACAGTTATGGTTCGCACATTATATTGGCTGAGCCTGCAGTGACTCTGTGCAGCTCCTAAAACACACATTGATTTACCACGTTCTTATAGCTATCAAATTACGTCGACATAATTTGAGCAAAGAGTATAGTTAAAGAAGTTTAAAATTGATCTGGACTCTTCATACGATTTAAGTTAATTAATATTACTATAAAACTGTGTATATATTCTGTTTTCAATTTTCCAGTGAAATGAACAACAACATGCATGTTATACGACGAGCAATTCAGCGTATTAGCAATTTTAGGCGTTTGGCTATAAAAAAAACTTGATCACCTTCGTCTTGGACTATTTTTTACACAAAAGTTTACAAATTGATGCCTATGGGCGACTATTATGACCACACACGGGTCTTTTTATAGCGGAACTCTGTATAGACAAGAAATAAAGACAAGCATGGCCATATTATGTTTTGAGTTTCGGTTTGAGAATTAGCAATCAGAAACTCCATGCTTTGATTTTTAATTTAAAAACACAGATTTAAAAGACGGATAGAAACTTGAAAATTCAGATCAAAAAAATATTTACGCGTAAATATGGGACTTCGTTGCAAATAATTTAGCCAGAGTACATATATCTCATAGTGCCAATGCAAATATCTCTCGGTATCATATGAACAAGCTTGTTTGATTTTAAAAAGTCAATTTTGAGCCATAGTTATGCTCAGTCTTCTTTCCTCAAGTAACGAAACTTTTGTGTTTATTACACTTCATGCACTTTTCTTCTGCAAGACTCTTCACTAATTTAAATATCTTAGAAGTAGAATGCATTGCAAGTTGCAAGAAAAATTGCACCGTGTAACATGGCCTTAAATGAATTAAATTAATAAAATCAAAATATTTTCCACAATCATGAACGTTCATATGAACCTGCTTGCATGTTTTTAATACTTTCACCACTTTATATACAAACATTTAGCCCACAATTGTTAATGTCGCCATGAAAACGTAACAACAGGTGAACAAAGAGTTAAATATAGCATTACAATAAAACCACATCATACATTATCACTCATTTGTGTGTTTGCGTGTTATTCAAAGAACACAAAAAACATTTGTACCACCGGAAAATTAACACCCGAGATTTAGTAATATAAAAAGACCTCTGGCAGCACTGGAGTCGGCAACCCTGAGTCCATAAATGCTGTGAACGCCGGCGGGGAAAAGCAATGTCTGTGAATAAAAAAGTGTTCTATGTCTATGATGATTTATAAAACCACAAACATAAACAGGCGGTAAACCACAACAAAGTATATATACGCTCGCAATGTACAAAGTTCGTTACCAGGTCACCAGGAAGCGTCATGTATGGCATAGGTCCCAACCAGTGAACTCATTCCAAAGCCCAGCTGCGTACAGTGTACTGAACGTTTTATGGTAAGTGCTACATTTGATACCTTTGCAAGTCTGAATGTACAGTATAAAGAAACAATCAAAACGTTTTAAGGCGCTTGCTTTTTGATAAAGAACACTGTTCACACTGCACTAGCTTAATGTATTAATCTCGCGTCATAGCTATCTCGATTAAATTCAAATCAGGGCAAGTATTCTTGTATACGGGTTTGAAATATATGATGCACAGTTTAGTCAGACTTCACATATGTACGTTTATACTAGAAGTAATCAAAGATTAGCAAGTGTTTCGGTTTCATACTATTTGATAAGAAACCTCAGTCATATTTCAAATACTTCAAGATCAATATAATATATTACAATTCCTACAACTTCTTAAGAGACAAGCGAATACGAAGCCCAAATGCCCGGTCCTAAACCACAAAATACGGAAAGCACATAAAATTAGGACCTGACGCGAAATTCAGGAGTGGATGCAAACGCAAAAACACGAAAGCGAGGCAAATGCTGAACAAATTAGGTATAAGTGTATATAAAGATGAAACCATTTCTTATACAGAGATGAAGGGGATACACAGGGTATCCCAAAGTCCGTTTTATTGAAATGAAGCTTTTGTTGGAATTTCAATGCATGATCAACGCAGTATATGTGTAAATAGCATAGTTATTAGGTTGAGGCATTAAAATAGAGCTTCTTGCTTTCAATTGGGTTTATCATAACATCAAGGCAATCAGATTCTAACGAAGGCTTGATTTCAATGGAGGGGACTTTTTGGGGACACCCTGTATAATGAATGCTTTCTTTATGAATGATACCGCTTATTCTTGCCTAGAAAATTTGACTTGATGTAAGACACGAATTTTGTGGCGCTTCCATTTTTGTGACGAAAGTCGTGAATTTTTTTTTAGGGGAATTAATTGATTTATGATCCAAATTTGTCATATAAAACGATATTTTGGGGGAGTTGAGTTTGCACATGCAGGGTAAATCCAGAGCAACTGAGGGTAGATGACTGAGTCAACTTTCTTTGCACTTCCTGCATTAAGCTCAATTTTCAAAGAAAATGACGACATTAGCGTTGACAAAATACGCTTTAGGTGGAAGATTCTTTTGACTAAACACGATATCTGTTTTAGTTTTTAGATAAAGAACAAAATGGCCAGCTTATTCTCATTGACATATCCTCTCAAGATTTTAATTGTACTTTGTCATTCACTCTATGGGCAAAGTTCTGCGGCTGGCGGCAGCTGTGGTGAAACTCTTTCCACACGAATGGACCGGCACATCTTCCATAAACACAGATTCACATCACGGGTTTTTGAAAGTCGGGCAATCAATACCCCACTCGAATGCTATGTCAACTGTATGAAAAGCTGTCGTTGTCTTTCCTACAACATTTGCAATGGCGGTAAATTGTGCGAATTGAATTTCGAAACGAAAGCCAGCAATGCCTCTCTTTATAAACAGCATGAAGAATGTGATTACTACGAATACGAATTGAGCAAACAGGTGCATCTGCAGGTTTTTCTTCTTAAGGGCTTCTTCAAGTGAAGTGGTAAAATTTAGCCTAGAAGTATAAATCAACCAGAATAATACACCTAAATTTAAAATAACCTTTATTACACCATGCACTACCACTGCTATGCCTAGGAAACATAAAACCAATCAAATTCTATAATGTAACAGATTAACCAAAGGCAATGACGAGCGCGATTAGTACACTCAAAATAGTTCAAACAAAATTAGTGTTACATATATTGGAAGTCAAACTTGAACGCTAAAAAGCCATACTTGAGAGTCCGGTGTTTCGGAACATAGCTACTTGGTAGTAGGATGTGAAGGGACATCAAGTAATATTTTCGATATTTTTATAATCGAGTCATCAATATATTTTACGACAAAGATACGAACCCTTATTTGAACATCAGTAAAATATTCACTCGTTCACATCCATCAAAAGAAGAATCTTGCACATAAAATCGCAGTAAAAATTGTATACAGGGCTAAGGATTATACTCAAATGATTACTAGGATGTTTAAGGCATATTTTCATTCTCTCACCCCTTTCTAATGCATTTTTTCCACTTCTTTTTCTTTTTTTAGTCACTGTCAGGAGAATGTTTTGATCCATGTTGTACAACATCTAGCACTTGTTTAAATGGCGGACGATGCCAAGCCAGTTGTATGAAAAACAATAAAAGATTCAATTGTGATTGCCCCGATGGTTACGGGGGCGACAATTGTGACATTGTTCCCACAAGCTGCGCCTCATACACCCAGTCCTCAGACAAGACTCCGGGTCCTCGCACCATCCACGGTCCAAACAACCAAAACTTTTCAGTATTTTGTCATTTCACTACCGAATACGCTATGACCTTGGTGATGTCGTACTCCAGAATTAGCAGTTCAATCTATCGAACTAGGGACTTAGGAAAAGATTATCCAAGAAACGAGGATAGGCAAAATTGGGGAGACTACAGACTGTCTTTACCAAGGATGAAAGGCATACGAGATGATGGATCTACGCATTGGATATTTACTTGCACCTACCCGGAACGTGGTGTGAGTGATGTCGACTACCTACGCTCGAAGTTCTCCGAGACGGATATCATTACCTTTAAAAGTGGTACTGAAACACCGTGCACACAAAAGTTGGAGTATGTCAACATCAGAGGAAAGTCTTGTGAGGACTGCAGTGTTCCATTTCGTCAAAGTGATAAAATAATATTTTTTGTGAACGCAGCAAACATCGACTGTGGAGGTCTAACAGGACTGGATGAACCGAGTTGCCCGCCGGTAGCTGCAAAATACTTTGGATACTATAACTGCCGAACATACACACACAAATGCAGCGAGAAAGATGATTCTACAACACAGTTATGGTTCGCACATTATATTGGCTGAGCCTGAAGCGACTCTGTGCAGCCCCTAAAACACACATTGATTTACCACGTTCTTATAGCTATCAAATTACGTCGACATAATTTGAGCAAAGAGTATAGTTAAAGAAGTTTAAAATTGATCTGGACTCTTAATTCATACGATTTAAGTTAATTAATATTACTATAAAACTGTGTATATATTCTGTTTTCAATTTTCCAGTGAAATGAACAACAACAGCATGCATGTTAATACGACGAGCAATTCAGCGTATTTAGCGATTTTAGGCGTTTGTCTATAAAAAAAAAACGTGATCATTTTTTACACAAAGTTTACAAATTGATGCCTATGGGCGACTATTATGACCACACACGGGTCTTTTTAGCGGAACTCTGTATAGACAAAAAATAAAGACATGCATGGCCATATCATGTTTTGAGTTTCGGGTTTAAAATTAGCAATCAGAAACTCTATGCTTTGATATTATTTAAAAACACTGATTTAAAAGACGGATAGAAACTTGAAAAATTCAGATAAAAAAATATTTACGTGTAAATATGGGACTTCGTTGCAAATAATTTAGCTAGAGTACATATATCTCATAGTGCCAATGCAAATATCTCTCGGTATCAATTGGACCAGCTTGTTTGATTTTAAAAAGTCAAATTTTAGCCATAGTTATGCTCAGTTGTCTTCCCTCAAGTAACGAAACTTTTGTGTTTCTTACACTTCATGCACTTTTCTTCTGCAAGACTTTTCACTAATTTAAATATTTTAGATGTAGAATGCATTGCAAGTTGCAAGAAAAATTGCACCGTGTAACATGGCCTTAAATGAATTAAATTAATAAAATCAAAATATTTTCCACAATCATGAACGTTCATATGAACCTGCTTGCATGTTTTTAATACTTTCACCACTTTATATACAAACATTTAGCCCACAATTGTCAATGTCGCCATGAAAACGTAACAACAGGTGAACAAAGAGTTAAATATGGCATTACAATAAAACCACATCATACATTATCACCCATTTGTGTGTTTGCGTGTTATTCAAGAACACAAAAAACATTTGTACCACCGGAAAATTAACACCCGAGATTTACTAATATAAAAAGACCTCTGGCAGCACTGGAGTCGGCAACCCTGAGTCCATAAATGCTGTCAACACCGGCCAGGAGAAGCAATGTCTATGAATAACAAAGTGTGCTATGTCTATGATGATTTATAAAACCACAACTATAAACAGGTGGTAAACCACAACAAAGTATATATACGCTCGCAATATACAAAGTTCGTTACCAGGTCACCAGGAAGCGTCATGTATGGCATACGTCCCAACCAGTGAACTCATTTCAAAGCCCAGCTGCGTACAGTGTACTGAACGTTTTATGGTAAGTGCTACATTTGATACCTTTGCAAGTCTGAATGTACAGTATAAAGAAACAATCAAAACGTTTTAAGGCGCTTGCTTTTTGATAAAGAACATTGTTCACACTGCACTAGCTTCATGTATTAATCTCGCCTCATAGCCATCTCGATTAAATTCAAATCAGGGCAAGTATTCTTGTATACAGGTTTGAAATATATGATGCACAGTTTAGTAAGACTTCACATATGTACGTATATACTAGAAGTAATCAAAGATTAGCAAGTGTTTAGGTTTCATACTATTTGATAAGAAACCTCAGTCATATTTCAAACACTTCAAGATCAATATAATATATTACAATTCCTACAAATTCTTAATAGACAGGTGAATACGAAGCCCAAATGCCCGGTCCTAAACGAAAAAATACGGAAAGCACATAAAATTAGGACCTGACGCGAAATTCAGGAGTGGAAGCAAACGCAAAAACACGAAAGCGAGGCAAATGCTGAACATATTAGGAAGTAATATAACTATTTATAAAGATTAAACCCTTTCTTATACAGAGATGAAGCGGATAGACAGGGTATCTCAAAGTCCCCCTTATTGAAATGAAGCTCACTTTGCAAAGAAAATGACGACATTAGCGTTGACAAATAACGCTTTAGGTGGAAGATTCTTTTGACTAAACACGATGTCTGTTTTAGTTTTTAGATAAAGAACAAAATGGCCAGTTTATACTCATTGACATATCCTCTCACGGTTTTAATTGTACTTTATGATTCACTCTATGGGCAAAGTTCTGCGCCTGGCGGCAGCTGTGGTGAAACTCTTTCCACACGAATGGACCGGCACGTCTTCCATAAACACAGATTCTCATCACGGGTTTTTGAAAGTCGGGCAATCAATACCCCACTCGAATGCTATGTCAACTGTATGAAAAGCTGTCGTTGTCTTTCCTACAACATTTGCAATGGCGGTAAATTGTGCGAATTGAATTTCGAAACGAAAGCCAGCAATGCCTCTCTTTATAAACAGCATGAAGAATGTGATTACTACGAATACGAATTTAGCAAACAGGTGCATCTTCAGGTTTTTCTTCTTAAGGGCTTCTTCAAGTGAAGTGGTAAAATTTAGTCTAGAAGTATATAATTCAACCAGAATACACCTAAATTCAATATTCAATTCAACCTTTATTACACCCACTACCACTGTATCAGATAAACCAATGACTAGCGCGATTAGTAGACTGCAAATAGTTACTATTGTCTATTACAAATCCTACATTCTGCTACTCAACCATTGTCTATTCGTGATGGTGAACGTTTGGGAAACATTCGCTCACACCTTCAAGCTAATGCATTTTTTCCACTTCTTTTTCTTTTTTTAGTCACCGTCAGGAGAATGTTTTGATCCATGTTGTACAACATCTAGCACTTGTTTAAATGGCGGACGATGCCAAGCCAGCTGTATGAAAAACAATAAAAGATTCAATTGTGATTGCCCCGATGGTTACGGGGGCGACAATTGTGACATTGTTCACACAAGCTGCGCCTCATACATCCAGTCCTCAGACAAGACTCCGGGTCCTCGCACCATCCACGGTCCAAACAACCAAATCTTTTCAGTATTTTGTCATTTCGCTACCGAATACGCTATGACTTTGGTGATGTCTTACTCCAGAATTAATTATTCAATCTATAAAACTCAGGGCTTAGGAAACGATTTTCCAAGAAACGAGGATGCGCTAAATTGGGGAGACTACAGACTGTCTTTACCAAGGATGAAAGGCATTCGAGATGATGGATCTACGCATTGGATATTTACTTGCACCTACCCGGAACGTGGTGTGAGTGATGTTGACTACCTACGCTCGAAATTCTCCGAGACGGATATCATTACCTTTAAACCGAGTGGAAAAACGTGCAAAAAAAAGGTGGAGTATGTTAACATCAGAGGAAAGTCTTGTGAGGACTGCAGTGTTCCATTTGCTCAAACAGATACAAAAACATTTTCTGTGAGCGGATCTGACATCGACTGTGGAGGTCTAACAGGACTGAATCAACCGAGGTGCTCACCGTCGTTATATGTAAAATACTTCGGGTTCTATAACTGCCGAACAGACACACACAAGTGCAGCGAGAAAGATGATTCTACAACACAGTTATGGTTCGCACATTATATTGGCTGAGCCTGCAGTGACTCTTTACAACCCCCCCCCCCAAACACACATTAGTGAGCTTAAGCAAGTGACGTTTTTGACAACACGTACGTTCACCGGAAGTAAAGTTTTTATTTCTCACCAATCACAATCCTTGACCCAGTCTTTTTATGTTACTCATGCCGTTTGTGTAGTCAAAAACGTCACTTGCTTAAGCTCACTATTGATTTACCACGTTCTTATATAGCCATCGAATTTAGGTCAACATAACTTGAGCAAGGTGTATATATATAGTTAAACAAGTTTAAAATTAATCTGGATGCTTCATATTCAAAGATGTCAAGCCGATTTCAGTTAATTAATGTAACTAAAACTGTGTAATATATTCAATTTTCGGTCCTTTTTACAAACAAAATTTCGACTTTAAATTTTAAAAATTAAATTATGAGATATCCTGTGGAACTACACCACAAGATTTAAAAAGTCTTTCTATTTATAAGTCTTTATTAATTTCGATAAAGCATGCAAAATAGGTAATATAGGCACTATATATATACTATATTAAAAATAATAATACTCCCACGTAACTTTTAAAAAAATATACGTTAGTTAGGCTCACTTTTTGTGTGTGAATTTAAATAATTCATTGAGTGTTCGAAGATGAAAGGGCTCGAAAGATATCCAGCATTTAAACAATAAAAGTTGTCGTTTAAGCTACACGCTTGTAGAACTATCTACAAGCAATTTAGCTAAAATACCCACATCAATTCTAACAACAATAATATAAGCCCGATGCTAGCGATATTTGACTGAATAAACAGCGTGCAATGTGAGGCAAAAATACGCGATTCGAGCTTCTGAATCAGCCCTCCCCGCTACCCCACTTCCTGAACAGCGCAAATAAACATTTGCAAGTTCCTGCATGCTCTATAGTTTTGGAAGCTTTATAAAAAAATTGAACTATTCCGTCTTAACCAACCCTCCAATTATTCGACTTTTTAATTATTAAGCTAAGGTTAATTCCACGGGATAAAATGTTTAAGCGAAACACGAAATATTTCACCAGGTTCTTTTCAATGAAGCAGACTGATGAATTTATTCAAGTAGTCGAAATTCAAAAGAAACAGGCGAAATATTTCGCATTTCGCCGAGAAAAAGGGTCCGTGGAATTAGGCCTTTAAGGTTTTTATATCATGGTCGGGAATTTTGATGTAAACCGACAATAAACTCACAACAAATAAAAATAAAGTATAATTTTTTTCTCTAAAAATATCACGTGAATATATGAAGATTGCCAAATTAACCATCTTCCGCGGCCCTGCATGCTTGCCTGGATTGTGGGAAAAAAAAGTTTCATGTTATCTATAGGCCGAGTAAAAGAAATTATTTTTATAGTGCATGGACTCCCTAGGGGTTGTCAATTACTATAGAACTCGTTCGAAATATTAGGTATCCAATAGAAATGGTGGGATTTTCTATGACGACTTCCGCGTATGGCGTCACTTGCAAGTGACAAACCGGCCGTAAATTATAATCTATACACAAATATCTGCATCGCCAGTTTAACAATGGCTGTCTTAGTAAGCATATGTGCGTTAATTTTTATCTCAAGAATACTGCAGCAAGGCGATTGTTCAACCGTCCAAGTCTTCTTTCAGAAAAAACCTGGAGAATATTTAGCAAATCATGTCATCGAAACAAAGCAAGCTGAAACCGAGCTAGAATGCAGTAGTCATTGCGTTGACCATGGATTATGTGTGTCGGTTAACTACAAAACCTCTGGAATCGGCAAAGGTCGATGTGAGCTCAACAGCAAGACCCTTCAAGACGATGATGGAAATATCCGAAACACCGACTTCGACTTCCTTTATATAATCGAAAAGGTCAGAAAATATACAAGCAATTATTTTTGCGAATTTCGCGCAGGCTATTGGCAATTGTGATCGTTTTAACTGCATATGGTAAATATAAAAATGAAAATGGCGCATATAGGAGTATATATAGGAACATTAATAATTTTTTATTAACCAAGCGCGAGGTCTTTACCGAGAAATATCGGACCGAGGTCTTTTTGAACAGACCGAGCTCGAAGAGCGAGGTAATTTGTACAAAAAGATCGAGGTCCGATATTTCTCGTTAAAGACAGAGCAAGCGAGCAGGGCCGTAACTAGAACGATAATTGGGGGGGTGTTAATTCATATATTCAGTTCTGCCCGACGGATTTCTTTTGTAAGTGCAATAGCTCACAATGGAAATCCGTCGCGCAGAACTAAATATATGAATACACACCCCGCCTCCCCAATTATCGTTCTAGTTACGGCCCTGCAAGCGAGGTTAATAAAAAGTTTATTATATAGTATAAGTCATGTATTTGCACTTGAAACAAACAAGAAATGCATGAATTCGTAATAGTAGCCGGGTACGCATTTGATAAAAACAAAATATTGAATTATTTAGTTTACCTAAACTGTCTGGAGACGTCTTATTAATTTCAATAGCAATTAAATTGTTTCCTGACATTTATATGTGCCTTATTCATACAGAATTTCTTTGTTTTTCACTCATAATGGATCGCCGGTAACGCGGGTCCATTATGGGAAAGTGCCGGTCTATTACGGGAAAGTAATGACCGCTGAAAATTCTTCTCAGCCAATCACTGAGCTCCATTTCACCGGAGGTGACGCTTCCCATATGATAAATTGTAGTTAATAGGGAGTTTACGATCTAAGACGCGGTTAGCTCGACGTCGCTAGTCAATCATTTTGCTTGAAATGAGCTACAGGAAATTGATTATGCTGCTAGGACTCTGAAATAAATCATACAAACGTTTTAATTGTGCAAAGAACCTCCTTTATCTGCTGATATTGCAGTTTCATTTAAGCTATCACGTTGCCGCTGCTTTCATGTCATTAAGAGGCCGTGAAAATGCTTCATTTGAAGGCGTCGTACGAATGACAATGCTGTTATGGGACCACAAATTATGCATAGCTATTGTCTCGCGTGTGGAGTTTCTTTGTTTTGCAAGCGCGTCGCCGGATCGAGCTGGCCGCGTCGTGAATCGTAAACTCCCTAATATATCTCTGCCAACGATCTCGCGGAAAAATGAACAATTTTAGTATAATTTTAGTTTTACAATATGCAGATCTGAATTTCGGGAACAATAAGTAAATTATATTAATATCGGAAATATCATTTTATAGTGCTGCATGTTATTTTGAGTAATTTCAAAATAAATATTTCAAAATAAGAGTAAAGCAACATTCGCATCAGCCTCCCGGTGGCTTTTGAATATAGGCTTTCAAGAGGTATATGTATAATTACTTGCAGTCACGTTATAGTTCCACGCACAGCTTCACGCCCACTTTGATAAATTATCTATATATACCATATTTATGGAATGTTAAACCATTGCTAGAATTCTCATATGTTTGTCGTTATCCATGCACTTTACATGCACAATTTGATTCAGTGTATGGTTTTTCAACACTGATATCATAAATAATAATTTAACGAGAAAGTGTTCACTGTCACGTTACAGGTGCACGCACAGCTGTCTACTTTGATGAATATTACATAGGGTATGGATTATAAGAGATGCGAGAATTTAACAAAGTTCTATATATCGTATTACCGATATGCATGTCAATACCGAACAGATGAATAAGGAATTGAGGAGAATTAAGGCACGTTCAAAAGGTACACTGACACTGCACACTGCATGATCTGCATGTCTGAACGATTGTGAAAATGTAATTCTAATAAAAATATACTTAGAATTCGCAAAAAGGTATTTTTTCCCTATATATATACTTTATACAATTTGATTCACTGTATGGTCTCTAAAAGCTGTTTTCAATAGAAAATTCTAACGTACTTAAACATCACGCATTTAGGGGGCTGATTACATGGAGTCTTTCAGCCCGGGCTGCGTGAGTCTCAGCTGAAACTTAGAGTTGTTGTCATGTAATCGTCAACAAACTTAAACGCAGACAAAAAATTCGCCTTGACAATTCTTTTTGGTTTGATAATAATAATAATTATAATAATTTTAATAATTTGTAAAGCGCTTTTTACATTAAATGATCAAGAGCGCTGTTATATTACAATATAAATATAAGTATATGACTAAAAATATATTAAAATTATATTAAAACTAATTTATGTAGGCTAATTTAAAAAGATGGGTTTTTTGACTAGTTTTAAAAGTACTAATAGATGTAATGTCACGAATATCTTTCGGTAACTCATTCCAAAGTCTAGAGGTGTCCATCAATCGGATGCAAATGAAAATATATACTATGTCCACGAAATTGTTTGACTCCCTATAGGCCCAATAGTCGCATCGGGTGGAAATTCCCTAGACTGCATGTCCCAGGAGTCATATTCCCCTAGGACTTCAGAATGATCGTCTCCGGGGAGGTAAAATGGAGTGATAATCCACAATGTACGGCACTGTAAATAAAATGCGGTATATACATGCATAATATGAGCCATAACTAAATTGCGTACTTGAGTCGGTAGATTGATGAGGCGTCTTCGTCTGAAGCATGCATGCATACTCCTCGGCCCCTTATAACTCTATGGAAATCTTTGCAAGCAAAAACATGATGCATGCATATGACCACAATACATAAAAAGGAGAAAATTGAGCTTCGGACTAGACAGCTCTAAGGTTAAGTTGAGTTTGGTGAATTTATGTTCGTATTTTTTATATAGATATTTGAAGAAAGAGTTCCTGATTCATGCACAAGTTTACGAACCGAAAATCGTTCAGCTGAAAGTGGAATGTGTTCTATAAAACCACAAGGATTTAACTTCACGGTTCGAGTGTTTTGTGACATGACTTCGAAGGGTGGTGTTGGTGTGACAGAGATTGGACATGACAGTGAATCGAAAACGCTTGTTAAGGGATATGAAGCTCCGGGTTCTTACAAGAAACCCATTAAATATAACATTTCCATGGAGCAGATCGTTGCCATCATAAATCAATCAAAAGGTTGCGAGCAGTTTATTAAATTTGACTGCTTTGCTGTCAGACTTTTTGAAGAACCGTCAGCATGGTGGGTATCACGTCAAGGTTCAAAGATGAATTACTGGGGTGGAGCTGCAGTCGACAGTGGGAAATGTGCCTGTGGAATGACCGACAGCTGTGCAGGTGGAAAGAAATGTAATTGTGACAAGAATGACGAAACATGGCGTGAAGACAGTGGATACCTGACAGACAAGAACACGCTGCCTGTTACTGAATTGCGTTTTGGAGATACAGAAAGCCATGCATTTGAAGAAGGGTATCATACACTTGGAAAGTTGCGATGTTGGGGTTAAGATCGGCAAAGATATTTCGCAGTTTTTAATAGGACTGGCTTTGCAGAAATAGACTTGACATCTAGACATCAATTGGGCGAAAGACTTGTAAAGCATTTAGCATTAATAGTAGTCAAGCAGTGTATAGATGTATGACATTCATCAAGTAATGAATGCACATTTTGTAGAACTTAAAACATTAAGCAAACAATCAGGTATATACCTGTAGGACTTTCGGCAATGCATTGTAGGATAATTCCTGATCAAGGTAAACACGAGGAACATTAGTGAGCTTAAGCAAGTGACGTTTTTGACATCACAAACGGCATGAGTAACGCCAAAAGACTGGGTCAAGAATTGTGATTGGTGAAAAATAAAAACTTTACTTCCGGTCAACGTACGTGTTGTCAAAAACGTCACTTGCTTAAGCTCACTATTGATTGTATATAATGCATACTGCATTGTAGGATATTAATTGATCAAGGTATACACGAGAAACATTGATTGTATATAATGCATACTGCATTGTAGGATATTAATTGATCAAGGTATACACGAGGAACATTGATTGTATATAATGTATACTGCAGTGTAGGATATTAATTGATCAAGGTATACACGAGGAACATTGATTGTATATAATGCATACTGCATTCTAGGATATTAATTACTCCGCCTGCGTATGCGCAGCGGAGTCTTAAAATGCCATGGTCTTTTTTCCTTTTCGTAGTCGTAGTTTTGGGCGACAGAAGTTGGCATTTCCACAGGTAACCCAAAACAACTTCATTTTTGACCGAGAAGCCCTAGGTTACACGGTCCACGGATGAATTATGTACATCAGTTGGCATGCAGGCGAAGTGAACGCCTTGAGCAGGCGTTTTGTTGATCAAGGTTTACACAGTACACCAGTAATCATTGTATATACATTATATAATACACTATGCATGCTACATTTATCATTGAGCAATCAATGCTTACTTGCAGGACTTTGGACAATCAATTCTGCATGTATATACTTGAAGAAATGCATACTACCACATTAAATAATAGTATATTTAGTAATATTTGGTATAGTAGAGCTATCATTGTATATTTCTAGGACATTATAATTAATACTTAGCAAATAAAGTTGTCTGTTCTCTTATAGATATTCAATAAGTTGACTACTGAAGATTTTTATTTGTCAGTATATTCGTCAGTAATGTACCTGCAAGTCAGCAAGCAGTCAGCAGTGTTATTTTGTTTGAATATAGCAGCAGTTGCGGCTGTTAATTATTTTATATATCCGCACAAAGGCTGGGTTCAAATTTCAATACCCGCACAATGGCTAGGTTCAATTTCAACACCCGCACAATGGCTAGCTTCACTTTTGGTACGTGGCCTTTCATGTAAATAGTACCCTGGTCTATGATGACGACCAGTGCGAGCAACAATGGCTCCGGGTTTTTTGAGTTTTTCGATACGTGCACTCTGACACGTGGAGCGCCAGACTAGATGATGCAGTGCAGGCAAGATTGCCCCGTATACAATGAAATGTACGCTTGTAAAATCTGATTGTAGTCGAAATTGCTCGACCACAGTAGATAAATAAGCGATTAAAATAACAAAAACCAACAAAAAGCAATATAGCTCACATAGTGGTTACCCGCGCATGCGCAGCGGCTACCCACAAAAACTGGCCACAGGCGCCAGAAAGAGTCAAAATTTTGCAAATATCACGCGTGCATGATCTTTAGGGTTGAAGATATGCTATTAGTTAGCTAAAACGTGATGTGCTAAAATGTGATTGGCTATAGTTGAAATAGTTCATTATAATTTATAAAACAGGGCAACTTATTACTACCATTTGCCGAATTATAATTTATAAAACAGGGCAACTTGTTACTACCATTTGCAATAAGGCAATTAATGTATTTAGTTTAATACCTGCTTGTTAGTTTAATACCTGCTTGTTCACAAGCAAGAAATTGACTGGTGAAACATTGCATTAAAATTTATAAAACGGGGCAACTTGTTACTACCACTTGCCGAATTATAATTTATAAAACAGGGCAACTTGTTACTACCATTTGCAATAAGGTCATGTATTTGGTTTAATTAATAGCTGCATGTCCACAAGCAAGAAATTGACAGGTGAAATATTGCATTATGATTTATAAAACAGGGCAACTTGTGACTACCATTTGCCAAATTATAATTATAAAACAGAGCAACGTATTATTACCATTTGCAATAAGGTCATGTATTTGGTTTAATAGCTGCATGTCCACAAGCAAGAAACTGACACGTGAATATTGCATTATAATTTATAAAACAGGGCAACTTGTTACTGCCATTTGCCGAATAAGGTAATGTTTTATTTATTTTCTATTAGTGTAACTTTGTAGTTGTAGATTCAACGCTCACCGATCACCGCTTTTTCGTCTTTAAAGTACTCACCTTCGCTTTAAAATTTTGCAAACGTATTAACGTGACTTCGGTTGCTTCCGTTCTGCGAAAACAACGACATTTTCCGGAAGTAGAAGAACCATATGCAATCGTAAAACGAACGTACCGTTCGTCATCTTTCGTATATCCGACGATTGCCGAAGATGTGGCACCCACAAACATACATCCGGACACTTTTTCGACTACATAGTGGTTAGCCGCGCATGCGCAGGCTACCCACAAAAATTGAACTATTCCGCACGACTTTTTAAACTTATTATTAAGCTAGGGCTAATTCCACGGGCTAAGTAAAAGTAAAATAATTATTTTAATAGTGCATGGACTCCCTCAGGGTTGTTTATTACTAGAACTCGTTTGAAATATTAGGTATCCAATAGAAATGGTGGGATTTTCTATGACGACTTCCGTGTATGGCGTCACTTGCAAGTGACAAACCGGCCGTAAATTATAATCTATACACAAATATCTGCATCGCCAGTTTAACAATGGCTGTCTTAGTAAGCATATGTGCGTTAATTTTCACCTCACAAATACTGCAGCAAGGTGATTGTTCAACCGTTCAAGTCTTCTTTCAGAAAAAACCTGGAGAATATTTAGCAAATCATGTCATCGAAACAAAACAAGCTGAAACCGAGCTAGAATGCAGTAGTCATTGCGTTGACCATGGATCATGTGTGTCGGTTAACTACAAAACATCTGGAATCGGCAAAGGTCGATGTGAGCTCAACAGCAAGACCCTTCAAGACGATGATGGAAATATCCTAAACACCGACGTCGACTTCCTTTATATAATCGAAAAGGTCAGAGAATATACAAGCAATTATATTTTTGCGAATTTTGCGCATGATATTGGCAATTATAATCGTTTTAACTGCATATGGTATATATAAAAATACAAAAAAATGTGCAATTCAGAATTTCGGGAACAATAAGTAAATTATATTAATATCATTTTATGCATGTTATTTTGACTAAATTCAAAATACATATTTCGAAATAAGAGTAAAGCAACATTCGCATGCATCAGCCTCGCGCAGTGGCTTCTGAATATAGGCTTTCAAGAGGTATAAGTATAATTACTTGCAGTCACGTTATATAGTTCCACGCACAGCTGCATGCCCACTTTGATAAACCGTAATGTGCATGTGCAATGCCTAGTTTGATTAATTCTAATACAGAGTATTATAATGTACCCAACAGATGAAAAGTAAAAATCGTTGAATTATACTTTCGTTGCTTTTACCAACGCATTTATGTATTTACGTAATTATACACTGGAAATATTTTTCAAAATCCATATTATGGAAATATATGGATGCAGATGGAAATAGGATGAAAGTGTATAACATCTATATTAATTATCTATACATTTACCATATTTATGGAATGTTAAAACAAAAGAATTCTCACACTTATGTTTGTCACTATCCATGTACTTTACATGCACAATTTGATTCACTTATGGTTTTTTAACACTGATATCGAAAACAATAATTTTACGAGAAAGTGTTCACTGTCACGTTACAGGTGCAAGCATGCACAGCTGCATGTCCACTTTGATGAATAATATACATATAGGGCGTGAATTGACGAGATGCGAGAATTTAACAAAGTTCTATATATCGTATTACCGATATGCATTGAATACTGAACAGATGAATAAGGACATTTTAGGAGAATTAAGGCACGTTCAAAAGGTACACTGTACACTGCATGATCTGCATGTCTGAACGATTGTGAAAATGTAATTCTAATAAAAACATACTTAGAATTCTCATAAAGGTATTTTTTTCCGATATATACTTTACACAATTTGAATCACTTTATGGTTTCTAAAGGCTGTTTTCAATAGAAAATTCAAACGTAGTTAGACATCACGCATTTACGGGGCTGATTACATGGAGTCTTTCAGCCCGGGCTGCGTGAGTCTCAGTTGAAACTTAGTGTTGTTGTCATGTACAATGGTAAACAAACTTAAACCCAGACAGAAAACTTCGCCTTTACAATGCTTTTTCGTTTGTTTATTTCATTTTTATGTGCAATCATAGTCCCTTAAAGGTCAAGTTATTGTCATTCGGGATTTTAAAGCGCTCGATGAATTGAAATAGGTCTACTATACCAGCCTTTACAAACTCATGCAGCCCGGGCCGAAATTTCAGCCTGGGTCTTAAAATATTTCTGACTTGTCATAAACACAACACGGGCTGGAACCTGCCATGTAATTGAAAAATACTTTAGGCCTGCTTTGCCTTCCGGGCTGAAAGTACACCATGTAAGGAAATACTTTTCTGCTAGAGATATGTCTACGATGTTAAGCCTCCTCAAGTCTTCCTCAAGTTTCTCTAACAGCCTCTTAGCGTTGCTATATACACGCTTGTGTATTGCTGATTAGAATTCGCATTTTATAATATTTGTCTGTTCACACAACAGCAATATATGTGCAGTATGTTTTATCCCTGGATGTGTTCTCTTGCAAGTAGGTCTGCATGCATAAGTCTGCCCCATGCTGTACATTTCGCAATGGTTAGGCAGTGTATATTTCGTTCAGCTGCTGCATGCTATCAAAATTTGTTGTCAGTGGAATTCAACGTTTCGAAGTGAACAACGTCTTCTCATCTGTACTTTTATATCTGTTGTTTGTAAATTATGTATACATATTAGAACGAAGATGATAAAACTTTGTGTTAATGAATATTTCTTTACGCTAAATGTCGTTTGATTTATTGCTATTGTTGTCCGAAAATTTAATGATCAATCAGCGTTATTGTAGTTCTTTCAGCGGTATTGAAATACCAATAATTTTAATGTTCTTCTCATTTCTTTAAATGTCATTGCTGTCATATTCAAATGGCAAATGCTGTAATGCACTTATAATCATTTATGTCTGTTGGGCTGCTTGGAAAAAGCATGTTATACATATGCTTACAATTTAGGCCATAATGTCATGCAAAGAGATTCCTAATCCCCACATGACTAAATTTCATTATTTATGGCCCGTTTCAGTCTTTCAGACGTCGAGAATTTTTCACGTGTCCATTAATCGGATGCAAATGAAAATATTGCTACTAAGTCCACAAAATTGTTCGACTTATAACAGGCCCAATAGCAGGATCGGGTGAAAATCCCCTAGACTGCATGTCCCAGGAGTCATAATCCCCTAGGACTTCAGAATGAACGATGATAATCCTGTTTTAGTAAAGGGGTAATCGTCCCCGGGGAGGTAAAATGGAGTGAAAATCCACAGTATATGTCAGTGTACGTCGGTCTATAAATAAAATGCGGTGTAAATGCATAATATGAACCATAACTAAATTGCGTACTTGAGTCGGCACTTGAGTCGGTAGATTGATGAGGCGTCTTCGTCTGAAGCATGCATATTAATCCACAGTGTATTGTACGTCGGTACTGTAAATAAAATGCGGTATATACATGCATAATATGAACAATAACTAAATTGCGTACTTGAGTCGGAACTTGATGAGGCGTCTTCGTCTGAAGCATGCATGCATACTCCTCAGCCCTTTATGACTCTATGGAAATTTTTGCAAGAAAAAACGTGATGCATGCATATGACCACAATACATTATGCATGCTCGTATTTTTTATATAGATATTTGAAGAAAGAGTTCCTGATTCATGCACAAGTTTAAGAACCGAAAATCGTTCAGCTGAAAGTGGAATGTATTCTATAAAACCACAAGGATTTAACTTCACGGTTCGAGTGTTTTGTAACATGACTTCAAAGAATGGTGTTGGTGTGACAGAGATTGGACATGACAGTGAATCGAAAACGCTTGTTAAGGGATTTGAAGCTCCGGGTTCTTACAAGAAAACCATTAAATATAACATTTCCATGGAGCAGATCGTTGCCATCATAAATCAATCAAAACGTTGCGAGCAGTTTATTAAATTTGACTGCTATGCTGTCAGATTTTTTGATGAACCGTCAGCATGGTGGGTATCACGTCAAGGTTCAAACATGACTTACTGGGGTGGAGCGGCAGTCGACAGTGGAAAGTGTGCCTGTGGAATGACCGACAGCTGTGCAGGTGGAAAGAAATGTAATTGTGACATGAATGACAAAAAATGGCGTGAAGACAGTGGATACCTGACAGACAAGAACACGCTGCCTGTTACTGAATTGCGTTTTGGAGATACAAAAACCCCTGATTATGAAAAAGGGTATCATACACTTGGAAAGTTGCGATGTTGGGGTTAAGATCGGCAAAGATATTTCGCAGTTTTAAATAGGACTGGCTTTGCAGAAATAGACTTGACATCTAGACATCAATTGGGCGAAAGACTTGTAGAGCATTTAGCATTAATAGTAGTCAAGCAATGTATAGCTGTATGACATTCATCAAGTAATGAATGCACATTTGTAGAACTTATAGAACATTAAGCAGACATTCATGGGTATATACCTGTAGGACTTTGGGCAATGCATTGTAGGATAATTCCTGATCAAGGTAAACACGAAGAACATAATTGTATAGTAATGATAGTATATAATGCATACTGCATTGTAGGATATTAATTGATCAAGGTATACACGAGAAACATTGATTGTATATAATGCATACTGCATTGTAGGATATTAATTGATCAAGGAATACACGAGGAACATTGATTGTATATAATGCATACTGCATTGTAGGATATTATTGATCAAGGTATACACGAGGAACATTGATTGTATATAATGCATACTGCATTGTAGGATATTAATTGATCAAGGTTTACACGAGGAACATTGATTGTATATAATGCATACTGCATTGTAGGATATTAATTGATCAAGGTATATACACGAGGAACATTGATTGTATATAATGCATACTGCATTGTAGGATATTAATTGATCAAGGAATACACGAGGAACATTGATTGTATATAATGCATACTGCATTGTAGGATATTATTGATCAAGGTATACACGAGGAACATTGATTGTATATAATGCATACTGCATTGTAGGATATTAATTGATCAAGGTTTACACGAGGAACATTGATTGTATATAATGCATACTGCATTGTAGGATATTAATTGATCAAGGTATATACACGAGGAACATTGATTGTATATAATGCATACTGCATTGTAGGATATTAATTACTCCGCCTGCGTATGTGCAGCGGAGTCTTAAAATGCCATGGTCTTTTTTGCTTTTAGTAGTCGTAGTTTTGGTTGACAGAAGTTGGCATTTCCACAAGTAACCCAAAACAACTTCATTTTTGACCGAGAAGCCCTGGGTTACGGATGAATTATGGGAACGGATGAATTATGTACATAAGTTGGCATGCAGGCGGGCGGAGTGAACGCCTTGAGCAGGCGTCTTGTTGATCAAGGTTTACACAAAGAACACCAGTAATCATTGTATATACATTATAATACACTCTGCATGGTACATTTATCATTGAGCAATCAATGCTTACTTGTAGGACTTTGGACAATCAATTCTGCATGTATACTTTAAGAAATGCATACTACAATATTAAATAGTAGTATATTTAGTAATATTTGGTATAGTGGAGCTATCATTGTATATTTCTAGGACATTATAAATAACACTTAGCAAATAAAGTTGTCTGTTCTCTTATAGATATTCCGTAAGTTGTCATAAGAACAAAAAACTGGCCACAGGCGCCGGAAAGAGTAAAAATTTTGCAAATATCACGCGTGCATGATCTTTAGGGTTGAAGATATGCTATTAGTTAGCCTAAACGTGATGTGCTAAAATGTGATTGGCTGGCTGAAAGAATAATAAAGCTATGTATGACTGATCAAATTCTATTATGAAAACAAAGTAAAAATGGAGCTAAAAATACAAATTTTATATTACAACAACATCAATGAAATGTCGGAAACCGTTTAACCGAAACATGAAAATCAAATATTTTTGCAAATATTCAAATAATTCCGCTATTTGTTTGTAATTTTGAACAATAAATTTTTGTGACATCTTCCGTGCCTTTGTCAAGATCGTGGCTCTCGATCAGGCAGGACATTAATAAAAAAATCAGTCTATATATACCATAATAATAATAATCATAATAATAATCAAACAGTTTATAATACTTGTAACACAGGAAAGAAATAAGAAAAACTTTTAAGGCGCATAAAAGCGATTTAAGGCACCCGTATAGCAGATTAAATAGGGACCTTAAGGCTGGCGCACACTAGAGCTATGTGCTTGGCAAAAAGTCATTCGTGGCCATTGGCGTATGCCAGTTGCTCTCGTGTGCGGGCGACTTTTCCGGCGACTTTTGGCACGAATGACGAAAGTCACTGGAAAAGTCTCCCGCACACGAGAGCAACTTGCTTACGCTAATGGCCACGAATGACTTTTTGCTAAGCACATAGCTCTAGTGTGCGCCGGCCTTTAAGCATGTAGGACGGCAACACGACGACGACGTGGTTGGAATACTCTAAAACTTTATACTTTACGTGGTTGGAATACTTTAAATAAATGTTATGGTAAAGCGTTGTTCTATATTATTAACTGTACCAATTTAATGAGATATAAGACGTTGAAAACATTGTGTTTACGTTTAGGGACAATTCTATAGGGCTAATTCGAGGTAACGCTCACTGGGTCCTGAAATGCAGACGTTTTACATAGGACGTAATAAATGACGTTTTGCCGTTGTAAACAGAACGTAGATCACGTCTAAAACTCCCATAGGTATTTAATAATTCATTTACTTTCAATTAAGCATTGTATTGATAGCTGCCGTCGTCGTGTTGTTCCCGTCCTACATGCTTAAGGTCCCTAATCTAACCGTACAGAGGCCAGCATAATTTAATAAACTGACTTTAAAATAACTTCAAAGTTTGTCGGAAAAACTTTAAACCACATTGAGTCAAATAACGACGACAACGCGGACGATGTTACGCGAGGCTTTTTCATTATAACGTCAAGCGCAAAAAGCCCCATGTCACACGCACGCGTGGTATTAAAAACGTGGGTACATAAGAAACGTCAACGAAGTCTGGTGGAGTGTTTAAACACAGAATCGTCGAGACGGTCCGTGAAGTGTTTGAAATTATAAAAGCAACCCAGAATAAAAAAAATATATATAGTACATCGATTATTATCTTTAAAATCTTTAAAAGATTTTTATAATCAGTTCGTCTTTTTTCTGAACAAGTTTTGCTTCGAAAATATTTTTAGCGTTCGCATTAACATTGAAAACTTGAAGATGCATGAAGCACTTGAATGTTCGGTACACCAGAATAGGTTTTCAAATGTGTGTGTCTTCTTTACAAAACAAATTTTGTAAAAAAAACAATTCGCAACTGTCGCATTATATAATATATATATAAATTTAATACTAGTATAATTTCAGTATTGAAGAATGGCTTTCGAGCATTCTGATCGGCTCCCTCGCCAGTAACTATGAGGCAATAGTTGCTGCTCAGACGGCTCTCAGCAGCAACTATTGCTTTTCAAGTATCCCAGCATAAAAGAACCAGTTTAGCCAAAGTAAATGAGGTATAATATCGGTTCATTTATGTGGGATTTCAGTCATTTCACAGTATTTTCTATTCAATACAAATTGAAACGTGTTCTGCAGTGGGGAAGCAGAATATAGATAAAATATTAAAATATTCTATTCTCTCGCACACCGCAATAGTGAAAGAATACTTATCGTCCAGTTAATACGAGATCAATTGTGACGTCATCTTCCTGGTTGAACCATGCTGAATCGTTTCACAGTCCCGTCATCTGATGACGTCATGACAATACTGCTATCCCTGATATGATACATACAAAAGAATTAGGGTGACAAATAGTAAATGTAGAGAACAATCCGTTGATTCACATGCAAAGCTTTGTATTTAGTGGCGCAAATCTTTTGTTAAAGAAACTAGAAATATGTGGTAAGATTTTTGTTGTTGCAAAGTACGTGACTACCAGTGCGATTACAAGTACAAAGTTCCTGCACACACCTGCAGAATGCCGTATTGTTTTGTCGGACACAAAAACATTAGCAAAATACAAAAAGTGAGACTTCTGGTATAATGTCTATTCTGTGCCCAAAAGCTCGACGACTACGGGCTTTCACTGATGGCGTAAGCAAACAACGCGTGAGAATGACGAATCTTGTACTCGTTGTCATTAGAGAGGTTAAGATACCCCGATTTCGGTATACGGGTACAGGTAGCAATATTTTGTTCATTGGAATTTCTTGTTGTTTGCACGTTTCACGATACAAATAATACTTATCTCAAGAGGCTAAAGTCTACTGGAAAAGAATTGTCGAGTTAATCTTCGAAAAAATTGAGAAACATGCACTGATGGAAATTCATTGAACAAAATAAAGCTACCCGTACTCGTACACCGGAACCAGGGTATCTTACCCTCTCTAATGATAAAACTCTCTAATAAAGTAGATGCTTCTAATGCCCTATTTTTACCCCTCAAAACAATTCCAGGACTCCCTGGGAGGAGATAAATAAAATTTAAAGGACCATCTAATTTTTTTATATTCCATGATTAAGCACTTTTAGAAATACCTGTGAATTTGTGCTTTTACAAAATTACCGCCATACCTGCTAACTGCAAGGTCTAATATGGGCGCTCTGTGGCCGTGCCATTCCCGTTCGCAATTTCCCGACCGCGCGTCCCACAACCGTAAAATACCATCCAAGCATGCTGTATAAATAAGAGAGTCGTCCCAGTGAAGTTGAGTAACTCCAGCCTTAAAACGAAAATAAGATCCCGATGGTTGATCCTCATTTTAAGTTTTGGTCGAAAACAAACTAATACTGAATTCAGATATCTACTTCCAAGGGAATATTATAATGTATCTATTAAGTGGCAACGATTTAACACCAAAATACTACACTTAGGTAACTGTAACTGTAACTTTTTGATGATTGATTTTTTTACACAGAGATTTCTATACGTGTGAAAATTTTCATATAGGTGAACAAGAAATGGCACCATGGCTTGTTAAGCTTTCTAACCACGTCTATTCCCCATAAATGACAATCGGTTGTAATCCCATGTTACGGCCACGAAACACTATCGCGGGTTCAAGAAAAAACCGCTTAACATTTCCTTGCCTGTAACCAACTGATCTGAAAATAAGTGATTTAACATTAGAATATAAATACCGGATGTTGGCATTGATGACGTAATCTCTGCGACGCGACATCCCAGATTCCTAGATTTCCAGACAATGAGGCGGTTGCAACAATCGGCTGCCTTGAGAATGACAACAGAATATCAATGGTTAACACAGACGACTGTGCCTGACTGCACCTCGAAAAGATTTTAGCACGTATAGCATTGGGCGACTTACTTCGAGGAGAATCCTACGGCTTCAATAGAGACATCATTCTCTTCCTTGGTTAAAGCCGCTTCAACGCTTCCAAGAAGCTTCAGTCAAATGGAGAGAAAAACTATTAGATGTCGAAGTTATGATACGCTGTGGAAACGAGTACATGAATTATTAACTCCAGCGAAAGTTGGTTACAGCCGTCTCTTCCTAAGGGCTAGGGAAAATGTAAAAATCCAACGAATAGAAATTACATGGGATTTCTTTTCATTGTGAGGAAGTGTCATGGTAACAGATAGACTTCCGTTCCTCAAGACATCAATTAATTTGCACTACTCATGTACCGGGTGTCCTAAAAAAGTACTTCGGTTCGATTCAAAATAGCCCCTTATCGAGTAAAGTTATCGAAATGAAACAACTTTCATTAGTAAGAGGAAAGACTAACTTTCATATGTTATAATTGTATTTTTAAGAAAATTTATGGACATACTGCATTACCTTTCAAAATCGGTACGTAATTCTTAACTGAAGCACGCACTATTAACAGTAGACACTTAACAAACTGTTGCAATATGCTATACCAAATTCGATAATTTATTGACATGTAAATTAGGATAATGTTCAAATGTTTCTTAAATTGCGAGCAATGCTTTTCTCATTGTTTGTTGCAATGCCACGATTTTGCATAATTTAGACACATCTATAAATTAATGCTATTAACTTTGAACACTAATATCCCCGTGAATTCTTAGGTAAAATTGTGAATATAAAATTGTAATATACTAAAATCTAAGTTACGTTCCCTCTATCTAATGAAATTTATTTCAGTGTAATGGCTTGACTGGTCAGAGTTGCAAAAAAGCTGCGGGTACACGATGTACCACCCGGAGGAAGGTTTGCTTTGAATGAGGTTTGTGAGGAAGGTTCAAAGTTGAACACTCTAATTGATCACATGGATGTACCACGTAACAAATATTTCTTTATGCTGGTTGCCACTTGACTCGGTGAGGTAACATCATTTTGAGGAAGGCTTTCAAAACTTGAAATCCTACTGGAGGATTTTTTTTTTGGAACTCTGTGACTGGTTAAAAAGTAACAATCAATCATAGCGGAGTTCTTTTTGGGGACACCTTGAGCCGGTTGTTCGAAAGGCGTTTAGCTTAAACGGTGGATAAGTCAAAAATAGAAAACCAATTTATCTATTTATTGAACAACTGAGCTGAAATATTTCGATGCAAATAGTTTAATTGTCAATGGACGTACATATTGAATGAATAAGGTGAAGGTTCAATCACTCACAAGATATATAAGAGTATCTTTAAACTTTGGCTTATCCACCGTTTAAGCTAAACGCCTTTCGAACAACCCGCCCCTGGTAGCTTTTACAACTTTACAACGTAAAAGTGCGTTTTGTCTGACCAATATATCGGTCTGCAAACAATCTCGGAAAAACTACCTTCCCGTTTCCAATGTGCGTCAGTTTCAGCACTCCATCCTCGGATCCACTGGCGAGAATAGTGTTATCTTCATTCACGTCAACAGAAGTGACTGAGTGATCGTGTGCATATGCACCTATGAGGAATATGAACATGATTACATTTGAACTGGAAGCCGTGTTCTTATGAGGCAACATCATACACTTAATGTATGCTCCCGAGGGAAATAGTGAGTTTTGTTTTCCCAAAAGTATGAATTTTGAGACTCGAGGGAAAACAAAAATCACTATTTCCCGAGGTGTAGCGAACATTAAGTGTTTTGTTATACATATAGGAACAAAAACATACATGTTACACGACAATTTCATTTCAAAAAACTTTGTTATGATAATATGCGGGCAAAAATTTTTCCACTTGTTTCCCTGGCGGGAAACATTGCATTTATTTAAAGTCATGTGACTACGAATGAACCAATCACATGTAAAATACACAGCACCTACGTATGTATATAAAAAAATTATTTAAACCACCTGTTACATGGAACTCGTGAGTGCCTCCTTTCAAATCCCACAATTTTAGGGTTCCGTCTCCATAACCTACGCAGATTCGTTTACCTTGAAAAGGAATAAGTTGCAAGATTGGTTACGCATGCAGTAAAGGTGGTGAGGGGCATTAACGGCCGTCACAACAAAAAGGCCTGCGAATACGTAGTGAAGTCAATGGAAAATGATAAACTCGTATGAAACAACGAATTCAGAAATGATTGAGTACGTTGTTCGGACAAGTTTAGAAATTATTCATCTTAACATAAAATGATTCGATTTATTGTGTTATAATTCGACTAGTTTTGCGTTCATTTAAAGAATAAAATGTGAAACAACCCGTGACATAATATTTTTGTAAGTTTGCATGGTGACATCAAATAGGTAAATTAGCTTGTACGTAATTAGCATGATAGCATCAAATGTGGTATAACAATTGCCTAAATAGACAAAACACTTCTCGACGTTTCGACCTGAGGGCCTTCGTCAGGAGAGTTAGTACTAGTTAGAGCTACTAACTCTCCTGACGAAGGCCCTCAGGTCGAAACGTCGAGAAGGGTTTTGTCTATTTTAGGCAGTTGTTATACCACATTCGATGTTAAGTTGTTTGAAGATGCTGCCACGCTGCTCCTTGGTTATATTGTACGTAATTAGTTTGTATTGCGCTGAAGAGGCAATTGAAATGGCTTTATTAGTTTGCAAATGATACATTGTGTTTTAAAGCCGTTGTCGGGTTCTGAAAAAGTCCAAAAATCATGTGACCACATCCCGCGCTGAGACCGCACAAATTACATCATTGGAAACATGTTTAACACTGACCTATATATATATACTATATGGCTCACTGAGAAAAACGGGGAAAGCTAATTGACCATAACGAAAAAGATGGCGGATGTACATCTAACCAGAAATGCATTGCCGTGGAAAATCGTTTAAAAACGTGCATGGACGTCTTTTAAAAAACATGCATAAAACAGGAGGTTATTTTCTTCCTTGTGATAAATTTCTACGTCGTTAAGTGCTTTCTTACCATCTTTTTTCTGTCATTTATTCTTGATGCCTGCAAGCTGCAATGCATTCTGGTCAAATATACATGCAGCCATCTTTTTCGCTATTGTCAATTAGAATTGATGGACATTTAGAGTTGATAATGATGGGTGCATGGATAAAATGTAGTTATTCATACCGTCTTTTAGGAGACGTGAGCATGTGGTTTTAGGTCCATGGGACTGGTAGGTTTTGCACGCTCCATCGGGAATCTTCCACATCCAAAATTCCCCGTCCGCTGTACCAGCAAATAAAACGTGTGCGCTATGATGCCATTTCAACCACTGGATGCATGTAAGATAGAACATAAGATTGTCTTGTTTACAATATAACCTCATTTAAATCGCGTGTTTCTGTTATCCACGCGGCTATGATTATTATGTAGAATTAAGTTTACAATAGGGGGGGGGGGATCTGAAACATGCAGTCTTCTCCTTTTTCTGATATAAATTTGAAAAATATCCTGATATGAAAATGTTGCATAATTATATGACTCTCTAGTGGGTTTTACTGTCGGTAGTCGAAATATTTATTTCATAATCATCGAAATATTTAATAATAACATAATATCCAGCTGACATTTTGAAAAGTTCAGGTATGATAAATAGGCGTTCAAGATTTACACTGAACAAGATATGCAAAGTTATCACTTCAAGTAGCCTTAGTGTATATAGTTCTGTGTGTTTGCGTGTGATGTGTGATCCAACATACACACTATGGTGTCACTAGTGTCACTGCTGGTTTACCAACCTCTAAATCAGATGTTTCAAAGGACCAGACTTCAACACCACTTTTAACAGACCATACTTTGATGACGCCACTCATATCACCTGTTGCAACGTAATTTGAATCATGGCTAAACACAGAGCAGGTAACAGAATCTTTGTGACCTTGGAAAATAAAAGTATATCCTCTTGTCAATTTCATATTTGTATATAAGTATTACATAAAGTACACTGGTGAGTCTTCACAACATCTCAGCTTTGCACAATGATTCACTGTGGACAAGAACAGCCCTAGCATTTCTGGAGATAATTATACCATTACCATTGCATGTGAATTCAATCTTTCCATCAGATAACTTCCAAAAAAAAGCCTTGTCATCTTCACCACCTGATACAACATGACTGCAGTTCAAAGGATCCATGGATACACAAAATACCGATGCTGTGAAAAAAGAAAGTATTTCATGGCTGACTTTCTACTGTTCCAGTACTATATAAATGCATGGTCTTGGGAGTTGGGAATATTTAAAAAATTCTAAGGGGTACATGTTCTCACAACCCAGTTTTGGATTCAATGTAAATTTCTGATAAATGCAGTTTTGTTAGTCTCTTAGCTTGAGGTATATTATGCAGGGGCCGGTTGTATCAAGCCCGTTTAGCTTAAACGGTGGATAAGTTCAAAATAGAAAGCAAGACTGCCGTTTTATTCAAGAAGCAAACAAAATGTTTTTAACCTTAATACAAAGATATTGTTTACAACTACAAATTCAGTGCATAATATTCAAGTTGACTCATTCAAGAGAGTTGTAAGAGTGTTATTTAATTTTGACTTATCCACCGTTTAAGCTAAACGGGCTTGATACAACCGGCTCCTGGAGGATATTGTTGATATAGTTGATATTGTATTCACTGTTTTTTTCACTTTACTTCCAAACTAAAAGGTAAATTAGATCACACAATTCCAAATATTTCATAAATAAATGCAAGAACAATAGGCAAAACACAAAATGACTAGTCTATCTGTTTTTGTTTAGCTTATAGTTATATCAACCTCATACCCAGATTGTAGTTATATTCAAGTGATTGCCATGGTTAATGATATGGAATATTATTATAAACTGCAAAAAAACTTCTTGGTTTATAAGTCACTGGCTACCTTAATTTGATATGCTATTTATCTAGTTATGAATATAATTTTAGTTCACATATGAACTTAACATCCTCTAAACTTCCCAATATTTTGCTTCCTAGCTTCCTTTTCAGAGCAATGCCGCACCTGGATTATTGCTTGTTATGTACCTGCATGCTGTGAAAATGTCAGATCAGAGTCATCTCTTTCCTCATCTTCGGCATCTTCATCAAATTCTTCTTTAATTGGTTGATCGTTATCAACAGTCATCTCTTCAATGTTGTATGCCAACTCTAGATTGGAAAAACAAAGCATTGAAAAATTATGCTTTATTTCATTGGTCGAAAGGCCTGACTGGAAAATACTGAGATTGAAAAAAATACTAACTCAAAAAATACTAGTAAATATATATGGAAGACATGAAAATTGCATGCCCGATATTGGTTGTGCAATGCAAACTTTCCACACTGGTCGAAAAGTAACCCTGATGACAGTCAAGCAATAGACCTTTTCATATAATGATGTCAAACACGGAAAGTATGATGTTACAGGTTTGATTGGCTCGATAGTTTTGTGGACCCAATCAAATTCTATGTAACATCAAACTTTCTGCATTTGATGTCATTATCATTGGTGGAGCCAATCAAATTCTATGTAACATCAAACTTTCTGCGTTTGATGTCATTATCATTGGTACAACACAAGAAGTTGTTTAGTAATTAATGTAAAGATAACCACTACCCATATACACCGACCTTGTTTATTTCACAATTTATGGTTGTTTTGCAAACTGCACGTAATTCGACAGTGCTTCGCATATGACCAGTTACTAATAATGAGCAATTAGACTATGACTAATAGTTCATTATTAGTACACGTGAGTAACAATTACTGAATTACATTATATTTTTACTACATACAATTCTTTGAAAAATACCTGCGTTTTCTCCTTCATCTTCAAGTTCAATTTCCTCAATAATTTCAAAATTCTCTTCACTGTCATCATAATCTTCCTCCATGGTAAAATCCGAGCTATTTAAACAAAATAAAATTCAAATTTTGAGCGATTCTTTTCATTTCAAATTTGAAATTTCTTGAACATTTTTTTATCCCGTTCCAGTTTCTTAGGAATTTCAGCGCGACCAAAACAATCAATCGCAAGATGGCCGACAAAAAATCATCAAAACAAGACGAACTGACTAGTTCGAGGTCTGAAAAGTCGGAAAGTCCAGGGGATTTTTTAGGTAGTTCTTAATTATAATAAATAACTACTATCACACTATTTGAAAATAATTTTTGCCGATTTATTCTGCTGAACTAAAGCCAGGAATACGCTATTATAAAATGCTAAAAAGATAGACAAAAAATATAGTTTTATTTAAAACCTACAAAACAATACAGCAAACTTGGTTTTTCAGGCTATGTGCACACGGGCGTTGTTGCTTCTAGAACGATTTCGTCCTTTGAATCGTTTTGACGCTACGCTCGTGGTACTTAGGAAGAAATTATTAGAGGTATATATTTCCTAAATATTAAATTAGCTTCAAATACAAATGTGAAACGTAGTATTCCGCATTTTCTTCCTTTTTTTTCGTAAAAACACGAATGAAAATACTCGAAAGCATTATTGTGTGCACTGTGCACGTAGTTCTAACGTTTATTTCATTTTCAGCGCGGGTCGGTGTAACGCGTCAGATGCAAGAGGTTCTTTCTATAATATTGGAAAATAGGCCAGATGATCCTGTAGCCTATATTGCTGAGTAGTGAGTGAATAACTTATATATATTGAAATCAGTACAGCCTAATTTAGGATATGGCCTACATGACCACGAAGGGTGTATAGCGGGACAAAACTTTGTTTGGCATTTCTTATATAGTGCAGTATTACTCCATTCAGCTAACTGCACCAGTGCACATTGGGTTATTGTCCCTATTAGGACCATACTTTTTTTACATGTCTTCCACCCACTTGAATATCATAAGATTTTGTGAAGTGTTGCATTTAATGATTGATAGCGAACATTCACTTGAAGATGAACCATATATAAGAACAGTGCTTTGAAAACTAAAATTTCTGAATGTGTTTATGGTCCAAGATTCAAATTTTATATATTATATAATTCATAGTGTCATAGTGTCTGCTACTAACTGGAACTGAAATTTAACTTCTCTTACTAGTTTCTCAAATGTTGCTGAGCATGTATCCAGTGTTACTCAGGCCTATCAATATTTGTGTCTGAGTCACCACACCAAGCCTTCTTATGAGAATAATCTCTTGAAAGCCTACACTGTGTTGAACAGACAGAAATGTGGTCAGGGTCTGAAAGGACTGATTGGAAAATCATACAACGAATTGTTGGCTGTGTTGTGCAGGTACATAATTTTTGGGCACTGGCCCCTAGTGCTACTTTTTACACTTCAAATTAACAGAAAATCCCTCCCCCCAAAAAACCTTCCCCAAATCAAGTCCTTCCACCCTGTTATATACAGGAATGATGTCCAGTTTAGAACATTGGTTTAATCACCTTCACTAGTGTAGCTAAAAATTATCTAAATCACCAAATCTGAGCAGAACTAAGTACCGTATTATTTTCTTATGCTATACAAACAGAAAAGGAATTGGTTTTGGCAATTCTTGTTTATCAGAGTACTACCTGCTATTTGAAAATTTGGGACAGTAAGGATTTTGCTGATAAACAAGACATTGTCAATATTATATATCAAATATATTTGATGTTGTACGGGAGTGTATTAAGTTATGACCACATGCCCATTCTTAGGGATATTTCATCTAATGAATCGGATACCTTGTTGCAGTTGCTACAAAAACGAACACACGAGTTGGTTAGGTTTAACGATTTTTCATCTGGCGTCACATGCTGCTTTTTGCTTAAAGGTAAGTTGCAGGATCGTATCATTGGAATATTGTCAAATCGAAACACTAAGTCTAATCCAGCAAACGTTCAGCCCGAACCAAGGATTAAGCCTATAAAAAAACTTTATTAAATCATTGATATGGTATCCTAATAACCTGAACTATATAAGTAATAAGGTTCAAAATTCAAAGTTCTTTCCTGGTAAATTTTTCCTATAAATTTAAATCATGTTCATTATACATGCAAATACTAAAGCTACATCATTAAAGTTAAAACTATGCTCATCATTACTATCGATATAACCATAGACAATCCAAAAGACATGTCATAGACAATGATATATAGACTATGATAAGACATAACATTGTAGGAACAAATTTTTCGAGGCGAAATTAGATATCAGACTGTAAAACATCGTCCTCACGCATCATTGTCGTCATCATCTTCATCGCCTCTCACTTCGGCGATAAGTTTCTCAGTCTTAAAGTTATCGAAATTCCGTTGTTGTTTGTAATCTTTGTGAGTTACGATGTCGGCGAGTAACTCCTCGGATTCAATATATCCTTCCCGGCGAAGAATTCGCTGTGCTCTTCCGACGAATTGGACAAAGCGGGCAGGCGATGTAATCTTATATGTAATGGCAGCAATACTGATGGGCGGGTGATCGAAGCCTTCTAGAAGTTTTCTTGCAACAATGACCAGACTCAATTGGTTGTCTTTTAGTCGACTCATAACATCTTCTTGTCTTTGTCTTTGCATTTTAGAGTGGTAGCAATCGGCTGATTCGTTAGGGTAGGAACTTTGCCAAAGTTCAAGAAGTAGCTGTGCTTGTTTAACGTTGTTACATATAGCTATGGCCATATGCGGTGCATCGCGAAAATTTCTTCTTTTATCGTCCAGCAACTCTTTTACTTTGTCGAGGATTGCAACCGTTTTACGTGCGCGACTTTTTTCGGCGTCTGTGTAAGCTTCCGGATTCCGAAACCTAGGCTCACCTTCTGCATCAATTTCATGGAAACTGCTCTCACGTATTATTCTTCCATTAACTGCATCGTTTAATTTAAGATGATAAGCAATACCAGTCCCGTTTTGTTCCCCCAACACTAACTGCCCGTCCGTTCGAAATGGCGTGGCTGTAAAAAACACAACGGGGCATTCTGTGCTGCGAAATTTATCAACAATCCGTTTCCATGTGGCAGCCGGATAATGATGGGCTTCGTCTACTATGAGAAGGCGAAACAAGTTACTGTCGAAGTCGTTCATCCAATCTTCGCCCACGAATTTCTGTGCATTCGTGATGATTAATTCCTTGTTTCGGAGATTTTGTTGGTCACTCAAATCATCTTTATTCTCGATCTTCATCGCCGTAGGAAGAACGTCGTTCCGATCATCCGGGACGATGTTTCTTCGTTTTAAAAATGGCGTTTTAGGCGTCAATAGGGTTAACTCTTCTACCAGTTGATTTTGTATTGCAAGGTCAGGAGCAACTACTAGAATAGGTTTGTCGAATGGGTACCGCGGTTGACCGTCCACTTCATAAATACAGCCAAGACAGTATGGCAGGCAAGCGATAATTCCAGTCTTACCTGAACCGGTAGGCATGCATACCAAAGCTATATCGTTTCTGATATTTTCCCCACCAAACCATTCATAAAGCCTGTGGAGGGCCGTAATTTGATGTTGCAGAAGGCGACCATGTTCCTGACATTCTATTTTAAATTGGCCACTCATATAATTTATTTTCGGCTGTACTCTTGGATAAGGCATTATTGCTAACGATGTTGAGTATAGCGAACTTTATCATCTGATGCACAATATATGCGAGTGCAAACTGGGCAGGAAATTTGTGACTGGTCACACGGATCATACGCAGATCGGATCGAGGTTGTCGAACAGCTGTCACGTGAATATAATTATTGATAATGATAATAAAACGAATGGGAGTGCAATTTACCATTGAAATTCCGGCTCAATTCGTTCTATTATTTATTAATTATATATCTTCTGTAAGAAAAAAACTGATAGGTATGCATTGCAACGCTGGCCTTTAAAGAATTGGCCACAAGAGAGCTAAGCCTTGGCAAAAAATGTGCAAGTTCTGTTTACTGTTATACAACTATATCATATTACAATTGATGCGTTTACTACTAAGGGCAATTTGCATTATAGCAATGCATCATGGGGAAAGTGGTAGGCATCACTTGCAAGCGAAATGGCCGCCGATGAGCGAGCATTTTGAATGCGAGGGAAATTGCTTGTTTTTAGCACTTTGTCGCACTTTAATATCGAATTGTCGATTTGGTGCAAAACGAAGATAAATATGTAGCTTCTTCTCAACGTTTTCAGGTGAGTACGCTCGGCAATCGCCCGTGTCTTCACCATTTTTCCTACATATATGCGTGTGTAGTTTTTGGATTTCGATCTCATAAGATGGCAAAGATCGAGCGGTTCGTAAGGATTTATTCCCTTCTTGAAATCGACAAACGCAAGTCGCGATGTTCGTTGCTCGTTCGATCCAGCATGGTTTCCAATGCAATGTTTATATATATTTTGGCGCGAAAAGAAACTAAACCAAACCAACCTATTCATAAAACCGGTTTTTTGAGGCCCCGGCTCTGTTGCATTATATAAACGCCAAGTAAAAAAGCGTTTGAGCTGTTGTTTTATATTTCTGCTTCCGTTGTTGTGCTAAACTCGCTTCCTGTCAAAATAAACAGTAGGTTTAGGTTGTTAAATTGTATAAAATTTTAATATATCGGTAACTTAATAGTTTTTAGATCAATAATAAATTTGTTTTAGGCGATTTTTATAAATAAAGTAATTATTAATAAACTTGTATATATATATATATATATATTTTAAATTTAGCAGTAGGTATTTTAAATTAAAAACAGGCAGGTCCTTACAAATTTAATATTGAAAGCTAGGTTAACTTAACATTAATAAAATTTGATGCCTATTTGACTTGGAAAATGAGCCAAGCACTTCTTCGGAGACAGATAAAAGTTTAAGAAAAAGAATGTTGTAAAAGAAAGCAAAAAGGTGGTGGTGGAACAACCTGCTGTATGCCAACCTGTAATAGCAATACTAAACGAAATCCAGAGCTGTCATTTTATAAAATTCCATCAGATAAAAACCTGAGAAAGCAATGGTTACATTGGATTTGTAGAGCAAATTTTGTGCCAAATAGTTATCATCGTGTTTGTTCGGAACATTTTGTGAGTGGCAAGAAAACTTGTCTTAATAATCTTCCAAAACTTATGGAAAAACCCTACACCAACGAAACCCAGAACAACATCCAAATGCAGAGAAAGAGATTACACTGGCGAGGATATTCCGCAAAATGACCAACCAAATGAGCTTACACTTTTAAGAGATAAAACTTTAGAACTTGAACATATTGTTCAAACACTTGAGACCAAGAACAAAGAGCAAAGAGATGATATTTCTGTTTTAAAGGAGAAGGTTCAGCAACGTAGTTTTTCAATTGATCGTTTTAAAGATAATAGCACTGATTTTGAGTTCTATACTGGATTCCCTAACTACAGTACATTCAAAGCTTTTTATAACTACCTTAGTCCAGCATGTGAAAGGCTTTAATATATTGGGTCATGTAACAGCACAAATAAAGGAGCAATGGATGATAAATGTGGGCCAAAGAGAATGCTTTCCCCAGAAGAGGAACTATTTATGTGCTTGACACGACTAAGACTAGGCTTGTTGGAGAGAGATTTGGCCAATAGGTTTAATCTTTCAGTATCCCAAGTATCCAGAATCTGGGTGACATGGCTAGATTTTTTGTATAGATGGGTGAGGACCATTCCTATGTGGCCATCGCAGAAGTATGTGAAAGAAAACATGCCCCAAAGTTTCAAAGAAAGTTATCCAAACACAAGGGTTATTGACCGTACTGAGGTTTTTATAGAAATGCCCTCACAACCAAGAAGCCAAAGTGCTACATTTTCGACGTACAAAAATCACAACACCGGTAAAGGTTTGGTTGGGATTTCTCCACAGGGTGACTTGACCTTTTTATCTTAACTTTATGCAGGCAATACATCATACAAGCAACTGACAATTGACTGTGGGATCTTAAAGCTTCTGGAGAAAGGGGATGAAGCCATGGGTGGTAGGGGTTTTGAGATTGAGGAGGACCTTCCCTTGGGTGTTTCATTGAATGTACCCCCTTTTCTTGGTGACCAGAGGCAATTTTCTGAGGCAGATGAATTAAAAACAAGGCAAATTGCCAAACATTGAATTCATGTTGAACGGGCTTTACAAAGGATCAAAAGCTTCCACATCTTGAAACAACCCTTGCAAATATCAATGGCTGCAGACCTAAACAAAATATGGGTTATTTGCTCATACCTTAGTTTATTTTTCAGGCCATTGATAAAAGAACATGAGGAGTAGAACTGGTAAAGTTTTTACTAATTCTCCAGTTTCACTTTTTATAGTATGTTATATTGCAAAATATTGTTGTTTAACATTGTGTTTTCATTCCACATGAATGAACAAATACTTAACCACTTACAACATATTGGTTACAACAGCAAGGAAACTATTAATTGTTAATTGTATTATTCATTAAGTAAGAAAAATAAAATGTGGTTAGCTCAGATAACCTATCCTTCCTCCATTCCTCATCATTGAAATAAATTCTTTCCACATGCAAATCACACACTGTATAAACCACAAAATCCAAGAAATTTAACTGGCATATTGCCATGACACCTTGACATTGGTGATAATAATTGACATGGTTTTCCATTTACAATCTCCAAATAGAAGGATTTGTCTTTGCATGCTTCCATGACATTCATGCTGGCTTTGGATGCTGGGCATTTTACTTCCACTGCTCCATACATAGACTCTTCCTTCTCATAAAAAATTAGGGCATCAGGACTTGTCCCAAGCCATGGCCACTTTGGATTAACAACTAACCCACAGGACAAGCAAATATTAACATGCTGTTGACGTCATCTTTATATTTGTGATATTTCACCACGCATTTTGTTCATTCTTAGTTCCCCATACACTGCTTGCAGGCACAGATTGCAGGTTTTATTTGGCGTGCGGGTACGTGGAAAAGCAGCCATTGATACGTCTGTTCGACTTTTGCACTCACGCTTTTGTTTTGCTACTCTTCGGCAATAATGGCTTTTCCCCTGTTTTAGTATACTTTCTATCTTTCACTATTCTATGCAGCAAACAAATGATAAACTTTAGGCATAGCACTTTTTTAAATCTAGACAGTCTTACAAATGTTCGTTCTGCAGCCAGTGTATTTCCGTTTGGAAGTTATTTTTTAACAGCATGCACCTGGATCGTACTTTTCTTTGCATTTCTTGTTGTGGTTTCGAATGTGAAGGCCATCTAGTGATAGTTCCAAGGCGGTGACCATGGCAACTCTTTCTTGCAGCTCTCAAACCAACCAGTGACGCATATTGTCATAGGAAAGAAATATTTGCATCAATTCACTGGGTTGATGGTTTTTCAAACTACGCAGAGCCATGTCATGATAATGATGATAATTCACCTGACTTCACCTTGTATAGATTTCATTTCTGAAGCCAAGTCACTTTTTCAAGAATTAGATCTATCAGGCAAAGGTAGGTTGTCTTTTTTTCAATTTTGGATAGCTAGATGTGCTACCTGTTTTCATCTTTACCAATTAAGTGGCTGTCTATATCACTACTGAAAAAAGCGTTGAGTATAACCGACTTTCAGCTTCTTTTTTCTGCAGATTAATTACAAATGTTTAAGCTGTTGCAATGCAATAGCTGAGCCTAGATATAGTCAAGCTATGAAAAACTTTTCAAATTTTATATTCTCAGGTCATGCGGATTACACCCTTTGTATAACAATGCTATCTCAACTGACGACTTCAGTATCGCGTACAAAAGAAACTTCTGGTCTCAGGTAAAATTAGGGCTGCTTGGTTTACACTATAGTGTATATAATCTGAGATCAGCCTAAAAAGTTTACTACAGTCATAGGAATCCCAATAAATCTTTTTGAAATAATAAAAGTTAGCCCAGTTGCGTTGTGAGTTCAGTGCCCTATGAAAAATTCTAATACAATTTCCGATAAAAACCTTTTCCTGTTTCTAGTATTTTAGAAGCTGGCGTTTCTTTGAGCGCGCAGAATGTCGATATAGCAATGAAAAGGGTAACTATTTATAAGTAATAGCATGGCTTTGAGGTCGATTAGCGATTAAATGTCCCCGAAAGCCGAGGCAGGTTTAGGGCGAAAGCCAAGGGACTTTTACTATAAACCTGCCGAAGCTTGTGGGACATTTAATCGCATTTAATTTTATTAAGGCGGATTTCCACTTACAGCGAAATCGTTCGCTAGCGAAATATTTGCATATTTTCTTTTGAATTTTAACAGTATAAATAAATTAATTCGACTTGACTGTTCTCAATTCAAAAGAAAATATGCAAATTTTTCGCTAGCGAACGATTTCGCTGTAAGTGGAAATCCGCCTTTATACAGGGTGTCTCAAAAAAAAAACGCAACACTTAATATTCTAAAATTCATATTGTTCATAAGCTCAATAGATTTTATGCCCCTGGGATTTTAAAATGGCTTCTAATCGTACAGTTCAACTGCTAATAGTCAAATCAGCTAAACTAATAATGGTGCAGCTAACAACCGAACAACGAGTTTTTATTGTCGTGCATGATAACTTGAATGCTAACTGTCGACCTTGTAAAATAAATTGTAAATAAAATCTTACTCGTTAAATACTCTCATTTCAGCTCGTTGGTTTACGCACCCGACTTTGTTTACCGACGATTGTGCCGCTAGAATATGATTACAAGCTTTCTCGCATTCCAGGGGCCAAACGTCTTTTGTGTTGTGGAACAAAAAGGATATTCATGAATATTAAGTGTTGCGTTTTTTTTTTATACACCCTGTAGTTTGTAATATTATGGCTACCGAGACAATAGGAATACTTTTAAAGTTATTCGATGTGCTGGGAGATAAATAAATAACAAAGGCGGGTATTTGGCATAAACATTAGGGACGATTAGTTAGTAATCGTTCCTAATGTTTATGCATCGGGTTATTTAGTTGTTAATCGGTACTAGTAAAACAAAGGATTTCGAGGCAGCCATGATATTAATATGTGTAAACAACAAAATCTCAAGTCATGGAAGTGTTTTGTTATTCTAAGTTCTGAAATGTTCCTTAAAACTTTCATTTTAAGGCGCTCGCTGACAGTTTCTCTCAAAACACTGGGAAAACGATGTCGTTGGACGAATTTGTACATCAAGCTGGGAAAATTTTCTTTTCAAAGGTTTCCAGGAAATATGTGATGCTTAGACTTAATTTTTATAAATTTTAATATGATGTGATCGAGGTCGAACAAAATCTGCAAAACAACGATTATAACCATGGCAACACTGAAACGAATAATTTTTTTCAGCTACCGATGTCGAAGAACCAGTGAAATAACTTGAAGAATGATATCCAAACAATAATGGATTCAATGTTGTTAACCATTACCCAAGCGACAAAGGCAATTAAAAAACTGTAAATGTGTAAAAATTGTATATAGACTATTCCATGTTGTAAAAGACCCAATTACAACTAATCTTTTATTATTTATGATTTTTTTTATAACTAGCCTATTTCCAATCTTCCTCATAGCTAACTACAGGCTGCACATGTTATTTTTGTCTGGACACAAACATGCACGGTTTTCTAACTGATTTGAACATTACTCCCCTCATAGTCTATAGGGTGATTGTTTTGACCTAGATTCGCTACCATCTCGGAAATCGCAATTCGCCACTTCCATGCAAGGGCCTCAATAGACCTTTCTTATAATGACGTCAATTCGTCAAATGCGAAGTCTGATATTACACGAAATTTGATTGGCTCCACAAAACTCGGATAATTTCGCAACAATCACCTAGGCGTTATTAAAATTTGTCCAGTCACCTGTTCATGTTTGTAAAAAATATTTTTCAACAGGTTGGGTTTTCTCAAATAATCAGCTTTGTAGTGACTAAATGCAAACTAATTTTTTGCCCCAAGCTTGGTGAATGAGAACTTCGATTTCCTCCCGTTTTCAATTCAACGATATTCAGCGAAGGCAAATTGTTGGCTCATTAGCCACTGTCTCTCCTCCGTTAACTTAGGCCCTGTTTACACCACAACTGATTCGCATGATCACGACATGAAAATTAGCTATGCCAAAGCGAGTTTTAGCCCTAAAAGTATGATAGCATGATTGTTTTAACATGAACTGCCGAAAGGAAAAGTTCTGGAGACAGAGTTTCCGACCGTAAAACAACTTATAGGGTCTACTGATGTCGTGACCACGTGAATTCGATATAGTGCGAACGGGGTCATATTTGCTTGTCTACATCTACCAAAAAAAGAATCGCAACTGAACAAGTGCAAATGAGCCTGCATGAACTATATATGATCTAACTAAGCCTATACACAACCTGCAAACATGAAAACTAAAAATCAGCTATCAAGCAGCCGCGGCAGTGGATGTACTGAACCCTATTAGTATATCAGAATACGCGTTCTCCCAAATCGGAAACCGCACGGAACCGTAAAACCAACTCCGGTTATGAAATGGTAATTTCATAAACGACAGTACACGAATAAAACCACTAGCCAGCAATTCATCATCATATGACGTGTCATTTAGCGAAAGGTCGCAATACCGCGATCCCAAAACGCATCCTGGGAATTTAGAACTAAACCGGTCCGCCATGAAAGATCCTTTGCTACCCCAAGTCATCATAGTCGATCCACATTGGTCACAAATATCTCCCTTGGTATGATTTGTCTGATTAGGTTTCAAAGCGTTAAAATTGTCCTGTTTTGAGTTCAATTCATTACCCGGTAATCTCGTTCTCCGTTTTCGGACAGTTTGTGAGATTTTTAAGGAATATTCAGAGTGTCCTATTTTCGGCATAAACGACGTGGATGATTCCGATCTCGGAGAGAAGAAAGCTCGCGAGTTTTGACGTGAATGATGGTCTTTTGCCAAAAAGCATGCAGAAGCGGAGAAAAGTAAGGCGACAGATAAGGAATAGGCCACAGTGCAACTGAGAATTGTCTGGAAGAAAGAATTTGTTTCCATTTTAGACATACAAAGAGCAATCAATGTTTACAAAGACAATGTTTATAACACTAGTTTAAAGGCATATAGATCATAACAAAAATATCTCTTTTACTGTGAAACAAATATTTCAAAGATTTGAAGTGAACAATGCTGATACGGATTAATTTGTGCATTTAGGAAGTCCCAGAGAATTTTACCCTTTGCTGACATCATGGGATTGAAATCAACCTAGATATACTATTAGGTTTTGTGATCTGTTTGTTATAATATTCTTGCACCTGTTTTGTTTTTGATCTGTTTATTATAGCAATAAAGTACATGCATGCATGTACAAACTACACAGGCTACAGCTCATCTTAATTTTCGAAAAGAAAGTCGTCAAACCGATCAATCTGTCTTTAAAGGAGGCGATCAAAAGGCCCTAGCAACCCTAGCACTGTCGAAGTTAATCCCCAAACACCACACGCCGTAAAAAAAAAATTTCGCGTGTGCACGGTTAGAGGATACGTAAGGACAGCGGTTATATGCCATCAAAGAAACCGCCATAACGAGGGCCTTAATACTTTATCGGACAACCTTTAGCAACGCTTATCGTTAAGCTTTAGCTCAGCAAGACTGTGTGCGCATTAGCGACTGAAGGGGCGCATGTGCAACTGAGGCTAATACGTAGAGAAGACCGAAATAGTTCAATCTACAGCTTTCTGTATTTTCCAAAGCGCACCTGTAGGAGTATTTCATATGATCAATGACTTTGATAATATCACATATAGCTGTTATAAATCAACCACAAATTTACATTCAGAAAATGACCGGTAAATTCGCAATGAAAAAAAGATCTCGAAAATTCAAATAAAAACGCATTCATTAATTAACTTTCCACGAAATTTTGAAGCTATCTTTGGAAAGAAACCAGAGTTATGAAGAGGAAAAAAGGGTAATATACTAACCTTCCCAGTTGATTTCAAATATTTAGTGAGAAAATGTCGAAACATCAAGTTTTCTAAAAGAGTGTTCATGTCCAAATACGAATACCAACCACGTTCTTGTCCTTGATCCAGCGCCACCCTGGAACATGAAACCAATATCATTTATGTAACTGCTGGTATTCTTAATAAGCCAATAAATAAACCATTTGCAAGCAAAGAACACTTGCTTACCTTGTTTCCACTCTGTTAACAAAGTCGAAAAATTCCTTGCAGCTAACGAATATTCTCCATTCCTTTAATAAATGAAATTAATGAACACTCTGTCACCACGAGTTTGTGCCTGTTCTTACAAGCAAGGTTTTTCGTAGCGGAGTGGTAAAGCGCTGCCCGGATTCACACATGCAGGCTTTTGTTGGATTCATGTCGGGGAACCTCACTCACAACCACTCGGTTTTTATAACGTAAAAGTCAATTTGTATATTTTTCAAACAATCGGGGGGAATGCTGGGAACACTGGTTCAAATTTGCCAAGGGTCAGTGTCTTTTACCATCGCCCAGGGCCCTACCATGGGTTCCAGTACATCATTAAAGTTTGCTAGTGTAACGAGACAGTATACTGTAGTTTTACTTACAATTGAGCTCAGGAACTCTCGCTCCAGTCGGTTCAGATCGCGAATATGGTAATTGCCTAAAAAATGAGATTCAAATTAATATAACTATTGCCTGGTTTTTAGGGGTTGGAGCGCGGAGCTGCAAGTCCTCACTAAGATTCCATTGAACCTCTTCTGGAAGGCAAAATACCTCTTCCACATGAAGCATGCGCCTTCCCAAGTGAAAGCAAAGTTTGATGGTTAGTTTCGTATTGAAAAGCCTAACGACTACGAGTTTCGTCAAATGGCGTAGGCAAATGCATCGAGTTTGGCGGGAAAATGACGAATACTCGCAGTCGTACTCATAGTCACTGCTAAAGTCACCTTTCGGAAGCCCACCCACAACAAATTAAGACTTCAATACAAACCTGCTTTACACCAGTCATAGTTATAGGCATCTTCATCCTCGCCATCATCATATAGATATTTCGAAGCAACAAGCTTTAAAATACAACACAAATTTGCGAGTCAACATGATTACTGATTGAATTTATAGTATCGATTAGGAATGGAGCGCTATCAGAGTTGGTCAAATTCTGTCAAAAGGAGACTGTTGCTACGATTTGGGTTCGATATCTGCCTAAGAAAAGATGTCAAAGAATGAATTTGGCTGAGGAATCATAGCTCAATACTTATATAACTTATCAACTCGTTCATCCTTTAAAACACGACAATCCTGAATTCATTTAAATATACGAAAAACGCAGAATCGACGAAGTAGTGACTTCATTTCGAACCTAGTTGGGTTACTATAAATACTTTCTTTCTGAAAATTAAAACTACACACATACCATGGACACCATAAACAGGTCAGATGAAGAAACCTTCTTAAGGTAGCTTGGATTGCTCTGTGCAAGTCTTTCTGTGTACAAAATGCCCATCATCAGTGCACATGGAGAAATTCTAGCACGTCTATATAAAAAATACACCTACAAGTCAATACACACAAAATACCAGTGTCACTTGTATGTACTATTAAAATATATGTTATCATATATGTTCTAGAAAAAGATTCTGCAGTTATCAAGTAATGAATTGTTTGTGCTAACTCAGAGATAGACAGGACATGCTATTTGCTTGACACCTCAAATTTTGTAGGCTAAACATTCTTCACACCTTGTTATCCTTGTCGCTTGGTGTTTATCCAAAGATTTCTTTCCACTTGTTTTGGAATTGATTAATCTCACAGCAACATCTGTTAGAACAAACAAGATACATCTTCATACATTGCACGCTATTTAGGAACTAAAACTACGACTAGGTACAGTACAAACTAAAAAAAAAGCTCAAAATGATCCTTTGGAATCATCCAAAAAGTGATAAAAACTGATGAAATGCAGAATTTGAATACCATAAATTGATGAAAATGCTGCTCTCATTGTGCCTAATGAGCGACATTGGTAAATTTAATAAGAAATGAAGGATATGTTCATGCCCGAATCCCAGTACTACAGCTTTGTTTATGGTGTCTTTCTAACATGTGACATCAATTTAAATGCAGTCTAAACATTTTTGATTGAAAAATTGGGTTGTGCAATAAAGAAAGTAAGAAAGTTTTGTTATCTTAAGCTGTTTGTATCCTGTCAGGTTATGAAATGACTAGAAGATTTCCCATGGTCAATGTAAAGACTTTAGAAAGTTATGTAATAGCACGACTTTATTTATTTGTACTGTGGTACAAGCACTCGTATCAGTAGTATAACAAACTGTTGACAAAAAACAGAAGTAGTCAAGATTAACCCCTGAGAATTATACTATGCAGATCTCATAACAATGATGTATTCAACATCAAGAAGGTTGAAACAAAAACAACATTTGGGCCTAACTATTCAGCCCTATGAGCGTTTATATACAAATCAATTCATGGTACATTATCTTCAAGAAATATCCTGGTTTCTGTTGTGATGATAGTGTGGATAAAAATGGTGGTTGCATGTAAGAAAGTGGTCTATGCACTACTAAACCCCAATCTTACCTGTAACAATTGGTGATGGCAATGAACCATCAGCATATTGACCATAGTATAGAGTTTTCCTTAGTCGTTGATGAAAATTAATGTGACTGTCATCTACATAGATCTGTTGTGAAGAAATTTTGAATTAACAAATCTTGAAATACTTCATTTTTATAATAGTTTTACAAAAGATATAGCACTGCAAGAGGCTTTAAGTTAGTATTTTTTTGTTCCAAACATATTTAATTAATTTTGTAATAGAAAATCAAATTCAATCACTATTGCCAAATAGATTTACAGGCCAAATATTATTGCTAGCTCAGTCTAGCTGGATAATTGGAATGCTTAAAAGAAAATACCAAATTTGGTTTCCTAATAAATTAATCACAGAATTCCTGACTGCTCAACTGTGCATGAACATTTCAATGATTTTATACCTATGTATTAAAGCACCCCAATCCATGAATGATAAATCTGCACATTTCAAAAAGCAATAACTTTAATTTAGGCTTGAGAAGGTCATAGGACTGTGTTATCATTCAATGTCCACTGTCCAATAAACTGTTTAGTAAGCATATTTACCAAAAATATGAACGTGCACCCATGAGACATGACCCATGTAATTACTGACATTTTAAAAGAAGAATACAACGCGTTTTCTCCATCAGAAACTTACTTTATCGCTAGTATAAGCATTATTAACGTCTTGAAAACCTTTATCTGTGAACATCTTGAAACTTTTCAAATTCATTTCATGAAATATTGTTTTAAAAAATTGTTTTGAACATAATATGCTGCAATCCTTGTTTTCTGAATAAACATTAAACAAAGCCCGATAAGTCTTATGGGAAATACCTCAACGGAAAGTGAAAGGACTGGGCACGAATAAATATTTAATAGAGACGAGGTCACGAGAATGGGAAATATCGAGAAATGGTACCGGCGTACCGCCCAGAGTAAAATACAAGATAGCACTGTAAACATTTACGATGAAAACGGTCCTATCAGGACAAAAATGCAATATTCCTGTAACTAATCTGTATGATTGTACTCACAATTAAAATGTTTTCGAAGTGCAATCTAGCCATTGTTATATTTGTGGCAGCAGCGTTTCACCTTGCTGCGACACATTCCGTTGCGTTCGGCGTTTTTCTGGACACCCTTACAATGATAACAGCGGTAAATTTATTATACACTTCTTATCAGTTTATAAATGCGAATGTGCAAAGAAAGATTCAACCTATTCTAAGGAAACTGCTAATATTGTTTGAACTTTTTTGTTCTTCGCTTTGATTAGCCAATCTGAAAACTTAAAAACAGTGTTCGTAAAATTGTTATAGAACCGGAAGGCAGAGCGTTACAAGGTGAAGGAATAAAATTACAATGTGTCCAAAATCGAAAAAGGAAACATTTAGATATCAAGCAAATCAATTGTTCAAGTCTTTTTCAGTGACTAATCGAGAATTCATAATGATTATGAATTCAATGTTCAAATGCTAATCAGCAACAGTTGACGTTGTGGTACGAAATTTCAGGAAAATCCTGTTTTCTCCGGGTAAATTTAAACTATTTTAGCTATCTATATTCCATTGTTCATGCTTCATGCAACACGATTTTATCCAATGGCTAACTATATCCACTGGATAGCAGATTTATCCGATAGATATATAGGATTTATCCATCTTCCAAACAACTGGTCCTGATCTATTCTATAGGCGTTTTTCACGTATCTACAGGTTTATATGTTCAGTTGACCGATGTGGAAATGTTAAAAATTTCAATCCTGAAAATTCAAGCGATTGGCGAGTCATCCTTTCGTCGCATTTCTAATCGCAAAAAGCTAGGGCACCTTTCTTAGATTGCGCAAATTCATGCCAACCTCTCAAACAGTGATAACTGTTTCAGTCTGTGAAAAAGGCTGCTCAAATGTTCATCAACAATGTTTTGTTGTAGCATGATGAAAAAACATTAGCGGGGGGAGTGGAAAATGGCAAAAAATTATAACTGATATCGAGTAACTGAAGATTTAAGGCGGGTTACAGTCGGTGATGTAAACAAACGCTTTGTTTTGATACTGAATTGCTATATCTCTAAAATATCCTGTCGGAATATTTATTACCATTTGAATTTACTATATTCCTAAATGAATAAGAAATTGAGTTTATGTTCAAAGAATTCAAAACAGGTGAAACTTGGGCAATTTCCAAATAATGGAGTCCCCTATGAGAAGAGGCGATGCGCAGAAGCCGATTTAGTCCTCTGAATCTGATACAGCATACGGTTTAATCTAGTTTTAATCCATTATGCCAGTGTATTGATATGTCTTTCAAAGACAGGATATAATGTTTGTATTATTATTGTAATACTGATTGTATTATTAAGGTTTTGTAATAATACTGATTGTATTATTATTCAACTTTGCGGAGTATTTGGACCCTCAGGATAAAATCTAGTTATTTCGCCATGAATTAATTAATTTCTTCACCGAAAAACACTGATTGTAAAGAGGTAGTTTTGAACGACAGATACACATACATCACATACCTATTTTTAGGTATAATTTATTAGTTGGAAGACTTTTTATTGACTGAATGACACAGTGTTATTTCTGCGCAAGTGAATTCACCTGTTACATTTGTTTAATAGTGATTAGTCATCGATTACCCCAGGCTACGTGAACGACATCTCGCCAGACCAAGGAAGCAACAGACCGCGAGATATGAAGGTTATCTATTACGCAGCGACTTTCAGCAATCAATCTTGAAAAACACACAGCAGACATTACGATGGGAAGCCCTGAAGTCGATAGCTTTAAAATTGAATTAAAAACAGTTTAAATCTCTGCAGTGTGTAAAAATCGTGAGTTCCTGGCGCCCCGCCCAGGTTAATGTTCTATTCACTTCATTTTCACCTCGTCAGCTTTTCAGAATGTGTTATGTGTAATGACTAATTTTGTAACCGCAACAACCAAAGTCCGTGCACTTTAAATAGAAGATGACTGGACTGCCTTACGAGGCAAAAATCTTTCCTATTATATCACAAATAGTCACATATTGCGCGCCAAATATTTTAAAACTAGTCTTTCATTGTGAGAATATTGGCTGTGGGGGGGGGGGACCGAATGCCTTTACAGATCGGACGCCAATTCGGTCAACAAACTTTTTCGATTTTATCAGTTTTTCAGACACAAATATAGCTAACCCCTTTCAAAATATAAGGATCTTCAACGATCGTATGAAACTTTAATGATAAAATAAATGCTCTTTTAGTAAGGAAAAGATCTAGTAGTCATAAATTCGCATCAGGGTCGTCTTTCTCACAGCCATCTTGATCAAAAACACTAGTAACCGACTGTTCTTCCTACGAGCTTACGAATACGGCATTAGAAAGCCATCTAATATGGCGGCCAAAGGTTTAACTCGTATGTCTAGCACATCATCATCATATAGATGTCACCGTTTTAAGTGTGCTTTTAGATAAACAAAAAGACTATGATTTGTGATTATCTATTGGGCTATAGCATGCAATTGGGCACAAAATACGCCCCTAGAAATATCCATTACGAGCGGCAACAAGCTGCTAAGAACCATGGTTTCCTATTGACGTATTTTCGGGGCAATAATAGGGAAGAAAATATCCTTCTTCGGAACAGACATCAATTGAAATAATGGCGGGACCAACCATTCATCTTTTTCAAGTCGTCTTTAAGTATAGATTAGCGCCTACACAATAATTACGCTGGAAACCGTAGCAAAGGGCCGCAAAGTGTAATCATCTTAATATCTGGAGTTGCATCACCGTTTCCCGATAGTATAAAAAGGTCTCGAACCAGCGCAAATCTACATTGGGGAATTTATGCAAAATCGTCTTATGCCGTAGGTCGATTAACAAGCACGGGAGATTTATAGCTAAGTTTATGACTTGCATAATTACATACGCATAATGGTAAGTAATTTAAATGTACGTATATACAATTATCATTTTATATATATGCTATCTTAAAGGCAAAAAAAAGTGTGACAGATAATGAAGCAAACATTCTCCAACCGTTTTTAGGTTGGATTTCCCAACCATCATCCAACATGAGGTATCTGGTCGGTAATAATCAACTTGTAAACAATTTAGATAATCTCAGGGTTTAAAGATGTCTGAATGGTGCTAGTCTTCGACTTGCATGCAAGCGTCAAGTGTTAATTGAGTTGAAAAACCTTTAAACCAGAGTCTTAAAGAGAAAATCTTAACTGTTAACATAAATATTTCTCTTCACGCTTCTATCGCCGGTATTTGAATCTTTTCCGTAAAAAACTATCAACATGCATGTTATATGTTTAAGACTTAGTGAGCTGCGATTAAGTTTGGTTGATATAGCATGTGCACTGTGTTAAAAAACTGAAGTGATCTTATAAAATATCTATTGATTCTGAATTAGAGAAAAAACCCTTAACGAATGAATGTTAGAAATAAAGATTTGCGAATTTATATCTGAGCCTGCAGCCAAATTGACCGCAAATTTCGTTTGAAAAACAGGCCCGTAACCGAGCACGTGTCCTGTAAACATGCAATCTAATGGACGATGGACTTTGGCAACAGCGCATAGACATCTTTTCCCGTGTAATTGCAGCCGTTTGTCTTCAGATATTCAAGATTTGTCATGCACAGCTCAACAGCCCAGATTGGCAAAGTATGTGATGACATCGATTGATTTGCGCTTCAGCAAAACTGGCATGCATTCGGCAATTACGATCGTGAAATATACTTTTCCGAGCGCTTTCAGTCTCCTCAGAGCATCTGGATGTAATTGAGAGTTCATGTTGCCCGACCTGAACTGGTTTTGAAAATCGTCAAAAGATCCTTGAGATGCTTTGCATATTTTTATATTGATTCTGGTGAATAAAATCCCGCGGGACGGGTTACATATATGCAACAAACTATATGTATAAATACTTGATATGTATTTCGTCCGCAAATAGGGTGGAAACCCCAGAAAAATTTGATGATTATGTAGTTTTTATTGCATAAAATATTATAAATATTTGTGTGAAGATACAATTATAGAGTATATGCAAACACATCAAGACAATTTTGCTATAAAAATTAGGTGATGTGGGAAGTTTTCGTGAAAGCTTGGGTCGCAACCGAATATATTTAGCTACTTGAATTCTTCGTTCAATAAACGAATATACATTTATCAGTGATCAAAACGTCTCATTCCATACGACAGTTAGTTAAATCCTTGATTCAAGTATATTAGCCGACTACATGACACCGGCGATTATATGAAAAAAACTCAAGTCACATTTACGGTCTCATCAATGTCTGTCCGCGTCGAACGCAAATCCGAGTGTGCGTGCTATTTAGAAAACGGGTAAAGTTAGATTTATAAATATAGGCGCATCAAAGTGACATAAATGATTAAGACAAGATAATTAGGTACTGGAGTCATTCAAACCAAATGTTTTTTTCCGGAAAAAAAAACAAACCTTCATATCTTTCGAGCAATCTCGAATGAAACACGCCGGAAAACTCAATCGCGAAGATTTTGTTGTTTTAAGACAACAACTTATTGATGAGATAAGCTTTTGTGAAGAGATAAGAGCTGCCTTGAATGAAAGCCTTGAATTGATTCAGCGAAGCAGGGCGCGAGCCTCGCAGATACGTGTGTATGGCTTCTTAATTAGCAAAAATTAAAGAACTCGTAAACACATGTCCGTTGTAGCCACCCATGCAGGTGAATCTTGAGCAGTTTTCAGCCAGGTCAGTCGAGGTTAAACTAAACTCCTGGCTGAAGATAGGGTAAAGGAAGCAGAAACGCTCGCTAATTGTGATGAATCTTGTTTTCCGCTGCGGCAAAAGTTGGTTAGCCCCAAAAGGAAGTGTAACTCCCGACATATTTTGAAAGTGTTTTGAATTTGTTAGGGCACAGAAATCACCTCTTGTTTACTGTTTTTGTTTCTCTAATTATTCGAAACGGCCGAAAAATTTGTTTTATGTTTACCGAAAAAGTGGACTTTAGATAAAGTATGCTCGACAAATATTGATAATATACGGACTTGTTCAAATATTCTTGCATAATGCAGCTACACGGCGATTCCCTCTTTCTAGCGTATGTTATTGAGTGAGTTATGTACACGGTTGTTGATGCTTTGCGAAGCCAAGGTAATCTACTCTGGTGAATTTACTCGATAGCATACACTGGGAGGAGGCTTAATGTTTAAAAGCGCACATGCTCGAATCATCAATAATAAGTTTCAAAATCTGTACTCGATGAAAAAGGGGTCATGCTTATTTGCATGGGTAATTTACAAAGAAGCACTTGCGTCAACCTGCGTATTCTTTTCATCACAAATGGTATCACAAATCCTTCTTTTATCAGGCTGAAATCTACCAAGCAGTGGATCAAACAAGGATATCTTTAAGCCGATGACAGATGACACAGATAACTTGCTCGTAGCCTCGTAAACAAAAGTCAATAGAAATTAGTCGTTTAGCTCTATCAGAGTATCGCCAGATAAGAAAAGAAACTCGCTCGAGATCTGATCAAAATATGCATACAAGTCGTGCAGACGTGAAGAGTCTACCCACTACCATTTATACAGGGGCTGCATATTCACATATCCAGCTTATCGATCTTATATACAAGATTAAATCTATAGGAATTGAATGATTTGGAGGCATTAAAATAAGATTTGTTGAGGTATAGAGAAGGCAATTAAACGCTGTCGAGATCAAACAAGTAACATTGGCCAATATACCTCCCTTTACGAGGCTTTTAATCTCGGGTAAGAGATCAAGATCACGTATAAACAATTAAACCCTTGCTTTCGTATCTCACTCATCAACTCATTCGTCAAATCTCATTAATTTTTTGAGCTGCATGAGCTTTTGAAAGAAATGTAAAAGTTGATGACGTCTGGTAATGTCCAATCATTGCCTGTAGCCGGGTCCTTATTTGGATGAGTCGACGGTTCAAAATGAGTTTTCGAACAGGTAGGTCTTTAGCCATCCAAAGATCAAATAAAATTTTCGAATAAAATTTTCTCCGTATCAATCACACTGAAAGGAATATTACACCGATCAGAATTTTCCTTCTGTATCGATTGGTCATAGTGTAAATTACACGCATGACTAGCCGACACGTGGAAGCACTGTTAATAATAATAACTGATAATAAAGATCGTTTGTTTGCCATCTTATATGCACACACAAATGATATTTGGTTGAAGTAAACCACAGTTTTCTAAGATCATCAACAAACGTTCAAAAACAAGGAACGAAAGTAGCTATCAATTAATACAGTCAACGTTAGTTTATCAGCATACACAACAGCAAAGCCATGACTTGGACGTTTATGAAAAGATGACGAAGCTTTCTATACGTTTTTGGGCGTGTTCGTTTGTTTATTCGCCCAGAAACGGATGCAAACACTCTAAATTTACGACAGACATGGGAAACAAATCAATATATTGCAAAGATATTGATTTAAGGAGTAAATTGTGAGTTTGAAAGTGTTATAGTTAGTTATAGCCGGAGAAACAAGAAGACCACAAGACTTCTCTGTGATTGATACTAGTGCGCTGTGATATGTTAAAATGTAGCTATAGTGCATTGCAAATTATGTAATATTTAGTGTAAGCAATCATCATTATAGTCATTGCATGCTGTGTCAATAACAATGAGCAGGGACTAAAATAAAGGACAATTCTAGATTTAAACGAAAAGAACAAACTTGAAAGTGTGTCTTATATACAGAATAGGTGAAACTGCAAAATTTGGTTGCAAGATCCGTTGTAAAATGTTGGAAATATCGATAGCTCTGCAAAGTATGCTACAGTGTAGAAGAATGCATTTTAGACCCAAAACTGCTTCGATCTCATCTCGTGGACGCTCCACATCTTTTTATTGGAGCTATATTAAAGATCTGTTCACACAGTTCACTCATTTTTAACACGAGCGATTTGAATCCTGCTTGTTGACACAATCTATTTCATATAGTCCATACCCATCGAATGGAATCGCAAATCAAGGTTCATTCCGACATGCAGCGAACACTGAGCTTCAGGAAAGGCCATGCAACGGATCTCATTTTGAAAGGACCAAATTGCCTTTGTCCTTGGGTAATTGTAGATGATTAAAAAAACACGTAGCTTAACTTACAACAAACCTGAAATAGAATACCTGACAAAGCATTCCTGTACCACGGACGCCAATGAGTCGAAGAGCTGCTGTGTTGAAACATATTGACTCTTTTCTCACGTCATTTAGTGATTTAGGAATTCCAAGGCCACCTAGGAGATATAAAAAAAGGATCGTCTCTTAGTTAAGCATTAGACTGAGGACATATCTCGGTCAGCCGGCAGTTTGAAACTTCCTAAACTCGGAAAAGCAAGGAAACGTAACGAGATGAAGCAAGTAAAAGATTACCATTGTATTGAGTTCATGGAAATAGAAAATACTTTCCAACCATAACTTTGACAACATCCGTTTTTAATCGTTAAGCTATATGCGAACGCCATGTAAAAACCTGTACGTGTTTATATACAGTGGTACAATGAAAAAACCCCGGAAAAATGTACACGTTTTTCCAAGGATACAACTTGTGTTAAAAAAATATTTACTCGCATGTATTCAGTATAAGGTTATAAGCAAAGTCGTATAATTCATGCAAGAGTAATTGTATATACTCTATTCAGTGGTACCTAATTATTGCAAGGCCGAAGAGAAAGCACCACGCTCAAAGCCGGCTTGTTTGCAAAGGCGGCCTTTCTGTGACTCTCCAGGCGGGGGCATAATTAGCGAAAGTCGGGCATTATTGACTCACGGTTTGGAAAGGCGCATCGTACACCGACTTTATTGTGCAAAAAGGCCGAAGATGGCGACAGACTGTTTGTGTCAGCAAATGTCCGTGCTAAATTCACTCGCATTTCTTCGCCATCTACCCCTGGTTAATTCGCGCCCTAATCGCCTTTCAACACCGTTTTAAACACCTTCGGATGGTAGATTGCCCGAAACAGGTGTCCACGGGAAATGTGGACGGGAAACTGCGCGATTTTATCTCACGTTTTTCGGCCCGATTTAAGCTAAACAAAAAATTGAAAGGGCATTTACTTAATTGGAACGGTTATCCGTTTGTTACAGCGTACTACGAACTTGGTAATTCTTTTTATATGTGCATGTCTGGAAGTCACCTTTTGAAGCTTTGAATTTTTATCGTTTTGACGACTTAAAAGAAACTAGTGTATATAACCAGGCTGTATATATCGAATCCTATAGTTATATACAGTCGATAGTATTATTATTATTCAAAGCGGTTTATACCACACATGTCTGAACTTATTTCGAAGGTGTAAATTATCGTGTAGATCATAGTTGGGCAATTTTTTTACATCAATAAGTTCGGCACATTGTTTACGAGGAAAGCAGGCGGAAAATGACGATCCCGCTCGATTTTCCCAGTTTGAAACAACCTGTTCGTGGTGAAGTGACGAAAATAGGCCAGTTTTAATGCCAATTAGAGCCGTAATCGATCACTAGAGCACTACCTTCGCGCACGGCAAAATGGACAGAAGTTGTATAGTAAGGAAACAATTAATTAGTCACGCACTGTGTAATCACTTTAATTTTGTCTTGTCATTTCATGCCGATCGCGAGAAACAATCGCCTTTGAAGCACGCTTTTTGGAGAGGGCAAACTTGGCGAATGGACAGCGCGATGTGTTAAAACGTTTTCGAAAACGCGATGATCCTAGCGCTCGCTCGAACGGCCAACAGCCAATTTTCGGGCGTGTTTATGTTTGCTGTATCGGTTACGGCAGCCATCTTCCCTTCCCGTTCCCGCGGAGTTCGAAGGGTCTTTAAACAATTACATGCAATTAACTAATCATAGGTTTTATTTATAATTATTTGACGTTACCCGTTACGCACTGCATGGGCACAATTAAAGAATGAGAATCGGTGAGTGTGCAAACAGTTCGCACTGAATATCTGCCCTGCCGTTTCCACATCTCGAAGGTGCCGAAAGACCTCGGTTTTTACAACAAACGAGTTGCTTTGGTGAGAAATTTTAACACAATACCAGAGCGAGAGAGCCGCTTTTCGACGGATCAAAGGTTTAAGAAAAATTAAAAAGGCGATATGACGGCACTTCTAAAAGCTTTAACGATCTTCCTTTTCGCTGCTACGCCGATCTTGATCGAAGCAACGGCCGGCGGATGGTGGTGAGTTAAATCTACATCAAATATTTGGATTGTTGTGTTTTCTTTTAATCAGCATGTTTGAGATTTGTTAAGATAACCGTTGAAGATAACGATTACGCCTTATCCAGTGAAAGCCCGCGAGGTGTTCCAGATGGTTTGAACGCGGTCAGTTATACCAGAGAGAGAAGATCAAAATGTTCAATAATTTCATTTCGCATTTTTCATTTGATGCGGTCTTGTGATAGTGGACGATTTAGTTCTGGCTTAGCTGGATAAGAAGGGTTCCATCCACTTTCCTATATAACCATATATAACACTGTGGTTGTACGCGCAGTTAAGTTGTCGCAAGGACTGTTCATCAAAATCTTTGTATTTCAAACAGGGTCGCAGTTTCTTTCGTTGCAAGCTCGACAGAGGACAGGCCTCAAGGCCCAGTGAATATCATCAGCTCTGCTTTATCGGAGGCGCAACAGAGAATCATCAGGAATCAACGTTCCCCTAATCTGGTTGAGACGATCGCAAGCGCGGCACAAATGGCGATCAATGAATGCCAACGACAGTTCAAGGATCGCAAATGGAATTGCTCTTCGACCAATCCGTACAACGTTTTTGGTCAGATTCTACAGAGAGGTAGGTAATAGACTTGGATATGTTTAGAAAACTTGTCGTCTTTCCTTTCTGAGTTTCTAAATGTTAAACCTGATGGGTGTCGGTCTGGTTTGCGTTGCGCGGCCGAAGGTTGCTTGTGTAGTAGTGAAGATTTTGCCTGGACTTAGATTAGTATAGATTAACAAACTATAAAAATATCTCTGCGCTAGGATCTTGCTCATATTTGCTTCCAGTTGTTGCACTCCGTGACAAATATGCAATATTCTTATTTTCATTCAACCTTTATCTAACCCGCGCGATCAAGTCCTTGCTGAGTAGTCACCAATGATTACTTTTAGTATATCGCCACCACAGAAACTATAAATGGTATACCTATCAGGTTAAATTGCTTATCTATCAGTCGATTGAACATAAAGTATTTAAGTATAGTTCGTTTTCCGCTTCGAGACCGCAGCAGCTTGACCAAAATCCCGACTTCATGAAACCTAGCTGTCAGCAATATTTGTGTTTGTATATCGTTTTTCTGAAGGAGCAATATTGTGCCTATCAAAATCAAGTGTTTATCAATCAGTCAAGAGGGTATTAGATTTTGAGTGTTTATAAGTGTAAATATAATCTCTGTATAAATCTATAATTGATTGGCTAATCAGGCTATGAGCCAAAAAGCGTCGTGTTAGGTATACACAAGCGGTTCATTTTATAAACGGATTATAGCATCATGGATCATGGCGAAAAGGTGTCGCTAACTTGTACACAGTCCATGGTAAAACTAATTGTATATCTTTTTATGATGAATGATATGGTTTTGAGCTGGAATTTCGTCTAGTAATATATGGGAACAGTTTGACTTCTAAACATTGCGAAGCTCACTGACATTAAACTATATATATAGCTGTAAGGTTATCCAACTAAATCTAGATTCAGTCTTCTATTTCGCCGATAAATAAGACAACTCGAAATGCTGGAATCCGAAAGCATGTATGTACGGTCAATATTTACAAACTTGAATAACTTCAAAGCATGTTTATGTTAATTAAATGGTTTGGTTACATTCAATAACGCCCCATGCAAACACACCAAGGCAACATGACATGTATGTGGTGTTGTGTGTAATCGCTGCGCTGTTGTCACAGGTCAAATATTATTTAAAAAACAACAACAAAAGCCTTCGTAAAACTCCTTCGACTTTCGTCAGTAATAGCTTCTGAATCTCCTTGTTTAGATTGGTTTGCCGCAAAACACACCCATGCACTATGTTTGCGCTGCGAATTTCTAAACCGGCATCCGTAAAATTCGTGACAAAGCAGATTTAAGTCGCCGAACTGTGTTTTGGTAAAATTATGGACGGATGACTTTGCGATGTGAGATAGCTTTAGGAGAACGTATCGCTCAAAAGGCGCTTGCAGATATACAGAATCTTGCATGTAGGTTTCACTTGAGCTATCACTTGAGCTATATGACGAATGATTTTTTGTAACATCAGACTAATATCGAATCGTATAGACAGTTGGTTCAGAACTTTCCAGTTTATCGAAACAATTGATTGTAACCGTTTACATTGTATATGTTTAGTTTTGGTTTCAGCCGTCTGAGCGGTCTACCCACGCATACCGATAAAATGATGTTGAAATAAGTTAATAAACTATGTAGTTCGTTATCCTTTCCTTACATCAAGCCTGACAAACCCTAAACTCGCGAAATATATTCGCTCGCGGTCAAATACAGTTTACTCAACTAAAAGACTACGAGCTATGGACAATGCATGGCTACTCTTAAAGTTATTTTTTATTCATATCAAAGTATGATTCGTATAATTTCGGGTCGATGCGAGGCTTTTCATACCGCGGAGTAAAACCTAATTTGTTGAAAAGACTGCTCGCAAACAAATTGTACGAGAACGACGAATAGGCAAATGCTTTGAAAGTTCGAATTCTTTCGAGAAAGACAATATTTTGTCTCTGGAAAGCACTATACCAAAAGTTACCGTCATTTGATACAAAACTTTCGGAGTTTGGATTGACAGAATGCGCCAGAAATTAGACGCCATTTTTCAACTCACACCCTAAATCGCTTATAAATTCAAAGTTGAACACAAGGCTAATAATATGTGTGCGCTGGTCGGGCACTGCTGATGTTGCGCTTATAAGTTGATATAAAATCTTAATATCCTATTCATTTACATATATACACATATATAGGCTATATGCTACATATTTCGCGGTTACAGAGAAACCAGAATGTTCACGACAGTCATCCAACGTCAAAAAACATAGAAAATGATGCCTTTTATTCAACGTTTCTGTCCACGTAGTCGTCATACAGCAGAAATGATTGGGTTTATTTACGCGGAAATCATCCCAATGATGACTAAATAAACTCGAAATGCCAAAAACAGATGCCTTAAACTTCATTCAAAGTTAGATATCCTTGTTTCGTGTTTTACCAAAATATTCAAGTACTAGAAATTTTGATTCAATTTAAAGTGGTGGTGTTATATTTTAAGTATTCACTTGGCTATATTCCCGACTTTGGAAAATCAAACTGAATCATGCATGCAATAATTCGATTAGGATACACTAAAATTTTACTCGCATGTAGCTATTTTATATCTTTTGCTGTAAACATTTCAAAATGACGGGATCTAATTTCTTATAACTCAAATGGAAGTAAAGACGAGCTCGAAATGAGGGTTTCGCGATGGCCTAACGCCGTATAAAAAAATTGCATTTACAGTCGACCACCCAGCAAATGAACAAATTAAACGTTGCGGGCCCCAAAGTGCTCTGTAATTGAGCGCCATTAGAGGACGTATACAGGGCTATTAGCTTTTCAAAAACCCGGTTAAGCAGTAATTCTTAAACAATGACGGCAAAGTAGCCGAGGGTCGCCTTCATATAAGTGAAGCACTTTTGTAGAAACCGCAGCAGCGGACGCGAAATTATGTGTGTAGAGGTCTAGAGTTTGGACTTCGAGGTACATGATCAAATTGATACATTGGCGCGATTTGTGTGTACTATAACTAATCCATACAAGAATTTATAGGTGAAGCTTATGTTTGAACACATATTCCCTTGAAATACCAAACGCAAACTGATCCAAATATCCCGGAAAGTGGCTAAAAGGCTTCATTTTTAGCATAGCACTTTTGTAACAGATAAACTGAGCGAATTAACAAAGGATATATCTTGTGAAAACGCGTTATTTGAATCTTTTTCTCCTATATGAAATCGTATTTAATCGAAACTTTATCGATCACAAATATTGTTCCCGCGGCTCTACTCGAAGCACACCATGATCAACAACCATAATTTATTATTCTAAGATGAATACGAATCGTTTCTAAAACAGTTTCAAATGTATTTAATCTTTCACGCAATGAAAATATTACTGAGCGACATATATAATCATTTAGATATCAAATAGTAGTTTGAGAATCGTGCGAAATTTCCTAAAATGGTCTCCATCCAGCAAAAACCCACTGATAGTTATCTTCATCAAGCGAAGTGCCGAAAAGTATATTAAAATAATTTAGATTCACATTATATTTTGTAACTCATAATGACAACTTGATAAATTATACTGTGTCACGGATAACTATCCTTTTCGAATAGATTTCCTGGTATTTCAAATCAAGCACTTTTATAATTGAACGCGTCCGCGCTTTAAGTTCCTGTTAGTGAAATCGGCACGAGCAGGCTATTCAAGGCCGTGATATGCGCGGCAAAGTTGCCTGTGCCCTTGCCAAATTTTAACAAAGCAATGTTACAGTTTAACGTTAAACAGCGTAGGCACCAACAGTGTTAAGATCAAAACACCTTGTACCGACCAGACACGGAATTTTAAGAATTTCAGAACTTGCACGCGGAATGTGAAATTCTGACCACATCATGCAAAATGATGTTGTTCAATTTGGCAAATTCGGTAGGTTTTCAAAGAAAATATAAACGCTATGTAAAAGCGATAGTTGGTGTACGGCTAAATGAAAAAAAGTTGCATGTTCTTCCAAAATATTAGACATTAAACCCCAAGCTGGAACGAGGTACTGTTGTGGATTTCCTATCGTTACTCGTTAACTTAGAAATTAAGCTTGTAAGAAGACCCAAGATTTTTCTAGACGCAAATTTATAATTAAAAAGAGCATAACGGGTTACAAACAGTCAACATTTAGCGCTTAAATTCGTATCAAGGCTTACTCTCTTGACAGACGGTTTTAGTAAATCGCTGTATGATGCAGTTCAAAGTGGCTTCCCTTTAAACCACGAAAAAAACGATCATGTATGTTGTAGCTACCTTGTGTTTTTAGCATTGGTTGATTTAAGTATTTATATTTACTTCCATTCATCGAATGGGTAATCAAAATTGCCTCAAATTCATGCGTGTCCAACTGGTTTAGATTTTTAGCAGTTCACGCACATGTAAGGCTGTCAATGTTTCCGTCATGAGTAAATCTTAACTTAGTTAGAGAATTTTCAAACATATCAGGCAAACAGCACAGCGTTAATTACACTTGTAACTGTGAAAAATAGACAGTGGTCCTTTCTGTTAAATCACAATTGCTTGATTTCATAATTCATAACCTAGTCTACCGGTGATTTTACCAATTTTCATTGCTAAAACACCGATTTTAACCACAATTCATTTATTTTCTTAACATATAGCATGTCGTGAGACCGCATTCGTCTACGCGATAACTGCGGCCGCGGTCAGTTACTCCATCTCTCGGGCATGCGCAGACCGTCAGCTTAGGTCCTGCACATGCGACAAATCGAACGAGGGCGTGGTCGACAAAGATGGATGGCAATGGGGAGGATGTGGAGACAACATTCGTTTCGCCGATAAATTCGCGAGAAGATTTCTCAACTCGGCGGAAATCCACAAAGACTTTCGCGCCAGAGTGAATATGCACAACAACGAGGCTGGAAAAGCGGTATGAAATAGATTTTCAATCATTTTCATGTCATGGATGTGATTCCTGCAGTTTAGTCTTGCAGACTTTTCTCAGTATACAGGATAAACCGAAGGATTAATTTCTAGGTCAATGGGCAGGGAAGTGGGGTGTCAAAACGTCCGCGGCAGTGGTATGAAGAGCAGGGGGCGAGGGTGGGGAGGAGTTGCAGGGTGTGACTTATGATGCATTTAGCAAATCCTTCTCGGTTCTTTGGCCTTTCGGCTACGTTTTGTAGAAACGTTTAATGAGACATATATAATGCATTACTGGCCAAGTCATATTGTAGTTGCCCGTCTTTGGTAGCTGAATGCGAAAGATAGTGGCGCCCCTAGAGCCCTTCGCTCCCTGCTCATGCACCTGTCCGCCATCCCTGACACACCCAGGCCGGGCAAAACTTGTGTTGTCAAGTTGAAACACTTTAAATCGTCTCCCATCCCGCGTTTAATCGGCAGAGAAATTATAATCACACAAGTATTATATGCTACTAAATGAAAACTCTTGACATAGTTCAAGGTGTATTCGTGGACTAACCATTAATAACGTTATACTAACCAACCCGTCCGAAGCATTTTGCAGTGAAAAGAGTTCTAGATATTTTTTCATGCAAACGAAATAGATTTTGCCACTATAAATAACCGCAGGAGCTTTTTAATTAACTTGGTATCGGCTGGCCGACTCTTTATAGAAAAAAATATATGTATATATATTGGGCAACGTGTTCGACAGGAAATCGGGCTCTTGAAATTGATCGTTGTTTAAGCATGCGGTGCTCTGTTTACAACAAAGCAGTGGTTCTGGGTGGCCGTGAGCGAATTTGCAACGTCAAAACCGCTCAAATATTGCGTCAATGCGACAAGGTTGACGAGAGCATTAGTGTCAGATATTGCATCAAGATTTAATCAATTTAACTGGTAATTCCTTAGAATTACTCCGGTTTAATTTTTCCGTATACAGGAAAGCCATTAAGTTATCTTAATTTCGTATTGTGTTCACTTAATACAACTGTTCCGTGGTATTTTCATTTATTTATCTTCATGTTAATTAACCACAAGTTTCGGGTGCCGACACACCAAAGTTTCAAAAACAAGTCACAAAACAGTTCTGATCAAATTCAGACACCAAAGTTAAGCGGGTCCATGCTTGCTCGCAACTTAAACACTTTAAACCTGAATGAACTTTTTCGAACTAATACGATATATGCTAAGTTATCATTCGAGATATAATCTTTTGCTAATTGATTGTTGATATGATTGGGCTGTCAAAGCCGGGTCTGATAAAACGTATCCGAAAGAAGCTGCTATTCATGATGGTGTAATGAATCGATTCTCGAATTTACGAGTCTATTTTCACCTTAGACAAATCTTGCGACCGACATGCACTGTCAAGAAGATTGTCATTCATTTAATAAACCACTTGAGCGTGTCGCTATTCATCGATTTTATCTCAAATCGCAAAGGTCTCGAGTCTACACGCAAACAATTCAGGGTAGTTATCCAATGACTTTCCATAACCGAAAACACGTGCTATAACATCCAACTATATAATGTACGTTACGATATTACACTCGGGGAGCAAACAAGCAGATTAAATCAGGCCTAGACAATGTTGTATCGCACCCCACGAACACGGTTGTATAAACAAGTTGCAACAAATTGTTAGGCTTCAACAAGTTTTAACAGCACTGTTGACAATCGTGTTCGTGGGGTGCAGCACAGCATCGTTCAGTCTTTTTTATCAATCGGGAACAACTTGTTCGCTTTTATTCGTGTATAAGCGCCGTACATTTTCTGGAGTCGTTTGTGTCCTGTCACCTCGGCTTCTTGGTCGTCAACAAATACTTTAATCAAGTCAACACTCGTTACTTCATCTTGTAGGAGTATTTTGTATGCGCGCGAATATGACCCTAAATCGCTTGGCCTGACCAACAAGACTTCCAACACACTAATAAACTCGTGCTTGAAAACGTTGCTCACCAATTTTGAAGTAAAATGCGATTTCTTGGTCGTCCTTTGGCAAAGTAGCACGCAATGAAACCATATTCCTACCAAAATGGATTAGGTCGAAAGAGTCGAACAACACGAACATTTTATTGACACTGCACATTCCATAAACAGTGGAAGCTCTAAGCCGGCTATTAGCATGTCCTAAAATTAAAGACGGAACGTTCCAGCGTTGGTTAGTGCTAATCATTTCAAACGCATACGACAAATGAAAATTCGGCTCGTTCTATTATACACTGCATGAAAATCTCGCGGCACTTCGGACGTGTGAATTACCACACTCGGCGAGATTTCTATGTAGGTGCGTCAAAGGTCTTTCGAAAACGTTTTCTCGAAGATTTTTGTTCTACAATATCAATATTTAATTGCTTAAAACATTTCTTCTTCAAATCTTTACACTGAAATAAAAACACCTTTTATAAAGATGGCATTTACTCGAAAATATATAGGATCTGCTGAACCCGATAAGGATATACGTGGCCAAAACATCAGTGACCAGTTTTATAAAACTATTTAACAACACGTTGCATAGTTAAATCCTAGTTAAGTCAGAAATACACAACTCTGATTGGCCAATTCTTCCCTTAACTACAGTTAAAAGATAGCCTAACTAGCCCTTTATACAACTGGCGCAAGTTCAACTAACTATAAAACTATACTTTTCATGATCCAAGTATTAATGTTTATCTGAAATGATATTAAAAGCGCAGCAAGCAACACCCATGCAATCAAGCCTTGATTTGAAGGAAAGGAAATAATTTCAAAGAAATAATATTTCACTAGTTAAATACATGAAGCATGCAGTCGGCTGCAATGATATACGGGACCAATGATATACGAGTCCGGCACAGCGCCATTACACGCAACAGAATATTAGCCAAATCAAATAAAATCAGCCGAAAACAAGCGGATGGCGAGATAAGAATGAAAATTAAAGTCGTCGATTTTTTTATTTTATATAATTTGTCTCTCAGGTTTTTGTCTATTAAAAGGTCAGTATTATGAGTTATTTTTACTGTGTAATTAGATCTGCTCAACTCACTTTGTGAACAAGGATCGCGGAGCCTGTTTAAAAGTGGACGGGGGTGGTTATCATGAATTTTATCCGATAATCTTTCTGTGCGAGAAAAAAGTGGGAGTCTTCTTCCCCCCTCGCACCCCTTTCCTACGCCCCCCCGGTCTTGGCAGTCTATAGTCAAACTGCAGCTATCAATTTCACAATGTTTTATGTTTCAATGCAGTCTATTATTTTGAAATGGAGTATAACTGAACATATTCGATCTTAGTGAACATATTCGGGACTGAAGAGGCTACCCCTCCCATACAGTTACAGGAAACAGTTGAAAAGTTGTGTGATTGTTAGAACCGACATCAATAATTGCGGCTGGTCAAAAATAGAGATAATAAATAAAATAAATTAGGTCCTATAAAATTTTGTACATAGATTTTTATCATAATCAAACACTTATGTTTCCGCTTTTTTTACTTTTTGCTGTGTTCGAGCCATAAAATAGTCCTCGAGCGCTGCTAAAGTACGAAATGGTCGAGCTTTTAGGCTACGCGTTTCACGGTTAATCTAAAGTAGCCATGACCTAAGGGAGTGGGTATACGTACTTATGAATACTAATTTAGCACTAATATAATCATAACACTATGAAACAATTCAGTCTTTGGGCGAGCGTGAAAATGCTTCCCTTAATCAACTCCTTAGCAACAGGGTAGCAACGGTGAGGAAACAAATACTGGACATATAATCCTGAGTTATTCGTCAATTTCACCAGCTTTTTAAATAATAAAAGCGAAAGATTCTTCTAACCGTTAAGGTTCTTTGTCACGTTAGACGAAGAAGAAATCGTGAAAATGCTGTTGCTAAAGACTTGGTTAATCGCGGTACAATGTCATGATCTGATGTGAAATTTCAATTACTTTCATAGGCCGTAAAAAACAACATGGTTCGTCGTTGCACCTGTCACGGTATTTCCCAAACGTGTACAGTTAAAACATGTCGAAAAACCATTCCGGACTTTGAAACTGTGGGGAGGATCTTAAAGAGAAAGTTTGACGGTGCAACGCGAGTCGAGTTAAAGCAAAACAGTTCTGGGAAAAAGATTACATTCACGCCTGTGAACAAGGAACACGCATCGCCCACAAAGAGTGACCTTGTCTACTACGAAGATTCGCCCAACTTTTGTTCCAAGAATTCGAAAGTTGGCTCGCTGGGAACTGTGGGACGGGAGTGCAATCGCACTTCACAGGGCACAGACGGTTGCGACTTGCTTTGCTGCGGTCGGGGATATCGCAGCGAGTGGAAGACACTCCTCAAGCCGTGCAATTGTAAATATTTTATTAAATCCTGGAAGGTGAAATGCGAATCATGCAAGGAAATTAAGAGTGTTTATCTGTGCTTGTAGCATAGACACGTGGACAGTAAAATATATCACGTGGGCACAACAAGGACGGATGTGAGAATCCGGGGGGCATGATGGACCCCGCTGTAATTTAGAGCAATCGTTAATATTTAGATGCTTTAGGTTAAATAGCCAATTTGTAATTATAAGTTATTCTATGTATCTTAATTGTATTATAGCGTTTAAATAGAGCACTGATTGTTAGGGCTCTTCCTTTCTATAAATTTTAACAACGGGCAACTGGATACTTGGATAGCGTGTCTGATCACATCAATGAGCCAATTTCGAATAGGGTTATGAAGCGAATACACTTTCCTACGTAGACTTAACATGACAATTGTAAAAACGAGTTTAACGTATTTAACAGCATTGAGGACCTTGATGCAAGCGACGTTTCCAACAAGAAAACGCTGCTTGCTTTATCTCTACGTTTGCCGCGGCCTGATTAAAGTGGTTTTGCGTAAATTCGAATCATTTAGAAAAGATCGACCTATATAAGTCGCTGATTATTGACCACCAAAATTTCAGAAGTGACATTTAAGAAGGAATGGTTTCATGAATTCAGTCATACGTCATCTAACGGTCTTACAAAGAGATTTCTGTTCTGATCGTGGGCTCGCTCATTTACGCATATCAGATGCACTATCCAGTTCGCCTTTCGCCTGGACCCAAGCTTTGTTTACTGGACTGCTTTGCAGACTTAATTACGTTGACATGCGCGGATGTTAGCATTGTTTACGCGCCTCAATAGATGTATAGATGTATACCTAGCCAGAAAGATTCAATCAGTTAAGTTAAATCAAAATAATATACCAGGTTTCGTTATCAATAAAAGTATTTACGTGAAATATTTCTTGTGCGTCAATATAGTTTGTTTTCATTTTGACTGAAAAAGCAACGGTGAACTCTAAAAGAACTTGGACGATTGCCTGACCGCCTTCGTCCTTTTTTATTGCTTTTTGACTACGATGTTTACAAAAGCGTATACCAAAATTTCCCATGTTTTGCGTAAATTGTCGATTACAATTTAAAATATCGACCAATAGGTAGCTGATTATTTTGGCGACCAAGACTTCAGAACAGACACTTACAAGGCATGGTATATTCTCATTTGGAAACGGTTATCCTAAAAACCTGATTGCTTCATTTTATTCTCCCTTCTGCGCTGCATGCATAAATGACCTTAGATATCCAGTCACGGGTGCAGTGGTATTTCGGGTATTCAAAACGAGCCGGAATTAAAAATATTAACCAATCTTTGAGAAGATTTACTCAACTCGGAGCCGTAAAGGCTATTGCGCAGGTCAGAACGAAAATAAGTGAGTGAGCATCATTGGAATCACAATGATCACAATAGAACTCCTTGAAGCAACTGCCAGGCCTTAGCAGTCGCTTGTAAAAAAAGGTAGTTCACCTCAGGTGCAATTTGTAAAAGGTTTGGCCAATTAGGGCCATGTATTTTAGGTTAAACCACAATTTAACAATCAAAGTGTAGTTTATTAACAGATTTATGCAAAGAGCACTAAAAATGTAACCGCTTTTTGCGATTCCCTTTAGGCTGTGAAAAACAACATGCTTCGCCAGTGTAAATGCCATGGTCTTTCCCAAGCCTGCACGGTCAAAACATGCTGGAATAAAATCCCGGACTTCAAAGTCATCGGAAGAGTTTTGAAGCGAAAATTCGACGGCGCATCGCAGGTGGAACTGGAGCAGAATAGCCCGGGACGCAAGATAACATTCACCCCAGTCAACGAAGACCACAAAGCGCCGACGAGGGCCGATCTAATATACTACGAGGAGTCACCGGACTTTTGCAGCAAGAACTCAAAAGTTGGCTCGCTAGGCACTGTGGGACGGGAGTGTAACCGCACCTCATTGGGCACTAATGGTTGTGATTTGCTATGTTGTGGACGGGGTTATCGGAGCGAGTGGAAGGCTGTCGAAAAGCCGTGCAAATGTAGATTTGAATGGTGCTGTAAGGTGAATTGTCAGACTTGCAAGGAAACGAAGAATGTGCATTTGTGCTTATAAAGCGATGTAAAGTATTACAGAGTATATCGCGCGGGCGGGATTGAAGACGGGCGCTAAGAATCGGGCAGGAAAACCCGCAAAGAAATAAAGTAAACTTAGATGCCAAATACTATATAACGAATCTATTTATGTAATAAGTTATTCTATATATATAAATATATGCTATGATAGTACGATTAATATTAGTTCTAGCATAGAGATAATTTAAAAGGTGATGACGGTTATCCACTGACCTGAATGAATGCTGTCGCAGATTCTATTAGACGTGCGCGGCAGAAGACTCTTGGGTCAGCGCCAAAATTTCCGGTTATATCCAGTGACATCTTAGAATAAAGGATTAGCATTTAGTGCGGTAGTTTACTACAATAGAATAGAACTGCGTAAAACCTGTATTTATAAAAAATCTATGTGCGTGGAGTTTGTGAGTTTGAGAGTTCACTAAATCTAAAGAAACTGGAACAATATGATTTGGTATAATGATTCCATTTTTCAGAAAATAGCTTAGATATAGCTATGGGATAGCTTCTGTTTGTATAGGGTCTAGATCAATCTTGAAGTTGCACGATATAATATTTACTCCAGAAAGGTGCAGCATTTCGCTTAAGGGCTTGGCAATCTGAATCAATTCGAAATCTCTGAAGCTTTTTCATGGGTATACGGTTAAAATATATACAGCTAGTGTGTTCTAACACCAGTGTCTAAAAGCCAAAGATAGTGACTCAAATTCCGTTTGCTCTCTGCAATGTCAGATTAATATTATGATTTCCTATTTCATATCTCTGATAATGGTTAATAATTTAAAGAAATGACAGCCAAGAAAACTTTTCTTCCAGATCCAGTCTTCTTGTAATTTGGATGTGAACCAGTGATTAGATTTTCGGATCGAAACTTCATAAACATCAATTCTTGCAGAGTTTTTGCAGTGCATATTTTAGAATAAATTGAGGGGGCGTTGTTATAGGTAAAGAGAACAAGGTTTCCACAACTTGTTTGCATTCGACTGCCCTCATACGGGGATAGCAATGACAAAAAAGAGAAACAAAGAACTTTTGAAAATATTGCATAATATATCCTATTAAGACAGATCCCTCCCTCCCTTGTTGTTGTCAATGGACGACTTGCGCTTTAGACTAATTTCTTACCTCGGCGACGAAAAGGACATTTTCTCAAAGAGCTTACTAAAATTAGTAAAACTGCCAAGTTTGGCTGCGAATTGTGTAACTAAAAGTGTGTAATAATCAGTTACACATTTCCGCACGTAATACAAAGTATACAAAATTTGCCAACTTCGCGTGGCTATATTTTCCGTATGTTACAAAATTTCGCAGCCAAACTTTGCAATTGCACTAATTTAAGTAAGATCTTTCTAGCTGTGATGATTTATTTTGTTCCAGTTACTTCGATCAAAAATTAGTCTAAAGCGCGAGTCGTCCATTGCATTGTGGAAACCCTGAAAGGCTGAAAGAGAATGGAACTAAATGGTGAGCATTTCGGAGCAGTGGCATAGCCAGCCTGACGATTTAGTCATGCTATGGATATTATCATTATTCATTTCTTCTGAAATTCATTGTTTTCACAATCAATAAACACCAAAATATTAGCATAGCATGATTAAATTATCGGGCTAGCTACGCCACTGCTTCGGAGTCGTAAAAAATAGGGGTAAGTAACATAATCTGGATCCGTGAAATCAATTACTAAGCTTTATGAAATTGGCAATAGCCTGATTTTCAAAGGTCTTTTTGATTAGATTGTCTATGTAGTTTGAAAAACCGGCACCTAGAAAAATTGTCGCAGAATATTCGAATATCCTTAATATATCTATTTAATTTATTACCAAGATATTTTATATCGATTCAAACGTATTTCATATATATATAGAGATATGTATATACTATTTACAATTTCAGAATATCAGCTTACTGCCAAGGCGTGGTTACACAGTTGCAATGGTCAATCATATTTTAGCTACGGAACGGTGGTTCAAAATAAAGTAAGTTTTCTAAAATAGTAAATTAAAACACAAGTACATTAGGCAGTATTAGAAAAATGCGATCATCTGCTATCTTGTTAAAACACAAAACTAAAATCGAAATTAATATCATCTTCTCTTTTAAAAAGCGACCTGTTAGGCTGACCGCATAAATAGCGGGCTCGATAATTATTACTCGCGTATTGAGCCCGTGATAAAATATTTTACTGTACAGCGGTTATTTTTTCTACTCGCGCCACAGTAATGGGAGACGATCACTACTGTGTCGGGGTACCGTAGATTTTAACTGCCATGCTATCAATGATATATTTCGTGCACGCCTACATAATATTATAACAGAACCATCAAAATATTCCGTTTGCAATAATCTAAATCAAAACTAAGCTAAACAGCGAGAATGCCAGCACTAAAAAGAGCTTTAATGATTAACTACAGGTTCATATAATAGGTTAGTTTTCGCGAAAGTTATATAAAATTTGACATTAAACTGAATGAGATTTTCAAAGTTAGTCCATTGCAATAAAAATGCTTTCAGCTATATGTTGGCTCATATTCTTCAAAAACGTTTAAAACTACACTTAATACTCGAGACTCTGGAACTCTGGCTTTAAGCCTGCGCTTGCAATATTCACACAACGACAGAGAGGTTTGGTTCACCTCAACTTTTTCACGAATAAAATATTCACTCGAGCGCGAAGCGGTTAAATCCGAGGCAGCTCCGATGGTGTATATACACAGAGGACCGTATAGTTCTATAGACACGTGTTTACAGTTTTCCCCTTTCGACATGTCTTGCATTTTACCTTGCAACACCAGCGGAACCTGCAGTTACAGGACGTTTTGATGTATTCAACACTTGTTTTGTAGCCTCGATCACAGCACATGATATCACAGCCGTCGGTGCCCATCGAAGTCGCGTTGCAGTAGCGCCCTTTCGTCCCAAGCGAGCCAACGGACGGATCTGGGTTGCAAAACGTTGGCGATTCACTTGTGTAGACAAGATCCTCTTGTGTCGGAGGCTTCATGGATTTGTCGTAGACTTGAAAAGACTTGCCTTTGTTGCCGAAGGAGACTTTTGAGGCAGAGTCGAAGCGTTCTTTCAGAGCTGCTCCTACAAGGCTGAAGGATTGCGGTAGTAAGAGCCAGCAGGCCTTTTGTGTGCAAGCTTGACTGTAGCCAAAACATTTGCACGTCTTCTTCATCATTTTCCGTAAAACCTAAAGGTACAAAGAGAAATTTCATCAGCAAAGAGAAGGGGGTTCTCAAAGGTAAATATTACCATTGCGAATGGGTAACGATTGGCTTTATTCAACCCCAACCCGTTATTCGAAAGGCGTTTATAGCTTAAACGGTGGATAAGACAAAGTTTAAAATACTCTCATTCATCTTGTGAAAGACTGAACCTTGGTCGTATGCATTAAATACCTACTTCCATTGAAAACTAAACTATTTATATCAAAATGTTTCGGCTCAGCTGTTTAATAAATAGATAATTGTGTTTTTCATTTTTAACTTATCCGTATAGTTTAACCAAAACACATTTCAAACAACCAACTGCTAATATAGAACAGATAATAGTTTAGCTTGAGGTTCTAAAAACTCATATTTAGATGTTAGACTTATAGTGTTATCTATTGTAGGGGGCCCTATCCTAACCATGTAAGGGGCGTTGGCTCAAATGTCAAAAGTTACGTATTGCTGGGTAAACAAAGCAAATAATCGTAGTCAAATTTGAAGTTCATCAGCTATGTTCTTTAGTCACCGCCTGTCTGGGTATCATCCTGTAATAACACTGGTATATTAAGACTGACCTCATAACAAGAGTCTAAAGTCTGCATTCCACTATTGCATTTTTCAGACGCGAGAAATATTCAAAGTACTAAATATTCTGTATTTATAATGTTGCTGTTCAAAAACTGAACTCGATTCGCATTTTTTTCGTGTGTATACGCGGCAATGGAATTAAAGAAAGTTAATTAATATTTTTTTAAGTGCGTATTTCTCCAAGGTCACGTCCGAAATAACTGGGCGTTGCAGTCAAGGTTAAGAATAACCCATACTAAGTAATAAACGATTTTCCATACGTTGAAATTTAATCTACAACGCATATGGGAAATGACATGACTAAAAAGCGATGAAAATACTTCAAGTAAAAGGGAGGCTCTCACTGAAAACCTCAAACGTATTGTCTTTAGTATTCTAGTGCCCATCAATACAGATTGAAAACTGAAATTAATTAATTTGAATGCTCTCAAACGAGACTTCTCCATTTCACTAAAGGTCCAGTAAGGTCAAGCTTCCTATACATTGATACTACATGAAACCTAAACTAGTACCACACTTCAACGAAACATCTGGTTTAAAAAATCTTCTTACAGTGAGAGCCGGCCCACCCGTGTAGGGAAGTAAGAAAACTTGAACATGAACAAAATTCAAAATTGATCGACTATTTTCATCAGTGTAAACTATTTTTTTTTGTACTGAACAGCGCTTTCTTTATCATTTTTATACACGAATGAGGTGTCACATATTTATACCTTGGCCTATAGGTCGTTACCTGTGTATAGCTGAAATATCTTTAAGTAAACTTAAATCAATCTTATTTTACCGTTACCGGAAAGTTTTAATTGCCACTAGTAATTGTTATCGATAGTGGGTCTTTGTTTTTCGTGCGACAAAGTTTACGGATGTATAAATGCAGATGGAATCAATTATACGTTAGTCACGCATGCAGTGAAGTGTTAACTGACCGACTGTCCTTCCTACCAGTTTACGAAACAAGGATTTTCAACCTTAACCTTGGACATAGCATGTTGAAAGTATATTAAAACGGCGGCAGGAAATTATGAAGAGTTTAAATGTTTATTCAAATTAGATTTTAAGGACTGCACTGAAATACCGGAAGAAGTCTGGTCAAATTGTTTGCAAAAGGAAAATGAAGAGAAAATGATAAAAACATATGAAGGAAAGTATAAAAATTAGGCAAATAAGTAAACACAGGTAGTTATAAGGTCTGTGATTAGAGTATCGTTTATATAGAGATAATAAATAACTCCAGAGGGGGTACCTAGAACACAATCTAAGAGCGTGGTACTAAGAAGCAAATTCAGTTCCCGGATGCGAAATCCCCACCCACAATGCATGGGTGGGACAGCAAACACATCAACATAAATACGCAATCAAGGCGCAAAACGTAAGCGCTGTTTTCCACTTGGCAGAATTTTGCGCGCGGAGATGAATTTTTCATCGTCTTGCGCGCTTCCATGCAGAACAAATGTGAAAAAGACAAAGAAAAATTCCGCTCCGCGCGCAAAATTTCGCCTAGTGAAAAACAGGCTTGATGAAAGTCTTCATTTTAGGTTTTTCACTTTAAATATTTTTAGATTTTGAGATTATGCAAGACAGTTTGTCTTTTCGTTATGATTATAAATTGCAAGGATAAGTGGCAGCACGAGATATATGCCCTTATAATATATCAAGACAAGAGCCTCTGTTGACAAGGTATTCTCGTGTACAAAAGACGATGAAATTTATAGTAAACTATAAATCTTACTTAGGAACCCACAAGTGGGTTTTCGTGTTTTTTTAGACCCTTCAGTCATCATAATTTGCAAGGAAGTCATGATGGTTCGCGTTAGAAGAAATATTTGAGAGCATAAAGAATAAAAAACCTAAAATATATTTTCTTATTTAATTGAACTTTCGGGAGTCCACTTTTAAGTTTTCAAAAGCAATGACCCTTCCAATGTTATTTACAATCTCAAAGGTGCCGAGAATGGCTAATTCGCCATAATAAAAAATTGAGCAACTGTCAATCTTCGAAAATTTTCTAGCGAGATGCCGTTGTCAATATTTCCGTCAGTGCATTTGTTGACAGTTTTTGCCATCAATACTCAAGGTAACTCAAGGTAAACGACTGCACTACCTTCCAGACGCAAAGCTTGCCAAAAGCTTAGCCCACAAAATTGTGATAACTTATCGATGACCTTGAAAATTTCTATCGCAACCGATTTAACTGCCGAGGGGCAAAATAATACAGCCTACCCTCCGACCTAGGTAGTGCATGGAGGTGTCTGTTCTCGCTATGGCATCAGTACACACACATTTCCCTTAGCCTGACAATGCATCGGATAATTTAGAGTGCACAATTCATGCGTGCCTGCAAGGCTTAATTTTGCTGTCAAATGAGCCGAAAATATCATCGTTCTCAACTATGGTCTATTTTTTCCACGTCTGAGGCGATGTATCAGGTCAGGCAATATATCAAATTTAAACCCTGGGTGCTGTTTGTCAACGAATTGACATGGCATTCGCAGGCCAGATAACCATATTATTCCAAGAATTCACTTGAGATTACGGAAAAGATTAATGATTTCGAAGCTTAATCTCATTAATTGATTAGTTCTATCCCAGCGTCATTCACGCCCATAAATGTCGACCGAATTACTCTGGGAAATATTCAATGATTAGTTGAAGTGGGTGAGAAAAGATAGAGCAAATATGGCCGATGTTTTCCCAAAGATTATTTACATTGGTAATTGTATGAAAGAATTCAGAAAATCAGGTAATTCTAGAAAAATGGTCGATCAACGAGCCAGATGTTTTAATAACAAAAACATAGACAGATTTTATAACAAAAACATAGAAAGTGCTGGTCGATTCTAGCGCAGCCAATAGGAAACAGGCCATTCCTTACACAAGCCCACTGTCTGTCAGCAAAAAAGCTTTATGTCTAGGAATGTGTTTCCTTTATGCGTCGAAGTGAAAGCTCTATGGAAACTTTACGAGCAAGTAATTTAAGCTATAATTGCTGTTATTTGATTTGAACTTCTTTACTTATGATTTGCACCAATTCAATCACGAAGCACGAGCTGCCATATTTTGAACAGAATATAAATAACACAGGTAGTTGCACAAGCCTGCATCTTATAAGCTATGATCTACCTTACGTAGTTACGAAGTATGATTCGGTCACATCCTGCATGAATCGCAGCAGGTTTATTGCCTAACTGTAAAAGCTCTGAACTTAAAGTCAACTTTTTTTCAGACTAGAAATTTAACACCACAGCGTGAGCATATAGCACGAGAATATAACTGTCAAGTGTTGTTGCGAAATAACCAAAGAGCTATTTTAACGCTATATCATGAACTTTCCTGATGAAGGCCCTTAGCATAGCCATAGGTCGAAACGTCAAGAGGGTTTTTGTCCAATACAGGTAGTGCAATACAATATTTGACATGGGATGTTGCGAAATGCTGGGCCTAAAATATGAAAGCATCGCACTCCAAATTTTCGCAAATTCTGATTATCTTATAGTTAGTTTAAAACCACTTCTTGTTGAAAATAATTGCGTTTATCGAAGTCAAAACAATTTTGTGAACCGTTCGCAGGCTATACACAGTTGAATGCACTTTCTTTACTTTCTTAACTTCTGTTTCAGAGCTCTCAACTGCAACCATCTGGAACGAATTTCTCAAATACAAAGCAATAAAGTCGCTTCGCGCGAAAAATATCGCTAGTGGAAAACCGGCTTTACTTGTTCTTTTACTTGTTCGGTTACTTGGGGATTTTTGTCGGCCATTTGCTTAGTTCTATCCAGGGTCTATCCTCATTGAGTGAATTATGTGCACAGTTGACTACACGTTTGACGAAATAAAGTAATGTACTATATGTAGTACATCGTCTAGTATACTATGCTCAAAAGCATACACCAGGAGATGAACATCATCGTCAAAAATCGCGTGTGTGGACAAAGCTTATGCTTTTTTCGGTTTGCAAGTGCACGGTGTTGGATGTCGTGGAAACTGACGAGCCAATATCTGGAACTATCTATTAACGTTAACTTGCAATTTCCTAATTAAGAGGTATCAACTACAGGCTGTTTGCCAGAGCAGCTGCAAAAAAAAATACAGGAAAAAAACCTAATCATCAAATATCCGGGGAGATTCAGTTAGAACACATCCCTACAACATACAGATGTATCTTGCACGAGATGCGAAAATCTTCTCTTTACTGATTTTCCCCAGATATTAACTTCAAGATTACTGAGATTTCTAGTTATTTTTTTGTTCTCGACTTACTACACGAAGATATTTTTTTATGGATATGCCAATTACTATATAGATAAAACTCGCTCATAAAATGTGTTTTTCAAGATAAGATGTTTGTTAATCCAGAAAATCATGTTGTTTTCGATACATAAGCTGAATAATTTCATGCGGACTCTTCCGTAAACAGGCGTAAACTTAGCCAAATGGTGATAAGCCATGTTTGAATGAGCCAAAAATTCGTACCTTTCACGATACCCGTGTTCAATTAACCTGAAGAAACGATATCATGTCCGGTTTCGCAATTTTAAAAAACCACCAATTTTTTTATGCAGCTTAAAAGCAAATATGGGTCATGCACTTGTTTCATCGTCTGGCCATGGTTTCAGCTTAATCCAGCAACAAATATTTCAGGAATGGCTGAAATACACTCAACTGTTTGTATGCCATGCGGCGAATTTGCGAATGATTTTTAAAATATGCATGTTAAATAGCTATTTGGCGTAGAATCAGGCACTACTGAATCGTTGGTTTAGTCGAGGTCTCTTTCGTTTTAGTTTAGTTCAGCAAGTGTTTTTATTGTATAGAGTTAGCTCAGTTTACTTGTCAAATATGCGTGCAGAAATATCTATCAAGTTGGTTTGGTTCAGTTTTTTCTTTAGTTAGTTCAAAAACGTTATCCAAGAGAATTATAGATTAGCTTAAGGTTTTTACGTCATCACAGCGTTAAGCTCAGTTCAGTTTAGTAGCAGTAGTTTACTAGTTTACACATCACTTGTCTAGCGGAGGCATCTAGTGTAATTAAGGTGGCTCCCTACAGTTGCTCGAAATTTTTAGATCCATATTTTAAACAAGGATATTCAGTATCTAAACGTTTGACTAAAGACTAAAATTTTATATACCTTTCTGGCAACTATTCAGAACTTGTGCTTGGCAGTCGTTGCTATAGCAACAGAGACGTTTCAAAATGGCCGCTAAAAAGCATTTAATCAAGCATTGAAAAAAATTCTGTCTAGTGCGATTTTTTCTATTGCAAACTAACGTCATTTCAGCCCTTTAAAAAAATCGCACTTGACAGAATTTTTTTTCAAACTTTACTATCGATAAAGCAACTATAGTGTAAAATTTTGATGAAAAAAAAATTGGGGGTCACCGAACTCGCTTGCGATAAAAACTCAATTATATAGATGCTTTTAGCGGCCATTTTGAAACGTCTCTGTTGCTATAGCAACGACTGCCAGGCACAACTTCTAAATAGATTTCGGCTCTAGGTATGTTACCATTTCGGCTCTAGATATGTTTTGAGATATCGGTCCTACTACTATAAGACAGATCCAGTAGGCAGGTGCCTGCCCCTGGGGAAGTAGTACGATGCGGAGGGGCAGTCCGGTCTGGAGAAGGGATGCTATGTTTTCCTTTGTAATAAAATTAGATGAACGATGCTCATGCGTCGGCGGAATTACTAAACATTCACACTGAGGCAAACCCAAGATATATCTCACCTTACGTCCAGCTTCGAAATTCCATCGTATGAGTAAAGTCCTTGCGTCTACAATTGCGGTCTTATCTGTAAACGCGATTTGCGATATCTCTTCTCCAAAATTAATATTCCTGTCGCACACCCCCCTGTCGGCGAATCTTTGCGCAATTTGCCTGCTGGCTATTTTCCTCGATGCTGTTGTCATTCCTTGCCGATACTTGAAAGCGTCGCAACCGCATAGATCCAAATCACCGAGCGAGCATGCGCGTGTGACGACATAGGTAACCCCTGCAGCATGGATCGCAGAAAAGAACGCCGACTCGCGGAAATCTGAAAGAAACAAAGACCATTAACCGAACTGCTGTCTCAAAATATAGTAAAGCGCATAGCGATTTTCAGTGCGATTTTCGTCTTTTGGCAGATACAAATGTGTAAATATTCGATCTTTTGAGACTGATGCGGTTCTTAACGTCTAGGGAATGAGATTTTCGTCAAAAATCACGCGTTTCCTGTGTCAGACAAAGATTTTAGTCGAGATGGCTTTTATCTTGGCTGTCTTGGGTAAACAATTTGAATTTTCTAGAGCCATCTATTAGAGCAGAAATTCACTTAGTTTAGTATGATCCTGGCTGGATTTCCCGGAGAAACAGATTAAAAACTTCACCCAATTTTCGCTGAGTCAGTGCTCGGAAGAGATAATTCAACTCGCCCATATCAGAGCGGAACAATATATTGTATAACCGCACGACTGTTGAATTGTTATGTTAGTACAAGAGCGTGCGTAAACATTGCTAAACACACAAACTTCGCAACAAGGGAAAATATAGTTTCAGATGATAATTGTTCAAGGCGACACGAGAATAAACACGAGTGTTTTTGTGTGTGTGCTTATGATTTAGAGATATGGTGCATATTTACCCTTCGTCTTAATTTGGCGCAAGCAAAGGTTGATATAAGATACGGAGTTTTGACGGCCACTCAAAGCCGTCATTGTGATATTTGACAAACGCCTATTTGTCCTACGCGTTCGCTGCCGCCTACATCGAAAGTCGAAGTGATTCTTTCCGAAGGCTGCTCTGTTTAGAAGTATGGAGTACCCGGCAAAACCTGCGGTAGCCAAATATATCAGCTAGACTGACTTCAATCGCGTGAGACTAAGCAGAAATTATTTTAAGACAACAAGCGTAATAAAGGTTTAGACACAGGTGAGAGGAATGAATGACTCAATGGTCATTATAGTGGGGGAGGGTTATTGCGAGGACAGGATACTTTTTATTAACATACTGTTATTTAATAATAAATAATTTGCTGGTAAATGCTGCGAGGTTTTTTCGATTATTTTGCTTTACAGGGTTCCTTTATGATCGATGAGTGGCTTTTGTTTAAGATGATATTATCACGCAGCTTTAATCCCACACCGCTGGGGCTAATATTGTATAGCACTCTGCTAGAGCATTCTGTGATGATTAAAGTGCAACTGTGAACTATGTTTCATGCGATGGGTATAATCGTTCAACCTCGAATGCCGTAGAAATGCATTCCTTTTAGGCTATGCTCCATATCAGAACACTAATTGTGATGTTCGAAGCATTAATTGACTTAACAGCTTACATCAACTTTCATTACCGGCTTCCTAAAGTTATCGACCACCCGTTCCTAATTAGAAAGCTAATTGCAATTAGTCAAACTTGCTTGCTTCGGCTTTATCAACTTCACAGCTCGTAATTAGTTCGTTGCGCGTATGCAGTATAAGCTTTACGGGACGCCAGATGGTGGCCAAATCTGTTGAAAAGATTTTCGGAATGGCAAAATTAAAATACACCTCGAAATTTCGATCCCCATTAATTTGCGATCACTGTTGTCAACCTCACTACGGTCGGTAAGGCATCTGGTGCTTCAGCGAAGCTTCCATTGCACGCAAATGTCTGTGCCGTCCGTTGATCGAAATTTTTCGCATGCTTCTCAGACCGTTTAGACAGAAAGCGTCAAAATCTGATGGGATTAGACCAAGTAGATAATGTTCTTCGTGTATACAAGATTGCATGGCTAAACTATTCTCGTAAAGTGGCCACAAAACGCGTGAAAAATTCGGTGTTTTGGCCTTGTGCGGAAATCTGGAGTATTTGCATGCGGACTCGCGTTTTCAGTGCGACGTGAAAAGGTTTAAAGGATCGAGGGGTTAAGTGGATTTACACATTTACAGACTAATCTTCGCGAGCTAACGAATAATTCCCCTAAAAACTGCCCTACGAAACTTAGTTGTTCGCAACACCTACATTTGGACACCTACATTTCGGTAATAAACAAGTCTTATTTCACACGAAGTATAATTGCTTTATCAATGTATGCATGTTCCACGGGGCAATTGAGCTTGGTCATCTTTCAACTTCTAAAGTGGGTTCGAAACACAATTGATACTGATACACAAGTAACAGGTGATTTGGAAAACAACACCCTTATTTTGACCGTGAGATCAAAGTTACAATTCTGCACGTGTTTTCGGACGTAATTTCGAGACTTTTCAACCGAAAACTCAGGAATTCTGAATTTCATTCAAGAGCATATTCTTCCTTAGTACGGAACTCGGCATGAATGTTAGTCACGTTCGCCTAGAAATCAAATCTAACCCGCTGATATTTCTCTTGAGTCCGGCTGTTCGGTGTAAATATGCTGGTGATATTTAGGCATAGACATAGATAGCATTGCGCAGTAAATATTGCCGTGCCCCTAGTTCGGATCCAAGTTCGAGTGCTGTTCTTTTAATATTTTGACAAGATTGTTCGCGTGATACTGCGTATCAAATGGAAAAACAGGACGAGCTATAGATTGCGGTTAGATAAATAATTACCGTGTAAGGAAGATCTATATCGCTGGATAATATTGACCTTAGAGTCTTTATATATACTCAGAAATCGAGATTGTTTTCAAAAACATAGAACATTATATTTCCCCTGCGCAAGCCCAACATCCGATAAACGCCTCGTCTTGTTTACTTGGGCGATCAAGTTTAAAAAGGATTTCGTTAAACCCACTTCAAATTTCAAGATGTTTTCCGTTTGTGATTTATAATAGGTATTGAGATTTATACAAGGCCAATTGGCTCTTAACACGTTTGTGTAAGAATTTAGCGCTTTGTGAATTATTACAGCATCCTGTATTCTTAAAAATCTAAACTAAGAGGAAAGGTAAAAGCGAGAGCAAAAGGACATTGCCTCAAGGCTCAAGCGGTTATTTACCTAAAACGTTCGGGGTTTCCGTAAACTTGTACATCGTGTTTTCCCGTTCGACAAGGCGGCACGTTTAAGAGGGAACATTTGCCTTTGATGTGTTCAAAAAGGTGTCAAGCCGGCAAAAGACAGGGTTAAATTACATTGTTGAAAGAAATTTTGAATATTTCGGCAAGAAATTGTAATTAACTTGAACGTAAAGTTAATGCGATTAAACGTGTACCATATCTATCTACACACCTAACCATAGGTCCATGAAAGTAGTCTGAATTAGCTACATTAGACTAAGCTCCGCTTGAAAAGGTTAAAATATTGGGCTAAGGATGAACTGTACGGTTTGAATATTTGTATGCATGAACAAGTAGCGACTCAAATGCTGGTCTCATGACTCATGTTGTGAAATTTAGTTTAAAATAAATCAGTTAGTACGTTGAACGTTGAACCAGTTGTGACTACATTCAAAACGGCAACAAATAGAATGGGCAAAACATATATTTTTTAAGATAGAATGTTCGAAATTTTATACTATATATCTTGACGCACATCTTTTGTCGACAGAATTTGACCCGCGTCCAACAATTTTGTCGACAAGCGAAGTATATTTACCTAATCATATTGTCAAACAAAAAAATATATCGGTGACACTTTGTAAATCACTTATCGACTGAAATTTTACGCTAACTTTATGTTGAAATGAAATCTACCAAATCTGACTCGGTAAATAGGCATGTACATTTTCGCCAGCTGTATACGCAAATTCGTCAATATATACAACACACGAAAGAGATTTTTCACGGAAAATGGTCGAACGTTATTGACAAAGACCAGAGCTTGTGCGCCAGACACGTATGAAAAACCGACTAAACTGCCATCGTATTTTTAATTCATAGCGCAATCTATGTGGTAGCACGAAGCACGAGCAGACAGCGACGATAAATGTGTATTGCTCATATTTATAGCGTAACCTATCTACGTGTATAGAATATGTGTAGTGTCTGTCGAGAGGTTTTTCGCTGTCGCACTCAGAAAATGCATGTCAAGTATGTTTATAATTAAATTCTATATATATATAAAAGCCGCCGCGAAAACAAAGACGAATCTTGAACTGTGGAAATGAAAGGTAGCCTTGTAACACTGGTGTAAAAAATTTACAGGGAAAATTCGAGCAAGGAAATCCCGCGGTTCTAATTAGTTTTAGAACATGGCTAATCTAACATGGCGATAAAATGTGTGATTACAACCGACTTACCATATCGCATGATCTTTTCAATCGAGCCACCTTTCTCCGTACAATTCCATCTCCTATTTTTGAACTGTTCTTGACATTCGTTCAGCGCGACTGCGAGGCCTTGCTGCACATGCTCCATTACTGAAGGCTTACTTCGACATATATCGTTACGACAGATGCTGTTCTTGCTAAATTGCAATAGACTACGAAGAAAAAGTAAAGATAAATGCTACATCAGACAGCCAGACGACACAGAGGGCGGCCGATTGTTTAAATAAGGCGAAATGTAACATTTCATTCATATACCGTATCACATAATATGATTTATCGCTTAACAGGCAACCAACTGTGGTTGAAATTATATACACAATTATACAAGAATAAAGTGGGACGAACCACACTTACCTTGTAAAGGGATAGCCGTCGTTGTCTGTAAACAGCAGCGAGTAAATAAAAGCGACAAGGAGATGTCTGATCTTCATTCTTGTCTAATAGAAATGTTTATCGTGGCTTCTAATTACAGGTTGTTAGCGTATGGTAAGACCGTCGGAGTTTGTACAAGTCGCATATACCAGTCACGTTTGAGTGCTCGCATACAAACACGGCAATCAGGCCACAAGCGGGGTGCCTCGCGATGTCATTTAGAGCAATTTTAAAACTGTCAACAATTATTGAAATATTTAAGCACATAAAGAGCAAGAGGAGAGGGTCTATTTATAGACTCCTTACTCAACACCTACGAAATTATCAAATTGCTTTGCCATAGATAAAGCAGGAATGTCGAAGCGCGGTGCCGTACACTCGTCGCAACACCAGAATATCACCCAAGGGCCATGTCAACCCCGTTCAACTAGAACAATAGCACTGACACTTTGAATATAGTTATGTACATGAAACCTTAGCATAAATATTGACGGATATGACGGATTGACCGCGATATTATTAAAACATTTTATTCGAGTTTTGGTCTCAGAAAAACAACACAGCGCCCACTTATTCTAAAAAGGCTGGCGGCTTACTTTACTTGTATATACAGGGGAATATGTGGAACATTTAAAGTGGTTAATATCGAAAATACGCCGAATTCGGATTGGCTAAAATAATTTCCCATATACAAATAAGACTAATATTTCAAAAACAGCAAACGCGAGAAGATTGGGGACATCCTATCCTGTGATTAGGATTTCCTTCGTAAGTAAGCCTTAAAGTTGCAACACAATGAATACTAATAAAACTTCTTTTGTCTTAAAGTTATAAAACTATCATTTCTGCCCCTTTGTAGCGTGATACCTTTTATGGAGCCTTCAAACGAATAATAGCACGTATTTTTACGCGAAACCGATTTGGTCCGGAAATGCGACTAATATATTTCAGATTAAAATAAAAAAGTACAACAGTTTGTTGTTTTGCCGGAGTTGTTAGGGCCGTTGGTATGGTTGCTTGCAAGCTGCCGGGTAAGTGAAGGTGGGTGTATTTTTTAATTTCAATGTCGGATTCCGATTCAAATAACTTTCAAATAATGCTTGAATGTTAAATAATAACCGGCACTGCTGTTTAGTGACCAACCTGGTCTGAACCACACCTAATATGTAAGCGTGAATAATCATGACTGCATCAAATGAGAATTGAAATAGCAAAATATTTAATCTGAATATCGACTTTTCATGTATAATTTATACCACTCAAGTAATGCTACTGTACTATATACGGTACCTTTCCTTACCATTTTTGCATTTTTCTACTGTCATAAGACCCACCTAGCTTTACACATGCGGCGGAAATTTTTGATAGTTTCAAATTGAAAAAATTGAGAAGTTTTTAATGGCCACTCCCACATGCAGTGGGCCAGATCAGCGAGATCGCGTAGGCCAGTAGGATCCACAGATTAGTTGCAAGATAACCGAGAAAGTTGTACAGATAAGGAATGTTATGTGCTGATCACAGCCGACTACATGACATTTGAATTGGTTTATTGCCTGTGTCTATCACTCTGTGGAATAATTTCCCATGCAGGCTTTTGTATCTTGTGTTACAGGTCATTACCCAGAATCGCTAACGGAGAAACGTTTAGAGGATTCACGTCAGCCGAGACAGTTTTTTCTCATATTTTTCAGACTGGGCGTTCAAATCGATCGAAAAAGTCTGGCTACCGAACACAGCGGGTTCAGCCCTAACAAAACTTGCGCTAATTGGCTAATTGAGACTCTAAATCATCGGTACATGCAAACAGTCGCGTTTCATACGAGCACAGCCGTCTTTAAATTTATTCCGTCCACTTAGGGTCACTGTCACATACAAAAAACGGCAGTAATAAAACGTGTAAAAAGCCACACCAGGCTTTATATATAGAACATCAAACATAAAAGAAGCTACTTTAGGCCTATTTTAGAACATTTCCAATAATGCTCAAAAATTTTTAGGATCAAGTATTGGGGTTTCAAATGGAGAAAAAACGTTGTCAAAAAATAACTTTATATGGTAATGTACTGATGCTTACCTCGATGTTTAAGCAAGGTACTTTGAAAGCAAAATCTTTGCCAGTAACAAAGAGAATTTCGGGAATGAATGCTGAAACTTTAAGACAAAAATTTGAATTGAGTAATCGACAAATAAGTGGCATACCAAGAGCATATATTTATGGAAGGTATTCCTCTTAATAGCTAGGCTCTCTGGCTAAACGACTTCCTGAAACTGTTATAACTTTATTGCAGATAATTATGGTTTCCGTGCATCAAAGATGGTTACGTTAAGTTTCGGCAGTAAAATGTACTTTTATTGTATATTATTGTGCCTGTTTTCAGAGTTCTATCCAATATCACGTTAGAAGGATGCAAGTTATCATGCGTCTTTCAGTGCACATTTCGTTCAGTTTTTTTATGCAGCGAGTATATAGCCTATATTTCATTTCCCAATTACCTGATGGTCTTTGGGATATTCTTTTCTTCAATTTCCAAGTGTGACTAGTCACGAGACTAGTCATGCACTTGGTTCGAAAGTTGACTCAATTAGGGTTCGATCACGTTCTTTAAAAATGTTCAACCTTGAACTTTTGAGAGACAGGAAACGATGGGTTTTTACCTGTAAGGTCCCAAAAGTAGAAAAGATCTTTTGAGAGATTTCTTTGCTCGCATGTGTCCACATTATTGCTACATTCTTGCAATGTTACATTTCCTCTAAATTACTCTAAATTAGCAATATAAGCGTGCTCGAATATAGATAAAGCTGATGTTTTGGGGGGACATCCTCGATTAAATTAGCTTTATATCGGTCTATAAATCATTTAAGTGTACAGGTTTTAAATATAATTTCTGCTATAAGGCTTGGTGAATTGCACAACACGGTTAGTCATGTTTTTGGCATGGCATCAATGATGCAATTACGGCATGAAATGCTATGTGACAAGGTTATTTGTTATCAGTTAGATCATTAGACTACAAAAACAAAAAAACAACATGCAGTATGCAACTATATAGTTCACCATCACGTGCAGATATGGCATATAAAGACTCGTATAATGGCCATTAGAATATCCGCTTTGTACATTACAATTCCCTGTTGTATAAAATACCGCCCCCCCTCAACAAATTCACATATATATGAAAGAATATATATTTATGATAATAAATGTACCTCTTTCACATAACGGCATATATGAACACATTAAAAACTTAATTCTTAATCAACGTTTACATGTATTGGATGAGTTCTTTCAATTTCCGCTATAAAGTTATCAAATAGTGTACTACAGCCGTGTGTATCGAAAAGGCAACACTAAATATTGATAAATACTCGATCTTTTGTCCTAGAATATAAGGCGAATATCCACGAATACTTGTTGACTGCGTTTCTCTATATGCACCTTGTATACGATATGACTTAAGTTCTTTTGAAAATCGTTGCACAATAGCTATTATTCAAATGAATGTAATTTTAGCCACTTGTAGTTCTATTGGTTTGTTTAGTTATATAGAGAATCTTAGGTGAGCGAGTGCATGCCTTTCATGAGGGTGTCCTTGACATGATTACCAGAGAAGCGTGGGAACATTAGAAATAAGGAATGTTGAACTTAAGTCCAAGAGGGTCATAAAGTATGTGCACATGCATATCTGTCAGGCGAAGATCGTCGTTTTCGATAGACACACTTCATGTAACTGCATGTGTTTTATTTATATTTAGATTCGATCGTGATGCAAACGTTTTATTAATACAATGAGATGTAAAAATGTTTCATTTTTGAACTGTTTCCAAAATTTGACAAAGAGGGAATCTTTGAATCTGACTTATCTGAGGGAATCAAGGGGGAATTACTTATTCAGAAACTTTAAAGTATATATGTATAAGCATGCAGCTGCCATGATGTCTGAATTTTTTCAACGTTGCTACGAAACGCCTAACCAATGGCCCATAGAAAATTGTGCTTTAAATATTTTTTATAAGTTGAACTCTTGTCTTTCTCATGTGAACTTATAGGAAATTTAAGTTTCAATGTGATTTATTAATGGTTATATAGACATGGTCATACAGTCGTGTTTGAGATTATGATCAGCGGCGGAAACTGCATGTATAGGCGACTGAACAAGTCGAAGGAAATGGAGTCGCATGCAACATGTTGTACTCGGCACGGGAATTCTTCAATTAATTGATGATATATCTCAAATTCTCATTCTTAAATAGTCCTTGAAATGCATGTAGATACAAGATGTCAGACGGAACACTTCAATAAAGGAGCGTGCAATTCATCACAGTCCTATGTTATTTTAAGTCTTCTTTTTGTGTCCTTAGAAACTCGCAAGTATGTATGTACAAAAGATTTAATTGAATGTGGGATGTACCGAAAGTTAGCAAACAATTGTGGTATAGGATCTGAAATATATATAGATGAGCAATTGTCTATTTGTATGTCTAGACGTATGTATAGCGACGGGAGGGAAATATAAGTTCTGAAAATGCAACGCCTACGAGGAATCTAAGTTTCTATAGGAGGTGCGATCATGCCGCTAAATTAAATATAGTTTAAGTGATTAATTTTTCGGTACTTGTACGTTTCGCCTATAGCCTTACTTCGAGGCATCGAGATTATACACAACCTGTTTTATGTCAGGTCTTGAGTAGCGTTATACGAAGTATGCTGAAGCGTCTACGCCATCAGACGGGGTATAATTAGGTTTATCGATGTTGTTCGAGGTAATTGAGTTTGATCAAAAGATTTTTAGATACAAATCTAAAACAATGTTGACCATGCAAGCTCAATTTCAAATAACAGTGTCTTGTAATTCTGCACACAATAGAGCTATATACAGCACGGTACAAAGGCTTTTAGACATTCCAACAAAAAATACAATACAACAATCTGCTCGACCGTCTGACTGTCTCTCTTACTGCATCAATATTTTGATTTTATAGGGAATGGAATGAGCTTCTTTGGCGAATAACTCTACAAATTTGAATCGATTCACAGTTTATTTAAAAGTGGCACGCAATGAAAGACAACGGCAAAACATCGTTCTTCAACACATACATATAAAAATGAATGTATTTGGATGCATGAGCATCGTTTGAAGGCTACACAAAAAGTATCCTATAGAATATAATTCATGTATCAGCCAGAATTGTTGAAGCTGGTTCTATGCAGACTTTGCACAAGTTTCTTCGCCACCATTTTTTTGAAAAACCACTAAGTAACGATATATTTCTCAGCAAACACTTTTCATTGCATTTTTAGCAAACTAACTGCAAGACTGTGGAACTTGTAAGTCAGATGAAGTTGATGTTGCACGACCCAGACCCCGAGAGATGTGCTCCGTCGAGCCAGGATAATCCTAGTTTTATCTGTTGCCGTGATTCTCAAAAATCTGGCAAAATTTTTAAAATCACCACTATAACAAACCACGTAAAAAGCTAGCTATCTAAAATCAAGCTGGCTATCTAAAAGACCTTGTCATTTGTACTGTATATTGGCAAATGGCACGCATTTTACAGTAGCTAAGACTATCGAATGGGAATCGTATCGGGATATCAGTTGACGAGTGAATGTATACAAAATGGAATATTGTACAGATAAAATTTAGACAAAATTGGTAAAGCGTTCATTTTTCTCTAATTCCTGTAATAAAATGGATGAAATATGAATTCAATATTTAAATTGATGTCTGATTAAGCTGGGCCAACTCATAGAGGATTTCTAAGCAACTTATATAATTACCATGTACGCAGATTTGTTGTGTCGCGACAAATATAATTTAGTTGAAAATATAGGACCGTTTAACATCAGCAAATTTTGCGTAACTACACTGTTTAATTGGTATTATACATTATTATGCATAACGATTGATACAATTCTCTCGAACATAGAAAAAGTTTAATTTCTTGCTAGTAATATCTAAGACTCCAACATAATATATAGGTTTTTCTACATTATACAATATCTCGTTTCTAGATGTTGCTAGTTAATAATTGGAATGTTTATAAGTTAGGCCAGTTAGTGAGCTAAACTAAAGTCTTTGTTTTAAGTTAATTTGCATTCGATTCAGCGCATGAAAACGTTCGACGTCTGAAACGGACCTTATGTGTGTTCAAATGAACAAGTTATCACGGAAATGTTCCAAAGTTATGTCCATAAGTACGCAATATGCATGGCCCATGTATCATGGAAATTAGATATACACCCAAATCGGATTTACAAGGTGTAAGATGGGATAAAATCGTTATATGGCCACGGTGGTCTATAATTCTAGAAAAAAATTATCGCGTCCACCTATATATGGAGTTAAAGCTTCGCATTCACGCAACAGCCTCGAATTCGGCTTAGCCTGAACAAAATAGATAAGTCCAACCATACTGTTTGTGGAACTGAAATATCGTGCAAAATAACTTGCAAACAGGTTTCTTTTATTGTATTTCTTTGGTTCGTTTGATGCATGAGTGAACACGCTTGATGGATATTTTCGCCTTATTTGCGGTTTTGTCTAAACGGGTTTCTAGCATATAAAATAGCGTGAGAAAGGAGTGCTGCAAAGTATGCTAAGTCGCTTTAAGTCGCATTAAGCCTAATACGCTGAAGTTGTTGTGAATTGATAAGGTGGTTTAAGCCGGAATATGTTGGCGATATAGACAGTGCATGCAATCCTTGTGAAGTATGCTAAGGTGGTCGAAGTCGAATGGCGATAGCACACTGAAGTTGTTGTGAATTGATAAGGTGGTTAAGTCGGAGTATGTTCATAATATGTTAGCTAGCGGTATAGACGGTATCAATCGCGGTTGCAAAGGTGGTTTATAAGTCGATTTAAGATATAGTTATACACTAGCTGAAGTTGTTTTGAGGTAAAGCGTGGTTCAAAGTCGGTATATTTGGCAATAGACAACATACAGCCATGCATTGTAAAGTCTTTATACAAAAATGGTCTAAGTTGTAAATGCTTCATGAGGTGGTTGAATTTGGGATAAGTCGACGAAAGACCTGCAGCATGTCGTTTTCAAGTGCATGGCTATGGGTTAGAGCTTTCTTTTTGAAAGTTGTCGTAAAGTGCCTACAATTTTGCAATTGGTGGTCGATTGATCAGCTGAATGGCATAGATTAATGTTATTCGACACTTATAAGCTATATCATGTAAGGTGTGGCTAAAAAAATAGATATATGGGCTATGTGACATATCTACTAGGTATACGCGGGTTTTAAGGTATATATTGATCTTGCGTGCAAGGAGTCTCTATAGGAGAATAAAAATTACTCATAATGTATCTATTTACGTTCTATATATTAAAATTTATAAATATATAAAGATTTCATATTTGCATGTGATAGATGTTGATGTTACAGTGGCAACAAACAACCGATATGCTATATTTAGGACGGCGCACTCCTGAAGAAAGCCGTATTCGGTAGATCATAAAAAGGTAAGCGAAAATATATAATATCTCGCGTGGGAACAACTGCATGTCTAAAACATAGACAAAAAAGTCTGATGTTTCCACCCTTCCGCCCTTATACGTCACGAGACTTTTTTTTGTCTATTTGACGCAGTTGTTATATTACAATTATTAAATTGATGAGCAGTCGCCTAGTTGTGCTTGTTGGTTATACTTAAATGCATGTATCTACTCTATAAATAATGGTATATATAATATCTTTATCTGGTCAGATATTGACAACCCTCAGGGGAAATGGAAACAAGTGTACGCGCAGATATTCAATTATCGTCATGCAAGCAGTGAAATCGTTGTACACACATCATGATTGTATGGAAAATGCAGCAAACCGCGCATCTTTGCCTATGGCACTATTACGAATACGACATATACACAGGGGTAAAATATGACGTTGTGGCAGGTCTATTTATATTAAGATTCCGCATCATACCCACTTGAATACACAGTATTCAATTCAAGTGGAGCCATGACCTTGCCATTTATTCCCTAATTTTAGAACTTTGTTCTGAAGATGTTCAAGAGTTAAGGAAATTAAATCAACCAGTGGCTCGTAAAATTGCTATAGTGGCAAAATAGAATCGACGTAAGTTTGGATACCCCATTATGAGAAACCGCTCGATGACAAAAACAAGATAAATAAATGACTTAAATAGCTACCTGGTTCGAAATATAAATAGAACTTATCTTAATTCATACCTTTTTTTATAGGTCTGATAAAGAAACTCAGGCTTTGTCAATTGAGGTTTAAAACAGCACAAGAATATAGTGCAGAGGCTGGTGGTGTCACCTTGAACGGTGCCGGAGAAGTAAAAATTATAAATAACACTCTGACCGCATCTCTCTTGAATGAGTCGACTTGAATATTATGCACTGAATATGTTGTTGTAAACAGTATCTTTGTATTAAGGTTAAAAATGTTCAATTCGCTTGTTGAATATAGACTTCAGTGCTTTCTATTTTGAACTAAACGGGCTTGATACAACCAGGATCAGAGGCAGAAATCTCTTGGACAAATTCGGAAATATCATTCCTCAGTATAATATCGCACCAGGACGAAATTGAAAGAATATTCCATTTTACATGTCTTTATAATTGCTATAATTTGACCAGTTGCTATTAGATCTAATGCATGCATGTATGTATATATAGATGCTTCACTTTTAACTTATTATGTATATTTATAACAAATCTTCGGTAGTAGAACTCGACGATGGAATCCGTAATAAGGCCTTGATTCGAGTGACGTTTAAAAAAAACCCTAAAGCAAGATATCTTTTTGCGGTGTTCTTCTTCACTTTGTGGCTGTGAAAGAATGCTGAGAATTTCATGATGACGCTATATCCTGACACAACGATAAAGTTTCAGTTAATTGTGGGAAAATTGGGTGTACCCGTAAGATAGCGATTAGTGAGGGGCGGTGCGGTATAATTGTGGATATAAAAAATTGAAAGAGCTTTATCTGATTTCTGTCACATGCTAAACATTTCTCACCTTTCTGGTAAAATCGGATGGATTTCGTGATTTTCATCTGTATACAAAGGATGATTAATTGTTGTGCAATATGTTATTGGGGAGTTTAAGAGTGCGTGGATTTCGTCTCATTTCGAAAGACGCTTGTTGTGCAATCATTTATTTCAGGGTTAACGGATGGTTTTCATCTGTAATACGAATTACGTGCAATATGTTATGAGTGAGTTCAAAATGCCCGCAGAGAATTTATGGAAAACAATGTCATCGCTAGAAATTACGAGAATGAAGCCTGTCACGCGCCAGCAAACGTTTCTCTGAAAGAACTGTACTTTCATGGCGCAGATGAAAAAAATAGTATTCTGTATTCCACGCAATGCCTTTAAATGCTTCCAAAACCCAATTAACAACAGCCAACGTTGCCACAATACTTTCACCCATGCGGGGTGAAATTTTTAAGCAAATTGTGTCGATTTTAAAATTAAAATCGGCTTAAAGACAGTCTGATGTAAACCAAAATATATCTAAATTATAGTGTTTACGTTATTCCCTTGGGAAAATTTCTTACGCAGTGCGCGGACGGCCGATGTTCCTACTGATTTCGTACTGATTTCTGGCGATGTCATTTCGAAGACATTCGTATAAAATGACTGTTTTGTTCTTTTTCAATATCCCTATTCACTGGTGTGAAGTCGATCACATACGCCAGGGTAAGAATCGTTCGTATACGACAATAATCGCATCATCCGCATGGTAAACGGGGCCATATTAGGATCCCCGTTTCCCAAAAAAGTGTTTCAATGATAAAGTAAAGTATTCGTATGGAAAAGGTTAACCCTCGAGGCTCGTGAATTAAAATAATACTATCATTATTATATACTCCTGATAATCGATACAAGTTTAAATGAGCTCCCGTTGGTGTCTCATGTTGATTGGCTGCTGTCTTCGATTGTTTACCAATAATTAGAAAATAGTCTTTATGCAAACAATGCTAGCGCGTTCATATTCTTTAAATGAGAAATTATAGTGCACTCCTTAGCACCGACGATAGGAAAAACAGTTTTAGGAAACTGTGCTAGTTGGAAAAACAATTACCGAACTCTTTCATCGACGTGGAAAATATGGAACTGAAGTCACGCATATGAATAATTTAAAAAAAACGTATCTATGTCGGTAGCAAATGTGTGCACGGTACTATGATGAAGATAACAAATGTTACCATATGTAGAAATACAATTGTTCATGAAATCATATAATTTTTATTACGTGAGAAACAAAATATAAAATAGATTTGTGATTCTGTTAATCGATATAAATGAAAAATATTTCCCTTTCCATAACAGAAAACACCAGCATACAGCTGAATTTCGGTTGACACTATTTTGCCTCAAAACACATTCATCATCACACCCTATAATACTTAGTATAATTCAAGGTTAATTTACGCAAATATAACCAAGGAGCCGCGTGACAGCGTCCATGTATTCAAATACCTTCGCATTAACTGTGGTATTTTCCGCCTGAAATAGACAAAAACACTTCTCGACAATTTGACCTAAGAGCCGTCGTCAGCAGAGTAGCTACATATGAAAGTAAATGAGAGAGAGAGGGCATTTTGTAGAAGGCTAAAACACGTTATCAGAAGGATATCCACCAAAAATAAAAATTCTAATTTCATTTGTTTCGTGCCTCCTTTTTGTCTATTTTCATGAAATGTTTTGCCACCAAAACATATGTGTTTTTTCTTTTCTACATTTATACTAACTCTTCTGACGAAGGCCCTTATGTTAAAACGTCGAGAAGTGTTTTTGTCCATTTTAGGCAGTTGTTATACAACATTTGAAGCGTTATTTGCGAAACTGAATAATATAGTATAATTTCTCAAATCGTTGGGCTATCCGGAAATAGTACCTACGCATGGCTCAAGTATTAAGCATCACTTTGAACCATTTTCGTGAAATCATTGCATGTTTAATGATTTGATGAGAAAATGAATTAAATTGCAGGGTGGGACCCTCTCGAAATTCCGTCTACTTGAAATTATATCAATTACTTTATGGTATAATATTCTAATTTTTTATTATAATGCATAATAGCAATTAAACACACCCATTATGTATTATTTAAAACCTTACGTGGCTATTCAAGGTCACGATCGTAAGTATGGCAATGTATAATGTTTGCAATTACATACCGGGAATTATATATCTAGAAAATCGCTTCAGGTTATAATCTAAGTGACTGAGATGAATGTAAATGCATGTGACAATATAAAAATTACATACCATCAAAATTAATAACGATCCAACGGATACGAAAGATATGATTTTCCTAGTAAGCATGGCAGCACTTTCTTATGTTTCCTATAAACAAATAAGATTTTCGTGAACATAATGGTCTACTCTGTGCTATATTAAAATTCATCTCAAAATTTGGCTCTTCGCCTGGTGATATAATTATTTAGTTAGCATCAAATGTGGTATAACAACTGCCTAAAATAGACGAAACACTTCTCGACGTTTCGACCTGAGTGCCTTCGTCAGGAGAGTTAGATCTAGGTCGTTTTGTAGTTTAATTATGAAGCATTATATTCTTTGAAAGCATACAGCGTCATGCACAGCTAATCGACAGGTATTATCTACTGTTTCACGTCTGAAATTAGTATTGCTGGTATCCTTAAAAGTTCATTTGAACTCACTGAATGCAACTCAAAAAGTGCTCGTTAATTAATGTTGTGAAATTTATGAATAATGAATGAGTCTAATATGCGCAGTATTGTTGTGATTCTCCTTAAGGCCCGATTTTTGCTGCGATTTTATGTGCAATTTTCTTCTTTTCATAGATGTTAACGAGTGAATTAGATACTGATATTCAAATAAGCGTTATTCAAATAAACCAGGGGCTGCTTACATGATCCCGCTTAGCCGAGGTTCAAAGAAGCGTGAGTTAACTTTAAGGTACTGAAATAAGTTTTCATGACACCAAACAAGCACATTCATGCAATTGCTATGATAACAACAGGATTCCCAGAATCATGTTATATACTCAATTCATACCTAAAAGTCATCTCGCGCTTCGCTAGCTGAATCTCGGCTAAGCGGAATCATGTAAACAACCCCTTAGAAGCAAGCATGCTTTCTCCCAAACTACGTCTCGATGCAGACTATTCACTGAAGTCAATAGGTTCGCATAATATCCAAATACAAGCAACAACGCTTTATGAAAGTAAATTTAATAACTTATTCCTCGAGGTTTGATCAAACAATTAACAAAATAACTATTTACTACATGAGTATAATTATTACAACGGTTGTGAAAATAACTTAAATAAATTATAATTAAAATGAGTAATAATTAGAATTTACTGATAGGTATCACATATATACATCGTATTTTATACAAAGTGAAAAGATTTTATCTTATATATTTACAAATGTCATACACTTCTTGCAACTTAAGTTAATAGATACAAACTCTCTAGTGATCCCTCGTTTTCTTTTACCAAGGCTTGGACAATATTTCACTTGCATCGAGTCACCAATTTTCGCTGACTGCATTTTTTACACCGCACAGAACAGCACCACAGAAATTTACACTCACAATCCGTTTCCTCCGTCACCAAGAACTGGTCATATCCCTTACCACAGCACAAATTTCTACAACTGTTCGCATGAGAGGGATCCTTGCTACATATCCTACCAAAAACCCCCGGTATCCCTAGCGTAACATCGCTGTCACAGAATGATGGAGAGACTTCAGTGTACGTCAGTTCGCTTTTCGCTGGAGATGCCCTGACCCTCGTCGATGATTTATCTGTTACGTCTTTTCTAACATCCACAAGAACCAGTTTCAACTTACTTCTTCGTTCGTTCTCCGGTTCAACTCTTTTTGCATTTTTGAACATGGTTTTTATAGTATTGCCAATGACACGTAAGCCGGAAGTTGTTTTCATACAGGTTTTTATACTGCACGTACCAGTAGGGCCGTGACACTTACATATTGTCTTTAATGTGTCGGTGAAAACCTGAAAAAGACGAGACGGTATAGAAAGAGAATTTCATTGTGAGATTGATTTATCAAAGTACATATGATTGATATGAAAGTAATTCTTAATAAATGAAAATTGAAAATGTGAAAAAGAGACTGAACTTCACAATGTAAAGATCAATTTATGTAAGAAATTACTCATAATTATTAACATGTGAATTTCTAGTTGTATAAAATTTCTAGTTATATGAAATTTCAACTTCATAATTTATGAAATTCCGATGTAAAAATTCATGTGAAATACCAATTATTAATGAAACTCGAATTTTGTTTTTATAAACGTTAAAAAAAAAAAAACTATAGGCAATAAACTCGGCCATCGTTATAACCGAGTCAGTTTTGATTAAAAGTGTATTACTATACGAATAGACTTGAAACAGAAATGAATAAATGGACTTCCACCATTACCGTTCGTCCAGCTCTGAAGTTATGCCTGTTGACCACGCCTTGGAGGTCGTAGCTACTCTTCATAGAATTAAGAAATTTCTCAGAAAAATATAAACCATGTGTTATCGCTTCGTCGTGGATAGAATGCTCCTTCAATTTTGCTCGTCGTCTTTCCTAGAGCCCAGCCTATCACACGAAGACATAACGCCCTTGGCACAGTCAAGGGACACGGACTGCGCCACGGCTGCGGCAACTAATGCGTGAACGAAAGCGGCTTCTTTAAAACCTATAAAAATCAAGTTTTTCAAAGCTCAGTTCATTATTTTACAATATTTTTACAATGTTAATATTGGCTTGCGAATTTTGCAAATTTCGTACGGAACACGACAAAGATGACAGAACAGATAAAAGAATTTCGTTTTAGACCAAACAGCCAATTTGTTTACATTATCAATAACCCAATCAAAATGCAAAAATTTACTACTTAAGGTAAAAATGTACATTATTCACTATTCACACCTAATATTTCAAAATTTATGCACCATTTGGCGTAGCTTAAAAAACGTAAACGTATACAAGATAATCTATTCCAGTTTTTTTTTTCAAGACCAAAATCCTCTCACTGCTTTCCAGTGTACAATTGCATTATAGTCATCTTAAAAGATTACTATGAGGTTCATTTGCACACTAGGTTCCCATCAATTTGGCTGAATTCTTGCAGATGGTAATGACGAATGTTGTTAGTTGACGTCGATGTCATAGCTTATGTCGGAGCTTATAATCAATCCACGTCAATCCACCTGCTTGCCAATAAACTCTCTAAACCTTTAGCCCAGTACATGCACCAAGCCCGAAGGCATAGCTAAGTTGCCATTGCCCACCTATTGAATGATGCATTCTGATTGGCTAAGCCTGAAAAATGTAAACCAATTTGCCGATTAGTTTGAAACGAAGTTCCTCCTTACTGGGCGCAAAAAACCTGATACCCCTCGTGGCGGGAAAAGTGATACCAACACTCTACGCCAACCACAAAAAGTATGCAAAAGGCTCCGAACTTTGTTGGACTATATATTTTCCTTAAGCTGACCGCAACACTTTGCAGTGAAACTTTTTTGCATACTCAATTTCGAATGTTCTTACCACGATTCATTAATTTCGTCGCTAACGGCTGTACAGCTCCTCCACGCATTCTCACAAGTGAGCTGCAGTTCCATCGCTCATTACGAAACTGGTATTGGCACTCTTCTACTGCATCGCGATAAGCACGAAACACAGCGGCAACTTGCAGTGGGAATTTATAACACATTTCTCGTTGTTGTCCAACCAAAGCATTATTCATGCAAAGCAAGGAAGCTCTTGCTTTCCTGTCCTCTTCTGTTTCGTTATTTTCTAGCCCAGATTCATTCGTGGGCTTTTCCACTTCGTAAAAACGTTTCGTCGTTATTGTCCCCTTAGTGTCGATTCTAAATGTATATAATGAGATAATTCATATGGCTTTAGATGCTATGCACCTGGTTCGACTATTAATTTTATTTATTATTGTATCCGACAACTACGAACTACATATTAGCTATAGAAAAGTGCATCAAGGCTAGTTCAGTTTAAATATAAAGGGTCAAAATATAGACTTCTACATATTCTTTGCTACAAAAATAGCGTTTATTACTTTCAAAACATCTTAGTGCACGGTATTTAAACTCACTATATAACGTTTGGCAAAATCAAGCGTTGTTTCCATTTTGCCGATATTGTCATGAACAGGTTATTTTCCCTGATGTAAAATAGTCGAGATGAAATTTTGCTTTTATTTTCTGGATAGTGGATACTCAAATTTTTCATTGTTAACTGCGTATACAGCAATATTCTAATACATTAACCAACTTGACATGTTCACGACAAGAACGACAATAAATGGATACCAAGGTTTAGCTACAAAAGTAGCTTTTAATAATATCCGTAGTAGCGATATTGTGCAACTCTATTACAAATAAAATATCTTATTTTCACCAACAAAAAATGAAACATTTTGAAGGAATGTGAACGAGTAGGCTAATATAATAATAACTATCAATATTAATATATATTTACATAAATCGTAAATATAATACACAATTTTCTATGCGATTATACTTATAGTTGAATAGTTTTAAACCTCATTTCACAAACTAAGAAAACATTACAAATACAATGTTGTTTAATCAATACTTCAACAGTAAGGAATTGTTTGTCTAAAATAATGAACTCTTTTGTCCTAAAATTGTTAAAATCTTGCATTTTTTCAGAGAAATAACGAGACCAAAACGTAATTGTCACTATACTAACGGTAATCGGACGTTAATTTTGTGAACAATTTCTATATATCATTATATAATTATGTTCATTTATGTGTTTGTGCAGTATAGGGCAATTTCAAATCAATCTAGTCAAAATCAAGATTTGGACACATTTCACTGCATAAAAATTGTTTGGAGTCATCTTAATTTTTAAAAATTACTATATAAGGTTAGTTTGCACACTATATTCAGCGCATTTTGGCTTCTTGCAGATGGTAATGACAAATGTAGTTAGTAACTGACGTCGTCATGCTGACTGTGTTAACACGAAATGATTATCAATGTTCACCTGAATCAGTCTAACAAAGATTTGCTTATAACCGGACCTAGATTCAGCGTAGGCATCGGAAAGGATAGTCAAGAGCATTGACGTCTCGCGTCTTATTTCAGATCAAACATGCATGGTTCAAAACAGTGAATTTTTTGTAATTTCAAGCAGCTTTTATAATACAAGGTCAATCCAACGAAACTATCTGCTTGACCAAAAAAGCCTTCAATAATCGATTCGCCCATACAGCTCATGCACGAAGGCTCCAAAGAATGTAGAAGAGTTTACAGCAGGGGGTCTCAATGAAACGGACATAATTATATAGATATTCCAAATTATAGCTTTATGTTGTTGAGAATTAAATAACAGCTATTGAATTTCTATTGAAATTAATCAATGAACAATGTTCCGTTTCTTCAGGACACACAGGATATTATGCACGTAAACTTGGAAACAAATAAGGCTATATATAAACTTAATGAAAGGCAAATTCACATTCCTTGGCACGCCAAAATTTAGGTGGTTATAATGCACCATGGTCATAATTCATATTAATCGCGAATAATCAGGCATAAATTATAATTCATAATAATAATTGTAGCTATACGAAATTATGGATTTGGATCATAGAATTACTTAAAAATGAATTATGGATGAAAGTAAACTATACTAAACCCATGACTACACTTTTATATCATGCTTGCGTTATAGACCATTACCGGGTTATACGGAAGAGTTTAGAGTTGTAGAATGCACGTCGAATATAACAATAGAATTGATGTTCTGTATTACTATTATATTAACTTTGGAGGGCAATTTTTGTATAAAACATTATGCATAATATCTTCTGATTGGCTTAGATCAGTGGGCTAAAATATATTTCAGCCCGGCAAATTTATCATTCAAACTAGCTTGCAAAATACACCGCAGGGCCAGCTACAATTGACTGCGCATTACCATTAGGGAGGCTAAGGGAGCTTTGCTAAGTACGAGTGCAAGTACGAGATTCGTATTTCTGGCTTGTTCTTTGCTTACGTTAGCAGCCAAAACTCGTAGTCGTCGAGCTTATGAGTACGAGTTCGTTGTTAATTTCGTATCGAAAGGTCCAACGACCACGAGTTTCGTCAGATGGCGTAGCCAATAGCACCGAGTTTGGCGCGAAAAAGTCGAATCTTGTACTTGCATGTACTTGTATAGCCGTACTGCTAAAGCTCCCTATCAATGCAAGGTTTCAATACCAATATATGGCTACTGTAAGGCGAGATGAGAATTTTTGGTCTTAATGCTATAAAATATGCTATATAATTGCTAAATAATAGAGTTCAATATCATTCGGATTCAAGTTATTAAACATTCCTATCATATATGCACACACTTTTTTTACAAGTGACGTCAAGTCAGTTTTAAAATAACGAAAGCTAGATAACAGACATAGATTGAGTTAACCCAATTACTTCAAGCTAATACCATTATTTACTGACGTTATTTACTGACGTTATTCACGTCAGCTGTCAATTGAACAATGTACATGCGAAAATACTTCTGATGGTGAGCCGAGTACCATTTTTCAACAGTAAGCACGTGCGTTCGAGTTCTAATAAACGGCTTCGCAAGTAAATTGAAATTGTTTAATTTCCTTGTCTGGTTCTCATATCGAGAAAATATAGTTCTATAGACACGACAATAATCCAAAACTATAAGACCTGTTAAGAAATCTTTAAACAGAAAGACACTAGTATAAGATGGCTACTTAGCCCAGCACATCTCTACGTAATTTGCTTTGCCATTGACTTATAAATAATCCTTACTCTTGATAATATATACCAATAGTAATTACATACATCAAAGAATGGTAAAGTACATAAAAGCTAGAGCTATACAGTATACAAACACTTACCCTATCGATTCCCCTCTGTACACCAAGCAAAATACCAAACACCATATAACATTGCAGGAATGATGAAACATGGCCATCTTCGCAACAGAACAAGTCTTAATATGATTATCATCATACTCTTGCTTCGGGCTTTTATAGGTAACGAAGCATGCGGAATTCGATCTCTTTTTAATTTCTCGAGAGTTTAAAACAGGAAACGCGCGCCAAACAACGATAGTGTGTGCTATGACCTATAAGCCAGCTAATATATTCTCCATCAAGATGAAAAATCGATTAGTGATGTAGCTTGGCGTGAATAAAAAATGGAGACCGTGAGAAATGTTGTACATAACTTTCTATTTGTGGTATAGCGTTCAGAAGCTGGATAATTTATCTGGCTATATATAAATAAATATCTCGCTATAGAGTCAATTAAGGAAATAATATCATGTGGCCTAATTTCTATCACAACTTAACATTTCCTGTATTTGAATGCTAATTGAGATTAGGCTTATTATGTTGTTATCTTTGATATTGGTAGAAGTTATATATACAAACAAAAAACCACACATTTATTGTGGGCGGAACAGCGTCTAAACCCCCATATACTATTCTAAAAGTGCTGCATGTATTCACTGCATTGTTAGGCTTCCGCATTTACTGAACATGCGTAGGGATTGGTACAAATTTTATTCAATGATACAAAGCAATTAAATCCTTTTGAATTGTATCCTTTTTGAATGCAATTAGGATCTCTTTCCTTAAGGCGAGAAAGCATTTATATAGCTAGTCTATAAATACTCGAGTTAAGTCTGTAGAGACGACATGCGATTACAATAATGCGACACCTTCGCAATACACCTTCGTCTATCTTCGGGGTCATAATTCAGTATCGGCCTCTGCCGCATGACTATGAATGTTTTTGGACAAAAATTGGCTTTGCTTCCAAAATTGCGTTCTCTTTAGTACTGGTGGAAAACAGCTGCAGGCATATAATCCATGTTCAATCCATCAATACGTGATGGAAAGCCGGAAAATCGTGGTGGAACGGGCAAAGTGTGGTTTTTGAGTGTTTTTCAACTCGCCGGATATCACAAAATTCGCCCACTCCTTGTTTGTAATAAGCTACCATATCCTTGAGTTTTTGTAAAAACGTATGGCCACCCCCACAATCATCAGAGTACAGGAACATAGGAAGATTATATAACGATATTAGTGCGAAAAGATTGCGAAAATATCATCCGGTAGAAAGTTGGGGGAGACGGGTGGAATATACCGTCGAGTTTCATTCCCCACTCAACGTCGATGAAGACACGGTTGAACATGAATTATCTACACCAAGGGATAAAAATCCGGCTACTTTATTTTAATAAGATTTATCTCATCCGCTTTGAACCAAATTAGTAAGAGTAAGTTCTCGCCAAACCTGATACAAAACAAATGAACTGCTTAAAATAGACAAAAAAAACCTAATCTCGATGTTTCGACCTAAAAACTCTGTCACGCTATCGTGTATCGCACTAATGATACCTCGTCTCAGCCAGGGTTCCGCACAAACATGCCTCAAAAGGTTAATTGTCGGTGTGCATTCGTTGGGTTCATACGACAAGCACTAGGTTCTCATATGCTGCGTGGTATTTGTATGTTTTTTAGGCCGTGTGAAAATTACTATATCAATCTCCATCTTCATTGATTGCCCGTGATCTTCATACTTATCTATGGGCGTACGTAAAACGTCTCGTGACGAAAGCCACGAGTTGGAAACGTCTAGAGATGTTTTAGCCTATTTTTGGAAGTTGTTATGCATATTTCATTCGAAAACGCTGCCACGCAGTTCCTTGGTTACGTGTTACCACAGTATGTGTGACTCTTAACCTAACTCTTCAAAAACAGAGAACAAATTCATCCTGATAAAATGTATCGTGTAATCGTGGTACTCAAATGAAACAACAGTTCCCAGCTGGTTAAGTGCAGCGTTTATTGATAGAGAGTTTGGGCGCGTTCCAACGCATAGGGCTTTGATTGGGCGGACACTGGCGAATAGTTCATAGTAATTAACCTGGGGCCGGTTGTTCAAAAGCCGGTTAACGGTAACCCAGGGTTAAAAATGCCTAACCCAGGGTTAAATTTTAAACCTTGGTTGATTTGCGTTGCACAAAGCTCGGTTAGCGTTAACCCTGTGTTAAAATTGACAAAAAAATTAACCCTGCTAGCTAGGTGGGTTAACTTTTTAATCCTGGGTTAACTTCGATTCAAAATGGATGAATAAGGAGCTGAAACACGTAAACACGTATAATTCGTCATGAATTAAACACTTTTGAAAGGTTTTACGAATAATTTCGACAGCAAAGAATTATTTAAGTTTGACTTCGTTCGATTTCAGCTGATGTATTGATTTATTTATCTTCGCTTCAATGCAATACACGATGAATGAATACAACCGTACAAATTGAAAGATCGTAATCGAAATATTTGTTTCGCATACCAAAATTTGATTCTTTTGATTGGCAGCAAGTGGTAAGGCTACGTTTGTTCCTGAATTTGAATAATCAAAGAATGCCTAAAATTTTCAAAATAGATTGTTTATAATATGCATTGCTTAATTTTGCTTCACATCGCGACATTGTTTATCATACAACATTTGCGAATTTCGAATCTTTCTAAAATTGCATGCACGGAAATTGCGGTTCAAAACAACGTCCCTTCGACCCTGCCCTCACGGCATATAATCTTTCGACTGACAATATATCCTCGTCGGGTAAAGTTTTGCCGCTCGTTTATTGACCAATTGAAAACGTTCTTATATCCAACTTAGTCGTTAAAATACATTTAATCTTAGGTTAAATATTTTAACCCTGGGTTAACTAACCCTACCGCTAACCCAACTTTGAACAACACAGTTTTAACCCAGGTTTAGCTAACCTAGGGTTAAGGATTTTAACCCAGGTTTAGCACTAACCCAGGGTTAAATTTAACCTGCTTTTGAACAACCGGCCCCTGCAGTCCAGTATTAGATAGAGTAATTAATCTGCAGTCCAGTATTAGACAGAGTAATTAATCTGCAGTCCAGTATATTATTTTGACAGAGTAAAAATACTTAAAACGATATTCACACGAATGATACTTTGTGTGAATGACTTTGCCAAAACAACTGCCTAAAATAGACAAAAACGCTTCTCGATGTTTTGCGTTCGTCAAGAGAGTCAAACTTTTTGTTTACGCTTGATATTTTGGTGTTTATCATGTTTATTTGTTGGGTTAAGAAATCTAATCCTGGCACGCAATCAAAATGCGTACATGCGCAGATGGCACATTATATATGCATCCTATCACACAACATTTGCACTAAATTGCAATATATTTAGGGTGTGTGACGACTGGGTTGAAAGAGAGGATTCATTAAGCCATATAATCAGCATTGAGGCTTAACTTATTATAACTATAAATATAGTTGTAGCAAAACATCCAGCGTAACATGCGATTTCTGACATAATCTTCGGGCCAAAAAACTAAACTAGATTTGTGTGACACCTTTCCTGACTAACTTTGATCTGTGCTTTAATTTGTTAGCTATATGGAATGAATATTCCGGCTGAAAAAATTGCATGACTAAATAGTTTGCACGCCACGGAAATTTGAGATTGGGGACAGTCGAGGGGACAGTTTTGACCTCTCAGGGACCCTAGGAGGCAACTCTCATCAACGCTTGAATCTGTCTAGTGTTGTTGTTGAAATGTTGAAGTGGCAAAAAATGATATAAAGGTAATATATCTCTCTCATGTAGTCGGAAAACTTTACTATACCACCTACTGCTGCTGTCTCGTGCTTGTTCAAGAGAATTTCAGGTAGCTAACTCAAAAACAGGAAATTACAAAAACAAAGTGCTTGAAACAATTGCGGTCTCGGTCACAATGTCCCCCAATTAACGAGCCAATCCTAGGCAGCTACGAAAGAGATGACATGTCGTTGCGGTGAAATAAAAAAACGTAACACTGATAAAGCTACCCCTGATTATTTACACGCGGGTGTGAAAATTTGCACGTTCCAAGAGATTTTTCCCGAATACACGTCCTGCACGGGGTATTTCCCATTGGCTAATGACAAATAGCAACATACATCTCGATGAGTGGATTAAACGAAGGAAGCCTCAAGATGTACATCCGTTCTGTTGAAGTGTTTTTCCTCAGTCTGGCAAACTCTACAACTTCCCAAAGGTCTTATTAAGCCATTTCTTTATATATTATGTTGGAAGGTGCATTATCATCGGAGCATTTGTTTGCTAATCCTGCACATGCGACTTGACGCGTAACTATTGTAGGTACTTCGTTATTCGTATTCAAAGAATGCATCAGTTCAAAAGGTCGAAGAAGTATATGAGGCATTTACATGCATATGCACTAACCTGTCATCGAGACATAATCGATTGCCGTCACAATTTTCTACACAAATGAAAAACAGCAAGTTATATAGGCATGCCGTCGTCCAGAGTTCATGCAGAACTATATAGTAAGGTTGCAACAGTCTCACAAAAACACAATTAGAGAAATAAGAGGTTAAATGCTCGAATCTCTTTGAGATAAACACATTCAAAGGCATAATGTGCAGTGATACATGGGCATGCAAGTAACTTAAATCTTCGGAATGTTTCAATTTAAAAAAAATCCTCGCGATCTTTCCGCACTTAATTTGCAATTTTTTAAAAAAATAAATAAATCAATTTTTCGAACTCACAGTCTCACACTATGGCTATGTATGGCAATGTAGTTTGTCTCGTGGTGCAAGGCTCCAAACCCATAACATGTCGGTATTAGGTAATATATAGAATTCTTGCAACTAATCTTAGTTTGTTGGTGCTGTCGTGGTGCTCTTGTTAATGCACATACTTCTGGTGTTTGTCTGTTTCCTATCATCTTGTTGATTATTTGGTATGCGTATTCGCGAAGCGATTAAAACAGAAACTAGACATAAATGTCAGACTGCTGATATAGACCACCGTGTGTCTTAAGATTAGGCCATCGTGTGTCCTAAGATATATATCCATGCAGGGCCGTAGCTGGACAACTTCATTGGGGGGGAGGGTGTTGTTGTATATTCATATATTCATGTTTATATACCGTAGGAACAATAGCGTACAAAAGAAATCAGTCGGGCGCAAGAATATTAGAGGAATATATGAATATACCCCCCCCCTCCCCAATGGACCGCTTGCATGATAGATCAACTTGTGAACTAGGTTAGAAGAAGCGAAAATATCAACACAGCTAAAGAGAGCATACTGAAATTAGTATAATTGCCAAGTTTGGCTGCAAAACATCGAGTAGTACGGAAAATGTAGCCATGCGAAGTACGCAATTTTTGTATACTTTTGTATATTACGGACAGAAGTGTGTAATTAATTCAATTACACTCTCCCGGCTATGATACAAAAGTATACAAAATAGACGAACTTCGCCTTGTTATATCTTCGCTTCTTTACAATATTTTCCAGCCAAACTTGGCATTTTTACAAAGTTTAGTATGTTCTTTACGGAAATCTTCTTTTTGTCGCCTGAATCAAAAGCTGGTCTATTATGCAAGTGGTCCAATTAAGCTTCCAGCTGCAGCCCTAATATATCGTATCGAGTGTCACCTCATCGTGACGTACCAGAACAAATGGAACACGGCACGATTTTCGTTAAGACTGCTCAGATATGTGATGAAACACGGCTTCTAAAATCTCAAACTAACAAGTAAAAAAAATTGAAAGAACTTTAAAAAAATTGATCATGAAACTCGGCATGACGGATAGATGTTTTTCATATACATCCGGTAAGATCATGCATATATGATGGGTTATTGACCTCCCTTGTGTTTATCTCATGAGCTTAACAAGAAAAAAAACGAGTAACAACTACAACGTATGCAGATAATATCCAAGATGATGATAGAAATGTGCAGAGGTTTTGCTTGCAAATGTTTGCAGTTTGGGGTATAAAACTCATAGATTAGTCTATTTGCACTGCTTTCGACAGTTTCCAACGGAATCGCGTGTAGATGCTTTTAATAAAATGCTATTCTAGTACTCAGACATAATATAAAGCGCCTATGTAATCTGCTTACAATGTGAAATTATCAACCATGAGCAAATCCAAGGTTTAGAGAGGACGTCACAGAGGTGATAAAATCGGAGGTCGTGAACCCAAGACGCACAATAAGCCAAGAAAAGGATTTTAAATCAACTAATTTGCTTTGTAGCGCATTCCGCGTTTCCACCGAATGCACTAATGTAGGCTATAAGCCCACATTACGGTAGTTACATTGACAGCGTATAGCCGTTGCACTTCTAATCCAATCATCAAACGTCCATCTGCGATATTTCGTGGGCAAGCTGCATAACAAGGGCCGATTGACCCAAATGGCTAATGAGGATGTTTTTAATCAGGAAGCAATCCATTTTCTTAGAGAACACTTCTGGAACAAGTCATCTTACACAATCCGATTACACTTGATGGCGTGAGCAGGAACGACGTGGAAAGCACGAGAGTGTTTGACTGTTTCGACTGTTTTGCCAGAAATTAATACTTTCGAGTCTTGTACTGTTATTCTAAGTGAAACTAAATGGGCAAACGGAAATGATATTCAGATGTTCGACTATATTTAAAACGACTATATTTTCTATTACTAAAACACTAGGAATTAAATGTTGCTCAATTACAGGTATAATTAGTTTGCAAGCCCAACTGAGTCAAGTTATATTGACATATCGAAACGGATTCTATAGTTCCACGATTATCTGTAAAAACGGACACCGCAGAAATTGGTGTTTAAGACGTTTCAACCCGAAAATCTAATCGCTGGTTCACAATTGTGCATTTCTGTATCGCCCTATCAAAGAGAAACCTTTTGAATATCTTAAAAAAGTTCAATTTTTCTTCTGAATACGCATTCTGCAATCTTTTGACAGCTCATCATACACATCTGACCGCTGTGAAATGGCCATTTTGAGGCTTAAAGTATACACAAGGTTATTAATTCAGACGATTCGTTTTTACCGTGAGCAAGCTTCAAATCTTTTGTGCAAGACATATTTTCTTGAATATTTATAAATCTTTTTCCTCACCAAGTTTGAAGTCTAAGTATCGAGAATTGCGGCTAAGCCTATACCAATTTCCGCGGTGTCGTAAAAACTGGGATGTTAAAAAGTTTAAATGCATGGATAGACGTTACCCCAATTACAAGACACCGCTTCTAAGAGCTTTGCTCGAAATCTCCCTCGTTAACGATAATAAAATAACAGCTATATCAGCTATAGATTTTTCTAGGGCTGCACCGAAATATGTATATATACATGTTATGATAATTCTATATAAATATTTAAACATAATCCTCCACTATATTGGCGCATGCAATTCTGGATGAGGATAGAAAAAGTCGAAGGAATTAGAGCGCTTCATCGTAACGCATTCCTGTCTGAGGTTCTAATCCAAACCATTAGTTATCCCCAGCGCCTGCCATGGGTACGAGAATGCATGATAAAGAGTTTTAGTTAGAACGAGGAGAACACATCGAGTACCGTTTGGAATCATACAAGTGTTTCACTTTGAGGTATAGAACCTGTTTAGGCTTCGCAAATGACGCCTGAAGCTCTTAATAGGATATATTTAGATATTCAACTTACTATATATTACAATTGAGGCCCGATTCACGTGCACGATCCAGTCTTGACGGATCAAATTCACTTATGAGGTGAGGTATTCAGTCTGTTGATTAGTCATAATCTGCTTTACTCACGATTTGATGCATATATGTATACAACATTACGACTTTATGTATATATTTATATCACTACAAAACATCCATCAAAAGTGAATTAATTAGAAGTCCATATTTTGGAAATCAATTAATTCATAAAAGAAATTTCCTATATCTCTGGAACTAATTAGGCTAAACGAACTATGAAGCCATCAAAACTAGGGGACATGCATGGATTCGAGTTACCAGTAATAGGAACTGAATGCTATAAAGACTCTATTAAAAATAGATGCATGCTTTTATAAATTGGTATATATTTTTAACAGTGTTTTATATGTAAATAATATATGTAAATAATATATGTAAATAATATAAGTATATTTCATAAGTGTCATGCAAATATAGCAGCAGCGAATTTTACTATATTATTTTTAAAAACTCACTGTAAACCCAAACGTACGTTTTGAGTATCATTTTTCTGTTATAAATAAATACTACCATGTGTATCTATGTGTAAATAAAAATTACTATTGACTTTGATGTTCTTCCTTTACCACAAAAAATAGAATTCAAAAGGCAAAGCTACATTTTGTTTTATGAGCACTTTTAAGCCGCGTTTACACTGCGCGTGCTTTGACCTGGTCTGGACCAGGCCTAGGCCTAGGCCTAGATGTAAACGTTGTTTATCGGTTTATCCCCCTAAAACCAGGCCTGGACCTCCTCTAGGCCACAAAATCCAGGCCGACAGTAAAAGGTGGCCTGGACCAGACCTGCACCTGTCTTGGACCACGATTTTGGTAATGTGAGCGAGATTTACCTTGTCCTGACAAACTTAATAAACTCAACTTAATAGTATATGATTTCTATAGGATCCAAGCTAGTATTAGCACTCAGTTTCGGCGTGTTTTTGGTCTTGTTCCAAGTATTTTGTCAATTATTTTGGCTATCCGATATCATCCATCAAGAAATATAGTCTTAAACCTGGCCAGATTTAGGCCTCTAGGGTATAACCGAGAGACTCCAATGCACTTGACTTAAAGCAAACATCAGACTCATATAGCCGATCAGTATTTAAGTCCAATATGGAAAACCGTGTTAGGGAAATACCCGGTATATTCACGCTATGGATGATGAAGATAATGGAGGCCTCAGTTAAAATACAAATATAGTCATCCAACATTTGGCTGTCATGGAATATTCAAGTGATAACGGCTGTAATCATATTAATAAAGAACTCGATCAGCGCGAGGCTATATTTTCGCGACAACGTATAATCGAATTACTTCAAATTCAAATATTGTTTGCAGCAATTATCCGTAATTAAATATGCTTTCCACTTGAGGTTTCTTCCCATAGGCATAGGAGTGTGTGTGTACACGCATGAAGTTAGAACTAAATTTCTTCGTAAAACTTTACATGACTACATAATATCTCAACTAACGCACATTAGATGATACAGAGAACTGAATTCGGTCAATTTGTTCCGTTAGGTAAATACGAACAGTTTCAATTGAATTGCGTGCGTTCGTCAAGCTCGCTTAATTACAGTGTATATTGAATGCAATGAAGTCCTCTTAATTGCTTTTTCAAAACTGCATGTTTGTTATATGTATGAGAGTATGAGTTTATTTTTACACACACAAAACTGTGGTCGTTCGGTTCGGAAAAGACACATATAGTTCAGAATTCTTTGCCAAAAAATACGATCAGCCATCGCCCCTGGACAAATGTTTTTCAAACCTCAACTTAATTTTAACTGCAAGCGGTGTGAATACAGGGGTAAAAAATACATGACTATATGCATGATTGATTATATGCCATTTTGTCGAACAAATAGAATGTGTAATTTACCAATATTGACTATATATACGAAACGTGCTTTCAATACATGCCAACAATAGATAATTATTTAACCGTAGACCGTTGTCATCAACACCTTGATCGCTCTTGTTGACCACTCCACCGTACTAAAAACGTATCACGCACAGAAGTAAATGATCGGAATATTTAGTCGAAAAAGCAAATAAGGTATGCTATCTCATCACGGTTATAATGGGTGAAGGTGTTTCTTCATGCAAGTGACGTCGAAGAATTCTAAATCGAATCGCAGTTAATTGATTGATGAAGTTATATTTCCAGTGCTTAATTTATCATATCAGTCCAGTCGCGTCATTCGTTTGCTTCGCGTCTTTTGCATATTTACTTAAAGTGAACTAACGTGATAAAATGATCAAGAGAATAAATTTCGTTTCATGCTTCCTGTGTTCATTTCCCTGCCCGCTGTTGAAAGCGATGGCTGCCTATATATAAGAACGAAATCTATCGTTTCAGTGTCATTCACAATTGTTGTTGAGCTCGTGAACTAGTAAAGGTATATATAGTTACTAAAATAATGTTTCTCAAACACGCTTTAGGTATCATCGTGGTATTGTTGATCGTCACAGGTGAGTTGCTTATAATACTTTGATTCTTAGGATAGGAGTGTAAAATGTTGAAATATTTACGGCTTTTACTCTGGTTACGAAAGACAGAGAGGCCGGAAAGAGACACCCATTAAAAAAGTGCTGTCGATCAAACTAAGAAATTGAAAAATTTTTCAAAGCGCTTGCAACCTATAGTTTTAACTTAACCTATAGTATTTGACTTGTTCACTGCGATCAATATGACTCAATTCCGAGAAGCTTGCGTTTCAAACGTCGTGCTTCTAATGTGCCTATAGTGCATTAAAAACACGTGAACACACGAGCAAATAATACTTCACAAAGAGTTGTTGTCAATCAAAACTTGCTCGCTGTACAGTTTTCAAGGCAAACCTGCTCGCGTCTGTATACGGAGCTTTATGCTGTGCAATTAAAAGCAGGTGCTTTTTTCTCTGAAGTTTCGTGTTCACTTGTCATGCCTCGAAATTATTCGCTCCGTTAACTGATGATGTACATATACAGTACTGGGTAGAAATAACTTAACAAAAACCGCAGTTAACCTAGGTCAAACCTCGGTCAGATCGCGGTTGAACCGAGGTCAGACCAAGGTCGAACCGAGGTGAAACGGTTGACATTTCGTTCGGAAGCGAACGGCCACTGCGAAGGTATTTTTTCCCTTGCGGTCGGCTGCGGTTCCTATCGGTCGACCGCAACCGAACCGCGACCGAACCGCAACTAAACCGTAACCGAACCGCAAACCGAACCGCAAACGCAGTTTTAGGTTATTTCTGGATAGTACTGTACTACTGTAGTATTACATGCTTAAGTACTTCGCCATCTATAAAATATACTCTTATACAGCACATTTTCTCACTCATCAAAAAAACCTACATGCGAGCTCACCTGCACAACGAATGTTTGCTTGCATCTAAAGTCAACAAAAAAGCATATGTTTGTATAAGGAGTCTTGGCGATGAATAAAGCGGTTTTCCAACTGGGATGATTTTCGTATGAAGCGACATTTAACTTTCGTTTCAGAGCTGTCAACTGCTACCATTTGGAGCAATTTAGCTCAAATACAAAAGAATAAACTTGCTTTGCGCGAAAAATATCGCTACTGGAAAACCGGTTTAAGGAAAACCATGACATTTGTCTCGTGGAACTAAGATACATAAAAAAATTTTTTGATATCTTTTCAAGGACCTCTTGCTGAAAGCATAACTGTCGAAGAACTTGTAAACACATTTTCTAATGACTGGAATGGGGAAAATGACAAATGGACCACGAGTGAGGAAGATGAATATGGTACTCTACAGCAAGGTGGGTCGACCCGACCTGGGAAACTAGATGGAGACAACGAACCCCCAGAGGAATCCGATGTTTTGCCGGAGGAAGATGAGACTTTAGTACTTGAAAGGTCAGATAATGAACCTCTAGAGGTGCTAAAAAGGCGACTTGGACTATTTGATTTCCAAACAAGGCGACCTGGACGTTCCGAAATGCAGACAAGGCGGCCTGGACGTTCAGAGATGCAGACAAGGCGGCCTGGACGTTCCGAGATGCAGACAAGACGGCCTGGACGTTCCGAGATGCAGACAAGACGGCCTGGACGCTCCGAGATTCAGACAAGACGACCTGGACGTTCCGAGATGCAGACAAGACGGCCTGGACGCTCCGAGATGCAGACAAGGCGACCTGGACGTTCCGAAATGCAGACAAGACGGCCTGGACGGACGACCACTCTCGCCAAGGTTTTAAAACTATGAAAAAGATCGATAAACTCCGAAATTCGAAAACCCCGCACTAGATTTAGGACAAGACATACTTTGGAAAAATATTTCACAAAATAAAAAAAAGGCCAAAGTAATATCATTATAAGTAACCGATAATTACAGCTAATATCACAAAATATTAATGTAAAGTTAGAATATGAAATAAATATAGCAGCATCATAATAAATGATTGGGCATTTAACTATATGGCTGGGCATTCAACGGGAACCAGATGCAATTACATGCAAAATTCCATTCCGTTACGGCAAAACCTGAGCTCAGGCTGCAAAGGCTTGGGTCTAGTTTCCGCTTTCCAACTTTTAAAAGCCTCCGAGAAGTGAAATGTACATAAGTGCATGTCAGTCAAAAAAGTCATGGAATTCAGTCATCTGTTGCACGCGAGAATGTGTAAACAGTTTTGCATATTCAAAAATGAGTAGGTAAAAAGTCATGCGTGCGTGCTGTAGCTTTTCCCCACGCTAACATTGGCAAAATTTCTTTGATGAAATTACTATTTTTCGCAAGTGCTTCCACACAAATCTAAAAAATGCAGAATAAATCCGGTTTTCCACTACACGGCATTTTTCGACCGAACGAAATTTCAGTTCGTTTTATTAGACAAAAAATTTCGTGCGGGCGAAAAATTCCGCAGAGTGGAAAACCGGCTTTAGTGTGGATTTTCATTTGTGGAGTTATAGTTCGCTAACGAAATATTTGCATATTTTCTTTAGAATTTTAACAGCATAAATAAACCAGTTCAATTACTGTTCTCAATTTAAAAAAAAATGCAAAACGAACAATGCGAATTATGTCTCCACAAGTGAAATTCCAAACTAAAGATGCTTGAAGATATATTAAACTAGACTAAAACGGACCTCCAATTTAAAGAAACCTTATTTCAAAATGACATATGATTATACACGGCCTTTTTGGAAGCAAAAAGTCACAATCACAACCGACCCAGGCAAAATTTCAACGATATAAACGTAAGCGGGGTTAAACATGAAAGAGCTTATCTATCACAGCCTCGTCAACAACGTGTTTCACTTGGATACTGCTTTAAACAGACACCTGCTAAACATGCTATAGGCGACCGCGAGTTTGATAAATTATTAATGCCTGTCATAAAACAACATTCTTCTATAATATGGATGTTAATCCTACTCAACCCGTCGGTTTTCGGCGCAATATATTTTCCTTATTTAAATAAAGATCCCGTCTACTAAACAGTCGTACTTTCTATGCGAATACGATTGACAACGGAGCCTTATTTCACGGTCAAACAAAATTTAGTTGACATTAAGACATTTTTGTTACCCGGGTAACTAATGCAAAAAACGAAACAGCTGTACTTTGTTATCGCATTTAAAACTTTTCGGGCTTTTGAAACCACTCAAAATCGCCCAGGACGAAGATATCAGAGCTTAGTTTGTTCTAGACCTTGATAATGAAGCTGTCTGTTCCGTATAACCGTCCTTATTTATACGTTTCGCGGTTAGGCAAACTCATTAGCATAAGTGCAGAGGTGTTTTTAATATGCAAACCTTCATTAATATTTAACAACGGTAACATTTCGACGTGAGTGAAAATTGGAAGGTTGCGACTTTTGCGTTGAAAGAAAGCTTCAAATTTCTTCAGCGAGTTGTACAGAATTACCCTAGAAAATTTATATAAAGAATCGGACGTCATATATCAGAAGAATAAAGCCCGTTGAAAGAATCGAAACGTCATGAACGCGTGGATATTCTTCGGCTTGCTGGCCTTCTTCTCTTCAACTACGTATTCGGCAAATATCACAAGTAAGAGCTATTGTTTTTGTGTGTATCTAACGAAGGCCGCCTTTAAATTCCGAAAGCTCTGAACGTACGTTTTGATTCGAACGAACCGGTTTTTAATTCTCGTATCTCTTGGTTAACTACATGCATGAAAATTTAACCTTGAACATAATTATATACAAGTTTAGCTCGAGATTTAAAAATTATCAGTTTGGGGCAGCTTTCTGAACACATGCACTCTCGTCGACACAAATGAAAAGACACCGTATTGTAGTGTACGATCGTCAGCGCTGAGATGTCATGCCGCTGTTACCGAGCTGAACGAAGCATAGAGAGCGCAACCAAGTCATCATAATACAGCATATGATGATATGCATATTCACGGTGTATCAAGTCGTAGTTCTATATTTAAGTGCTTACTTTGAATAATATTTGACTCTGTTATACTCATGTAGTGTTAATCCGGTTCTGCATGCATAGCGCCGGAGCCATGAAAGGTGCTATGAACATAAAGTAGTACATACTATCAAACTAGGACTAATATGGATGCAACTAGCGGTTTGCCGATAGAATAGTCAGCTCGCCGGTAGAGTCGTGGAAACTAAATCTTCTAGATACAGAATCTGCACAAGATCGCCGTGAAATAAACCTCTAACGCAAATGCTATATTATAACGGAAGGCTCCGATCAGGGGCAAAAATTAAAAATATCTATATTACCTATATCATATTGATAGTCGAAATTAACAAACATTGGTTTCTCTAGCTCATTTTATACGTTCTGCACGCAGAACGTCTTTCTGAATAATCACTTTTAGAGCGTGCAAACACGCAAAGCTACAAAACTGTTCATAGGGAACTTAGGATTTAGGATGTAAACGCGACGTGAGCCAAAATAAAGCCCCTAAAATATTAGGCAGAAAAGAACTGTGGGCTGTATAAAACTTTTATGATGCCCTTTTGTGGACGAGGGGAACTCAACCAAACCGAGTTTAAAGTTGCACTGCTTATATAAACCTATATACTCCTTAGATTTTATGCACGCGTTCAACACAGTATGCGATTTTGTGGTTTAGCGTTTCGTAGCATAGCGAGAAACTACGTTTAACACTCATTGGAAGTTTAAATATTTAATTCACTCATTATTAGCTGCCAGTCTTTTACGCATGTCGTAGGTCTGTAAATTTGAAAGTTTAGCTGGAAAATGTTGGAAAGTTGACTAAAATATTGACGTGCGTTCAGATTTCTATTATTAATTAGTATTGCGTGCGAAAAAAGCGTCACCGGCTTTTTGAAAATATTTACTAATGAATTTTTCCACAAAAAGATCATCCCAAATCTTTATCCGGTTCGACTGATGATGCAAACGTGAGGAATCAATACAAAATACATGCTAAAGACGTGTAAAGTTGATTTATGTTTAAGTCTTCGCTCCATTAATCAATATGACGTCTGTCTAAACTGTAACCTGTTCCTTCTATTATAAATTATTTAAATTGTACTACGTCTAAATCCGACGAAGGCACATCGCTTGATATATAATTTGTACAACGTATTTGCACGATTATCAATAGTATAATCTGTGAAAACATTTCACTAGCTTTCCTTGATGTTTTTGCTTTAAAGTTATATTGAGGAAAAGTTCGCAGGCTATAATTAACTTTATTGTGAATTATTAATACTAGGATAATTCGAGATCTGTAGAGCGGTGTTTGTGAACGTCAGACCTTAGCTATATATTAACAACAAATTTACTAATAAATTTTAATCGCTAATCTAAAAGCTGCCGCGAAGCCCAGAGACCTAAATGAGTTTTACCGCGTAGACATTAGTTTAATTTATGACAAATGAATTTGTGACAAATCGTGCGTAAATTCCTCGAGCCCTGTTATAATTACACAGTAGTGCATGCGAGATGCATGAGTTGCGTGAGCCAATTAATAACGTATACAGGAAATTAACAGCCAATAGCAACGCGCGTATACGTGTTTTGAAACGGCGAATTTCACATGGCAACGGCATCCAACAACGACACATGGCAATTTTGTAAAAACGTATGTTTGCATGAAAAAACCGTTGCATACAAATTCAGTAAAACCATCTACCTTTAAAAGCTGACTTCAAATTTGATGAGCAAAAAAGATTTATAAATGATCCACAAAATATGTCTTGCACTAAAGTTTTGAAACTTGCACTCGGTAAAATTGTCTGAATTTATAACCTTGTGTGTATATTCTCAAACTGGCCTTTTGAGCTTTTAAAAGATCACACAGTACGTATTCAGAAGAAATTTGAATTTTTTTATCTTATCCAGTAGGATTTTCATTGAGATCAAAACAGAAATGCACAAATGTGAGCCAGTGATAAGCGGTTTTTCGAGTTAAAATTTCATGAATACCAATTTCTGCGATGTCCTTCTGTGTCCTATCTATAACCGTCCTTCTGTGTCCTATCTATAACAGCCCTACCCAAGCCATCGTACTGCAAGGACGACACGTTAAAGGCGCAATGGTGGAGTATTCCTCCGTACATATACAAGGACAAAGATGGCAACATAAACGGAATCTTCAAAAGAGTTTTAGACGACATCGTTAAGCACTGCTGCAATGGCCACACAAACATCACGTACGAGCCACTTCCACTTAACGACTCTGAGGTTGTCAAGGACCACATCGGTGAAAACGGAACAGTCATCAGTTTTCCAATATACGGCGAGATGAAAGATACAACATTCCAGAATTTCCCGTACATGCCTGTGGTGGAAGCACCGGGAGTGGTGTTCATCATGACCACCGAAGATTCTGCGAACGCCGCAGAAGCGGTGATGGGTGCAGTCTTTCAGGGATGGCCTGTACTCGTGCTTACGTTGGTGATGGCTGCATTATCTGGGATCATCATATGGGCATTGGTAAGCACCGCTTTGGGAGGGGGGGCAATAAGTGTGGTCGAGAGGGGAGAGGGTTTTCACTAGCGTCCACCTGAATAGGGCATTAAGAATGATAAAAGGGGGAACAAAAGGGAACAACAAAGAGGTGAACAACCACCTCATTGGGTTGGGCGTGCTAATAGGGAGCGCATCCTGAGCTAAATTTTCCGTCATTTTATCCTTTCAGGATACTTATTGGAACCCAGACGAATTTCCGCCATCGTTTTTCCAAGGAGCATGGGAAGGATTCTGGTGGGCTTTCGTGTCGATGACAACAGTGGGGTAAGTGTTTAACTGACGGTAGTAATGACAGCGTTACCACAGATTACCACACATTACCACACATTACCAGGAGAGGGTTTACCATCACAATAATGCATTAAGCTTTTGAGAGCACCACTAGTTGCTTCAATTGGCCATTCCCCAAAGTACTGGATGGAAGTACAAATCTCTTGTTGCATAAAAAGACATGAAATATGCCCGCCACAAAATTAAATGGCTTATTAATTGTTTTTCTACATTCTTTTGTAGATATGGCGATCGTTCACCTCGTTCATTCTTCGCACGGGCTTTTTCTTTTGTATGGATTATGATTGGTCTCGTAATCATCTCGATCTTCACGGCCACCGTGACCACATCATTGACAGCAATCAGTTTGAGCAACGAAATCAAACTCTATGGATCCGACGTGAGTATGACGTAATGTTGTATGGTTCTGCGGGCACAACATTTGATGGTACTTCTTTCAATCAATACTGACTTTGAACCAAACTTTATCAGGTTGTCGCTCTCAAGAACACAGAAGAGCAAAGATTTGGTGTGCGAAATAACGCTAAAGTTGGAGGTAGGCAGAATAAATATAGGAGAGAGATCGTGAGTCACGTATTCAAATAGAAATATACAGTAAATTTGTAGTTCCAGCAATTAGGAAGCTGGCACAAGCGATTTTCTTCGCCTAGAGGATGAAACTTCTTGACAAATTCACAGTAAATCCTCGCTAGTTTGACAATATAAACAAAAAGCTAAAAGCAAAAAGTCACATGTATGTACTGTCAATAGTACGTCTATTAAGAAAACAAAAGCGCATTTGCAATTGGTTTGAAGGTTTTAGAATGTTTTAAGATAACCCGACTTTTTCTTCTTGAGAATATTTCGGGCTAATAAGACAACTTCTTCACCAGCACACTAACCGCTATGTCAACTTTTCATTTTAGTCCGTTTTACAGTGGAACAAATGAAGAACGCCATAATCAATAAGGAAGATGACACGATTGGAGGCTTATTGGACAGCTACGTAGCAGGGTACTGGGCACAAAACAAAGACAACGTGGCACAACCTTTGGCCGACCCGCTACTGCAAGTTGGCACAGTTTTTGATCATCAGTTCGCGTACGGATTCGTAATCGCGGCAGGGTACGAGAAAAACGAAGAATTTGAGAAGTGCACCCGGAAGAAGTTGAACAGCATGGAAACAGAAATTACGAAGATTATTCAGGATGATGCAAAAACGATGGAGGTATGGACACTTCTTACCAGCTCCAAACACAAATTAATTTTCTAGGTCTGGTGGCAACCGTTGATATACTGCAGGGAAGTTGGGTTGCGCAACCATACACTAGGCCAGGGTGCAGGGGAGTGCAAATTGGGAGTGCAAAACCGCACTGCCCATGCAGGGATGGGCAAAGCAACGCAAAGAGCATAGCCATTAGTCTGGATTAGAAAGCCAGAAGCAAAATTTTTGTGATCTCAGTTGGAATTTTGTTTTGCGTAGGTAACTCGGACGTTTTCACAAAATGTAATCTAATTTCAAACTGACACTGCGAAGCTTTACTGCTTTAGCATTGTCAGCAAGGCTACAATGTGTAGCCAGAACCAAAAGCGGCTTACTGCGGTATAAAGAAAGATATACTAACCTCTGCTAAGTTCGGCTTTAACCATGGATCCTCGTCATTTTCTCAGGAATCAGGAGAGAGTGCCGCAGTGCAGAAAACACAGAATCTCTTTGACCCAGAATCTCCAATATTCCAAAAAGCAATATTCTGTTCGCTTGGTTTGGTCGTAGGTCTGACCTTGCTGGGTTTGATTTGGGAATATGCATACTGGAGACCAAGACAGCCAAAACCTAAAACCACAGGTGAACAAAATCGTTTTACCACAGACTCTGATCCCCATACCCTTGCAATTAATGCTCGCGTGGGGAACTTACTGGGCCGACACCCACATCGTCAGTATTTATAGATACTTCTCGTGTACCGATTAATGATCTAATAATCAACTGTCTGACCACTAATCGCACGCGATTCATCATTGACTGCATCGACCGAAAACGTGCATAATCTATATGATTGATTGCACAGATTAATGACTTTAATCAGTATGGCTTTGGTCAATTGTTTCAAAAGGATATCAATCTGATCCCTCGAAGATAATTATTGATTGAATAATTGATTGTATCAGTGACCGATCAAGTGTTTCTGATCTCTTTCTGTATTATCCATGTTGAAAAAATCATTAAAAACACGTGTATAATTTATATTATCGATTGCATAATTAATTGATTATATCAGTGCATGATCGGTCAATTCTTTGGCACCTTTCCAATCTCTCCCTTTCATATCCAAGAAGTCAAAAAGATCATTTCACACACACGCATAATAGTGATCGGTCGGTTTGGCATCTTTCTGATTTCTCCCTTTTTTTCCAGAAGTCGAAAGGGTCATCACACCTCACACGTCCTATGAAGAGCTAGTGGCCCAACAAAGCGCGGAGATTGAAGAGATTATGCGCAACGAAGTGCAACGGTTCTACAACAGCTGGAACCAGAAGCTGGAAGATCTGAAATTTAGAAACAGCAAGCTGAAGGCCGCGGATGAGCTCAAAGAAGACCATCATGAAAGGTACGATGAGGAAAAACAGAGGCTAAGTGACGACGAAGCTGAAGAGATGGAAGAGATGGATGATTACAATGATGTCAACATGCAATCAAGGAAATCTCCGTTCTCGGCATCAGATATCTAACTCTTTTCTCTCAAACAATGCACTTTTTAACGTTTATGTTCTTTTTGCAAACTTTTCGAAAACCTCAAGCTACGAATTTCTCAGTTTTTTTTTGACAGAAAATTTTATCTTACTGCGCAAGTGTCTTATACTTAATATATAATCTCTCGAAATTTGAAAAGAAAGTTTCCGATTTCTCACGATTTGTGACAAGAAATACGTACATTTCAATTTGAAAATTTGATCATTTAATTTCGTTTCAAAACACTAGAAAGCAGTACAGATATTTAGCACAATATCGCTACTTCGTTGATCTTTTGCGAATTAAGGTAATGCAATGCATGGATGATTAATAGATCGTTATATAATCGTACCCCGGAAGAAATACCCTCTCTAGTGCCAGTGTTACCAAGGCAAGGTGACGATACAGCACAGCGTGTCAAAGAGGCAGGTGAACAGGAGATTTTCGGAAGCAGATCAAGATTGTGGCGATTTGAAACGGTTGTTCGGTTTGGGACTTTCGGCAACCCTGGTAGAATTTTTTTTACCTTAATTTATACGAATTTTCAGGATAGTATACTATTCGCACTGTATTATCCGTAATTATCTAAGAGTGTATCTGCTATGTATCTTATATGCTTGTGTATATAGCTGTAATTAAAATAAGTGTGAAAAAAATTTCAGATTACAACTGCATGGTTTATCAACAGAATTTATCGACAGGTTTATTGAGAGTAGCAGTTATACTCCACTTGTTAAAAGTTACCCCCGAAATTTGGCCCTATTTTTGGACAGAAAAAGAACCCCCTGTTCTGTGGTAAAAATGAAACCCGTAAATTTATTCTTTTATTGGGGTAAGGATTTTATCCCTTCTTTGAGAGGAGTAAAAGTACCATCAAAATACCACTAATTTTTTCGAATAAGCGCATTACTCCGTGAAATTAACTGCGGAGTTTACATTATCAATCTTGGTTGGACAGAAAGGCCTATAATTCCTGGTGTGACCCAATCTACACATGCAGATTCTGTGTGTTGCTTAGGTCCAACTTGGAAAAAGACTATATTTTAACAGGGAAAGCTGTAGCCCTCAAAGTACAGGGAAACCAAAACAAACTTAAACTTGACGAGTTTGTCAAGCACATCTACAAGTATAATGTGAGATCCAAATGGGTACTCGCTTGCCCAATATATAGATCAAAATTGCACGGCAGAATTACGCAGAATCAAATGGTAGGGGTGAGGGGTCTATCAATTTTTTCACCTGCGTTCTCTAGTGTGTCGTCAAATCTACAACATAACTTTCTAATCCAGTCAAGGGTCGATAGACTTTGCTCTTCGTTTACATCAAAACAACTTCTAAAAGCGCTTAAATTTGTACGAAATATTTGCACCAAAAATTGCTAGCCATATAGCTCTTTTATATAGGTTAATAAGTTCAAAGTTTACCAAATTTCAATTTTAGCTATATATACTTTAGCTCCCAACTGACTGAACCGGACAGTTATAGTGTACACATGGATTATTTGCTGCGGTTTAACGCTATTGAAGGACTAATCCCTCACACTTGTGAAGTGTTAAAATGCTAAATAATCTTATTTATGAAGATCAGTCGCCTTCTTTTCTTTGTGGAACGGCTTATGGTATTTTTTGCAGTACGAATTCCCAGTCAATTATGAGAGTAATTTATCAAGCTTGTGTACGGTCAACCGCTGAAGCTGGATCAAATAAGCAAATGGATTCGATCATTAGGCTCGTAATCGTCCAATTTTGTTTGGAAAGGGTATTTTTCGTTCATGTTATCGACTACGAGGCATTTACGGGTATTAGCACCCTTACTGGATCAAAATTACAATGTTTGTTTTTCCGCTCGAAGGCTTTATTGCGGGGGAGAGCAACTTTTGAGCGATGAAATTTATAACAAAGTGGCGAGACCATGGATGACATGCGTTGGAGGGGCAAAAAAAAATAATTAGAAAAAATTATCGGCTCTATGTAATTAATAATATCTGTTGAGGCTCATCGAAAGGTCTTCCAGGCTGTATTTAATTCCTGTATTTAATACGATTGCCATAGTAACGGATTACTTTTAGATCCTGTAGTGGGGAATTGCCTCAGACATTTTTTTCAAATCTCCAAATAAATATATTATACAAAGCAATTATTTATATGCTTTTGTTTCTACTGTACTCGATCAAATACTGTAAAGCGCCAAGATATTTTGCTAAATGTTGCTAAGGGTAACTGACTACAAACTGATGCCATGCGACCATCGACTCTAACTTAATCGTTTCTAAACAGTCATTCAAATCGAGTCCATTGAGTGGCCATTTTGAGTCCGTCCTGCGTCACTACAGGGGTAAACTTGACTTGATCGTTCAGTTTCCTGACTGCACATGAAGTTCTTAGTTAAAGTACGGTAAGGGCTTGAGTTGGTTCAATATTGCATATGCTATAGCAAGCCGATCAAAGGCTTAAATGAAAGAAAAAACGTCGATACTTCTAATAGATTATTCCTTTAATTGGCTGGAAAATTAATTTCACAACAATGCTATATAAACCTCTCAACAAAGAGCCAAAACTGGCTAGTCTTAACCAAGATTAACCTATCAAATTTGTGTGCAGCCTTAAAGTGATTACCACCACATCATTGCATCGACAATAATAGATGAAGCGCCAGTTTGTCTGTGGTATCTCTATATAACTATCCTACAGGATTAGCTCTGGGATTAACGACGATCAACGAGCTATCAACCTCAACACAATGACACAATTTTCAGCTTAGTGTCCGCTGGTAGATAAGCTTGTGTCCCATTCACCAACTATAGTCTGGCTCCTGCGTGTCTCTAGGAGAACTCGCTATAATACGAAAACGACCTATTGATTTATAAGATGGGCCAAGCGATAAAAAATCGGTTGAAGCGCCGCGCGCGCTCTCTGGAACAAGGTATTCCAACTGACAGGTTAATATGAGTGTTTAAACACGAGCATAATAGACGCAACCGGTCTGTTTGCGATACTTATTTCTCTACGTGGATTTTGTGTAAACTAATTCGTCGATGCGCACGGGTTTATATATTTAACACGAACGTATTTACGCGCCAAGGTGCCCTAATGGGCGTAGAAATTCACCTGGCCCGGTAAATCATCTGCTCCGCAGTAAAGCAATTATCTAGTGTACCCGTTGCGCGCTTGTGACATCCAGTTGTGGCGTTGGACGGACAAGAGAAGGACGTAGCATGGACTCTTTGAAATGGATTACTGATGCGCATGCATCAATTGTTTGCCAGCCGTAACCTCTGCATACTGCTTTTGATTATGTCTGATGAGTGTTCTTAAAATAAAACTTTCGTCAAAGACTCGTGTAGTCAATCTCGTGTAGTCAGAACTCAAAACATTCGTTATATAGTCGTGTTTACAAAACAAGCTGTTTTCATTCGATGATTTTCGGGAAGGTTTGTCAAACGGCTTTCTGCTCAAAGAACCGGCTCAATGAATAAGCAAACTAAGCTAACCAATCATATTTCTCACTGATGACTTTGTCGGGGCTTGAGATGTTCTGCCCAGACATTCAATATAAGCCACAATGTTTACACCTACCGCGACATTTGCAGTTTGATTGTTCTATCAGTAAAAAATTACTTCAGAGGTCACGCAAAGGCCATGTCGTTGCTATACACATACATGCAGCTAGCTAAGTAGAACTTGGAAAAACGTATAAATTAAACTTCTAGAGCAGCTTCACCTTTTCATTTAATATATAAAAATTTGACAGTGTTAATTGCAGCCCTAAACTGTTCCCGTTAGAGATCTAGTCAGCGCCTGTATCCGATTCCCCTAACATCTAAGAGGTTCTAGTGATGTCCTTAAACGCTGAGCTTTTCTAATCTGTGCTTGAAAGATCTAGGGAAGTGGATTATTCAAAGAAGGAAGTCGTTGAAATAAATTTTGGCTTTTAAACTTTAGGATTAGCCAAAGACCTTCACCATGCATGCCTAACTCTTACGAGATGATCCATATTAGGCACATAATCTACACTGCCAATTTGAAATGCCTCTTGCCGGAAAAGAGAAAGCAGGAAAGGTCTTGGAGAGTCCGTTGAACAGTCCATATTCCAGTCGAATAATCCAATCGCACTGAGGTTTTACAGCGCGCCACGAAGGAGACGGGAAGTTGGAACATTGTTTACACTAATGAAGCTGTCCATAAGTAAGGAATTATGAAATTTATACCCTGACAGCTATTCAATTGTGTAAACACTACTTATGAAAGCTAAATACAGTTTTCAGATTAACAGTCAGATTGGAAAAACGGACAACTGTGGTGCGCGCGTGGGGAGGAAAGATTATAAACTTCTCGGAGTGAGGTAGCACTAATCCACTCTGGACACTGAGCATGACACAACAGATTGCTGAAGGCATTCGAAACATGGTACTCATCTCCAAGCTAGCAGAAATGACATCCGACTGCCAAAGTGAAATTGCAAAGCCCTTGTCTGATTTCTCCATAGATAAAATACTAAATGGGCATTTTAAGACTGAAGAGGAAAGATTAATGAAGAAACATGAAATGAACAGCCGAGGAATTGGGGTCTCCTTACCTGAGTTTAATTGGTTGAAGTTCACCAGGTACAATCCGCCAAAACTGCCAAGTAAGTTGGGTAATTCTCTATATACTGGCTGCTTCGCGATGTAGAGAAAAACCTAGAGGGGTGCATGTACATTAGTGCAGAGATGTAACCGAGGTATATTGGTCATAGTGCTGGCAGTGTTTCAATCCAAATTCTATAGAGAAATTGTGACAAAATCGTCAAGAAAGTGGTTCATTTTGAATTATTTGAATTATACATTGTAGCATAGAGGCATAGCTTTGCACGATGCGTGTGTACTGAACAGTGGTGTTTGGGAGTCATTATTTCGATTACTTAGCGAAAAGGCGACGTCAAAAAGGGCTACTGACAATACATCTATAAGCTTGGAACTGTATTCCGATAACTCACGGGCACAGTATGGATGCAAGTTTAAATGAGAGTTCTGATAAGCGTGAATATACGTTCAGATTACACAACCTGCATGCCAAAATAAATACGAGTTACATAGCGTTGTAGATCGAAATCATAAATTAGGGATTGTACAAATGTACACTCTGATACACGGAACTAAAATAGGATGCACTGGGGGTCGAATCTTCGATCAATGGAAGCCTCAATATAACTATATGATTAACTATATGTCTATATGGGACGAATAAGCAAATTGAAAGAGCCCATGCAGCTAACCGGCACGACTCAATGGAATTAGACTTCTCCAATTCCGTCTGACTCCGTGACCGTTGTCATGCTCAACTCTGCCGATCGAATTATTGGCAGCAAATTCGTAAATTTGCAACAACTTTGCTGAGGCACTTGAACGCGTTAAAACGACCGGACGAGGATTAAAACAACGGGCAATAAAGGAAGTACGCGATGAGGCGATAATGATAATCGTCTTTATGTTGCTTTTCTTTCACGAGCGAGAATGAATATATTCCCCGATATATAAACATACAATTAAGAAAACAAAGCCGTGAAATCTAAGCCGGGTATGGATGTGTTTGTGCAGGCGAATGATTTATACAGAGCAATCAATGAATTAAATCAAGCGGAGGCTGTTATTCTGTGCATTATTGAAGTGAGTGATTAGAGTGGAGCCTATACGTGCGATCTTTATAAACATTTCAAAGCTAAAAGCTAGGACTAGGTATAGATACATCATCCGAAAATTATAGTCGCATGTATGAAACCGATTAGCCGGTATCCGATTAGTACTCCAGTAGATATTAGCTTTTAAGGAACGGTTCTAGCAAAGCTGTAGAACAGAAACGACAAGAATAAAGAAATCGGGCATTTCTAAGTATCTTCAGAAGTTCTAGCAGTATTTCGAGTACGTTTTTACAATCGCGTTATACAAATTTACTGCTGGCCAATTGAACCTATATACAACAATATATGAATATAGATGTCTTGAATGAAGCTCTCATATTATACAACCCCTAGCGATAGGTTCGGTCAACAAAGTCAGCACTGAGGTTCGCTTTCCACAATGCACGCGGACTGACAAGGCGGAAAGCTGACGCGGAAGTGATGCTCCATGATAAATTGCTATCATCGTAGACATTTGCGTTAAAATATTGCCTGTTTAATAGCCGCCAGCTACAGAAAAGTGGTTCAAGCGCAACAGTTGCACGCTTAAAAACTTAACCACGGCCGACAATCCCATCCGACAGATGCAGTGACTTATTAAATTATTCCAATAACTCAATTCATGCGAGGTGCGCCAGGGAGACAAACGCGCAAGTAAGCCGATTCTTGCCGCAGTAATCAGCACCCGACATTTCACCGACTTGTTCCGACTTTCATCAAGCGTTCCTTATCGTTGCAAATTCTCTTCGCGTTTTGCCGTTATCGCGCCGAAACTGATCGTATCGTATGGTCGACAATCTAATTAACATTGAAAATCGCGATGAAATGTATCATCGAGCGCCAATAGTGCACTGGAGACTTCAGCCATGTCAATGATGAACACTTTTCATACAAGTCATATGCCGTTGGCAAGTCTGCGAGATAAATGTCTACTCTAACATGTACATACAGTCATACAGTCATACACCGGCTAAACAATTCATAAATAATGTCTACAAACGCTTCCTTAACTATATTATATAGCTACATTAAAGACTGCGAGAAAGAAAACTCTAAAATACTAAATAATGAAATGAAATTTCTAGCCGATGATATTGTAAAATATCATTAAATGAGATAAACTCCAACTGGTTATCTATATGTTGGGTTGAAGTTACTGCATGCAGTTGGAGTTATATTCAGTACTCTATATATAGTGTTATGCCTGAATGAATGTACTGTCTAAGCAAGGCTATGTAAACCAAAATCCTACAGCTGACTTAACACAACCCGAACCGGTTATTGAAAGTAGAATCTATAGAATTGGGACCGCTATACCAATATATTATTACATGTGATTAACCCCTAGATAGAGATTTTTTTTACAAAGTGTCGGAATTCCCGTGCAAAATAACCTTCGCGCAAGTTTTTTAATATTTTCAAACAGTCCGTTCTGTACACACTTTAATTAAAGATCCTCATACAAGGTAATGTCTATGGTCCATACGCACAGTTCGGCCGCCAGAATGCTTAAGATTTAATCATAATATATCATAAGTCACGAGATTTAACTTCCGCAATTTTTGTGTTTTGTCAATCTGCGCTTTATTGCAAAAGTTTATATTGCTTTGAATATGAAATTAACGCCGCAGTGTATTGGATTAATTATTGCTCATAAGAAATCATACAATTATCATGTACAGCTTATGAAACTTGAAACTTCAAGACAGGCTAAAAACTCTTTGAAAAAATCACATTTGCTCTAATACTGCATGGCCTTTGTAGTTCAACATCATATAATGTTTTTATCACAAAATGGATTTCTTAAAAAGAATATAGCGGCACAGATGTTGAGATTGTTTGCATTAATAATTCAATTTTTGCACACTCAATCGAGCAGATATATAAATTTTTCAATTTCGCCCGGTAAATGTTTAAATGACGTGTATATACAGCGGCGTTTCTGTCACAATCGAACTTAATTAAACTTTGTCGTTTTCTTTTTAAGTCGAATAATTATAAGACTAAACAATAAAATATCATCCTGCTGAAACACTGTTGTTTGACACTGAGATTTCAAGCACCTTTCAAACAGAGCGCTAACTTCAATAATTATACATAGATATATCCCCGTCAGTATGTCTTAAACGGTTTCTTTAAAATGCGAGTTATTTTTTATTTTATTTCACCGGTCCGCGAGACCGCGAAGATTTATTGCTCGTCAAATGAAGTTTCTTTCAAATTAATATGAATCTCCAAGGACGAAGCCCCTTAAATCGCTAACCATGACTGGAAATCTTAAAAAGATGCTTCCATGGAATGAAAAAGCCATAAAATCGGCTCCCACACCCCGGGAATTCAGAGATGTTAGGTTAGACCAGTGGGTAAGACGCATATAACTATACCTAGAGAGAATTAAACTATAGTATAGCTAACTATTGCAAGCTATAAGTAGTCGTCTCCCACAAACCTCATCGCGCTAAACCTTAAAGCTAAGCCTGAACCTTAAATCAAAGCGCGCATGCAAAACATTGGGAAATACTGATGTTTAAAATGTTTGCATTGAATGTTCTGACATATAACCGTCTTAACGCGCGGCTGAGGAGTTCAATGTCCATACGCATCATAACCATCTATAATAACTATACAGTTATCTCGAACGCGATTTGTCAGGATTTTTGTAGATTCTTTGTTTGAGGCGTGGTATATAAGCAAACGAAAACTGACATCGATGCCAAATATTCTACTGCGGTAGCCCACTCTTCCCTAAACTCCTAGTATGCATCACAATGATATCTTTCATTAGAAGTTCAAGAATTATACACCCGATGAGACATGTATTAACTGTAATTACTGTATAGTTATAGTTGTATCTCCTAGTAGGAACAAACGGGTCCCGAGAAAAAGCATGCATCTGAGAGTCCCACTATGCTTGACCCATACACGGCTGCAATTATTTTAAAGGTAACTATATATAGCTAGTCTTGTTTGGTACAATCAGCTAGGTTGTCGTGTATAATGCACTATATATAGCTTGGTCATAAAAATTTTTAATCATAAAATCTGCTCAGTAACTGCTGAAAATATACGCTGAAGAAATCTTCTCACCCTCTTGGTGGCAAGGGCGTAGTATGGTAGTATCGCATGCCAACATTCCTCACGAGGCCCTTAAATTTGAAGGCCAAAAATATCTTAGTTAGGCCTATTTCCTGAACCACGTTTGATGTGGAAGAGACAATAGATAACTTAGACCGCAGTGTAGATATCCGAAGATGCGAGTTCAAAGCCGGCCATATTCAAGTTCAAAGCACAACATTTTTCGTTATTCTCTCTGCAGTGTCAGATTATGAATATGATATTTCATATATATCTTTGAGCATGCATGTTCTGATAACCGTTTAGATAGCACTTATTGATACATCATATAGCTATTTGATTATCCACTCCATAAAGCTCTGTATCCTTTGTATAGGGTAGACGATACAGAAAAAAATTACCATTAGGACAGGCATGTTACATGCGCTTCCAGTATACTAAAATAGTATATTTCACTGAACCTATGTGAGGTAAGAATGCAATTCTACGGATCGATTTTCGAATCGTGGTTTCTTTATAGAAACCGAAATATGTCTATGAATCCAGATAAAGTTAGATAACCGCGTCAATTAAGTGTCGAAGCCCGAACACAGATTTATATCAGTTTACAAGATAATTACTGAAAAGCATCATACCCTAAGTTAGACGTTAGGAATCAGGGAGAAAGTATATGCTTAAAATGGTTCATATAGTCATGAACAAATTTTACAGAAAAAGGAATGAAAATTTTCCTTTTATAATCTACAATTAAATAAAGAAATGGTTCAAGGATTTTTCTAGAGCCGGGAACTTGAGCCTTTATACATACGAATGAATGTTATAGAGGTTTTAAACGGTCTTAATTTCGAGTGGAATGATACACACTTCAAATTCAAGCCAGGAACAGTTGATGGAAAAATGAGTCAACTATAGGTCCTCCGGCAGGAATCGAACCTACGCTTTTGCGACGCCGCTGCAATGCTCTTGCCACCGAATGAGTGTTAGTTGTAGTTATAGGCACAATCCTTGCAATTATATACATGCATACTTATATGTATATGTTAATCATATAGTGACATAAATATGGCAATAGTTAAAAGGTGCTCATCTAATCAAGCTGTTGTTCTATTAATAACGTTTTACAAACTTGTTTCAGACAAGTTGTAATATTCAACTGTTCCGTCATCAGGGTAATGATGTGTGAATCTTATCTCGCAGCTCAAGAACATGTTGATTACTCAGTCAGCGTATCGCGATTACGTAGATTAAAATAATGCAATTTGTAATATAGCGCAATAAACACTGTTGATTTTATAGTTATTTTAGGGTGTATGTCACTATAGCGGGGAGATATTACCTGCAGAGAGCCTTCGTTGCCTAGGATTAATCTATTCTGCATGTAAATACTCTTGCTGGAATTACCACAGCCCCGTGTTTCAAGGGCAAGATGGGTTAGAGGGTTAAATGTGTTTAAAATAGTCAAGACGCCGTACTAGACACACTTGCTATATACAATACACGGTCAACATCAGTACGCAGTAGAGAAGTTTTACTTCACTGTATCAGAATATCCACCATTGTATGAATCTGAATCAGTGAGTTAAAGTTACATATGAACAAATATCACGCGAAGTATGGTTGTCACTCGACAACTCTCTTGTTATATCCGATATCAATTACAAAAGAGATCAGCCAAATGCCGCATGACCGTAAAATGGATTTTTATGTCTCAGTCCTGGTAATCCGAAGTATAATCGCTATAAAACATAACCCGTAAAACAAATATAATCTATATAAGCAAAAGATTCTGACATATGTATAATTATAAAGGTATGTTAATGAAAACAGCCATGATAAAGACTTTGTATAAAGGTATGTTAATGAAACAGTCCAATCAATATAATTTCACGCGAGCGGCCTCTGAAAAGACAATCACCTTTAATTTATATGCAATAATTATTCGTAAGTTATAAACATTAGCTATTGCTAGTATAAAGTTCTTGAAAACACGAATGCAACACATGAAATTCCGAGGGAAACTTGAATTATAGTAGGGAACACGGATACGTCTAGAGTGGGCGAAGCCGCGATAGAGAGTATGTTATATCGATTTTGAGATGACAAAATGATAAGCGTCCTTAATGTTGATATTCTGCGCTCATTGAGATAAGAGAGAGCAATATCATTACATCAGCCGTTTATAATTGGACGACAATTGAGTTCATTCGTAATCGTTCTATAAGACACGCATTATTGCCGATCAGTCGCATGTGTTGAATGCTTCCAGTCTGACGAAGCTCCAATCGTCTCGCTCGGTTTTCACCAGGACCAGAATTCATGCATTATGGAGGGCACCTTTAATGGCAAACGCGGAAGCTTTCCGCAATGTCACTTATTATGGAGTTGCACGGAAAATCCTACTTAATGCTTTCCCTTCAAAATTCAGTTTGCTACCTTAAAAGGGAAACTAAGAACTAAAAAAACAGGTCGTGGTCGGAGTGCGTCAATGTTTTTCGACCTAACCCCTATATTGGCATAGCTTTTGACACGTTATGACTTCGACACGAGAAGAAAAACACTTCATAGGTTGCGTTATTTACAAAAGCTAATGATCCCACGAACGCTTGTCACAACGATAATGATATATGGCAAATTCATATGTTTTTGTTTCAAAACATCGGGTCTTTACGTGTAAATAGGGATACATCGAGATGGCCCTGCAAGCACCTCTGTCGACACGTAGCAGAAAATTCAATTATGAATTGGAATAGGTTTGGGCTGGCACGCGGTTCCTCATTAAGACGATTGCAACAGTTTATTATTGTAAAGTAATAAAACATATTTCAGTCGACAGGTTAAGAATCGTAATTATATATTATCAGTCATGGGACAGAAATAAAGCATGAATATTTAGCGAAAATATGTTTTACCTTTGGCTATGTAACTTAAGTACAGAGCATGCAACTATTGATCGAATCACTCTCTAAAATGTTGCCAGCTATGTATATATAATTTCTATATTTTTGGGAATTCCATTTTGGGAGCTGACACATGCAGACATGTTGGAAACCAAGGAAATTGCTTGTAGTTTTGACTGATTGTGAAAATAATATTTTTTGCACGAGTACAAATGAGACAAACGAGACGTAATATTAATAACACCACCCAACTTCCTGAATGGAAGAACAGTTTCGAGGTAATGATTGACTTTCAAAGATTATCACAAAAATCCCCAGCAATTTGCATATGAAATGGAGCAATAGGAATTCAGCAGTTTTGAATCACAAAGACTCTATATATGCACGTTCATAACGTAACTGCCTTAAGAACAACACTGTTTTAACATTAATCAAAATTTATCTTCAGACACCAATTACTCTGCATGTATACTAATAAATCTAATGTTTAATTTAACTCCTTTACACATGGAAGTATTCATCGCAAAATTAGCTGGATTAGGCCAATGACAAATGTTCGCCCAGCACAAATAGTCATTGTTTAGGCGTTCTTAGCCAATTCGGCATAATCCCACATACAGACACAGAGGCTGGAGGTGATATTTTAGAAAAGTCCGAAGTGTTTGCGGAACACACAGGTTAATCTCTCATAAAAAGCCAAAAAGCAATTCATAAATGGATGTTAATCGCATCTCAATGTATAAACAGACGGCTAAACCACCCAAAGCGTTGACGCTTTTACAAGTATAATAAATCAATCTGGGTCACTGCAACTGTTGACTTAGCCAGAAATCAGGCACGCACAGAAACACATACTGTATTGCGCTTATAAAGCAATGTAGGAGGTTGAAATTTAATATAGCAGGCAAAAATTTTGACAATAAGATGAACTATTTGTATGAATTCTTAAAGTGGTACCAGGGAATGGCACATTTGAGCTTGCCATGCATGCATGGTATATATTTAATGTAGCCTACGTTAGCCGGTTGTATATATATATACAAAGAGTAGTTGACTTTAACTAGTTGGTGGCAGGATTAGGCCAATTAGATTTGTGTATTTTGAGGTTAATCATGATTTGACTCCCTGAAATGCAATTCCTAAACTGATGTAGTGAGGAGTACAATTTGGATTTATCTGAGATGTCATCAAATCCTATTTCCAATCGAAAATATCAATGAGCAACACTTGATTACTCGTTCATTTTTATGAGGGTCAGTTTTGGGTAACTTTCCTACAAGGTCCTTCACATGGGTTAAATTGGCCAATAACCGAAATCAGAGGCGTGGGTTCAGTAAGCATTAGGAGAATCAAAGTTGAAAAGTTTTTTTAATTTTTCATTAAACTGAGATGAAATCATGTCAGCGAGATATTGACAGAATAATAAAACTTGCGAAGCGTTAAGCGTGCTATGGACGTAGGACCGGATACATTACACGAGGTGGCATCCATCGAAGCATGGGATGGATGCTTGGCAACGTCTCTGCGTTTACCAACATAGCATGATACGCCAAACAACGGCCACAAACCAATTAGCAGAATAATACATCATGCACAAGACAAGCCCTTCAAACTGTAGCAAAAGCTTAATCGTGCTGTAACATTGGAGCTTGTTTTCACACGGAAGTTGGACGCAAGCACTTTCATATCATGTTGTTAATCTTTTTGAATAAACCACATCAAGTCTTTTCATGATATATTAGCTTTCCTAGAGTTATTTGGATTTTGTCTGCATTTCGAGTAGTTGCAGTCGGGTCATGGCATAAGAATCATGTGAGAATATTTTTGCCAAATATGTTGGTGCATGGAAGATTGTGAGGTGTGTAAGTTCCGGACAGAAGGGCGAGCCACCTAGGAAAAGGTCAACTCACTTCCTTTTTTCGTTTTTCTAATGAGAAGCGTTGACAACTGATAAAAGGATTCTAGATGTTTGAAAGCGTTGTGGACTGATTCCAGTTTCCATGCACCCAGCGGAGTAAACTAATGCATCAATTTAGAATACGTATATAACTGGAAAATTTTTTAAATAAAAAACTAGTAAATAAAGTTTAGGCACAATTCCATACCAAGACACATTTCTCATCGACGCAATAGCGATAATAAGACCAAGATAATCTTGTTTTTCAATTTGAATGCAAACTTTTAGGTTCGAGACCTTGGTAGAGCTGTGTACGCCTTCCATGATATGAGCCATATAGGCTTGACCCACACATTGAGACATAAAATAAGAATAATTCAAGTTTGATATATGACTATAGAACCAAAGCTTTGGGAGTCTATATTTAGTTGAGAGGAACAACAAATATTTTAGATTGGATGATTAAGGTTTTAACTATAAATCTGTACCTTACAATAATAAATCCTTTATTAGCAGTTCTTCGTGAGAACTGCTTGTAGACAAGCTACCTGCACGCGTGGGTGTGATTAGTCGACAATCTCTTTTTTAGCAAAAATGCGATACTGGGAATCAGTTTGTCAAGCCATGATATATAAACAATAATTTGAAGTCGATAGGACAGTTTGAAAAACTGTTTCAAACTGATAAGCCATTCAGTCATTATTTTGAATATTCTCCAAAATAGTAACAGCTGATGTAGCAAAAGTCAGGGAAGACTTCCAGAGGAATGGTTCGGTAGCGAAATATTTGCATAGTTTCCTTTGAATTAGTTCAACTATATTGAGACTGTACAAATAATCTTTAGCAACCATGAATTCCTCTGCAATTGCAAATCCAGCCTTATGGAATAATTTACTGTGCACTTTTTTCGCTGCTTTCAGTTTTAAATTTTTTACAATTTTCCAAATGGTTCATTAAGAAAACATGGAATTAGAACTTAACGACTTTTTTTGAACAAAAACTCACCATCCATCTTTTTTTACTTCCAGAATCCAGCAAACGGCGGCCAAAGCAGAAACGAAAACCAGGGCGCAATCCCAGAGTGCCTTTCACGCCGAAGCAGTTGACCACACTAGAGAACAAATTTCAAGCGATGAAATACTTAACAAATGACGACGTTAGGGCCTTGTGTAATGAGCTGGGCTTGCCGGAAAATAAGATCAAGATATGGTTCCAGAATCGCAGGGCGCGCGAAAAAAGAAAAACGACACAAACTGAGGAGTACATCGATGTCATGACCGTTGATGGTCTCTGAATCGTTCAAGACTGGCATTTAGACTAAATTATTCAGAGTAAACATGCTGGTCCCCTTATCGACACTTTCATGTCTTCAAGAGCCTGTTGCTGTAAGGAGCTTTTTATTTATGAAGAAAGAGTTAAAATGCTTTTGGATATTTTTCCTCCATATTGCTAGCTAGCCTAGTTAGCGAGAGTCAAAAGACCAAATGACTGACGGAAGAGTGAATAGAGAAAGATTTTGTCGGGAGTTATTATTCTGTGTATATATTGATTTAGCAAAATTTATAACATTCTCAACATTTATTTTTGGCCAAATATTTCATGCATGCTTCCCGTGACAGTATGCAAGTGTCGTAACAGAGACAAAAATGCACCAGCATAGACCTATTCGGAAGAGAGCAAGAGACCTTTTGCAAGTTACATGAAACCGAGGCTTTTAAATTCTGATTGAAAGAAACTTTGTTTTTGTAGCTTGTGACAGTTCCAGCGAAAAAGTGTAAATATGTTTTTTTAATTCGAAAAAAGAAAATCTGACTAGCCTCGCCTTCGTGTACCTTGCCACAGGCCTCCCAATTTTTCTTATAGACCAGCAGGCCAGTTTATGAGCAAATTGTGATTATGTGGCGGGAATATTCTTATGCAGCTTGTCGACAAGTAGTTATAAGGCCTTTCACAACTTGCTGCAAGGTGCTTAACTGTCGAAGGATTTGGGTGAAAGTTGTGCCAGGATCGATATGTAAACGAGTCGTGAAAGACAGCTTTGCAACTTAATTGCTAAATTTGCAACATAGCTACATAGCTTGTCGACACTCCTGCTACAAGTTCGTTAGGTTATCATTTATTGTTGGCAGTTTTTTGAGTACTGATAAATGTATAAAAAATTAAAATCGCAAATCAAGCTAATATAGTTGAATTTGTATGTCACAGTACGGCGCAGAGGATGTACATACTCGAAAAACCTTTATGAAATATACAAAAGCGTTTTGCTCCACAGTATGGAAGGGTGAAAAAACTCGCAACAGCTCCGTGTGCGGCTCATTGAGCAAACGAACACATGCACGTCGGTACTTTTATACTAAGAATGAACCATAATATTCATAATTATTTACAAGAGGCAATTACTAGCTGCGACTTTAAAAGTAAAGACTGTATAGTGATATTCATGTAGACATTACGGAAACGTGTAAATATGTAAAACATTGTGTCAAAACATTAAATTAATATTGGGAAATTGTGTGAGATAAGTTCAACGCTTGCAACAAGTATAAAATATCTGTACTCTGTATAAATGCGCTATGTGTGGGGGGGGGGGTTGTTCAGGTTGTCGGAAACAATGTCAATGTTTTAAGGAATTAACAGAGCTGAAACTGAGTGCTTAGATGGTATGAATATTCATACATTCATCTTAGGGTGCGAGTGATACTTTGGAAAACGCCATGTTTTTACAGTGTGCAGATATTAATATCTTACTATGTTTTAGAAGTTTTGGCGTTTAGGCAATTCAGATTTATTGTGTCATTTTTAAAGTGTTTCCAGAATCTTGTGCGAAAATCATTGAGACACTCCTTTACCTGAATATGGTATATTCGACCTTATAGTAAGGTCGTCCTTGGCAGGTCGACCTTGATATCAAGGACAAGGTCGAATATACCGGATATAGCAAGGTCGAATATACCCGAATATGGTATATTGGACCTTGATAAGGTCGTCCTAGATAAGGTTGAATATACCGGAATATGGTAAGGTCAAAAATATAATAGCTACGCCTACGTAAATTCGTCCATGGTCGGTCCACCGTAAGGTAAATTTGACCATGGTAAGGTCGAACATACCGGAAAATGGTATATTGCGCTGTAGCACAACGCTAATGTGCAATGGTTCGTGCAACTCCAGTTGATGAGTTTGGATTAAACCGATACAAGAGACAAGACCTATTAAATACAAGAGACCAGAGGAATAATGCTCAGGCAGCATTATTAAGCCTTGTATTATATCGTTATACAGATAGACGTTGCTAGTGTTAACCGATATCTCCGTAATTTTGTCACAAAGACACAAGTGCCAACTAAAACCTGTATATCTTTATATACACTCAATATAGGCATAAACAAATACCAAAATAAGAATGGGAAAAAAATATAAAAAACATTCATTACTTGTTCAAGATGATCTTGTACTGCATGTGCTGTTTCGTCGTTTTTTCTATCGCAGTAACAGTCGTTGTCAGCAAAATATCGTAAGTTGAATAAGGCACAGTTGTCATGCAAGAAGCCATTTTGTTTTGTTTTAAAATTTTCGCGGGCTTTTAATAGCCGCGCGGGAGCGTGGGTTTGAATTTACTACAAAACTATAAAAATAAACTGGAATGATAACCGCGAAGTAAATATTTGCAATTTGTTTATATTACATAATTTATGTAATACTTAGCAAATGCATCAGACTGTCCCGAAATATACATATAAATATAAAAATACGAAGGATAATAAAAAAAATCCATTCTTAAAAGTCGGCACAAACACAATTCACAAAGCACAATGAGAAACTCTCATATACCAACGTAAATTTAGGCGCATTAAATTTTAAATTTATTGATTATTGCATAAACATTTTTGCACTTATTCTTCGCGCCTAATTTGTTCGTTCTGTCATTTCCGTACACTTTAAGACAAAAATTGAAAGTATCAAGTTATGAAAAAAAGCAAAAAGGGTTTAACCGGGTGAAATGATTGTTCAGTATATTGCAGACGTAAAAATGATGCCGTTATTGTATTCATTAATTATTAACGACTCAATAATTTAGGGCCCGTTTATAGCCTTGCCTTGGACTTTCTCTAAGGGCCTGTTTACATGGAGCGAGTTATCCCGGCTAGGGGAGGTAAAAAGCGCACAGTTCACAGGCTCAACTTTTTTGTGACTGCTCAAGAAGCGATTAGGAATGAAAATTTCTGGGTAGATTTAAGAAAAATTCACGATTTAAGACAAATTGCTGTACAAAATAATTTCTCCCTTTTGCATGTAAAACTTTTAATTCTCCGTCTGTTTGTCGAAATTTACATTATACCTTTATGACAGTGGATCTCGTTAATGAAAAAGCTCTAACAAGCAATATGTTTATTTAATTTATAAAGCGTAGACATGTTTAATGAAATCAATATATACAGTTAAACAAAATAAAATATGAACTTGTCGCAAAAAATTGCATGACGAAAACTTCGCACCTCAATTAAAGAACTGCACGGTGAAAATCTAATTCGAGTTTCGGTAAAGAACCATCTTTGCAGGATCAGGTTTTAATTCATTGGGTCAAGCTTTATTTCATATATAATTTATACAGTATATGTTTGTCACAGAACTACTCCATCATGCTTTACAGCGATATTTTCATGTCAGGAAATAAAGCATTTTAAGCGGGCAACGGGGATTTACTGCAAAAATGCAATGCATGCTCGCTCTTAAAAACGGCAAAATCGTCTGGGGTCGGTAGTATCAAGCCCGTTTAGCTTAAACAATGGTTAAGTTCAAAATAGAAAGCAAGTCTATCGTTTTATTCAACAAGCAAACTAAATATTTTTAACCATAATACAAAAATACTGTTTACAACTACATATTAAGTGCATAATATTCATGCATGTTGACTCATTCAAGAGAGATGTATTAGAGTGTTATTTAATTTTGACTTATCCGCCGTTTAAGCTAAACGGGCTTGATACCACCAGCCCCTGCATATAAAAGCCTGTAGTTTAATACCGTCATGCCAGTAAAAACAACACTATCGGTCTTTTAACTGTTACATTTCATATATTGTAATAGATTAAATATACATGCACCAATACGACCTAGTTAAATTTCATGCTATATTGATATTTCTTTCTAATTTCTGAAATATAGTAATTGAGACATATTCTTGCGGAATTTGTAACTACACCTGCATTCAGTCGATCTCCATTTAACAACAAAATTATGATGTTAACAATTTAAATTATTCTACTCTAGTAAACACTTGGCAAAAATGTTTAAATTTGGATGCCTAGCTCATGTAAAAACAAGAATACACACAGGCCATCGCTAGATTGCGACACGGTGCATATTCATATATTCGACCTGATCGTTTTTCGAAAATGGGCATCGAATATGCGCCCTCAGGCCACAGCCCAGTTTAGTTTTTTGCTACAGTCCTGAATAAAGACTGCCTTATTTAGTAAATTGTTGAGTCGTGGTTATTTGGAAAACTCTAGACTCTAAAGGAGGCCCGCACCAGTTAGGCAGACACTGCCTTACGCCAAGCCGAAAATCTCTATGCCAGTAAATTACCAACAAGGGATTGATCACTGCATTTGAGAACATCAATGCCTCGGCCCAGGGATCAACAACAAAGGTCATTGTTTGACTAACAGAATCACTGACCGCGAAATACACCATGGCCATCAACGCTGGAACATAACAGAGTAACACTGATGTAACAACAATGTAACTTGTTTTGGTGTTACGAAACACCTGCTTGGTATTGCTTCGCGACTGATCATCTGAAGGTGTTTGCATCGTCTGTATGGCTTTTTTGTGCTTACGAAGCAATCTGTGGATCCAAATCCATATTGAAATGACAATCGCAAGACCGGTGAAGTTCAGTAGTGCGCCGATAATCAGTAAAATAGAGTCTGGGACTAAACGCAGATGGGATATCACTAACAGAAAAAGTGTAAGCCAAGTCATGATTACGACCAATCTCAATCGAGGCCGTGTCAGGATGGTTTGATGTCGGTATGGATAGGCTAAGGTTATGAATCTCTCTATACTCATAATAGGGATTGTTAGAAAAGACACCCCACAACAGAAATATGTTATAAGTCGACATGCGATCCACAGGGGACAACACGAAGTGCCAAGAATTTCCAGCACCAATTTGGCGGCGTACACTGGATCAACCAGGAGGGAAATAAGAAGATCGCTGCAAGCTAGCGCCACCATCATCATTGATGGCACGGTGCGTAGGCGAGAATTCTTCGCGTAAGCCAAGATCAACAGTGAATTTAGCGCAACACCAAACACCGCGAGAATAATCAGAATCGGGACCAGAATCATGTTTGTTACGCGATGAGCGCCATCGGCAGCCTCGTTCCAATAGTAGGTGACAATAAATTGGTGACACAATCGTAGTTTGCCTTCGCTAGACCCAATTGTCCCGTTAGAGTTGCCTTCTTCCATGCCGTTCCCCAATAATGAAAAAAGGCCAGCTGTAAGGTCAATATTTCCTTATCATAAGACAGCTGGGTTGTTCGATAACTTCCGATACACCGTAAATTTTCAAAACATAAAATCCAAAAACACGATTCTTCAAATAGTTCACGCGAGTATGAAGATTCTAATGGATTATCTCCGTATAAATATACACGTCCTTTATTTTAATTTAAAGAAAATTAACTTTCTTCCCCAAGTTAATGCTCTATGTGGTTCCTCTTAGGACGGCTGTAGACAGATTATCAAGCCGTTTAAATAAAAAAATGTTCATAATATGAATTCTCGAATTCCTGAGTAAAATTTATACGGAGTCGGAGTAAAAACTAAAAATTCTCACTGTTCGTCTGTCTGACAAACGGGCGTCACTAAATTGCCGTTAAGACGTATGCTACGCTGTATCTCTGTTTATTAATTTTGTATGGATATTGCAGGGTAATTGCAGGTTTTAGTGAAAATAACAGCCAATAGGGGGACGCGTAGGAATATAATATATATCACAAGCGTGTGCTAAACAAACCTAATATTTATTTATAGGCAACTATTAATTTTGTGCATGTATGTTTTGTTCTTTACAGGCATATATATAGCTATATCGTTCAACTGTTTGGATATAGCTCGAAATAAGAGAATCGCCCAGGACCAGAATTTCTCGTCTGTAAACATTTTGTATGGGCCTTTTAAATTATCGCGCTGTATAGGCTTTAGGAAAACTTCAAAGGACTCAGACCACTTAGGACGAACAATCCCCGCGGTAAATATACATATATCATCTGTCATTATGGGCTGTTGAAACAATTTTATATGAAGAGGCATCACGATAGACGGTCTATGTGCCAGCATTGACTTATTTACATCTATATATTTGACCCGGCAAAACCTCACAATGGATTTTTTTACTTTTAGAATTTAAAAAACGTAGATTTTATTTAGAATTTTTTATTTACAACTTGTTTATACTGTGCTGAAATATCCATTCAAAATATAAAACTACGCCAGTTACTTCTTGAAAGTCCACAAGCACAATTGAAAACACATTAGCTGATCCTCGTTTTGTTTATTAAATAATTATTTGATAATATACGTATGCTAATGTAAATTCGCGTGTGATAAAATCAGACGTTTAGTGGTTTAGTTAGTGCTCAGTTGGGGAATAAAATTCTTTGTGCTGCTTTAATGCCTTGAAGGTTTAGTTATAGTGAAGTATTAAATCTCCCTTGAACTGTGAAAGTCTATAACTGCATGCAACGTAATGCTGCAGGTAAACATTAAGCCGTTGTTATTTAGAAGACTCTACACTTCTAAGGGAGGCCCGTACCAATTAGGCAGATACTGCCTTACACCTCGCCGAACGTCTTCGCGCAAGTAAGTGCCATTTGAGCACATGCATCAATGCCTCGGCCCAGGGATCAACAACAAAGGTCATTGCATGACTATTATGACTATCAGTGGTGAACGCAAACGGTGGTGAACCATGCATGAAAGCTGGAACATAACAGAGTAACACTGGTGTAACAACTATGTGACTTGTTTTGGTGTTACGAAACACTTGCTTCGTATTGTTTCGCGACAGACCATGCATATGAAGGTGTTTACTCGGTCGGTATGGCTTTTTTGTGCTTCTGAAGCACTCTGTGGATCCAAATCTACAGGCACGCCGGAACATCGATAATTGGGGGGGGGCATATATTCATATATTCGAGTTCTGCATTATTTGTTTCTTTTGAAATTAATTGTTTTTACGGTCTGTGAACTTGAATATATGAATATATGCCCCCCCAATTATCAATCTTCCGGCGTCCCTGCAAATCTATATTGAAATGACAATCGTCAGACCAGTACAGGCTAAAAATGCGTAAATAATCAGTAAAACTGAGTTTGGAATTATCCTCAGAACGAAGTATCACAAAAATAACCACTATATATAAGCCAAGTCATGATTACAATGCTCTCAATCGAGGCCGTGCCAGAATGGTTTGATGTCGGTTATGAATCTCGACTTGCGGTCCACAAGGGACAATGGAAAGTGCCAAGTATTTCCATCACCATGCATTCTGGCGGCATTGAATGGATCAACCAGGAGGGAAATAAGATTCGGATCGCCGCAAGCTAGCGCCACGTACGATCATCATTGATTGCACGGTGCGTAGGCGAGAATTCTTCGGGTAAGCCAAGATCAACAGTGAACGGGAACAGAATCAGACTTGTTACGAGATGAGCGCCATCGGCAGCCTCACTCCAGTAGTAATTGACAATCGTAGCATTACACAATCGTAGTTCGCCTTCGCTAGACACGTTTGTCGGAGAATTGTTTTTTTCCATGGCGCTCTGACTAATGAAAAACGACCAGCTGTATAAGGGGAATCTTTCTTTATCATATATATAAACAGCTGGGCTGTTCGATAACTTTAAGTAAACTTTCAAACAAAAAACTCCAAAACACGATCCTTCGAATGGTCAGCGAGTACAAAGATTCTAATGGATTATCTCCGTATGCAAATCCGTATTATTTTAATTCACAAAGGACTATACCTTCTTCCGCAAGTTCAATGAAGTTCGCCTCAGGAGTGACTGAATGTTCATTTGAATTGCAAAGTAAATAAAGTGGGAGTAAAAACTAAAAATTCGTACTGTTGTCTTGTTGATCTGTCCAACGTCATGCACTAAATTGCACTTAAGACGTATCTCTTTTTATTAATTTCCACATGGAAATTGCAAGGCATTAGTAGGTTTCCGTTAAAAAAAAAAGCCAATAGTGGAACCTATAGGCCCTATATTATCTCCGTATGCAAATCCGTATTATTTTAATTCACAAAGGACTACCTTCTTCCGCAAGTTAAAGTTCTATCAAGTTCCCCTCAGGAGTGACTGAATGTTCATTTGAATTGCAAAGTAAATAAAGTGGGGTTAAAAACTAAAAATTCGTACTGTTGTCTTGTTGATCTGTCTAACGTCACTAAATCGCACTTATAGGACGTATCTCTTTTATTAATTTCCATATGGAAATTGCAGGGCATTAGTAGGTTTCCGTTAAAAAAAACAGCCAATAATGGAACCTATATAGGCCCTATTTGCGTTATACTGGATTTGAATGGTCACAAGATCAAAATCAGCTATATCAAAGGGAGTTTTAGTCCTAAAAGTTTGAACGCGTAACTGTTTCAATATGATCAGCCGAATGAAAAAGTTCTAGGGACGAGATACCGCAAAAAAAACATGTAAATCCGGCATAGTGTATATAATATATATCAATATTCTTGTAAGTTTGCACGGTGACATCAAATAAGTAAATTAGCTTGTAAGTACACCACGTAAGTATTTAATACTGCAAAGCTTTCGGTCCGTTAACCCGGGCCTTCATCAGTGCAATATGTTCCAAGGCCAAGGTTAATGGACCGAAAGCTTTGCAGTATTAAATACTTATGTGGTGTACCTACAAGCAAATTAAAATTTAATCTTATCTATAGTTAAAATAAAATTGTACATTGTCAGACCCGCGTAAAATAGAAGAAATTCAGTATGAAAACAAACGGTTTCTTTACTTTTTGAGCCTGTAAAGAACGGTTTCTTTATTGTATCATTTTATCTTTATTGGTTCTTTATTCTATCATTTTGAACCTGTATGGCTACTTTATAAAATTCGATGTGCTGTCTGAATATCTAACGCTATTTAGGTTCGCTACGCTTCTATAAATGAATATATGAACTGGAGTTCTTGCTCATAAGAAATTGGAAACATGAGAAATTTGGGCGATTTTAACATTAAGGGCCCTCACGTTGTTATGGGCAGAACCGATGAGCAAATCGTATACTAAACTTTCATTGTTAATATTCTGTATGAGCCTTTGAAATTTTCGCTATAAACTTTAGGAAAACTTCAAAGGGCACAAAAGGACTGTTGAAATGATATAATATATAACTGTATATGTCGCAATATTGAATTTGTAGTCGTAGCTACTATATCTTACTCCCTAATTTTACAAAAGGATCTATATATACATTATACGTATAGATGTGGGTCGCCAAACTAATCCAATTTTTTATGTGTATATATAGCTAAGTAAAATAGAGAAATTTAGGTGACAATAACGTTTTAAGGGTAAAGCATATACGTAAAAGTGCATATTGATTTCAAATGCACATGTGTCCTAGCTGTCTAAAAGCGGCAGACATTCAAAACAAAAAGTTTGAGAAATAAAATTCATATGTAATATTTAAGGCATGCTATACTGAAAACGCACGTAGCGTAAGGAGTCTCGATATTTTCCCCTTGCTCCAAAATCCCTGCCTCTCTCCTCAGGGAACCAATTTGTTGATGACAATTAAACTAAACTTTTCCCAAGTGCAACGGTGGTCTCGTCAAAATTTCATTAACTGTTGTCCTAAAAGAACTTTTCCGCCAAAATAGAAGACTTGGATTGAGCAAAGAGTTCGAGAACATCACCGTCTCTACCCAAGGAGCTACAAGGAACAATGCTACAAAATTGTAGTCCTGTGTTGCGTTGTATGCAAGCATTACGAGAGTTGGGAAATAGAACACCAATACCGCTCCACAGATGAGGTAGCTTGTCCTCGTTGCGCGAAAGCTTGCTTCTTGGCGCTTTGAATGGTTCTGCTTTTCGCTTCCAGGAGTTTGTGTGGAGGCTATGGCAATATTATGGCGTTTCACGAGTCGGTTCACCCAAAGCCAAGTAAGACATACTGTCAAAATGGACAAAACTATCAGCGTATTTCCAACTGATGAAAGAACGGTGTACGAGACCGGACCAAGGTGTAACGGCACAAATATTAGCACCGAAATCCAGGTTACAGCGACGATTAATTTCAGTCTCCACGGTGGTAAGATATTTTGGTAACGGTAAGGATAGGCCAGTGTTATGAAGCGCTCGATGCATATGATTGCAACAGTCAAAAGGGATAACCCACAGCAAATATACGACGACAGTCTGGCCGCAATCAAAACAAAGCAACTGTGTGCACCACGAATCTCGTTCACCATTCTTGCAATACCAAACGGTTGTACGACAGTGTTCGTCATGAAATCAGTAAGCGCCAGAACAACGAGAAGCATGTTTGAGGAAGTTCGTACGGATTTGTTTCGCCAGTACACCATCCAAACCAAGACATTGAAACAGATTCCAGTTGTTGACAGTATGAGGTTTACAATAATGTAGAGAATGTTTGAGTAATAGTGGAAGCCATTCGCTGGGGCATCCAAATAAAATGTCAAAAAGGAACCATTGCAACGAATCAACACTGGATCATTGGAATGATTGAAACTGTCACTCATTATGTTCTCTATTCAAAATACTGACTGAGCCTGAGACGGACAAAACGAGACAAAGCGAAATAAAGAGTTTGGTTATACCCAAAAGTCTACAGCTCCTTTGGAAATCCTTCTAGCTTGTAGCATTCGTCAAATTGTTGACACTGTGTTAACCTCGCAAATCTCCTTTCAATTTTAACATACGACGCACAGTAGTTTAAAATGTTAGAAGGCATATACAATCAGCTTAGAGACAATACATATTCTTGACAATCACATCTGGTTCAATTCTTCGTCGGTAGCTCGTATCATTGTCGGTGTATATTTTGTAATTTCGCTGACTAAGTAAGGCAATATAATAGGAAATTAGAATTCGTTAAAAATTTATAAGAAACACAATTACTTAACGAGATGTTATGTAAGAAAAAACGAAGCCCAAGTTATAACTTATAGTATACTCACTGTTTGTAGTCGCCTTCCTTACTCCATAATTCAGAATTGAAAGCAAATATTGGTCGAGAAAAAAGTCAAATTAGCTTCGACTTATAGAATCAGCTTACGCGTACTAGGCCTATGTAAATAACAATGTAACATTTGTCGCTGATTTTAGCATATATGTACAGTCTCTTCGATAACTGCTTCTTGAACTCGACTGCGGCTTGCTCCTCAGTTCAATTCACAGCTGAAAAATTATCTCACAAATGAAAGGAATCGAATCAAATTATGATGCCATTTGTCATATTCGTGACTGTAACATGCATGTACTAATTGACGCTAAAAACAGGAGTATATAGCGTCTGCGAGAGAAAATCATATATATTTGTCTAAACAACCTGATCAAAAATAATTTGGACGAAATTAAAGACACTCCATAACAATTTGTACGTAGCTAATATGTTTTAATTTGTTCCGTATAGTTCACTTTGAATATACAGTGTCCCAGTAGCAATATAATCATACGTTGCCTGGCTTAAATGTATATAGCCCGATATATATATATATATATATATATATATATATATACTCTATTGCCGCCAGGGGTGCGCTGGCCAACTGATAAATGGTTTAATTATTAAAAAGGGACTAGTTGATAAAAACAAAACGTGTATTAAGTCAAGTCTTAATTAAAACAAGTCTTAATTAAAGCGATAAGAGATGCGATGTATATAATATATAATAATAACCTTTTCTAGAAAACGAAATTTGTGTTCTATAGAATCTATTTTTTCGTCCATTTATATTCCTCCCGTTTACAGTATATATTTAAATAAATTTAAGACGGAAATAATTATATGAAACGTTGTAGTCGTAATGTCAGCTAAGCAGCTCTGGTTGAGAAGGACAGTTTATCAGTATAATAATACAATTTGGGTTGGAATTGAGAATAGTATATTAATACTACAACATTTCAATAAGAGATTCTTGTTAGTACATATACAAAATTACGAAATGTTTGCATTAATATAAAAAGCATATAATCAATGCTTTGAATATTGTTATTGTTACTACATTAAAATCCGCCTTCGATCGCCATAAAATGTCGGTCTATTTCAAATGTAAATAAGTCGGAAAAACTGTGTGTTTTTAATGACATATCAACCTGTTCGGGAATATTTAATACCTACTATAATATTAGAAAGTCAAAATTGTAAAAATTACAGGCGAATCTTATCGGTAAAAAGGCTATCTCGATCTTTAGTTTCCAGATGCACGATTTCGAGTCAACAAAAACACCAGATATGTGTGCATGCATGTGCTTTGATCGTATTATATATAATGCATATAGTCATTATAGATTATATGTAGTGATCGTGTTTACCATTATGCATTATTAACATTGAATATTGATATTTATATTTATATTTATAATAACAATAAATGCGCGTATGGCCGAATCAGTCTTAGAGGAACTTTTTACTATCGCCAATGTTTTAATCAAGCTGGTTTTCAACGTAGTCATAACCGTGTCATTCCGTGCCATTCTGGTTCTCAAATGTTTCTGACAGTCCGATAATGTTTTTTTACATAAATTTTTTTGGTCACCAGTTATCAACAATACTTAGCCGACTGTCGGCCATTACTGAGAGCAAGGCTAAAGGACCAACAGAATTAGACCCTGTATAGCTACACATCTCAAGCGAAGCTGAGTCCGCTTGAAATAAATAGTCAGTCTTTTCTCGCACAGCTGTGCAACTTACAAGTAGACAATTTTAGAATATTACAACAAAACGCCGCGAATGAAAGAGGATTAACAGCAGGGTTCTGAAAATGCAGGAATCGACAACCAAGCAACGTGTATTTAAATTTTGGACGATTTTAACAAATTCCCTATTTCATTAGGACCTTTATTAGAATTGTTTACAGTATCTATGAGTATGAATTTAAAGCGGATTAGGATGAAAAGATATGAAACTTTAAATGTACTTAGTGCTCTACACTTGAACCGTTGAGTAGTTTTAGGTCGAAGCGATTATAATAACAGTTACTGTTTATCCATAATATAATATATATATATTTTAATCAATGTTATTCTCATCACCTTTTATAGCGAATTCTATAGTTAATCTACACCAGTCTATAATATATTTCACAATCGCATCGTAACGCTTGAACGTATACACAGACTATAGTGAAATATAATTAATAACGGTATCGTGTTGAGATTTCTATCTTAAACAGGTGCATAATTCGGATAGAACTATCTACACTTTTTTAATTAAGATTAAAACTGAAATCAGCAGCATGTTTACAAGTGAACTTATACAAAACCTGCACGCATGCATGTTAATGGAAAAATTAAAGAAATTTATGCCAACAAGAGAGCGACAAGTTATATACGATATCCTAATGCAATTAACATGCCCATTGTTAAAGCGGTTGTTGTTCACTTGGCTGAATATTTCGATTGGAAAATGGGTTTTTCTTGATTTTCATTTCAATTCTGACATTGTGACCGGTGAAGGGATTTCGCTCTGTATGGGTGAATTCTCACAATTAAAAAGAAAATCGATCGAAAAATTTCTAGCCTTTCAGTTCGACTCGCGAAATAGGAAAGTTTCCAATGAGCGCCTAATAAAATGTTATATTCAGACCTATCTTAATGGGTTTGTTTGAGGAATGCACTGCTGCGATCGAATTTTTATTGAACTAGGGTACCGTATGGAAACTTCAAAATGAAAGCGAATATACAATGTTCAGCTGGAAGGCCGGCTGAAACTCTGAAACTCAGCTTGCATGCAAATTAACCATTTCAGATGTTGTGACAATGGAATAGCCAATAAAACTTAACTATTTCAGACCATATGATTTGAAATGGAATAATTTGCATACAAGCTGAAAAGGTCTATTGGGGGGGGGGGAGTGTTTATTCATATATTATATATATTCTGCCGGACGAATTCTTTTGTAGTGCAATAGCTTACAAAGAAAACACGTCGGGCAGAACTGAGTAATGAATAGGAATAAACATCGCCCAGTTATCGTCCTAGTTTTAGCCCAGTCAGCAGGACCTCAACCGGAACAGCTTCGCAAAGCTCCTTCGAAACAAGAGAAACAGCGGCCCTGCGAAAGCAACTGTGACGGGTACATGCATTTGACATGCGTTATATTGATTGCCTGTACAGAGTGTATTAAAAAAAGCCTGGCAACAACTTAACATTCTAAAATTCATATTGCTCTTAAGCACAAGAGATTTTAGGCCTTTGGGAACCGGGTTTACAATGGCTTGTCAGCGTAGTCTTTTCTGTTGAAAAACATTGGACATTCATGAATATTAAATGTTACCTTTTTTTATACATCTTGTATAACTGCTATATATGTATGAACATTGTTTATAGGATTTAATGAAGTCTTTTTACTATTTTTATAATTTGCTTTACCAAAAGTTGGTCACGTAAAGGCAGTTTTATATTTCATTTTCTAAAGGTCTTAATTTGATTCGTATATAGACACCCTAATGTGATAGACACTCGATAAGACTCGAAAAAATATGCATGCACGCATTTTCTGTTATTACTATGATTATATATTTGCATATAAATTATTTAGCTATTTGCCTTATGCAATATGTGTGTATAAAGTATTTGTTTTTGGGGGGGTTCCTGGGGGGGTATAAACTATTTCGAAAATTTAACAGAAAAGTACGAAATAACCAGTGGCAAAACTAGCATCGATAATTGGGGGGGGGTATGTTCATATATTCATCTTTACAGACTGCATGTAAAAACAATTGATTTGAAAAGAAATTAATTCTGCGTATCACGAATATATGAGTATACCCCCCCCCCGGCCCAATTATCTTGCTGGCTACGCCACTGGAAACCACTCACGTCAATGACGGGTTTTTTACACCTCTCAGCAGCATTTGTATTAGTGTCTTATTACCTTAGCCCAATACACAACTCACTCGCTGTTATCTTATACCATAATACCATAATACCATGATGCGTCTGAGGTATCCTCAGGGGCTGTTTACATGAGCCCGGTCAGTACCCGAGATTCAATGAAGCGTGAGATGATTTTGAGGTATTGAAATGAGCAGATAACATGATCCTGGCAGTCATATAATCACCACAACTATAGCATGTGCTTGTTTGGTGTGATAAAGACTAATTTCAATACCTCAAAGTCCTCTCACGCTTCGTTGAATCTCGGGTAACCGGGCTCATGTAAACAGTCCCTTAGAGCATGAAAAGCTCAAACATATTATTGAAACATGCATCTGTGATTGTTATTGATTTAAATATCCTCTTCCCTACGTTTCCACCTAAGCGCCCACGCCAGGTTGCTAGCATGATAAGTATGGCGTATATGGCGAATAGGATAAACAAATTAGAGCAATGTGTTTGCGACAACGCGTAGATTGTGCATGTGATTAAATGAAATAGTGAATAAAAGATAAGAATTGCATTGTTTAGAATGCATCGATTGTGTTATCGTACCCTTGGACAGGCGTATTTTTAATCCGGAATAAAGGAATCAGAACGTTGACTGAAATGTTTGGCTGGTGAACAGGTGATTTGACGTGCAAGCGTCAGCAAACGTCGGTTTTAAATGCAACGGACAGAACTTCATCTGTAGAACCAAATGTAAAAAATCTACTATGAAAATTAGGGAAGGGGGGTTAACGGTATGATTTTTTTAACCTTTGAAGTTCAGGAGATCGGCGACGTGACGCCAACAAAAGGAAGCTTAACTGGATTAGGCGGGGGATAACAATTTGAGGGCAAAGCTACAGTATCGTATTATATCCACCTAACTTTATACCTAACTTTATGATGTCTAGCTTCTTAGGTCTAGGACAAATTTCCCCTTTGCCCTCTTGAACAAGATGCATGGTGCCGCGTCTTCCACAACATCGATCAAAAAGCTTGACATGGGATCGCCTGCAAATGTAGCTTACTTCACAATCGCCTGCGCAACCGAAAAAACGCCGAACAAGTATACAAGAGGGTTTATTTATATAAGGGAGAATTTGACGCGAATATTTTAAAAATCTGCTGTAAAGGAGATTGACGTGGAATTTAGGCGAATTGGTCTGAGCAGAATAGGAGAAAATTTAATTTCCTATCTTTATTACACCTAATAAAACATAACATGATTTATAAACGTGTGACCAATCATATTACCTCGGAAATAAAAAATTTAATTTAACAACTAGAGCAGTTTACGTTGTAATATACATAAGTCAATGTTGTGACATGGCGGCGTTCCCTGTTAATGCAACAGATAACTTTTCTGTCGCATCTAATTAAATTTTAGATATTACGATATGACCGGCATAACAACCGTGATTCATGTTTTTGCCAAAATCAATTGAAACAAACATAAAACTGTACATTGATAAAATCAATGATTTGTCAGGCTAAAATCGATGATTTGTCGGGCTTTTCCTGCGCGCAGATCATTCACCGCGATAGTTAGTAAAACTATTTTCAATTCCAATGATATCACGCATATCTCTCACGCAACATTTAAGTTGGCAGATCAAAAGCCTAGCAGTTTGCCTGAACTCGCTCATCCTCCAGAAAACATAAAGGGGATGGAAAAAAGAGTGGTCGAGCAGGATCATTTCGCCCCAGGGTGTGAGAAGGTACATGGTCATAAAATTCGTTGATTCGGTGTAATAATAGCAGAGCATCAAAACCAGCGGGAGGTAACAGAGAATAAGCCCCACGACGATCGCACCGGTCGTCCGCGTGTTCCTGTATGTTTGTCGCGGGGTTTGATTCTTGGCCTCCGTTCCAATTTGAGAAGGACTCTGACTGGTAGTTATTCTTCTTTTGTGATTTCTTAACAGCTTGTAAATCCATGTCCATATTGAGAGTAGCATAACGATACATATGATCACAAGAAAGGCAGCCAAAGCTAGAAATGTCTTATATGGTATCAACGCGATATGAGACACCACCAAAGCGAATGTGATACACCATATCACTGCCAGAATAACCTTCATTCGCACTCTTGTCAGAATGTTTTGGTAGCGATAGGGATATGCCAAAGTAATGAAACGTTCAATACTTATAAAAGTCACTACGAGTAATGAAACTCCCGCTGAGAAATAGGACATGAGTCTAACAAAGGTCCATAAGACGCAATTATGACCACCATAAGACTCCATGACCATTCTAGTCGCATGAAGAGGCAGTACTACAGCTGTGACCAGTAAATCGCTAAAACCCAATGAAAGAAGCGGTATATTAGACTTCGTACGTAAACGCGAGTTCTTGAAGTAAGACAGAATCACGAGAATATTCGCAATGCTTCCGAAAAATGCCGATAATACACTTATGATGATCATTAATATGTTCGTATAAAGATGAAGCCCTTCCGCAGGTACTGTCCGGTAATAAGTGACGACGACGTTGCTACATCGTTCTATGTCATTGGTGCCGTTTTCAGCCATGAAATTTCTTGTCAAATGTCAACCAAACTTCTTATTACGAACGTGGTCGATGTTACCTGACTGAATAACCGATTATCAATGGGATTTGTACCAAGTTTATGCTGTATCAACGACATTTACAGATAGCTAATTCTGTCGAGAAAGAGATCAAGTGTTATAACTATAGTGTTAGTCCAATTTTTCCAGCTGAGTCCAATATTAACAATGTATACCAAGTGTCTGCTTCAATTGGAGAACTTGGATGTTGGATGACAAATTCTCAAATACGGCTTGTAAAACGATTGTTGGATACAATGGTGGTTTATTGAATTCTAAACCAAAGTAAAGCTGTTCCGAACAGAGGTTTGTGTATATACGCCACGTCTGATAATCGCCTCTTTACACAGGAATATTTAACACAAAGCAGATACATACGCCGATGAATTAATAACACTTAATAACTGACCTATGGATAAGCCCGTGTACAGACTTCCTCGTGGTCGAGCATACACTAACATGTTTTGATATAAAAGATATAACAACGGAGTTCAAAAAAAGCATGAACCAAAGTTTAACGATTCTTTAGGGTAATTTTCCTTTCAATAAATGATGATTCATCTTACGGGTTGTATTAAAAAACGAAAAACAGTTCTAATTACTTGAAAACACTAATGCAGTGACTGCCAATCAGAAGCAATTTGTATAACAATTTATGTTTACCCATATATTAAAACAGTTATCTTAACCAAACAAATGCTGTGACATTTCAATATTGAGATGACAATATTATTGATGGCGTATGTGCATGTGATTTAAGTACATACTGAAAAATTACAACTTGCAAATTAAGCTGCGATCAAAGAGGGTCCGAGGTTAGGATGTTGCATTTCAATTTGAAGTCATATCGCTGATTTGAACATGACATTAGATCTACTTTATTCTATGAAGAATACGGCATGTCCTTATGGATAAGAACTTTTCATGATCCAAAACCTGCCATGTCACGGGCTATGCGGCATGCGTAATGACCTGGAAAGGGAAACAAACCAATGAGATTTCATCTAATATTTACAATTAGGAAGCAATAAAAAGTCTTACAGTGCAGCGTAATTATAACCCGTCCGTGCAGCCATTATTGAGCCCACGAAACTGACCGCAATGTCCTTTGTTTAACTGTGTTGATATATCCGTGAACCGGTCCAGTGACATGCGTCAAATTCTCAAGGCCTGCCCACAGAGTACCATGGTATACAAAAAGTCATCTCCGTTGCTCTTAGCTTAAGCACTATTCGTTATGATTCGTCAATCAACAACTATTACAGAAGCATATTTCCGCACTTTCCAGGCGGGAACTCCGGCGTTGCACTTCAATCAACGGCTTAAGGAAGATCAATTCTAGACACTCGATCCACTGCCTTCAATATGTCTTTAGGTACACTTAAGTTGTTTAACATGAAGTATGATAAACTTTGCCGCCTGTTTTGAATCAATGACCAGGTTGGGTGCATTCAGTTTTTGCTAGGGAGCATTTCCTCTAATATTAGCAACCAGCTCATATGAACCTTGCTAAGATGCTTCAGCAATAAATTCTCATCATTTTTTTCTAGTTCTTAAGTTAATCAGGCATGATAATCGCAGTTAAAATATAACTGTAATCACACAAAACCGGCGATGAAGGCAAATAAACGACTGGGTTGATAATTATCTGTCTCACGAACATCTGCCGATCGGGTTGATACGAAATTGAGATAAATCTTGTCCACACGTGTCCTCAAACTGTTTGCCAAATTTGTTTTCCAAACAACTGTGATCATCTCTTTCCAATCATTGTGGTCATTGTGGGAAGCAAAAGACATGTAAAAAGGAGAAAATGTAAGTGAACGATTGTTCTTCTAAGAGCTGGTAAACTGACGAATTTACCAAACTTGACTATATGAGCAGATTATATGAAACATTTGAAAACCAGGGTTGAATACAACTGGGTTGAATACAACTGGATATTCTCAGGCTGGGTTTAGTGTATGTGAGTATCAAAAAACACGGACAAAAAAATCTTTACAAAATGCAACTGAATATTGCTTGCATAACAAAACATGAAAAGTAACGATTACATAACAAATTTCCAACCCCATGCAGTGTCGCGAGCCATGTGCTTTCAGCGATTTACTAGTTACAGCTGTAATACATCCACTGCATGCAACCAGGCTGGTCAAAGAAATTCAAGGCACTCACAACTGCATTCTTGGACCTTTAACAGGCTGGCGTCCTATTACCCCAGTGGAGTATCGTTGCTAACGGTGACTTTAATGAGTTTAGAACGCTTCGTAACTTTGGCATATCCGTACCGTTATCAAAGTATCAAGAGGGTTCGTATGAAAGTCATCATGGCGAATGTATGGTGTTATTTCACTTGCTCTCGTGTTGTCTATAATCTTCGGATGGGAACATACAAAGTGTTCCTAGGGCTCTGCGCTGCTATAGTGGTTGCATGTCTTGTTGTCGATTTGGGCATGCGTGTTTCAGCCTCTAAGAAGTCACAAAAGAAAACACCAACCAAACGCCTGGTCAAACACTAAAAACTGGTACCGACACTCTGCAACAAACGTGAAAGAACACGCGAACAAGTGGCGCTATCGTAATAGGCCTTTTATTGTGTTACATATACCCCTCGTTCTCATGTTTGCTTACCACTGGACAGAGCCAGCAAGCTACACGGGAATTTATCTTGTTACGCCGTGGGGAGAAACAATTGTTTTTTTACAATCTTTGTTTAATCCGTTGATCGTCGTTTGGAGAAAACGTGAATTCCGAGCCGAGACAGTTCAAATTTTAATTTCTCAAATTTCATCTCTGCCCAAAGAAGTAACAACAAGGAAAACAAAGAAGGCACTGTTCCGTTGTTTGCTGTTAATAACCTAGAGCTGAGATGGATGTTTACAATACAATATCCATTGTGTATTCAATAGCGTAGCCAGTCTGTCGATTTGTCCCGCTATGCTACTATTTTCGTGTTCACTGACTCTGAAAACAATAGATTTCTAATAAGACATGAATAATTATAATAACTCGAAATTTACATAGCGGGACAAAATCGTCAGGCTGGCTACGCCACTGTGTGCATTGTCTTAATTGTATTATGTGTATTGCTGAACTATATAGACCACAGATTTATACTTTAGAAATAAAGCGCCCGAATGGATTTAAACAACTTGTGCACATGGACATTTACACATATTTACAGCATATATATATAGTATTTTCGATGCAAAAAGCATTCATCCAACATTGCGACTAATAAATTGAATAAATGATTCGCTTTATTGTCATGTTTACGAATACTTGAGATGCAAATAGGCATGCAGACATGTTTCATCTAGACCTCCAATTGAGTCCAGTTTTAATGTCATTTTATCAGGGCCGTCGCTAGAACCCTAATTATTGGGGTTTCAAGGCTGGGTAACATTGTCAAAATATAAAGTATTGGAAAAGACGGACGCTTTCTAAAAAACCACACAGACTTGCAAATTTTATAGAAACTTATTCCAATCGAACGAATACACGCGTGAAAACCGTGCGTGAATGCAATTCTCAGGGTTTGCGCAGGTGGTCAGTATTTTATTAATAGCATATACTAATCAGGAATAATCGACTATAATCGAATACCCAAAGTACAATCGGTAACTAAAGATTACGAATCCTGAAATACTTTTTTTGGGCTGGAAATTTCATGGCTGAGAATAGTACAAACGAGTTAAAACAATGTAGCGATTTCGTAGCGATTGTTTACTGGACATTACCTGCAAAGGGCTTTCATTTTTATACGAACATAATACTGATCACAGTAAATTTGTTATCAGCACTTTTGGGAAGCATTGGCAACGTCCTCGTGATTTTGTCGTACTTGAAGAACTCCCATTTGCGTACGTTATCCAATATACCGCTTCTTTCATTGGCAACCAGCGATTTACTTGTTACAGCGGTAGTACAACCTCTCTATGCAACCAAACTGGCAGTCATAACTGTGTTTTGTGGATCTTCAACAGGCTCGCAAGCCATTTTTTTGGCGGAGTGTCGTTGCTCACAGTGACCGTGATGAGTTTAGAACGCCTAATAACACTGGCATTTCCGTATCGCTACCAAACTATCCTGACAAGGATTCGAATGAAGATCGTTCTAGTAAATATATGGCTCTTTACACTTGCGCTGGTGTTGTCAAATGTTGGGCTTGTAACATACAAAGTCTTTTTACGTTTTTGTGCTGCAATAGTCGTTGTATGCCTTGCGATATTGCTATCGACTTGGGCATGGGTGTTCAGGCTTCTAAGAAGTCACAAAAAAAGAATATCTACCAGCCAAACGCCTAGCCAAACACCGAAAAACTACATCAAATCTTCGCGACAAACGGACAGGAACACACGAACAAGCGGCGCAATCGTGACAGGACTCATAGTGTGTTATACACCTCTCGCCCTTATATTTGCTTACCATTCGGCGGAAACGCAAACCAACACATCCACACATCATAACATTTATCTTGCCACAAAGTGGGGAGTACTTATTTCTATTTTACACTCTTTTTTCAATCCGTTGATTGTCGTTTTGAGAAAGCGCATGTTCCGACAAACAATTCAGCATATGTTTCGTGTGCAAAGAAGCTGATCGAATCATTCAATATTTATTTATTTCCATATTCTTCTGCATTGAAAATAGGAGTTTACGATAGCTCTCGCTTTAAACGGCAAAACGTTTTAAACAAATTCTCCACAATAAAACGACAAACACGCTAAAAAATTGAACGACAACCAAGATTAGGTAATACGATACACTACACATACAATATGCAATAACAGGGCTTGGGGTAACGAACTTCTCGCGATGATGAATAATTTTATTTGACCAGCTGAATTTGGATTGTAAAGCTGACTTCATTTAGACTAGTCGTCGACTCGCAATTCTTAATGCTTATCAAAATCATTGGAACTACGGCCTTGATCGAACTTCAAGAGTAACTAAAATCCCAACCGTCTCGATTGTTAATTATTAATTATCACTTAAAATGAACAGCACTTGGAAATAACTTATGTAGAATGTCAAAATTCAGTAAAATTATCACTTGAAGTGTATCACTTTCTTGTTAAACCATATAGGTTCATATCTTATCTTATTATGTGTTCATATACCAGCCCATGCATGTTCCCTGCATCAGACATTTATACTGCTAACACTACATTCAATGATCTTTTACATTAGCTCTATTTTTAATTTCCTTCATATGTAATCATAAATTATTAGCGCTGTCCCGCTCTCTTCAAGCTGTGCAATCTCCACCAGCTTGCATCCTTTTTTCAACCTCTTTATATATATACTTTATCATCTGCTCTGCCAGTTTCTGCCAGCCGGGAGAGGGTACTAATTCCGCCCGGAGATTTTAATTTCGCCCGGAGATTTTAATTTCGCCCGGAGATGCAAATGCGAAATGACAGTTGTCCGCTATTATGTCAGGGACGTTGGGCGAGTTAAAACTGGTAACTAGCAAACGTGCGATTTGCTAAATTAAAATTTGGGTTCACGTCAACATAACTGATATTTTGAATTATAGCTAAAACTTTTTTTTAAATAATATTTTTCATTTGGATGGTCTTAAAAATATACGAAAAATTGACTCGTAAAATTGATTAAAATATAATGTAAAAGACGCCTTCGGATAGAAAAACTTTCATTCAAATGGATGGTAAAAAATCTACGATTTTGAAGCATTTTTGAAATGTTTTTGAACAGGAAAATGGGTAGATTTGGTATTTTAAAGCATGCAAGTATTTTGCAAGTTTAATATGTGGATTTATCAACAAATGTATGACACCTCTTTGAATTCATTCGTCAATTTCGTTGAAATTATTTTAATTTGGAAAGTATTTATTTTTCAAGTGAATCTGTTTAAAAAGTAATTGAAATTTCGCTAAAAATTGTAGTATTTAAAACTATTCGTAGCACAATTATGGTGATAGTGGAATTTGATACCTCGAGAGTCGACTTTATAATTGTACCAAGATATAGGATTTTACTTTACGACTTCGATCATTCAGCAGAAACGAGTATTATAGAATTTCAGTGATGGAAATATATATTTATTTGCTTCAGGCGAGAGGACGTTGCATGCAATGTATTTCTGGTAAAATAACTAGAATGAAACACGCAATTTGATTGGTTCGTAGGCGTGCAGTATTACGCAATCCTGCACGGAAAACATGTAGCTAGTATTCCTTTATTAATGTATTTTACTTTCAATTTTCGGAAGTCAGTTTGAGAGATCCAAAATAGCAGTCTGAATGTTTACACTAATTTGCCTGTTATAAACTTAGCCAGGGTTCTTAGCAGGGTTCAGCTAGAACGTTAATTGGGGGTATTTATTCATATATTCAGTTCTGCCCGGCGAATTTCTAGTGTATAAACTTTTGAACTTACAAAAAAACATCTGTCGGGCAGAACTGAATAAACAAAATTTTCTGTTACCATGCTATCTGAAATGAGGCTCGCACACAGTCGAAGCATATGGGCATGATTATCGCTTTACCGTCTAAAGACATGAATATTTCATACAAACTCTTATTAGACTTGCAAGCGTTCTGTATAAATTCTCAAATTCATCTCAAATTACATTTATGAAATGCTAGCAATATGTCTAATAAAAATCATCAACGATCAATAATCAACGTCTAATTTTTCAATAAAACAAATAAAATATTATTTTCCATAAAACTTTAATATACTGGAGGATATATATGCTTACCCAACCATATATCACAAGCCGACAAAACTTGCATGGCAAGCAATTGAAAACAAAGACACCGCGTAAAGTAGATTCTTATATGTAGATGCAGATGATTGATAACTTTAACAAATATAATAGTTAAAATACAATAACTGATCGAATAAAGCTTGCGAAACTTAAGAAGTCAAAGTACAAGAATTGCATGGCTGAGAACAGTACTGGCAAATTGATGCTATGTGGGGATGTCGCCTTAACATATTACTGGACATTACCTGCAAGAGGGCTACATCTTTATACAAACATAATACAGATAACAATAAGTGTATTATCGGCACTTTCAGGAAGCATTGCAAACGCTTGTGTGATTCTTTCGTACTTTACGAATTCGCGGTTACGTACGCTGTCTAATATACCACTTATTTCATTGGCATTTAGCGATTTATTGGTTACGGCAGTTGTAACACCGCTCTATGCAACCAGACTTCTTAAAGAAATTTATGGCAGTCACGATTGCGTCTTGTGGACTGTTGTCAGACAAACGTCTTACTTTTTCGGCGGGGTATCGTTGCTAACCGTGACGGTGATGAGCTTAGAACGCTTCGTAACTTTGGCATTTCCGTATCGCTATCATCTCATCCTGACAAAAGCGCGTATCAAGATCATTCTTGGAAATATATGGGGCATTACACTTGCTGCGGTGCTTTCTAATCTTTGGTTAATAACATACATAGTTTTTCAGGGTCTTTGCGCTGCAATAGTGGTTGCATGTCTAATCGTGTTGTTATCGACTTGGGCTTGGGTGTTCAAACTTCTAGGAAGTCACAAAAGGAAAATATCTACCAACCAAATTCCTAGTCAAACACCAAAAAATAGCATCAACTCTTTGCGAAAAACGGACAAAAACACGCGGATAAACGGTGCCATTGTGGTAGCGCTTTTACTGTGTTACATTCCCATCGCTTTCATGTTTGCTTACTTCTGGACAGAGCCTCGAAGCTACACCGGGATTTTCCTTGTGATACCGTGGGGAGAAACTTTTTGTCTTGCCCACTCTTTATTCAATCCGTTAGTTGTCGTTTGGAGGAAACATGAGTTTAGACAAACAATTCAAAACGTGATTCGCGGACAAAGAAGGTGCGGCAACTAATCATCTTCGAAATTTATTCCGCAGCAAAGGAACACGAACAACGAATACAAACTTTTAACAAAATTCCTAGCAATTAGAAGTGAGAGCACCTTTAATTGTTAACAAAATTTTTAAGTTTTTTCTTTTAAATTTCGCCCAAAATTATTATTAAAATATTACTACATTAGAGTAATATATTATGCAAAACAGTAAGATGTTAAACTTTAATAAAATCACCACATTTTACCACCTATTCTTTTAATAATTCAATTGATGAGACATAGATGATTAAAGATATATAGGTTAGGAGAATGAAGGATTAGAAGAAATAAACTGTAATGAATGATTTCAGAGATTTGAGTTGACACTGGGCCGTTTTATTGTATAACTGGGGCTGGGCCACAGGCTATTTGCTGGACTCCAACACCTCCTATCCCTGAGCCACCTCCCCTCTTCCCATCCCTCTAACAACACCCTCTCCCACACCAGCCCTTCCTTTGTCCTCCTTCCTTAAAGTAAAAGTGCCTGATGAGTTTAAAATAATATTTTCAAAATATTGATGTATAGTAGGCAGTAATGATATTCTTTTAAAAAACCTTTCTCTACCGATATGAATTGATCAGTAAGTGTTCTCATAAAATGCTGCTGTAAACGAGATGGAAGAATACAAGAAATTTTCTAGGGGAGGAAAGACCCCTACTCCCGGAAGTCCTCTTGAAGTCCCCCGTGAATTGCAGCGAGCACATATATGCTATATTTATCATTCCATCAGTAATGGATATGACAACATATGGCAATAGCAGGTAGATATATTGTCCAAATATTTTAAAGAATGTGAAAATAATTGTTTCATATTCCCTAACCAATATTTCAACCTTTAAATCAGTACAACCTCTGCAACAAATTAACCTCTTGTTGGTTAATAGAAGACTAGACCATTCTGGTCTCTGGATAGTTTGTTTTCTAGTGACCAACATTTAAATCAGGCCTACATTTCACTCTGATATACAACTTGCTCCCAAATTGGGGCAAATTTTTATTCTCTAGGCAACCTGTAAATTAAGTAATGCTACTGGAGAAGGTTCCAGGTTGCATATATCTCAGAGTGAATCTGGAATATCACCTGACCAGTTCCACTTTTCCGATTTCTCTGCGCATGTGTGTGGAAATGAAGTGGGTTTTTTTCTTGTGAATGGTCTAAACTCTAAACTACCTCCAGGGCCATCGATATAAGCTTAATGAGAGGGGAGTCCAATGCATAGTCATATATTCATGTTCGAAACAATAGCTAGCAAAAGAAATCAATCAGGCATAAGACGAATATATGAATATATACACCCCCAAATTAAGCTTCTAGCGACGGCCCTGATACACTCACATACATTAAATATACCACTCGGTCTTTTAATGTTTGTCTCAGTAATCAGAATATTGAAAAAACTGTCCTATCATGACATTAAATATATATCAATGTGGGAACAAATTAGTCCTCTCGCTCACCTACTTTCAAATGGCCGCTCTGCTTTCTCTGCAGTGTTTCACCTAGCTTGGCCTTTCCAAGCAAGAATTTGGGTCCATCCTGGTTAAAACATAGTTAAAAGCTACGGCAAAACTTCGGCAACAAACGTACATGTCAATACTACATGTTTTGTTATTTTTTTATACAATTTCAAATCAATTCAGTTCTTCGTAAATTCTCAGTTTGATTTCGCGCCCTTTTTAGCCACGGCTTTTAAAACGTTATACTTCATGTAGTGTAAATAAAGAGATCGTACATATTGAGTATGTACAACAGTAAACAACTGGAAGCTGGAAGGCTATCGATTTTCTCATTTTTTTTTTCAAAAAATTGGGACGCTAACGTAAATTAATTCACCTTATAGTAAATGATGAACGCTACACGTACATGGCAGTCTATTACAGTAACATATCATTTTGGCCAGTCGCGTAGAGTCAAGTCAACTGATAATTTGGTGGAGGGATGCTCCAATTTGCCGCCCCCTACGTGCAATCTAAACTGATAATAGCACGAAACTTGACAGCTGTAACAGACTCATGACCACGATGCTAGACCTCATGTCACGTTCATGAGGCGCCGCAATGGTTGGCGTCGAGGGAGAAATTTTCGGATTCAATTTGATTGCTTTAGTTCCTCCGGGGATAGCTATTAAAAAGACAGTAACACTTTATTTCCTTCCTTGCGGCCTCTCTTTAATAATGAATGCATTGTCTTCGATACCTTGTATGCAAATGCTCCCGCGATTGGTTGTATTCAAGATAAGACAAATAAGTTAAAAAAAAACAAGTCGAGAACCATACTGAATCATTGAAAAATTCATTAACGTTTGCGTTTTACCTATCAACACAATTTAGAAACAATCCATTCTGAATAAGGCGTTAAACAGATGACGGTTACACACTACTCTAGTGTCCTTCGATGAGTTATAAAATCTCGAATCACTACCTTGTGTAAACATTGTGGTCTTTTGTACGCATTAATAACCAAACATGTAATAACGAGAAGTTCATTTAAATATGGCGCCGACCACTCTTCAGTGTCCTTCAATTAATTTTATCGGTTATTTAACATATTTTCGGTTTGTGGAAGATAAATGGCACAAGGAAAGTATATAATTAAGTTGAAAATCAGCAAGTCTGTTATGATTCCGGATTGATTAAAACGAATCGACCCCCGCATAAACAAACAACCAGATCAAAAGGTCATATGATAAGATTAATATGGCATTATGACACACAAGCTTCAATAACAACGTTGCATATATATATAAAGTAGTTGTCGTGTTGGGGCACCGCGTTTTGGTGAAAAGAATTCTCGGGATGTCCTTTGCAAGCTATGCTTACGTGTCAGTAACCCTACTAATTATGTTGACCAATATGTCTATCGTTATGCCCAAAGCTATGCCCAGCTCGCTCAAACAGTGTAATTCTACAGTGCCGTTTCCTCTCCTTGAAAACGTAAGTGGACGCGAAGGTAACTGGTCGCAAGTGTGCAACATTACCCACAACAATAGCGAAGTAAGTATATTCTGAAATTATTCTAATATAGTTCATTTTCTTTTAATAAACTCCCCCCCCCACAAACACACATCAGGGTGACATAATATACTTTAGCTACAGTTTTCGTAGTTTATATCAATTTAGCCCAGAAATGTACGACCTTGATTGGTTAATTCTGTCTGTTAAAAGTTAACTATCTTTGAGGTTTCACAGCCGCCCGGAAGAAAGGCAGTTATCAAGAGTTTTTGACACACTGATTCGGCACACGAAAAGTGCGACCTTTTAAAATACGTTCCGACAAATCTATTATATCTACTAAATCTACCGCCTCTTCCCACCTCTTCTTCTTTCCCTTTCTCTCCCCCAATAACCATCTGTTCGGTGAAGTGAAAATTCGTACAGAAAGTAAAGCTAGTTTGATAGATATAAATATCAGGCTTGCCTGATTACTAAAAAAAGAAGCCAAACATTATTATAGTCTGCTCTTTCATTTCTTTGTTTCAAACAAAGAATTTGGCAAATTTATTCAGTAATCTGGCAAGCCTGATAAATATAACCTTCGCGTCTTCTGGCCGAAGAAAGTCGATCATTTAGCGAATCTCGTTGTGAAACCAAATCGACCACGTTTGGCATTTATCACCAAGTTTGGTGCGGACATACCGGCTCTTTTGAAAAAGTTGCTTCTCTGCATGCAGTCTTGTCTTTCTGTCAACAAAAGTTATAATTTATGGAAAACTGAAAGTTGGCGTAATGTTGAAATCAACAATGCCGTTTCGCGAGAGGAATATCGTACGCACGCATATAGCATTGCCACCGAACATTTTAACCTTGCAGAAACAAAAGTGAGTCGAACGGTAGCAAATTCTTGTCAAGCAATTGACATTAGAAAAATGTTTACTTCGACCAAACATAGAATGAGAATTGCCCGATTGTCGAACATGCTAATTGTATGTGTCCACACTATATAAATTACCATATCCACGCAGTCTCTTCGCCATGGGAACTATTTTCATAGGGAAATTTTTCGTCGACAATTATCTGTTTTTGTAAACGACGAGAAAAAGCAATGAATTGCTACTGAGATCGAAATCATGCTTTGCGAAAGTTACTTGCGTTCTCAAGTCCGCAACACCGTTCGCTTCCTATTCCTAGATATGTGTCATGTGAGTGAATGTTTGACAACCGATTCCATGAAGGGGTATAGCTTTTTAATTAATATATATCATGAAGGCGACGATTGACAAATTTAATGCCAAACTAAAATCCAATTTGGCTCTCGTGAGGTTTTCATCTATGGAAGAAATGTTTTTGAAATTCTGCAGCCCATGCATCGTGCATAATGACACTTAAATTAAATAGACCTACACACATACATAAATACATAAAACTTTATTTCAACACGCTAGCCCCAACAACAAAGGTGATTTCCATTGGGGGCGTGCACAAAAATAATTTAGCAATCATTACAATTTTTACAACCATGCCAAATAAGGAAGGGAAACGATGATTTTGCGACGCTTATTTTCAGGGTAAATCATTCAAGATGCACGATTTCGACCGAAATCAAGAGTAAAATCTTCATTGCAGCTATATCAAGCGAATATCAGGCGGCACTTTATTATTATCTAGATTAAGCGTGTTTTATGTAATTAAATGACTAATACACTTAACTGTCTTAACATGTCAATTTCCCATTCCCACATTGTGCCTGGCAGCACAGAATAAGAATAGATATCTATCTCATCTACTCGGAGCGGACGACTAATCGTTGCCTGCAAGCATCGAGCCAAAGACAAAAAATTTTGGTTTTAAAAAAATTTTTCGCTGTGATAAAAGGGCGTTTCATGTAAACCGCCGCAAGCAAGTCTATAAGCAGCTGACTAATGTTTGTTAACACCAGCTGGAATATGTGACTTAACTTCAAACTTCTTTAAAAAAAAACGTGATAATCCTGGGAGTCAAGACAGCGATAGCTTTTAGAAACATATGTTGGTATGTAAACTGTGGGCTACAGGCCATTTTTCATGTCATCGCGTTTGTTTTTTCCAAGTGGCACATTAATGGGGCCTGATGCTGCATTAAAAGCGATCACATGCACGGCGTGATGGAACGACGAAAACTTTAAATGAAACATGCATTATAAACCAGTAGGTGGGCTTTTACCAACAAAAAACTATCGATAATAACTTCTAATTTGTTGAATGCTGCATTTTGACAGTAGCCAGGACATAGTGGCACCGAACTCGTTTATGATATAAACACGATAAAACCCTGTTTGGCGGCCATTTTGAAACGTCTCTGTTTCCATGGTAACGGGTGCCCGGCAAAGGTTCTGAGAATATTTCCGCTCTACATATGTTTCCTGCAAAGTATATTAATTTTTAGCCTTATAGTGAAATATTTAGGTTAATATCCCTGTTTAAAATGAGCCCAAAAAAAAATTCGAGAAACTGTATCGAGCCACCTTAATGGCAGATCGCGTCAAATAGACACAATGTTCATAAAAGATTAGAAAACCATTTAGCTTGGCACTTTCACAAAGCAACACGAGTTGTCATTGTAATAATGCACAAAATATCACTATGCATTAGCGATTTGTACATGGAGCCCAATATAGCTGTATTCTGTATTTTATATTCTGTATATTCTTATATGGACTCCTAATATAGTATGTATAAGTACTACCGGTATAGTGTACTTAAACAGTGACAATCTAGGGACTTGCACGTTATAGTTAGAAATTCGTTAATCAGTCCTTAAACGCTTACATAAAACTATAATTGCCAGTAATCCCAATAATCGCTACGTCGTTGTATTCTTACTGCAAAATTTGCAAGTCCGCCATGTTTATTTTAATACTCTTCTCAGAGACAGAGTATTTTATGTTGTGTGTATGTATTATAAGTCCCGTTAGCCATGTAACTGGTGTAAATACACCCTGTAAAGCCTGGTTAGGTATTTTTGGGGTACGGGTAAATGTGAGGTAAATGTCAGCCCCTTAGTGTAAACACGGCTATAAATTGTAACAGTAAAAAAATATGGCTTTCATGCCATGTAGTGAATTGTGTGTTGTGCATCTGACAACACCTTAATTGCTATAAGTTAAAATCTGAGGCATCTTCTTCAAATTAATTTCACTAACGAAACGGGCCGGGGTACCGAATATAAGCAATAGAAGAGAAAATATTTGTGATTACAGGCTGATCCTTGCGCGAGGTTATAGGCAAGCGTAACTTTATTTAATTAATTTTCATCGGCGTCTGAGTTAATTTTGTGTATTTATCGCGCCTTTACCTTGACATTCAGACCGTAGAACTTCAGGGCAAAACAATCATTTTGGAATGAAAAATGTAAACTTGGTGTTATATTTTGTAACACGAAAACAAAACATTCCATGTTTGTACATTTCAACAACGCCACGACAAGAGAATATAGGCTAACCAGTTATGCAATCTACACAATACATGTTTATTTAAAAGCTATATAAGTATATACTATAGCATGTGTTTTCAGCTTGCAAAGATTGGCGTCTCCTAATTAAACTTCAATTATTGCTTGGCGTTAGACGTTAGTTGCCTTGAAGAGTAAGTGTAATTACGAACATGCATGCAAGCGTAGGTTTCGAAAAATTTCATTATAGTTGAATGAGAAAGAGTTGGGTTACATGCAGGGACATGATAGATTTTAACAGGCATGGAATGCCGTAATATATTCGAGTTGTTCAAGCTGTTAGCGCTAACCCCGCGGGTGATTATATTTTATCTAGTTGTAGTTCATTATTCTTCTGTGACGCTGTACATTCGTTTCAAATTTTACAAAAAACCAATTCTATTGATCCAGAAATATTCACGCAGAAGCATTATTTAACTTATGAACAAATGAAGTAAAAATTTAAGTTAACCTCGATTAAGGTAAACCGCACAACTGCTGATTACTTCAGCCTGATAACAATCACTCAATTTAGAAACATCGCTATTTTATTAAACTGATAGATTATAGATATGTGGGATCCTTGACTTGGATAGAGGTGGCTTCGCTTAGGTATAGTAATGATATTAAATGAAGACATTCCCTAGTTTCGCAAATTGTACCATGTAGAATTTTGTTTTGGTTGCAGACGTAGTCACGCACCGACCGCCCTGTCCTTTCCCACAATGCAGAACCTAGAGTGAGCTATATATTGCATGCGACGATAGCGTGTGCCAGCAAATATGCCCCTTTGAATTAACGGATTGGCGAAGTCTGTCAAAAAAAGGAAAGATCATCATTTTATGGTCAGCTAAATGTTAATACATATATCTATCAAATTCAGTTCCAATTCGAACATGTCGTGAAATTTTCATAAAACACGTCTTAACCTTGAACAGATATTTAATATCGGCCGGCGCCCGAACAAACAAGATATGTCATTTCACCACAGATGAACATCTGGCTGTGTCGTTAATAAACGTGCGTGTACATCAATTACGTGTTGAGTCGGGTCATAAGTACGAACAATTAAAACACTGTCCGTCATATGCAAATTTACATGAGTATAAACAAATATAGATACGACATCTCATCAAAGACATAAAACGAATTGCCTTTGACTGCTTTATCATTATATCACTATCAGTTTTGCCGAGATCAACTTGAAATCGAAGAGGGCACTACAAGAAATAGTTTTAAACATCGCAAATTCTATTAGCATTACGAGCCAAGCAATATATGTGCATTATCGCCAAGTCAAGGATGGGTTTTCGCGCGAATGGCATTTATCGTATTTGCCTCATCGCAGTGTGCCTGCAAATGTTTACCTCTTCACAACAAAGCACAGAATCTTCAACACGAGATATAGAGTCATTGGTAACACTTAACTACACTACCACGTCAAAAGTATGTAATATCATATTCTTTTAGTATAAACTAAACTGTTGCAACGTAACGTTCGTAGATCACAGCGTAGTAGTATATGGTAGAAAGAGTTATTATTTCAGCCAAATTTACGCTTTCGTAAACAAAATATTTTTTGGGAGGAGAAGTTACTTTGGAGCAGTTTAACTAGGGCTATAGGTAGTGTGTTGAAAACCAACAGATGCCGGGAGATGTCAGAAGTGATTGCCTTTTCAATGTAATTTATGTTTTGAAAATTGCATGCAAATGAAAGAAATGAAGAAATTAACTGTTCGTAGAGTAGTAAAGGTTTTGAAACTGTGAGATACGATGGCTTCCTTTGCCCAGGTCAATTTTTTCTTACATATATGAATATATATATGAATATGATATTATGATATATATATATATATATATATATATATATATATACATATATATATATATATATATATATATATATATATATTATATATATATATATATATATATATGTGTATATGGTTGGCGGTGATTATATATATAATCCATACAATCTCGGCAGTATATATCTTTATGTTTGCCGGTGATTTTAGGGTTAAATACATATCCGCAAATATAGGCAAATGCAATGAATAAAATGTATCGCATTGAAAAGCAGGATAAACAGCTTTTCACGTAGGCCGTAGCTGATATCAAATCGATTATCGGGCCGAAAATATTTATATGCTCACATGTCAGGGATGGCGATCAGATAATCAGAACTCATGCAGATAATTCAAATAATACCCCATGCATATATTTACAAAAGAATATATGTTCAAATGATGTTCAACAAAATATTTTTGATGTATTATTACTACAGCAGGAGAACACGCCTTCAAACAAGGCAAATGGTCCATATTATTTTTTTTGTGAAAAAACAATCGAAAGAATAGATTCATAAGAGGCGATTGATTACACGACGTTTTAAGAGCTGCTTGGCGTAACTGGGGGTATAGTAAATTTAGATAGATTGTCCTTTGCGGTCACGAAAATAACCCAAGGGTTACATATAGCTGATCTCGTTTTTTCGAAAATCATTTCTCGGTTTCTCGGTTTTTGTACGCAAATCGTTTAAGATATTTTAAAATTTGAGACATGCAGGATTGAAGGATATTTCAAATTTCAATCTTCGGCTTAATTATCTTCGCAAACATGGAAATTGCGTCTTAATAAGCGCTTGTCAAACAAGCAATTTCTACTGTTGTAATAGCTGTGTTGCGCACTTCATCATTAATAATTTACGAGAGACATATAGCTTTCGTTTTATTTTTGTGAGAATAAGGCGATTCTGTGAGAATAAGGCACGAATCTCAAAAGTCACATTTGTGAAAGTTTTCAAGCAAAATGTATCGTATTTCGTTCGTCCTTGTCCTGCGTGCGTGATTAAACTCGAGTGGCTACTGGCTACTGATATGAAAATGTAAATCATGCAAACAAGCCGTGTACAACTGTACATATAATAGTCTTTGTATGCATGAACAATGTAAGTCCTGCACTCAAAATAAAGCCTGCATGGTTTCCATGCATATGACGCATATGACGATTGACGCATACAGTACTGCTCAGAAATAACCTAATCAAAAACGCGTTCAGAACGCGTTCCAGGACTTCGATACAGTTTGAATGCTGTGTTGTCGCCGACAAGGAATGAAGTGCAGGTATGAACAAACATGCAATTGTTAACTGAAATAGCTCAGCTGAGAGCACGGGTCGATCGTTATAATTCAGACCTTCGTTTCACAATATGGGAACCTCAATTGTTTTACATGTAGGGCACAGTATGATATGAATAAACGAAATACGGTAATTACCGTGACTACCGTATACACTGTTTAAATGTATACAAAATAAAAACTAAAAACAATGGTTTAACTACCGAAAGTTTCTTTGATCAAAGACGGTGGTAAGACTCATCTAATTTTAACAGCGTTTTATTTCCCAGCCAAACATTGGCTTTGGTTAAGCATAGCATATCCTAAGGCCATCAAGTCAGAATTTCTCAAGATGCTACTTACATATTACTATCATTTTCGAATGAGATAGACAAGTCACACATGCGCTTATTTTTACGCGAAATAAAATAGCGCTTTGCAAACTAAAAGCGGAATTAACGAACTATAGCATAAGCATATTGACTGGCTGTTCGATATAATTTATTCGGAATGTCCGAAGGCACACGAAGCGTCTAAGTAAAAACACTGGAACGCGTTCGGAACTTTGCGGCGCTTGTGTGCTATTAGCCTATTACCGACCGTCGACCGACGTCGTGTTTAACCAACCACCTTGCCAAAACTGGGGGTGTAGCAAACGTCTACAGTCTCAGCCTTTGCTTTAAAACAAATTCGCCGTAGCAGGTGTTGTAATGAGATAATAACCACATTCGAATGTAACTAGGTCAGTGTTAAATACACACTTCCCGAATTTGCTGAAGGGGCTGTTTACATGAGCCCAGACTTGCTCCAAGTCTGCCTCTTAATGGTATAAAATTAGTATACTGGCACCACTCTCCTCCGCAGAGGCTTTTAGCATACAATATAATAGTGGTAATGTAGGGATAGTAGAGGAGATAATGGCACCCTTTTTAGGGTGCCATTAAATTTTTTTAGGGTGCCATTTAGGGTGCCAGTATACTAATTTTATACCATCAAGAGGCAGTCTAACATGAGCCCGGTTACCCGAGATTTAGCCTGAGATGATTTTGAGGTATTGAAATGAGCCGATAACATGATCCTGGCATCCTGGCAGTCGTATAAATCACCACCAAAAAGTCCTCTCACGTTCACGGGTAACCGGGCTCATGTAAACAGCCGCTACGTGCACTCAAAATAACAGCTTGGAAATGATGCGAGCAATGAAATCTAGAGTTAGTAGGATGGTTTTCATTGCCAATACAAAATCTGAAAGTGTCTATTGTTACATTTTCCATTTTTAGACTCTAAACAAAAGTGACGCGGGTACGAGACACGAGGGTACCGTACCGCATACCATTACGATCATCGTGGACGCTATCGGCGTACTCTCCAATACCCTGCTGATCCTCGCCATCCTGGTCGACCCTCTAAATCTCCTTCGAAAAGGGGCGTGGTTCACCATACTCAACCTGTCGATCGCCGACTTCACTGCTAGCCTATCCAACTTCCTCATGGTCGGTTTGCAGGTCCATTTCAACCGACCGAATCCAGTAGTCCTTAGGACTTGTCGTTTCTTCTGGTATTTTGGCTCGGGTGGATCGTTCCTGCTGCTCGCGTTACTGACCGCCGAAACGTACGTCATCGTAAAATACCCGATTCGAAGTAAGACGATGTTAACTGCCAAGAAAGTCCGTCTTCTCTGCGCTGGAGTCTGGATCATAGCTATTTTATTAGGTATAAGTAACGTCCAATACGCAATCTTCAAGACGCCTTTTGAACGGGCAATGAAATTCTATATAGCGCAAATAGCCGTCTTGGAATTGGCCGTAATAGTCCAGGTGTTGCTGAAGGTGCTTATAATTCGCGAAATTCTGAGAAGCGAACACAGCATAGGAACAAACTCTGAACAGCGGACCAATAAGCACAAGGAAATAGCTAAGACAATCGTAATACTTAATGTTATGCTGATCGTCACGGCTTTTCCTTACTTCGTTGCCAAGCAGATCGAGTATCTGTACCGGTTGAAGGTGATACGCGGAGACGGATTGGCGAGGTTTTTTTCCTACTACTACCAGCCTGTCGCTGTGCTGAATTTTGCACTCAACCCCATTCTTTACTCCTTACGTCTGCCTGACTATCGACGCAGTTTATTCGCGTTGCCTTGCCACTGCGAAAAACGCGTGTTCGAAAGTGGTTTAGCAAGTATGAGGACAGCATTGTCCTGAGGTCGCACGTCGTCTCAAGAAGCCGATGAAGAATTGACGAAGTTTTAAGATACACAACAAAGAATGAAGCAGTGCCCGTACGCAGGGCACAGTACGGCTAAAATGGTACCCTGCATGTTCATATGAGATGGGCCAGCCCGGTTTAGCCGGCAGCTCTGCTGCTGGGATCTCCCTTCACATATATTTCACTATATATTTGTAAAATTGCACTACTGGCCAGCCCGGCTCTGCGATATCCACCTGAACGAAACGAGATTCGCCTTAACGGGCTCATATGAAGACATCAAGTTGGCCAGCAAAAGCGAGCTAGCCCGCGGCTAAACCGACTGGCCCGTCTCATATGAACAGGCCCTTAATTATGAGGACAATTAAATATAGTTATAAAAAAATAGTTCCATGCACAGGGCGCGGGCTTTTGGCTCAGCTGCGAACATTTTAAATAAATTAGTTATCATACAAACTATTTTAAGATATACAAAGTATATCAAAGCCATTTATGGTCTACGGATTAGTGTATGGTTGTTGGCAAAACTGACGGAACCATGCAAGGAGTTTTCTTTGGTTAAGACTGCATAATGCAATCACTGCCGTATATAAGTTCCAATATAACCAAGGAGCAGCGTGGCAGCGTCCTCAAACAACTTAGCATCAAATGCGGTATAACAACTACCTAAATAGACAAAACACTTCTCGACGTTTCGACCTGAGGGCCTTCGTCAGGAGAGTTAGTATGGAAATAGATGCGAAATTGAACTCTCCTGAAATTGAACTCTCCTGACGAAGGCCCTCAGGCCGAAACATCGAGAAGTGTTTTGTCTATTTAGGCAGTTGTTATACCACATTTGATGCTATAGTGTCAGTATAGGGTATAAATAGGCCCTTACGTAGACAAGATGTATAAAAGATAGAAAATAGAGTTAATTCCATTAAAATCACCTGATTCTTATTAGCGATAGCCTATAAGTGTTCACGGTTTTGAAAGCGTTCGAATATACGATGCGGTCGCGGTAGCGATCAATAAATCTTCACATTCATTGAACCCATATAATATACGTTACAGTATTTTTTGGGGGAGAACAAAAATTCTAAGAAGTCAAAGATGTAAAAGACTAGAAGAATCATCAACATGCAGTTATATCATACAAGATAGACAGTGAAATACCCTGTAACTTAAATATTTTGTCGCACAATCCGACAACAACAATATAAATACTACATTCGGGTGTAAAACATAACGAGTGTTCAGCTTGAACTGTCATCCTCGTGCGTGTCTCGAAATTCTTGCGCAAATATCTTACAAACTACGTATACCCTCCCGCCAGCCAGTACCTATGTAACAGAACGTTTATGAAGTCTGAATTGAGAAGCCACATCCAAAACATACAGCATACTCACTTGCATCAAGGCTGTATTGCCAATGCGATGAACAGGGTGTCGTCTTTTAAAAACTGTCGTTTGCACAGAATGGAGTGTAACACGTATTGTGTACAATCAACACCCGAACTACTCTTCAGAAGTATCGGTTTCTCATTTTGTTCTTCCTCATCGGGATATAGTTTCATTTGATGATTTTTAACATATTCACTATCATCTTGTTGATCAACGATGATAAATGTAACTATTTTGTTAAAAGGCCATTCTACTTTATCGTCATGATCCCCTTCCAATAAATACAAGTATACCCCCATGTATTCCGCTTTGCCACTGGGTGCTTCATTTAGGTTCACCTTCAAAACCATCCTGTATCCATGATAAGTGTAAAATGGAACGCCAAAAATCTCTCCGTACTGGTTGCTTGATTGAGAGTGACACAACTTGCGTGTAAAATCTGGTATTGTTAAACCTATCGACACCGTTAGGTTTTTTCTGAGCCGGTCTAGCGACTGCAATGAGATCGTCGGTAGCGAAGTGTATCTCCCAAAAAACAAGACTTGATCCTTAAGAGCCTTAAACTCTTTATCGTGCTAAAAGAGTAACACACGTACAATAAAAAATTCTACCCCTTGACTGATTTTTTAAAAAAAAATTCCACAGAACGAAAACCGATACGGCGCTATAGATTTTGTATCAAGGATTGGGTTTTTTTAGTTGACCTACTAAATATTGCACCTGCTATATGGTAGTGAAGATGAAGATTTTTCGTACAAAAAATGCTGCATTTCTGTTGCAAAATGAAATCGCCATAAATCTTTTAATGAAATGAAACCTTTTAAATCGTGAAAAAACATTGGCCATTGTCATTCACAAGGAAACCAAGACGCTTAAATACGCGTTAAGCAACCGCATTTCAATCACGTTTTCAAAACAAAGGACCCAGAGAGAGGGGGCTTTTCCCACTGCGCATGCGTAGTCATTGCTGCTTAACGCGGCTAAGTTGAAAAAAATGCTGACTTAAAGTAAAATTCGCTTACTTCACTCTTGAGGTTGTGCAAGTCAGTTTCGTGCTGTAAGGAAAATAAGAAGATTCTAAAACAACCTCAACCAGGATAACTTATACTTTTGCAACAGAGCCAGGTAAGTAAGTAAAGACATTGCGCGAAACCTCTGCCGCTTAAAACCGCATTAGTTACATTGCTGCCCGTCACGTGCCTAGATCCTAATTTATCCGGCCAAGCGTAATTGGGTACAGGTGACCGGCTAAGAAGCCACAAAGGTACTAAGGCCTGTTTTAGCTTTAACTTTTATGTACTGAATCGAACGCAAATATTAGCTTAAAACAAAGACTTTAGCTCGTTGAAATAAGGTTCAGAGCATAAAAGGTTTGACGCATAATGGCGGCTTCGTCAAAATTTACCTGGAGAATGTGGCCCGCAACTTGGCAAGTGTTTGGTAAAAATAGCTGGCGATTTTCAATTAGGTCAGTAGAAAATTAACGGGTTTTTTTTTAGTTTAGGGTCTATTGTCTTATCTTCGGTTATTACTTAAGAGTTTACTGTTCTAAACCTTAAATTAAAAACAATAAACAGGACATCCGAATAAACAGGACATCTTGAGAGTCAAAAATAAATATGAATCTCAAAAGCAAGACAAAGGTTTCACTATTAACTAACCTTTTCTCTCATCGCGCTAATTTTTTCCTCATGCTACACAAAAAAACAAACAAAAAATAATGTTTGCGTTTCCTCGCTTCCTTCAACTAATTTTGAAAGTTGAAATATAGTAGGTATGTAGTGAAATTATATCGTACACTGATCTATTGGTTGCGTTTCATCAGTAGGTTGGTTGTGGGAATATTTCAAGCATTTTCGGATTTTTTGGTGTGTACGCCACGATATAATTATTGTGAGTTGAATAGCGCTGAATCAAAGCCAAGACGAAGTCGGGTTTTTATTCAGCGAAATTCAGCGAACCTGAGGTGAATATCTCGTGCCTTTAGATAGAGTATTTTCATTAAAATAACTTATGATGTGATTAATGTGTAAATATAGTGCGATTGGGGAATTAATCACCCTATTTTTAACCAATCAGACTTGAGAGAAACACCATTGATTTCAAAATGAATATAATAAATAATTTTATTATACATTATAGTAGTAAAAGCAATTTGATTGGCTAATAGTTGACAGATAAATCGCGCAATCACGCAAAATTCAGTTACCGTATCTGCTAGCAGATAACTGAGTTATCTGCAAGTGAGCCTGCGGTGGTTAACAAGCGGTATTCATTTCAATGTACGACAAGATATTCAGCTTCGGATTCAAGCGAACCCGGAGCAGGAGTGGCTAGTTTTCAAACAAATCGATGATGCTATTAAATAAATTTATAAGGTTTTTCATTCTTTAATACTATGTTTACTATTCTTCCAATGTATCAGTATAATAAAACACTTTGATTATTGAATTCTGTTAACAACGGCTTACTTCGTCTTCGACCATGATAACTCTGCATATCACAAAAACGTCATCCAATAATTGTTTAAAATTTGTCTCCAGACGCTTTTAGGTAAACCAAATAATGCAATATTTTGTTTTTGTTTTTGTTTTTATCAAATACGTAGTACCAGGCTACTAATACGAATTCACGCATTTCTTGTTTGTACCTTCAAGTGCAAATACATGCCTTACAGTATGGCATATAAAAAACTTTTTATTAAACCTCGCTAGCTCGGTCTTTACCTAGAAATATCGGACCTCGATTTTTTTGTACAAACCTCGCTGTTCGACCTCGTTCTATCTAAAAAATACCTCGGTCCGATATTTCTCGGTAAAGAAGACCACGATTAATAAGTTAATACATTTGCTTGAAATTGTCAACACGCAAATCGCTCGTTGTACGAAACACACTTTCAGTAATTCCTAAGTAAACAAATGACGTATCTGTCAATTTCATCAAAGTAGCGACGGCTTTATTCATACATTTTTTTCTCAATGTTTGAGGGCATTTTTATTTCGAATAAATCATTCGAATGGCATGCATTGCCTCCGCCATTGGCGAATGCAGTACTGACGTGTTTTTACAAACCTCAAGTTTAAGTTGTCTGAGTTCCTCATCACGCTGAAAAAGTCTAAGGTGAACTTTCTCCATTTCATTTTTGTGCTGCGATGAAAAGTAAAATAAAAAAGTTAAACATGGTTTGGTTCTATTACTTCTATAGTATTTAAATCAATTGTCAAAGGTTGACAAACCTCTGCATCAACTTGCCTCATGTAGTGTAGGTGCTATTAAAAGAAGATTTGTAATTGTATCTCCCTTCAAAGGTCCCTTCATATGAAGTAATGTATGTGCAAAATATCCAAGATTTCAGTTTTTCTGTGACTGTGTTGCAAATGTATGCACAAATAATAGTGATAATGATAGTGATAAATAATTTTAGTAATATGTGCCCTCAATGTATTCGATGTATTCAATACTATATATAGATCTATACCCCATTAAATACATGCAGCTCATGCAGATACAGGTAGGAGCTAGTTTGAATCCTAGTTATAAGTTGTGCTTAAAGCTGAATACTTTACGGTATTTAAAAAAACAATTCACATGGTACTTATAATGAATTATACAGATTTATACTTACCACACTATTTAGGCTATTTACTGATGAAACTTTACACTCAAGATTTTCAATTTTTTTTAGAAGGTTAGCTATAGCATCTGATTGATCAGCAATATTCTTGTGGTCAATGAGAAAGTTGCAGTTATTCATGTGACTCTAGATTGGATAATTTATTAATCTATCAATTATCATGCACTGGATATACCATTTTCATGTTGTGTGGTTGGAAGCTTTTATTCATTACAGTATATACAGGTACTAACTATAGGATTTAACAATGCAAAATGTTTAGTTAAATAAGTTATAAAAGCAGCACCTGAACTGTTATATTTTTGAAAATCTGACAAACTGTTCGTATAATATATCTCATCTCATATATTATTTTTTGCTATATGGTTTTAAATGAATTCAAGTTAGAATCTTAGTTTAGAAAAATCTGAAGCATGCAAAATTTAGACAATTTTTAAATTTGCAGGTACCACATGCATTGTTATGAGCAGAGCTGATGCACAATGCAAACCCAACTGCACAATACTTTAAATTTAAGTTAAATGAAATATCTGGTATTTGATCAGATTATCCAGCCCCAACTTTCCTAATTATTATAGGCAAGTTCTGAATATCGTTGGATAGTAAAAATCACTATCCTATGCACCTTTACTATAGACTGTATTGAATAAAGGTTTACCGTTCCATTATTAAGCTTTTTGTGATAATTTGGGCTTCCCAAATGAGGTTTCTAACAAGGGTTGTTCAGTTCAAACTAAAGACATTCAGCACTGAAATAATGTTTTAATTGGCAAGCAGTGTAATGATCAATCATGGAGTGGCTTGAAACTGATGATAGATAGTGAACTGTAATATATTGATGTTATGTGATCATAAATTTGGAGGATATATACAACTGTACCTTGCCTAAATGATAATAATAATAAAATGTACCTCAAGCAGAGAACCTAAACTTCCAAACCAACTACAGCCGTCGTTGCAGCAATTTACATCCAAATTTTTTATCAATCTTCTTGCTGCATGATCTTCAAACACCTTCAAAATGAATAACTATTTCAGAAGGCATCAAAGCTTAAATTTTCAATGCTAACAATATTAAGGTTAACAGGCGCCGCTTACATTTTCTTGGGATATTCTAATTCTGCACGATGGACAACGAGGATCACTTCTGTTGAGGTAATAATATGTGTTAACATGTAAAACCTTGGTCAAACAAAGGATTTCGTGTGGGTTCCGTTTTATAGCTGTGCGCCACGTGCAAAATTTGATTAAACGGACTAAACTGGATACAATATACCCTTGCTACCTTTCTATATTTTCTAATTTTGAAAAACCCTAGGCTTCGTGAGAATCTCAAATCGATTGTTCTGTTGTTGTAGTGTTGCATTTCAGGATGGGCAAACAAAGGATTTTACTCTAATTTGCCTTTCTCGCAATGACGTTTTCGGCGGGGTACTTTCAAAGGGGTTTAAAAAATTATAACCACATGAAATATTTTTTTTAGAATCAACAGACCATTTGAAGAATAACTCCAGCCCAAAATGAAAGACTGTGGCCGTTATGTACGCGTAAAATACCCCAAAAATGGCGGCATATTCGTCATAGAGAGAAAGGCTAATTGCCACTTCCAGGCGTATGTGTATTGTGTATTCATTGTAATGTTTAATTAAACGTTTACAGTATGAATAATACAAAACAACCTAGAATACACATATTAACACTACTGATTTAGATTGAAAGCCTTACTCTAAAATATCCTCGGCACATTTTGCGCAAAATTGGTGTCCACAATCCCCAACTTGCACGGCATCTTTCAAAACCTCCTGACATATTGAACATTCGAATGAACTCCTCACTGTAACCTGATCTTTAAACCACTTGAGTGGGTAGCCTGAATGACCGTTTGTGTGCCGGGCGGTACTAAGCATCAAGGAAAAAGCACTAGTCGGTAAAAATACCCGACTGTAAAAACTCAAAGAAATCTTCTATTTACGTGTAGTTCTGTAGTGTCTCTACGAATGAATATATAATTTCTTTGCGATTTTCGCGCAATCCTGCATGTCAGGCGGCCACATGTCATGTCAGGTGCACACCAGATCTTAACCCGAAATCCAGGCCTGCATAACGAATGGTTTCACTTCTCTATAATAAATTAATTTAATTTGGGGACAAGAACAAACACAACCCACGAGCCTGGTTGTTATCAAATTGCCCAACATTTTGGTTTCAACAAGTTGATGCAAATTGTTAACATCCATGTTTGCTGGGTGCAGAACAACATTGTTCAGTTCTGTCTTTACAACCTCCTTGAACACATTATCCCATTAGGGCGCTATTTTCTATTATGATTGACCCCAACCAACCAAAGCGAAACATAAAACCACGACGCTTTCCACTTACGCATGTTTTAAGCGGAAAACTTTGAATGCTTTTAAAAATTTTATTGGCACATGAAAAACGCGAAAGTGAAAAGCAGTCTAAAGAGGTAAGCGCGGAGAAAGGTAAAAGGCGGGAAAGTGGGTAAGGCGGGAAAGTTGGTAAAAGGTGGGATCATTGAACTGTAAACAAACATATAAATGTTGTATAGAGTTCACTGGGCGGGATAGTGGGTAAAAGGCGGGAAAGTGGCTAAAAGGTGCTTCCACTTTTCCGTTTCCGCCTTTTGTGCAAGCTCGTATTACCCACAGCTCATGTGACGACTGAATGACTGTATTTTGTCCAAGCTCGTATTACCCACAGCTCATGTGACGACTGAATGACTGTCTCTTAAAGCCGTCTTAAGCGTTGTATTAAAACTAACAATTTCAAAGAAGAATGTTTGCTCTCGGCGATATTTCGAGATTCGAAGGCGATAATTCCGAAAAAGTCACGTCATTCAAGATTCTCAAACCAGTATGGGATGTTATTACGGATTATCTTGTGATATTCCTGGCAATGTTGTCGATTGTGTTCGCAGGTATGGAAGTCACATCCGGTAGATTTGAGTGTTTAGCTGCTGTTAATTGCCCTGGTATATCCAGCTCAAATACGAGCAGTTTCTTTTTATCGCACATGAAATATCATAATGTTTGTAAAAGCTTTTACAATTCTCAGAAGACAAATGTGCGGATAAAGGGAACAGATGTTATGACAGACCTTAAGAGCAGTGTTCAATACTCTAATTTCGTGAATTCTGAATGCAGTAAGAGCGCAATTCCCAACTTTCTTGCCTACTTCTGGTTTTTGATGTTTATCGAGGCATTTGTGCTTATTATACTCGACAATCTGTGGCTTAAGCTCCCTACCACGGCGGCGACGATTGAAAGTTTTGTATCACTTGTGATGGCATGTTATGCTTCGCCATGCTCAAATTTAGAGTTAACAAAGGCGCTTTCAAAAGTGCCAAATCCTAAAGTGGAAAATTCCGCTTCTGATGACAGCGGCAGTGACAGCGATCAGGGCCATGAATTAAGTATCTTGGATGATACTGCAACTGTTAGCGCGATTAGAACCTTATATGAAAAACTGGAGACGCTTAAAGAGATCAATGCCACATCGTCAGACAAACCAGACAAAACAGACAAACCACACAAACTAGACAAACCGCGTGTTAAAATTTGGATGTTATATTTGTTTCAAGCTATTTTAGAATCCATATTTGCCTTAATATTTTTCACACTCAATATTTGTTATATAAATGACTTAAAAGAGACAATGAAATGTACAGTGGCACAGCATATTCCGGTTCCTCATGACTATTTCATTTGTTCACATAGCCTTGCGCCCGCATTTCGTTTGGGGGTGTATATATATAGTTCAGTGCTTGGGCTTTGCCTTCTGACTTACATTTACATAACAGGATGGACAGTCGTAAAGGTGAGGAAAAACAAATGCGAATATAACTTCAAAAAAGAAAAGTTACCTGCACTGGTAGGGGAAAAATTGTCTGATATGAATTCTGTGAACGGAGATTTCGGTTTTCTTCTCCACCTATTGCACTCTTATAGCAAGTTGTATGTTGTTCGATTAGCCCACTATTTATCAAAAAGCAACAAGAAAAAAACGCTAGCAGAGTTTTTAAATAACAAATACCATGTTTCAAAGTTAAAAAGACTACTTAGAAAAAATGAGAAAAAAATCACATTTAATAGACTTCGTGGAATACCGCAAACCATATTTCAGCTAGGCACCGAAATTGTTACACTGGAATTGAAACAATGTGAACTAGAAATTGAGGACTTTGATAATTTCTACCAACTTACTAGTTTGCGAAAGTTATCTGTTATTGAATGTGGTCTTCAGTGCATTCCGGATGGTATTTTGATGATGGATTGGCTGGAAGAATTAAATCTTAAAGGAAATTCGATAACATTAATTGATGAAAGGGTGTTGAGTCTGAAGTATCTGACTAGTTTGGACTTATCAAAAAATAAAATAAAAACCATAAAGGCAGGATCACTGGAGCAACTGAAAAATCTTTTCACAGTTGACGTTACAGGCAACTCAGGATTAGGAATACCTGGATTAAAGGTTATACTGGCTTGTGAAAGATTGTGCATTTTGCGCTGTTCTAATAAACTTTCAGATAAAAGGAACGATTTGAATAAAACAGAGCGAGAGAAATTTGACGCAGTCACATCTGCTAAGATAGAAAGTTTTGTCATTCCATACACTCCAGAAAAGGCTCCTCATATCGATGTTCAAAATACTCAGAAAAATTATAAAATGAATTCGCAACCTAAAGGAGTAGCTATTATTATTAACATTAGGTCATTCAGTAAAGACATTTACCCTTATCGACGAGGTAGTGAGAAAGATGTTGTCAAGTTAAAGGCATTATTTGAAAACATTGGCTTTGACACTGTATGTAATCCTATAGACTATACAGCTGAGGAGGCCAAGAAATTCCTTAAAGAGTGTGCAAAAGAGAGGAAGTACGAAAGTTGTGATTGCATTGTTGTGGCTGTGATGACTCACGGTAATGATGTAGGTCTTATTTTTCATGACGGCGAAGAGGTTCCTGTTCCGGAAATCGTCGATTGTGTTCAAATGTCTTCACTGTATGACGGAAAGCCAAAGTTGTTTTTCCTCCAGTGCTGTAGAGGGCAAAAAAAGGCACGTGGGCGTACCACTTTTAGTAATGTTCCAGTAAAAACTTCAACCGATCGCGATTTGACGCATTCCACTGAACTCCACGCTGGTGTAACTGCGACTGATTCTGTACCTGCTTATTCTGAAAAAAGCGAAACTGATGCGTCACCAACACCACATGTTATGTTTGAAGCTGATATACCAAACGGCGCCGATGTTTTGTTATCGTATTCAACAATGCCAGGCTATGCGTCATTCCGTAACGTCTCCAAAGGTAGCTGGTATGTGCAAGTATTAGTCGAGACGTTCTCCCAACACGCTTTTGAGGAAGATGTTCTGAGTCTGCTTACATTGGTAAACTACGAAGTCGCTCGTGCCTACACTTCTGCTAAATGGAGGCAGGTACCATGTCCGCAAAGCACTTTAACGAGAAAACTATACTTACTTCCTGGTTATCCAAAGCCCAAGCAGATTAAATCTGACCAGCGTAATACATATGTGTAACGTACAATGGCGGTTTCATTGTTTCCTGATATGATGGTTCATGTCAAGATTATTGTACAGGAAAGCAAATATATAAACAAGAAAAACAATTTTAGCGACTGTGTAAATGAACAAGTAGTTTACTCTCTGAATATAGCAATTATAACTATCGAAATCATAATTTATGTATGGATCGGACAGTTTACAATCGGTTTGAACGTTATTAATTATTTCGTAGTTTAGCAATTGTAGTGTAGAGTCATTTCATGGAAAATGAAGTTCTTGCCAATAAAATACATAATTGAGTAATTAGGGTCACCCTGAGGGTAGGAACATCCTGTTTATGAAAGAGGGTAACTCAAGTGGTAGGGAACACTTTTGTCAATGTAAACACGGTTTTCCCACCTGCGCGTGCGCAATAGCGATGGAAGCTTTTATTAAGAACGACACTATCGCTTGCTTCTTCTTGCAATTTGTCTCATGATGGGAGTTTCCCTGGTTCCCGAGGTCATACGATTAAAGAGTGCTCAGTGCTATTATAATGCCTTGAAAATTCACCTTGTTTCTTTTGCATTACGTTCAATTATGAGGCGTTAAATATTTCAGAGGTTTGTTTACTTTCACCCACAACGAACGCTCGTGATGTATAGTCAACCTTGGCCGATCGTGAGATCTCAGATCAGCTGCTGTGATCTTTATACAGTGGCGTGGCTAGGGGCGTTTTTCAGTAGAGGGCCCGCTACAAAAATAAACTATTGGGCAAAATATTTTGACATAGGTTTTAAATTTATCTATTTTTCCTATTACTGTATCAAAGGGAGCACAAGTGAATTATTGACGGGGGGCACAAGTGAATGATTGACGGGGGGGACAAGTGAATGATTTACGGCGGGAGGCCCAGTGAATGATTGACGGCGGGGAGCACAAGTTATTGATTGACAGCGGGGGACACAAGTGAATGATTAACGGGGGATGGGGGGGGGGCGGGGGGTTGGCAAACGAATGATTTACAGTTGTCCCACAACAGTCTTCGCTTTCTATATATCTCGTAAAGTAGTATGGTATGAATTTTAAGGGGAGATATTATTTATGTAAATGTTGTTCTTTTCTGCGATCATGCCGTTTATTGAATTTACACAGGCTCACTCGAGTTCTTTACATTAAAGAAATTGCAAAATACCGAACTGAAAGCAATCTATTGATACAGCTATGCAATGTTTTTATAGAAAAGAACGCACTAGTTGAGACGTGGCCCAACGCCTTATTTGTAATTAAATGTCGTGTATCTCAGCTGAACTGCAGTCACATCGGAAAGCTATTTTTATGTGATGCATGCATGCATGGCCCATTTATTTTGGAAACAGCAGGTTAACATCTTAATCCGCGATTTGTAATAGGTCGCCTTTTCACTTCGAGGCTAAGTCTATTCCTAGCTCTCAATTAATTTTTGAACTCTTGTCAGTCTTTGCGAGGCCCGAACTCAAAAGTCTAACCAAAGTCTTACAAAATTCAAAAACTGTAAAATTAAGGTTTCAATTCTTGGGGCCATCTAACCACTATAATCCCCGTTAGGCCGGTTATACTTATGAGAAACGTACCAGTGAAATCATCCCTAGGGCTTGATGAATATAGCAGTGAAACAATTTCAATTTCGATCTATGAAGTTTCAGTGAGCGGAAGATGATGAAGAAATAAATACGAATAATACAAAGCAAATATGATTAATCAACTTCATCTTAAACCAAAGTCACTCTGGTATAGTCATATGCGTATTGACGGACATTTTTGATGCTTCTAATTTCGCCCTTTTTGAATTTCATGCAACACGTCAAGAAACAAGAAACAAGAAGCAATACATTTTGGAATCCATGCGTTTATTCATATCTACATGTAGTGTTTAAGTTTTCTAAATTTCCCCTAATCTATTCTATCTTTAAGTATTACATAGTCAAAAATCCATATGCCAAGTCCTTATTTCTTATTTTATTCATGGAGTGCATACACCGTTACAACATTCACCGGTTGTACATTTTAGACAGTCCTTGTTTGCGTTCATCTCTCTCCTCATATTTTTGAATTCGTGCTTGTTCCCATTTTGTAACAAGCACGAGTAATTGTTCCCATTGCTTGTTCCCATTTTGTAACAAATTCCGAGTCATCGACATTTTTATCATTAATCCACAGACAACTCGGCTTGGCAAGGCTTGCGTGGATCACACACAGCACAAACAACAAAACTACGAACTTCGTCAAATTCTTCATATTGTCATCAAACCTCTCTCCAACCCCTGCTCCAACCAAAGGTACTTCCGTGAACTCGCCTTTTTCTTTCTCTAAGGTCTTCTCTTCGACCTGGCTGATAGATCTATGGACACGATGAAGTGCCTGTTCTTTGTTGGAGAGTGCTTATATATTAGTTATATACCTGCGTCTTTTTGCCAGATGTTTTATGCGACCCCCAAAAAACGTTAGCTCGTTTAAGATCATTTGGAACGGCAGCATTTTCGTGTGCATTTCTCATTCTCTATTCTTATTCTCTGCGCGTTCGGCGCGTGCGAGACACGTTTGAAGCGAGCCTCATAATTAAATGCGTTTGTAAAGTGACCGGGCCTTGACTCCTCAAAGACTCTGCCTTTGCGCACACACCAATATAAGTCTGAAGTCCTTAACACGTTTTCTGAGCGTTTGCCAATTCTCCCGCATTCCGTAATGTCAAATCATTCAACATCCTCATTGTCTACCCAAAATTACCATTTTCACCCTTTCCGGCTTCGAAGCAGACCTATAACTCGCACCCCGCGAGAGCATAACAAGGCGACATATATTTGCAACTCTTCGTCTTTGATCAAATATCGTCGCTAATTGCTGCGCGTGGTATAAAACCAATTAACCATCAAGGGAGCCGCTAGTAAGTTTAGTTTTAAACGTTCTTGAACAATATATGTTGGTTATGACATTTACATACTAGCATCAGCATCATATATTTGAGATATGCCACAATGTCTATGTCTAGTTCCCCAAAACAGTTCTCAGACATCTCAAACATCTAGCTCATTTGAAGAAAAATCAGACAGTCAGTGGTCACCACCTCGACAATACTGAGTTATTGTTTCCTTGAACTCTTTCTTATACGTGCATTTATACTTAAAATTATTTAATTAATAATTTTTCTATTTTCATGCATGCCAACTGGCACATGATAAGCACTGCATGATATAGACTATGACTGGATAACATCGGCAATAAATAATTGAAGCTAATTCTGCATGGCCATGTCGAATGGCCATTAAAATTCAATTTGTTGTTGGAAAGATGTTTTAAAGCTTCAACATTTCTGCCAAGTTAGTAGGAAAAATAAATTGTCCCAGATGATAATCTACTCATAAATAGCATTTCCCCTCCTGAATTTGCATGTGAAGATATAAGTGGGCCTACATCATTACTGTAAATGTTCTAATACATTATATGTCGTGTTTGAAACATGATAGAACAAACATTACTATATATGAAATTCACATCTTGACTCTTTTGACCCTGAATTTCAAACATCACCCGTACTTTTTATCCCTAATTGTACTCGCCTTCGCCTCATTACTCATTACCCATATTTACAAAAATATTTTAACTGCATTTCATGCGACGTATATGATGTAATATTTGCTTCACGGCATTCCGAATTAGCCGATTTCATTGTGAGTAGTGGGAGAGTGTCACCCTCTGACATATGCATCCTTCGACGAATATGCAGTCCAGAAGTAAGCCATAAGTAGCACCCTAGGTAGCCCAAAGGTATTTGTGTTTTAATCTAAAGCGTCCATCCAGTTTAATATCGCGGTCTGTGACGTAAACACCAAATTGGTAGGACACTGCGATTATTAGCAACAAAGTATATAAAGGCGATTTCTCATTACCATCCGTTTCACCTGCACGCGTTAGGCGGCTTTTGAAAATGTGCCCACGCGGGTGAAGCGCGCTTTGTTTTTAAGGCTTGGCATAGGTCAGAGTTTGACATGCACGTTAAAATATCTGGTCTCAAAAAATTTAAAATCCGGTCACTAAATGACTCGTTTATAACGTGATGACACATGACGTCATCGTTTCATATATCAACTTGCATCTTCGAACTGAACGCCTATACTTTGGTTGTTCGTTTAAATCAGTTTTGTAGCGTTTTCACACGAAATAAATTGTCAAAACATATGTAAATATACATACATGAGGCTTTTGAACACAAAGGTAAACAGAAAACGGAAATTATATATCTTACAGAATACACATATACATCCGTCATCTTTAAGTGATAGGAACTGCGTTCAAACTTGAATAAATTAGCGTAAAAAACGGTACGACCACAAGGGTTCGCAAACGGAAATGAATGATTCCTAATCTTCAAAATTAAGATTGTTTGATTTGCTTCTTTAGTTTTAGGGAAGGTTTTGTATAATTCAGGAACCGCACCGGCTCGTTTTGAGGCGGCACTGATAACTGCTATTAAATTATAAAGACCTCATTATCATACATGTCCAATAAAGTAGAAATTAAATTCGCATAGAATTTTTACTTTTGTTTATGTTAGTAAACACTGACTAATAACTAAGACTAATAACTGACATAATTACGTCGCCACGTGCTTTTAGTTAAAAAGTCGTTGAAGATTTTAAACCCCTGTAACTACCTAAATTGGGAAATTTTCGCTATTGTTACTCTATAACTATATAAGGCGTATAAATGTTTCAAGCGTCGAATTTAATCAAACTAGCGTATGTCACTATGTGCATAGGTACCTTTTTGAGTTGTTGGCTGATGTTCCTAACTAAGACGAACCCATGTTACGTTGAAAAACTTGATTCAGTTAGTTTTAGTTAAAATCTAGATCGATTATTCTGAGTCAATTCATATAGTTCTTTCATCCCAACCTCCATCAATTCTTCTTTTATTCTTTCCGTTTCAGTTTAGTCCTCACCTCCCCCACCTGTTGCTCGCTCTTCCTTTGTCTTTGACATTTTAACCTTATGTTTTTCGATAGGGTTTTGAATCTGTCCCGAACTGACTGAGAACTTACATCAAATCCTGGCATTGGGTTAAGAAGATCTACCACTTTTTGCCATGATGACTCTCGACCTCTGCTGTTGCATGGGTTTCTCGTGCATAACACCCTCCGCAGCAATCGCTTTCAGCATGATGAGATCTTTCTCACCAGATCAAATCATAGATGACCTTTACAAGTGACATTAGTGAAATTGAAATAACAATTAAGCTACAAAAGAGAAGTCATGCTTTTCAGTATTTTTAATTGTTTAGCAATGCTATAACAGCTATATGACAAGAAATGTAATATGGTTGAGGGTGAACTTTACAACACCATATGCTTATACTTTTTAATATTTGAACATACTTTTTCAGTTGCACCTCTTGGACCTCTTTCTCAGACATTCTTCAATAACTTACTAACTTATACCTGCATTTATAAACTATACGATGTAAAAAGATTAGATGTATTTATTAGTATAATAAAGGAAATTAATATCGAAGAGTTGGTCCTCGCTTGGTTACCCAGGCCGGGTATTTGGCGCAGGGGTATTTTTCCCCGTATTGCCGTCTCCATCCCTACCGATCCGCAGTGGGCAAAACAAGCTAGGTTACTATAGTCGCAGTATTTACTCAGCCTTGCCAGCCTTGTTTGTTCTTGTCTGAGAATCATTAATGTACGGCATATGAAACGTTATAATTTTGCTAAAATCCGTTCACTACAGGGTGTATCAAAAAAAAGGAGACCTTTAGAAATCAAGCTATTGTTAAAATTTGAATGCCTTTTCAATTGCATTTGCGCATACATGCAGGGTGTCTCAAAAAAAACGCAACCACTTAATATTCTAAAATTCATATTGTTTATAAGCTCAACAGATTTTATGCCCCTGGGATTTTAAAATGGCTTCTAATCGCACAGTTCAACTGCTAGTAGTCAAATCAGCTAAACTAATAATGGTGCAGCTAACAACCGAACAACGAGTTTTTATTGTCGTGCATGATAACTTGAATGCTAACTGTCGACCTTGTAAAATAAATTGTAAATAAAATTTTACTCGTTAAATACTTTCAATTCAGCTCGTTGGTTTACGCACCCGACTTTGTTTACCGACGATTGTGCCGCTAGAATATGATTACAAGCTTTCTCGCATTCCAGGGGCCAAACGTCTTTTGTCAGTTTTGTGTTGTAGAACAAAGAGGATATTCATGAATATTAAGTGGTTGCATTTTTTTTGATACACCCTGTATGCTGAACCGTAGTGCGTTAAATATTGATGGCATGCATGCATGCATACATTAGAAAATGAATTGGCGTTTGTACACAAGACGTTTGTACACTGCTCCTGGGAATTTGAAAATAACATTAATAGCAAAAGGAAAAATAACGACCCAAAAATATTCAAATGACTAAGCACACTACCAGAACAAAAATGGTTCAACTGACTTCGGAGCAAAGAGTTTTTGCAGTCTTAACTTATACCCAGCCTGCCGTCATCAGAAAAGCAGTTCGCGATATGCACAAGCGTACGGTAGTTTGTGTTGAGAGAAATGGAGGCCACACGTTGAAGGACATGGTCCATGACATTTTTTTATGTTCAATTTATCAGTAATTTTCAATCCGGATCAAAATGTCAAGTGAATCTGTGTCAGATCAAGTTGTAATTCATTCCTGACTCATGTAAACATTTTAATAGGCAGAGTTTGTAAAATGGGATGCTGAGCCATTCCGGATTCAATGTCAATTCTAACTCATGTGAACAGCCCTAATGCTCGCACGCAGTGTTAAAAATTAATGAACAAATGATTTGTTCATGTTTTGAAGGAACAGCTAAAGCAATTTACCACGCATACTGTTATCGCTTTTGTGCTTAGTCGCTTGTGCTTAATCATTTAAATATTTTTGGGTCGCTATTTTTCCTTATGCTATTAAAGTTATTTTCAAATTCCCAGGAGCAGACAATCTTGTGTACAAACGTCAATTCATTTTCTAAAGGTCTCCTTTTTCTAATGTATGCATGCATGCCATCAATATTTCACGCACTACGGTTTAGCATATGTGCAAATGCAATTGAAAAAGCATTCAAATTTTAACAATAGCTTGATTTCTAAAGGTCTCCTTTTTTTTGATACACCCTGTAGAATGGCTAAAAAGATCATATTTGAGACAATTATATTAGTGATATTCATATAGTGACAAAAACATGAAAGCTGAAACGTTGTATTTAGGTGAAAAAAGCATGTTAAAAAACACAAAAATATTATACAAAGCCCAAGGGAAAACCCGCTCGATTATTTGTTTTAATATTTTGACGAAATTATCCATGTGAAATTATCATACAATTGCCAAAAAAAATGAAATTCCTTGCCTTTTCAAAGGCAAACACCGAGTCTAAAATATGACTTCTTGAACACAACGCCAAATCATCTCATTTTACGTCCTCAAGTCAACAAAAACGCCGTCCCAGATTTGACCGGAAGTGCTAGCCACTTTGCCACCAACACGCCATTCTCGCGTCCTTGTCGACGTAGCGTTGTGTTTGCTAAAGGCGCAAACCTGTCTAATTACTAACCATTTCAAAGAAGAATGTTCGCTCTCGGCGATATTTCGAGATTCGAAGGCGATAATTCCGAAAAAGTCACGTCATTCAAGATTCTCAAACCAGTATGGGATGTAATTACGGATTATCTTGTGATATTTCTGGCAATGTTGTCGATTGTGTTCGCAGGTATGGAAGTCACGTCCGGTAGTTTTGAGTGTTTAGCTGCTGTTAATTGCCCTGGTAAATCCAGCTCAAATACGAGCAGTTTCTTTTTATCGCACATGAAATATCATAATGTTTGTAAAAGCTTTTACAATTCTCAGAAGACAAATGTGCGGATAAAGGGAACAGATGTTATGACAGACCTTAAGAGCAGCGTTCAATACTCTAAATTCGTGAATTCTGAATGCAGTAAGAGCGCAATTCCCAACTTTCTTGCCTACTTCTGGTTTTTGATGTTTATCGAGGCATTTGTGCTTATTATACTCGACAATCTGTGGCTTAAGCTCCCTACCACGGCGGCGACGATTGAAAGTTTTGTATCACTTGTGATGGCATGTTATGCTTCGCCATGCTCAAATTTAGAGTTAACAAAGGCGCTTTCAAAAGTGCCAAATCCTAAAGTGGAAAATTCCGCTTCTGATGACAGCGGCAGTGACAGCGATCAGGGCCATGAATTAAGTATCTTGGATGATACTGCAACTGTTAGCGCGATTAGAACCTTAAATGAAAAACTGGAGACGCTTAAAGAGATCAATGCCACATCGTCAAACAAACCAGACAAACCAGACGAAGCAGACAAACCAGACAAACCAGACGAACCAGACAAACCAGACAAACCAGACAAACCAGACGAACCAGACAAACCAGACGAACCAGACAAACCAGACAAACCAGACGAACCAGACAAACCACACAAACTAGACAAACCGCGTGTTAAAATTTGGCTGTTATATTTGATTCAAGCTATTTTAGAAACCATATTTGCCTTAATATTTTTCACACTCAATATTTGTTATATAAATGACTTAAAAGGGACAATGAAATGTACAGTGGCACAGCATATTCCCGTTCCTCATGACTATTTCATTTGTTCACATAGCCTTGCGCCCGCATTTCGTTTGGGGGTGTATTTATATAGTTCAGTGCTTGGCCTTGGCCTTCTGACTTACATTTACATAACTGGATGGACACTCTCTAAGGTGACAAAAAACAAATGTGAATATAACTTCAAAGAAGAAAATTTACCTCCACTGGCAGGGGAAAAATTGTCTGATATGAATTCTGTGAACGAAGACCTCGGTTTTCTTCTGCACCTATTGCACTCCTATAGCAAGATGTATGTTGTTCGATTAGCCCACTATTTATCAAAAAGCAACAAGAAAAAAGTACATGCAGAGTTTTTAAATAACAAGTACCGTATTTCAAAGTTAAGAAGACGACTTAGAAAAAATGAGAAAAAAATCACATTTAATAGACTTCCCGGAATACCGCAAACCATATTTCAGCTGGGCACTGAAATTGTTACACTGGAATTGAAACAATGTGAACTAGAAATTGAGGACTTTGATAATTTCTACCAACTTACTAGTTTGCGAAAGTTATCTGTTATTGAATGTGGTCTTCAGTGCATTCCGGATGGTATTTTAAAGATACGTTTGCTGGAAGAATTAAATCTTAAAGGGAATTTGGTAACATTAATTAATAAAAGTGTGTCCAATCTTGAGCTCGAGTATCTGATTAGTTTGGACTTATCAAACAATGACATAAAAACTATACCGGCAGGATCCCTGGAGAAACTGAAAAATCTTTTCATACTTGACGTTACAGGCAACTCAGGATTAGCGGAAACAGCTGATTTAAAGGTTATACTGGCTTGTGAAAGATTGCGCATTTTGCGCTGTTCTAGGGAACTTTCAGATAAAAGGGACGAGTTAAATGTAATAGAGCAAGAGAAATTTGACGCAGTCACATCTGCTGAGAGAGAAAGTTTTGTCATTCCATACACACCAGACAAGGCTCCTCATATCGATGTTCAAAATACTCAGAAAAATTATAAAATGGATTCCCAACCTAAAGGAGTAGCTGTTATTATTAACATTATGTCATTCAGTAAAGACATTTACCCTTATCGACGAGGTAGTGAGAAAGATGTTGTCAAGTTAAAGGCATTATTTGAAAACATTGGCTTTGACACTGTATGTAATCCTATAGACTATACAGCTGTGGAGGCCAAGAAATTCCTTAAAGAGTGTGCAAAAGAGAGGAATTACGAAAGTTGTGATTGCATTGTTGTGGCTGTGATGAGTCACGGTAATGATGTAGGTTTTGTTTTTCATGACGGCGAAGCGGTTCCTGTTCTGGACATCGTCGATTGTGTTCAAATGTCTTCACTGTATGACGGAAAGCCAAAGTTGTTTTTCCTCCAGTGCTGCAGAGGGGAAAAAAGGGCAGTTGGGCGTGCCACTTTTAGTAGTGATCCAGGAGAAACTTCAACCGATCGCGATTTGACGCATTCCACTGAACTCCACGCTGGTGTAACTGCGACTGATTCTCTACCTGTTCATTCTGAAGAAGGCGAAACTGATGCATCACCAACACCACATGTTATGTTTGAAGCTGATATACCAAAGGGCGCCGATGTTTTGTTATCGTATTCAACAATGCCAGGTTATGCGTCATTTCGTGACGTCTCGAAAGGTAGCTGGTATGTACAAGCGTTAGTCGAGACGTTCTCCCAACACGCTTTTGAGGAAGATGTTCTGAGTCTGCTTACATTGGTAAACTACGAAGTCGCTCGTGCCCACGCTTCTGTTAGATGGAGGCAGGTACCATGTCCGCAAAGCACTTTAACGAAAAAACTATACTTACTTCCTGGTTATCCAAAGCCCAAGCAGATTAAATCTGACCAGCGTCATACATATGTGTAACGTACAATGACGGTTTCATTGTTTCCTGATATGATGGTTCTTGTCAAGATTATTGTACAGGAAAGCAAATATATAAACAAGTAAAACAATTTTAGCGACTGTGTAAATGAACATGTAGTTCACTCTCTGAATATAGCAATTATAACTATCGAAATCATAATTATCCATTGATCGGACAGTTTACAATCGGTTTGAACGTTATTAATTATTTCGTAGTTTAGTAATTGCAGTGTAGAGTCATTTCATGGAAAATGAAGTTCTTGCCAATAAAATATATAATTGAGTAATTAGGGTCACCCTGAGGGCAGGAACATCCTGTTTATGAAAGAGGGTAACTCAAGTGGTAGGGAACACTTTTGTCAATGTAAACAGTTTTCCCACTTGCGCGTGCGCAATAGCGATGAAAGCTTTTATTAAGAACGACACTATCGCTTGCTTTTTCTTGCAATTTGTCTCAGGGGGTGAGTTTCCCTAGTTCCCAAGGTCATACGATTAAAGAGTGCTCAGTTCTATTATAATCCCTTGAAAATTCACCTTGTTTCTTTTGCATTACGTTCAATTATGAGGCGTTAAATATTTCAGAGGTTTGTTTACTTTCACCCACAACGAACGCTCGTGATGTATAGTCAACCTTGGCCGATCGTGAGATCTCAGATCAGCTGCTGTGATCTTTATACAGTGGCGTGGCTAGGGGTGTTTTTCAGTAGAGGGCCCGCTACAAAAATAAACTATTGGGCAAAATATTTTGACATAGGTTTCAAATTTATCTATTTTTCCTATTACGTATCAAAGGGGGCACAAGTGAATGATTGACGGGGGGGGGGAGTGAATGATTCACGGGAGGAGGCCCAGTGAATGATTGGCGGCGGGGAGCACAAGTTATTGATTGACGGCGGGGGACACAAGTGAATGATTGACAGGGGAGGGGGGGGGGTTGTAAGCGAATGATTTACAGTTGTCCCACAACAGTCGCCGCTGTCTATATATCTCGTAAAGTAGATATATTCATATATTCGTATGATACGAATTTTAGGGGGAGATATTATTTATGTAAATGTTGTTCTTTTCTGCGATCATGCAGTTTATTAAATTTACACAAGCTCACTCGAGTTCTTGACATTAAAGGAATTGCAAAATGCCGAACTGAAAGTAATCTATTGATACAGCTATGCAATGTTTTTATAGACAATAACGCACTGGTTTAGACGTGACCCAACAATTAATATTAATATTATAACAATTAATATTTGTAATTAAATGTGGTGTATCTCAGCTGAACTGTAGTCTCACCGGAAAGCTATTTTTATGTGATGCATGCACGGCCCATTTTTAATTTTCGAATTCTTGTCACTCTTTGCGAGGCCCGAACTCAAAAGTCTAACCAAAGTCTTACAAAATTCAAAAATAGGTACGCAATGCGTACATGTGGGTAGCCTGTAAAGCATTATTAATGCGATAAAGCTGCTATAGTGGCGAGTAAATATCAACTGATGCAATAAAATATTATTTTCTAGTCTTATGTTCTAATGCTATAGACAACGGAATAAACGCCCTATTGTTAGCTGGTTGAATACAGTTATAACAAAGTCGATTTATTACACAATCTATATATTATAATATTTTATTGTATTAAATACATTTTACGACAGATCAAAACATATATAAAAGCATTTTTACAAGAGATAGGAAATGAATTTTTTTAAGCAGAATAGGTGAACAGAACAAAAAAAAAGGTTCCAGGATGGTGGCACACATTGTGCTGGTGGCACACATAAAGCTTAGTTTAGAAGGATAAAGATCTTAACAAAGATTTCTTTGAGGATAAACTACTTGATTTGCCAGATCATTTTACAGTCACATAACAAAGAGTCCAAAATTGTTTCAAACGTTTCAAATTAACAATCTTTCAAGACTTATGTATGTATCTGAACAATATTTTAAAGATTTTTGATCAGTTGAAATGCACTTTTGTTTTTTGAACTCCAAAGCATTTGGTTTAATAGCCGCATGTCCACAAGCAAGAAATTGACAAGTGAAATATTGCATTATAATTTATAAAACAGGGCAACTTGTTACTATCATTTGCATTAAGATAATGTATTTGGTTTAATAGCTGCATGTCCACAAGCAAGAAATTGACAGGTGAAATATTGAATTATAATTTATAAAGCAGGGCAACTTGTTACTACCATTTGCCGAATTATGATTTATAAAACAGGGCAACTTGTTACTACCATTTGCAATAAGATAATGTATTTCGTTTAATAGCTGCATGTCCACAAGCAAGAAATTGACAGGTGAAATATTGCATTATAATTCATAAAACAGGGCAACTAGTTTCTACCATTTGCCGAATTATAATTCAAAAAACAGGGCAACATGCCAACTTGTTACTACCATTTGCAATAAGGTAATGTATTTGGTTTAATAGCTGCATGTCCAGAAGCAAGAAATTGAGAAGTGAAATATTGCGTTATAATTTATAAAACAGGGCAACTTGTTACTACTATTTTAAAGGCCGACACAGACCGGACGCGAAGCGGCAACGCGGCGCGAATTTTCAGTTTTCAGAAGCATATAAATTAAATTCTGGGATCAAAATTTGGAATGTATGGACGCTAGACCAATCAAAATTTATTATTTTAGTGCAATCTACATACTGGTTAGCCGCGCATGCGCAGGCTACCCACAAAAACTGTAAAATTAAGCTTTCAATTCTTGGGGCCATCCAACCACTATAATCCCTGTCACTATCCTATGCACCGTTACTTGGGACTATATTGAATAAAGGTTTACTGTTCCGAGCATAATTAAGCTTTTTGTGATAATTTGGGCTTCCCAAATGATGTTTCTAACAAGGGTTGTTCAGTTCAAACTAAAGACATTCAGCACTGAAATAATGTTTTAATTGGCAAGCAGTGTAATGATCATGGAGTGGCTTGAAACTGATGATAGTGAATTGTAATATATTGATGTTATGTGATCATAAATTTGGAGGATATACAACAGTACCTTGCCTAAATAATAATAATAATAAGATGTACCTCAAGCAGAGAGCCTAAACTTCCAAACCAACTACAGCCGTCACTACAGCAATTTACATCCAAATTTTTGATCAATCTTCTTGCTGCATGATCTTCAAACACCTTCAAAATGAATAACTATATCAGAAGGCATCAAACTGCTTAAATTTTCAATGATAACAATATTAAGGTTAACAGGCGCCGCTTACATTTTCTTGGGATATTCTAATTCTGCACGATGGACAACGAGGATCACTTCTGTTGAGGTAATAATATGTCATATTAATATGTGTTAACATGTAAAACCTTGGTCAGACAAAGAAAACAAAGGTCAAAAGTACAAAAAATGTGATTGCATTGTTGTGGTTTTGATGGGTCACGGTAGTGAAAAGGGCCTCATTTTCCACGATGGAAAAGAGGTTCCGGTCCAAGAATTAGTTGAAACTGTACAAAAGTCTCCAGTGTATAAAGAAAAGCCAAAATTATTTTTCATTCAATCTTGCAGAGGAAACAAGTATGCAACTGCCAATGTTAATGTTAATGTTAATGCCCGCAGCAGTCGTCCGTCTGACAGTCATTCCTATCTAGCGGGTGGAGATTCTCAAGATTCCGTGCATTCCACATCTACTGATACTGCCCTTGTAACCGATGGCGAGCCCTGTGTGCAAACAGACGCATTACCAGGAGCACATGTTATGGTCGAAGCTACTATACCAACAGGCGCTGACATTTTGCTGTCGTATTCCACAATGGAAGGTTATATTTCGTTCCGTCTCCCTGCCCATGGGACATGGTACGTGCAAACTTTGGTGGAGACATTTTCCCAACATGCTTGGGAGGAAGATGTTCTGAGTCTGCTCACACTGGTAAACTACAAAGTTGCTCGTGCATATACGGTGGCCGGATGGAGACAGGTACCATGCCCTCAAAGCACTTTACGTAAAAAGCTTTACTTACTTCCGGGTTATCCAAAACCAAATACCTAGTAAATCAAAGAAAAAATTATTTGGTCAAGGCAGTACACATACAGTTAAGTAGGATTCTCATCAGAAATTTGTGGCCTGTAACATCCGATTAAAGATTTGTTAATTTGTAATATCCAACTGAAGATTTAAACAGTATATACAATATTGCATATAAAACCATAGAATGTGAAGTCAATATTTTAAAGATTGCGAGCAATTTTTTCGCCGTCGATGTCGTGTCCCAGACAGTTGCGTGTAGTCCACGCGAGACGTGGCACGAGATATAATTGATATTGCAGTTTGATAAATTTAAGCCCCGTTTACACGACACTCGATTTATTGGCACGGCACGGCTAAAATAGGAACCCGTGCCCATACCATCTGTGCTCGGCCTTTGTTTTGGTAGCCTGAACACTAAACAATTGCGTACGGGTACCGTGCCGTTCCAGTAAATCGAGTGTCGTATAAACGGGGCTTTAACCGCCAGCTTGAAAATCGGGGATTGGGATGTGACACGGCAAAAAATCGACTCGTCATGTGGTACAAATACCGTTTTTCGATCGGACAATTTATATTATTTTGAAATATGTAAGATTTTCAATAACAGTCGTTATATTGTAAAGCGCTCTTGACTCTAGGCTATGAGATATGATGTGAAATTGTATTTGGGTTCAGAGGATGATTATAGTGAACTCCTCTGATGTAGTCAACACCGATTGTGACTAGGCCCGTATTGATAACATTTAATAACAGTGTAACTCAATATTTCTTAAAGTAGTACGATCAGGTAGTTTATAGCGACAAATTATTAGTTTAAATGGTTTTTTACCGCGATCGTGCAATTTATTGAATTTACACAGGCTCACTCGAGTTCTTGACATTAAAGGAATGGCAAAATACCGAACTCAAAGTAATCTATTGATGTATGCAATGTTCTTATAGACAAGGACACACTAGTTGAGACGTGACCCAACGCCATCAAGAGAAAAGAAGAATACATTTTGAAATGCTT